AACTTAAAAAATACTTATTATTAGTTATAAATATAAAAGAGTAATAAATAAAAAATAGTATTTCAAATATATTATAAATATTTTAAATATTATATTATATCTTTTAAACTATCTAATACTTTAGTAATATTCTAAATATATATTAACTATATACTAGTAAGTCTTATAAATATTATTTAGATAATTTATTTAGATAATATTTTAATTTATTTAGAGAACTTAGAATAATATATAATTTATTTAAATAATATTTTAATTTATTTAGAGAACTTAGAATAATATATAATAGTAATTTAATATATACTCGAATAATTATAATAATACTAGCTTTTTATAAACTTAGTAAAATACAAGTTTAATATAAAGAAAATAGAATTCCTGGAATTTATAATTAGTTTAGATAATATAAAAATAGAAGCTAGCCAGATTATAGCTATTAGAAAATAGCTAGCCCTAAAAAATAATATTTGAGAAGTTTAAGTATTTCTGGATTTTACTAACTTTTATTAGAGATTTATTTATAAATATTTTAGAATAATAAAAGAATTAACTAATTTATTAAAAACTAATAAAAACTTATAATATTATTTTAGCTAGATAAATAAGGCAAATAAGGCTTTTAGAAAGCTATAAATTATATTTATAATAGTATTAATTCTTTATTATTTTAATCTAGCCTTAAAGATTTATATAAAAACGAATATTTCAGGATTTATAATTATAAATATAATTTTCTAGCTCATTAATAAAAAAGTAAAAGCCAGGTAATATTTTATTATTTTTTATTTAAAGAAAATAATTATAATTAAAAACAGATATAAGATATATAATTCTAAACTATTAGCTATTATTCTAGTATTTTGTATTTAATATATTATTATTATTAAATCAGATTATAATAATTTAAAATATTTTATAATTAAGAGAAAATTAAATAATAAATAAATAAAATAAATAAAAAAGCTAGTTATCTTTAATTTTATTTTAGAATATTAGTTAGAATATAGTAATTTTATTAATAAACTATTAAAAAGACTAGACTTTATAATAAATATAAATAAATATACTTTATTACTTATATTTTATAATAAGCTATAGAATATAGAATAGAGAATCCTATAAATAATAATAATAAAATATTATATTATTTCTGTAATATTATAATATAAGGCCTAGAAAAAAGAAAATAAATATTTTTTAATTAATAAAATATTAAGGAATTCTAAAGAAAAAGTTTATTTTAATAATAAAATAATATTAGAAATACTATTATTTAAGTTTATTACTAGTATAGCTAGTTATAAATAATATATATTACGAATTCTAGTTATATAAATAGCTAGATCCGAAATAGTATATAAGAAAAATAAAGAAATATTACTTAAATTACTATTATAATACTAAAGGCTCGATTTATTAATATAATACTAGTAATATAAATAGTTCTTAAAAAGAATCTTTATTAGAATTATTAGAATTTAAGAATTTAATATATCTGAATTACTAAAATATTAGAATATTATTTATATATTAAATAAGCCGGCTTTTAAAAAAGAATTACTATAAGCTAATTATAATAATTTTATAAATAAGTATTTTAATATTAGTAAAATACTAGAGATTTTCTAAAGAAACTATTTCTAATAAAATATAAAAAAGACATAAAAAACTATACAAGAACTTGCTTTATATATTAATAAACTAAAATAAAAATATATTTATTATATAATATATTTAGTTTATTTCCTTTTCTTTTTAAGTTATAATAAGAAATTATTATAACCTTTATTATAGAACTGCCTTTTTTTAGGTTTTATAATAAAATATATAATTCTATATTTATTATTATTAATAAATATATGAAAATAGTCTAATATATTTTAATTACTAAAAAGATTTTAGTACCTGAATTAATAAAGCTATTTATATATTATATTATTAAAAACTTTAGTATATTTATAAATATAACTTCTAATAAGGTATTTATTTTTATAAATAAATTCTAATTATATTTTTATTTTTATTTAAAGATTTAATAATAGCTAAATATAATATTTTATTTATAAACTAATAAATAAATAAAGAATTTAAACTAAATTCTAGAATAGTATTTGAGATATTATATTAGCTATTAGTAAAATAACTAAATAATAATACTTATTTTTATAGAATTTATATATAATAACTTTATATATTTAATAATAGAAATTTCTTTATTTTATATATTATATAAATTCTATTTTAGTATTAAATTATATATTAAAAATAATATTTCAGAAAAAGAAATACTAGTAATATAAGAAAGAATATAGAGAATTTAAGTAAGATAAGAAATACTAGAAAAGTAATAATAAGAAATAATAAATATATAAAAAAAGTATTATAATAAAACATATATTAATAAGAAGTTTAATATATATAATAAAGTTATACTTTATATAAAGAATATTTAATAGCTATAATTTAGTATAAAGCTAATAAATAAATATTTTAATCTTTTTAAAATTCTAGAAATTATAAAAATATATAAATAAATATATTATTTAAAATTACTACTATTATATTAGATCTATAATATTTTATATATTTTTCTTTTAAAATTATAATACCTATAAACTAATATTATAATAGAACTAGAACTAGTTAAGATTAAGAATAAAAAGAAATTTAAAGTAAAATCTATTATAGCTTATAAAAAGAATAGAAAAAGAAAGAAATATCTTATTTATTAGAAGAACTATTTATTAATAAATAATATATAAGAATTACTAAATAATCTAGAAAATATAATTCAAGAATTATAAGAATACTTAAAAATAATAATATTATAATATTATTAACTAAATAGAAATATAAAAAATAAATACTTTTATTAGGAAATTATTAAAAACCATATATTTATTTTTAGAAAAGTTATATAAAAATTATTAAAAACTTTAAAAATTCTAATTTCTATATTCTATAAATACTTTATTCTTATAAATACTTTTTATTATTTTTATTATTTTTATTATTATTTTTATTAGAATTCTTTTAAGAAATAAATAATAAATTAGCCTAAAAGCTATTAGCTATTAATAAAAAATAAGAAGAAAATAAGCCTATTTAATACTAAAAAATATTAATTATATTATTAAAAGTACTTTATACTTATATTAAGCTAGTAAGAATTACTTAACCTATTTCTTAAATTATTAGAGAAATCTATTAGTTTTAAATAATAGCTTTAATACGAGAAATATATATAGTTTAATATAGAAGAAAAGTAGTAATAACTTTTTCTTTTTTAAGTAAAAATTAGAAAAGATATTTATATATATTAATAACTCAATTTTTTTTTTAATTATATTATATATATTTAAGAAATCTTAAATAGTATTAGAATAGGAAATAAAAAAAGGAATTTATAGCTTATAGAATTATATTTCTTGTTTTTAAAATAGTAGTAATTATATATTAAGTAATTATTACTTTTAATATAAATAAGATTAGGAAACTTAGTAATATTCTTAAAATATTAAAAATAGTAAAGTAAATTAAGAATATAAAAGTATTAGCTAAATAAGTAATAATAGACTAATAAGTACTAAAAGAAGTATTTATCTTAATAAATAAAGAAGTAAAAGAGGGAATTAGAAGAAAGCTTAAATAGAAATTAAAAGAAGCTTAAAGAAGCTTAAAGAAGCTTAAAAGAGTTTAAAGAAGGCTTAAAAAAGAAAGGCAAAAGATAAGAAGAAGCTAGATATAGTATTATAGTTAAGGAAAAGAAAGATTAGTTAATAAAAAAAGAGAAGTCTTTTTATAATACTTTCTTTTTAAATAATAATTATAAATTCGAAACCGGCTTTATATTAGAAATATCCAGGAAATTCTAAAGAAGGAATTTATAAATAAACTAGAAAATCGAATTAATTTTTCTAAATTCTTAGGCCTATAAAGTAATAATTTATTTATAAATAGAGGCTAAGTTAGGATTTATAAACTAATTAAGAAATTAGAAGAGCTTTATATCTAATAATATATATTATATTCGTATTATCTTTATAAGAAGAAATTACTAGAGATAATTTATAAATTAACTAGGCAGAGTTAGTAAACTATATCCTTAATTCTATTATCTAGTATAATAATAAAGTAATTATAGAAAGTTTTTAGAGAGAACTAGTAGCCGGAAAAGTATTAGAGAGTTATTTATAAAGCTATTTGTAGTTTTCTTAGGCCTTTTAGGAATAAGAGCCCAGAAAAAGAATTAATATAATAAGTATATATAATAATATATAGATAAGTATTAGATATTATAGATCTAGTTCCCTATTTTAAATAAAGCTTATAATTAGAATTATATAAATAATCGGAATTATATGAATTATATAAGATTATATTTCCTAATTAAGTAAAGGGCTTTATATACTTGGCTAAGTATTAGAGAATATATAAAGAAATACTTCTAGCTTTAGAAAGAAGTATTAATTAGTCTTTATTAGAATTAATTCTTAGAATTAATTATAATTATAATATATAATAGAAATAGAAATTAGACTAAAATTAAAATCGAGAAATAAAATCGAAATTATATATTATAACTTGAATTATTTAGATTTAAAACTTTTTCGAGATTTTTTTCTTTTTTTTTAGCTTTGAATTATTAAAATAAAAATAATTTAATTACATTTTTTAGGCTTTAAATCTTATATTTATAATAAGAAATAAAAGTAATAATAATAATAATATATATTATTTTAAAGACATTATTTTATTTATAAATAGTTATTTTAATAATAATCAATAATTAATAATTAATTAATAATATAATATTTTAATATATTTTAATTAATAATTAGACTAAAATAAATAAATACTTGATTTAAATAATAATTTACTAAAAGTTATTTATTTTATTTTATTTTATTTTAAACTAGCCTAATAAATTAAAATAATATTATTTTAGTATAAATATAAAGTTAGAAGCTAGTTATAATACTTGAGAATACTATTAAAGGTTAGTATATATTAGGGTAAATAACTGTATTATTTCCAAGCTCGTTACGCTCCCGATATGCTGGAATATCGCGAACTAAGCCCCAGAAAGTCATCCCCCGTAACTCCAAGTACATCTCTCTTTCCTTCCGTTCCTTAGCCGCGGGAATCTCCGGCTCTCTATCCCTGAAACGTCTCTCGTCAATATATAAATCCTCGTACACCTTGTTTTTCTTCCAGCGTTCCTCCCTCCGCAAAAGCGCCTCTTCCTCTTTCTCAATCTCCTCCTCAGTAGTCAGTAACAGAGTACGACCTTCTTGCTCTATAGCCCATTCATTATATTTTACAATAACAGTGTCTCGATCCTTCTTCAACAACTTCTTATCACTTCTCATCCATGGTACATCGTTAACAGGAAGCTCAAAAACTCGTTCAGAGCCTTTTTGCCACAACCTTTGCAATTTCTCTTCATTCGAATGACATAAAATCTAGTATCGGTCTTCCAGAAAGCTGGGATTTCATCGAGGGTAGTGCAGCCGCACTTGTCGCAACTAACTTCGACGGTCTTGCTATTCGGAAAGAGTAGGTAGGCATCACTTTCCGCAGTTCTCTCTGTCCCACGGTGTTTTCATTGCTTCTTCAGAGCACTGGAATCGCTACTTGGTAATTGGCGTTTCCTAGATAACTGTCAATACTAACGTAACTATAGATAGTTGAACCTTTTGCAAGCAAGAGACTTAAAGAAATACAAGAAGAGAAACAGGGGCTTTTGGAAAGAAGCCTCCAAACAACATACAATTTGTAACGAGCAAGACGAAAACAAATAAACTAGATTAAATCGAAGCGAAATGAATATTTCGCCAAATGCCAATACTCTGCAATAATGCCAACTAATATTAAAAATCAAATTTACTTACGGGAATTCAGTGCCATTGGCTGCCCGATCTGCCTTCCTCTGCATTCTGTCTAATGCCCTCCACTCAAAATATATCTCTTCTTTCTCCGTTCGCGTAACTCTTGCTAATTGTGCTGCTATCTTGAGCTTCTCGTCCATCTTCCTGCCCACTGATTGCACAATATTATAGAAGTAATACATGGGATGGTTAACGAAGACCAGAATCCTAGTAATGAATTGTTTGGATATGCTGAAGAATTGAATGTATAGAGACGTTTGGTTCTCATCCCAAAGCACCAACTCCTCTAGGACGTTGCGGAATTGGGCGAGGACTGCAGCTTGGTTGGGTTTTCCGAATACCAACTCGACTTTGGCATGAAGGTGGGCTCCCAGGGTGGATTCCCTGTTTCTATGGGACTTCATAACAGCTTTTGAGTATTGTTTCGACTGTTCAAAGCGTGAGTCTTCTCGCCATGGGTGTGTATCCCACCAGAAAGACTTCTCTGCTGTAAAACCAGCTACCAAGATCATATTCGTGCAGCCATTTGAGGTGTCAGCGATTTCTCCATCATAAATCTTTCGAGTTTGTTCAGTAGGGGAGTGTAAATGAATTGCTATATTAGCATGGAGTGATCCAGAATGTTTGATCATTAATCGAGAGTCACGTGCTTCAGCTCCGGTCCAAAGGAGAGATTCGGTTCGTTTGAAGTCTTCGAAAGCAGTCTCCCAAAACTCAAAAGGTATATACTCAAAAGAACAAGGAGATCTCTAAACTTTCCAAAGACAACCAAAATTGAAAACTAAGTACAAATAAGACACAACACATAAATACTCAAAGAGCTCAATTTCAATTGACTGCTATAAGATTTCAAAAAGGAATAACATCAAATACTTACAGGACGAAGCTGTTAAAGCCTCTCAAGTCTAGAGCTTGACAGAAGGTGGGATGGATCGGAAAGGTAAAGGTCGCCAAATATATGATAGGTAGATGGAGAGAGGTTGGTAGACGCTGTTAGTGACATGTTGAAGGTAATGGACCGGTCTCAGGGGCAGAGTGAAACTTGGGAGCAGTGAACAGTGACAAGTAGTAGAGAATCACACTGAGAGAGTTTATAGTAGTAAAATGAAGGTTGATATAGCTCGAGAAGTAATAGAATGATACACGGAGACATACAAAAGCCTCTGGTAGTACATGAGGCATCTAGAGAGGCGGGATGAAAGCAGAGAGTCACGGTTTGGTCACGTTCAAATAAGGTTGTTGATCGACGAAAATTAAGCGAGATTTCCCCTGAACGAGCGGTACAGCGATCGAGTGCTCTACCACAGGAAGATAGCACGCCAGCCAAGAATACATAGTTATTACCTTTAAGAAAAATCAATTATAAAATACGTCTTGCGGTTCTGCCCGACTTGATTGCTGCCTAGGATCTCCCTTCGGCTGCTTTGCTAGCTGAAGCGGTGAGCCCCCTTTTTGTTGCTCTAGCCGAGCAAGACCAGCAGCAACAACTCTCAATCCACCGCCTCCCAAGTACTTAGGAAGGTGCTCAGTGGAGCAGCGGCGCAAATTATAATAGCGCGGCTAGATAGGATTCTTAATGCCCCGGATACCTCACCGAGCGAATATTGGTGATGTGCAGAGAAGATATTGGCATTGCGGGACTACTGGCAACAATGCCCCTTGGGCCTCAAGAAACAACTGCATAATGGCGGGAGATAATCGAATAGCCGTATCGCTCGGAATATCAACAAAATCATTGCACTAAGGTCCAGTGATCGTGAGCGCAACCATGGTTCCCCTCTTTCACCGTTAATGCCGGAAGCACATTCGAGCGGAATGCTTTCGAAGGATTTCTCAGGCCATAACATTGGCTCGAAAAACGTGGATTTGAACACCAAAATGTGTCTGGGACTATAATGATTGACTTTTGGTGGATTTAAGCAGAATTAAGGGCAGAATCAGAAGCAAGGAGAGAAAAGAACGTGCCGCCCTAGTCGGCACGACCAGTAATAAAATCCAAGTGTCTAGACTACCGCTAGGTTTTTCAATCAAAACTCATTTGGTTGCAGAGGCTTTTCATAGCTAGAAATGTCAGGCATTTGATTTTTAGAAGACGAGAAAAGTGTTCCCCCGGAATATGGCTGGCAGAGAAAATCAAGAATGTAAGGTGGACTGACTCGATGAGGAGAAGAACTCGATCTTGGATTACAACTTGTTTGTAATACCGTCGCATATGATTTGGTAAGACTACTCATGTGAAGCGACTACTTCTGTGGTGAGGAGCCCTTTAAAATAATCGTCCCGGCGGTATAGTTTGGTGCAGGAGACGACTCTAAGTGTTCCTCTAAAAAACAGAAAATAAAAATCCTATCGGGATATGCATCTTTGGATGGGCTCGGATCTACGAAGCAAACCCCGCAATGATTAATGCATTCCTTTGGTATGGCCAACTGTTTCATGCCGATTCATCTTGCAATTGGGCACGGGGGGAGTGGCTCCAAAACTTCCGAGGTGCAGGATGTGGAGGTGCTTGATCAACTATACTTGGGACCGCCCCATGACTGGGGTTTGTGGGGTGGAGATGTGGGATGCGGGAGGATCTGAATTTGTAGGGAAGACACAAAAGTAACACTTCATTATTTGGGACGGCTAGGAATTAAGGGAATTGGTTTGAGCCACGTTTTTGGAGTGATGTATCTAATTTTTCTGTTGATCTACAAAATTTTCTATGCACGCCTAGCGACCGCTAAGCAACTTCTTCAAAGTCTACGAGCTCGGAGAAAAAACGTACCGGCAAATGAGCTATCGTAAGACGGTGAACAGTCTTACTAGCTAGGATTTCATCTACGAGTTGATGCTATACCTTCGTACTTAGAGTAGTTCTCCTCTCAGATGCTCGTTATCCTTCTCCTCACTCTTTCCCCCGATTTTGGTGGTAAGCACGTCACTCGGTAGGACGGCTTCTCGTGCTTGTCTCGATTCGAGATTTGTTACCGTGAACGCGAAACGCTGGTGTAGAGTAGAGGGTGCACGTCGGGCCTGTTGACCTTTAAGCAGCTTAGATCCCGATTCCTACGAAGGCAATTTTAGAGAAAAGAAACACTGAACAAGAGAGCAGATCCCGCAATTGACCCGTTTTATTTTTATAAAAAAAGTTTCGGCTATTAATTAAGTAATGTTTTTCCTATGAGCGCTATGTCTTCCTTAAACGATCGAGAAACATCACCCAAAAAAAATAAAAATTCGCTGGAAATTTGAAGACGGGGCCTAATCCTGATAATTGTTTAGTTGCGTATTTGCCTCAAGAATATCGGGTAAACCTACCGGGATGCAAGTGGGTTAATTATAAGTATTATGAAATAAAGACGTAGTATTTCCATAACCATGTCTTTTCCTTCTCTCCTTCTCTCCTTCTCTCCTTCTCTCCTTCTCTCCTTCTCTCCTTCTCTCCTTCTCTCCTTCTCTCCTTCTCTCCTTTGGATCGCCTTACCCAAGAAAATCAATGAGATCATGAAATAGCAAGCCTGGCCGGGCTTGCCACTTAGTCACCTAAGGTTGAGGTAACACTTGCTTCATCTCTCAGTTCCGAATCTTATTTTCCTATACTCGACGGCAGCACCTTCCCACTCCCGAGCTTCCTTTGAGCTTCTACCTTCCTTGCGTGTATGAGAGAAGATTCAGTTAATAACAGTAGACAGACGGGTTGGTTCGTTGGTATTGGCTAGTTTCGACATGGAAATGCTGTCTTAGGAGTCATTCGTCTGGGAGCATCCGTTATTTGCGATGTTCTTGATGTGTATTCCGAGATCTGATGTTTTAAAAGACATTGACTTCTTAGCAAGTAATTTAATGCAGAAAAGGGCGTTGACTCGTTGCCAAGTGGCTTGCTGTTTCCCAAACAATTTGCTGTCTTGGGTCGGGACTGTTAGAAGGTGGTCTTAAACAAAATCCTCCTCCCCAGCTAGCCTTGTTCTCGGACTCGACACATCCTTGATAATTACACATCTGTAACTATATGTATGGAGTTGGATATAACATTCTAGATAGGCGTTGGAATTTGGATAGCATAGAGCTGGTCCGCTAGAAGTCAACTGTGGATGTAGCAGTGGACTGTGAAAAGGGTAAGATTTGAGCCGCTCCTCAGTGCTTAAAAAGCTTAACTAAGAGGATTTCCCGATAGCATATGGCAATCCAGCTAGATTTAAGAGTATCACGACAGAGTTAGTAATGCAAGCTTGCAAGAGAGAGTTTCAGGACGTTTATCGGGTTTCGTGGGCATCAAACGCCACCCCTTCCTATCCTAGCCTAGCGTCCCTCCATTTCCCGAGTATCGTTGCCGACCAAATTTTGCACGCATAATAAATACTTAAATAAGCTCATCGATTCACAAAACATCGCTTATGGCCTGATAGTGTACGTGCAACATCAGCTCTAATTGTTGCATTAATTACTAATGCAACCTAGTCAGTGGTAGAATTCTTGCTTGTAAGAAGCTCCGCTCGGTTTGTGATTTCTTGTACTGAACACTAACAAAACTACTTTAGTGGGTAAACTTGTTTATCTTGTAAGAGGTCTCCGGTTGTAAGTAATTGATCAGCTCTTTATTCACAACACATCTAATTATCCTCAAGCGATCCCGGATTAGGCCCCGAAAAGAACCCAAATTTTTTTTTCCTTCTCGGATTTTCCTTTCCCATCCCTTATTTTGGACAATTTCCCTATATCTTGATTCCTCTGTTAGGTTTTTTTGTGCATGCCCTCGCTAGACGCTCGCTAATTCTTCCAAGCTATGCCCTATATTATAGAAATTAATGAGTGAACTAGCCACCCCATTCGAGAAAGGGACGTTTTGTAGATTATTGCCTTCTAGACTCGCAATCATTCGCGAAGGTTGCACCTCCCTATGAAGTAGAAGCTCCGGATTTGTTCCATGGGTAGTATAATGTGCTAGAACGTTCACGCTCAAGTCGTCATGATCAGATACTCTTCGACCGGCCTCGCCCAGCCTATGCAATAGCCCTTTCGTGAAGAAAAAAAGAGTCCACACACCACGAACGTATCATTTTCACTGGAAAATTAAATTTCAACCTTGTTAAAGGAGTTCTCAAGCTACAAAAGCCCTCGAGGGTGGTTGCAATGTGCGGCAGCTTTCCGGGCGACGCAGCGAAAATCTGCCAACCTGCTCGTGCCTTGCATCCCAAGGCACACCCGTTCGGTATTGTAGATCCACTCAATTAACTGTTGCCCATTCGTTTCAGGTTGATGTGTGAGAATAGGGCCCTAGACTCCGGGAGAGGTTTGCATTTGTCTTAGCCTTTTCCTAGCTCCAAAGTCCCATCCGTTATACGGGCTTTCCTTCGAACCCTTTCATCCGTAATTAAAAGGCAATCTAGTAATTTCCTTCCAACAGGTGAACTCTATATCTACCATCCAGGGCACCTGTGAGGCCCGGTATTTCGAACATTCCATTATGTTCAATCTGCATATGCGTCGCGTGCTCTCGATGTCTATGCTCAACTTCATTAAAAATGACGAATTCTTTGGGCTCGATTTATAATAGACCGAGTCTTGTAAATCATCTCTGAGCTGAGAAGGCTTGTTTTGGGATTGTGAAACTATCTCCGCTCCAAAGGCGTCAATGAACAACGTGCTTGGCACTCGAAGTTGGAAGCTCAAATTTTTGAATAGTCTAGTATACTGAAATATCTTCATACTTGGATGCTATCCCAGGCTGGCTTATGTTACGGATCCTCTTCAATGCGAGTGCTCTTTGGGATGGGGATATTCAATCTTTCTTCGTGCGCTATCGCCTCTAGATCTCTGGGCCTGGTCTATTCCAAACGGTGAAGCACTTTATTAGATGGACCTGCTCAGGATCACAGAGCAATACTAGCATATCTTCTAGGTGCTGTAGCACACCTCGTGGGTTCACTAGTACCAAGCGTCCAAGCAAACCTGACGCTCGTGACACTTACATCAGAGCAATGATTACTGTGACACGCGAGGCGGAGTATGATATCTAGCATTTCATCTAAGGGTCACTCATCGTATTACGTATTGTTATGACGATTAAATTATTTGTTTGCTTATATGTATCTCATTGCACTTGTCTCATCTACCGTATTTTTTCCAGAGATTGACGTACAGTTGATTGCAGGGTTTGGCGGGATCTAGCAAGCACAAATCTGGGATGTCCATTGTATCAAAAATTCAGGAGGAGAAGAGCAAATTGTGTTATGCTTTAACAGCACTTCAATGTCTGTTTCTAGCGTACTCGGTCACTAAATGCCCTATAATTCTAGGTCATTGCCCCAAAAACACGATAAGACAGGGGCACTGGGTACCACACCTTTTTAGGACCTCTCCCCTGTACTTACAGGGGGTACCTCGCTAAAGAGCCCTATTAACTACTTATTACCGTAAGCGCCCAAGTGCTATCGCTGCTCCGCTAGCAGTGCTTTGATCCCTACAGTAAAGATCTTCTCATACCTTGCAAATGTTTCACAGAGCCTCTTGAGTTCTGCTTTATCAACCATCTCCGTTCAATATCGGAGACTCAGTCATAGACGTCGTACCCTGCGAAGAAGTTGGCTCCCACTAAACAGAAATAGCGGCCCTCATTTTTTTTTCAATGTTCCAAGTTTGTTGGAAACGTAACCTTACCCGAAGTGGCATTTGGCAGGGGTTGACCACCAATGTACGATAGGATCAGGCAATATTTGAAGAGGCATCGCGAGGAATATTTGAACTGTTCAATTTGACGGAGACAGTGAGATTGAGCGCCACTTGTTTCATCCACCGCAAAAATGGATGGGGAATTTGATGTAATTGGTCGCGCTTGTCGTTCAAGACACTATGGGACAAATCCAGCAGCGTTTATAAAATCTGTGAGAGATCTGAGTCGTTTGCCCCGATTACTCTCGAAGTTTTTGCACAAATCAACAAAAATGGTGGTGGATGAGAGCAGTGAATAGCACACGAGCAAGCTAGAGCCAAACAACAGTGTGAGAGGAGATATGGGTCAATTTCCCTCAAAATCTCGAAGACTAGAGCTGCGCTAGAACAGATCGGACAAAGTCTGCTAGCTCTCCAATAGCTACTTCCTGACGAAGTTGTAACCTTCGACACTGAACCTCACATAAATTCTCCGCCTTCCACCTCCTCCCGACAACGACAATTACGGGATAGCCCACCAAATCTGCATCTTGCATCTTCCAGGGAAATGACGTTTCCCGATCGTCAAGGATCAGATCCAGTTGAGAATTGCCCGGTCCAGTTGGTACTCTGCAAAGCACGTCGTAGACTTTCAAGGCGGCCTCGTCCAAGCCTTTGCCTGGGACAATCACCACCTCAAATGGTGCCATAACTCGCGGCCAATTCAGACCTTTGTCATCGGCAAGGGTGTCTGCAACAGCTCCAATCATACGTGACACACCAATACCATGGCAACCCATCTGCATCGGAACCTGACTTGAAAGCGCTGCTTCGATCTTGAAGGCGCCTGAGTCATCGGCTGGTACGTTGACGGTTGCTGACAGGGGTTCGCTGTATCGTGTACCGAGATGAAAGGTGTGTCCGAGCTCTATGGCTCTTTGGACCTTTAATCTTCCATCGTAGCAACGGGGGCAAGCGTCTCTATCAGCAATGCGGAGCAAGTTGAGCGGTTGGTGGGTGGACGGATCCTTGTTTATCAATACCATATCCGTCTCAAGCGGCAAAAATTCCATTGACTTCGGCCAGACTGGTAAATGGGAATCTGTTGTGATGATACTCGACTGGGCATATTCGGGTAGACGACAATCAACCAGGTTTAGGAGTGTAGTTCGAGCGACTTTGGCGCTTCCATTCCTACGAGAACCGCCAATGAAGGTTTCCCATAACAAAATTGGGTCTTCAACAGAGGCGTCTAAGTCCGGGAATACTGCTTTAACAGCATGGACGTTGACTTCTGGAATGGTTGATGTAGCCAGATCAGATGTGGCTGGCGATGGATACCAAACATTGACAAGTGTGCGCCTGTCTCGAGATATACCCCGCCAAACAAGTATCTTCACCTCCGGCTGATTGAGGTCTCCATTCGTCGATCCGGATCCGCTACCAACAGTCCTGCTGCCCGGGTCTGGAACTGGGCTCTCGGCAAGCTCCTCATTGGCTACATAATCACAGTTCGAGCAACTGATGACATGATCCTCTCCTTTTGAAGTGGGAAAATGAAACTCGTGGCTTAAATTGCCCCCCATATCGCCGCTGTCAGCCTCAGCCACTAGGTATGGGAGCTTCAATTCATCGAACAAGCGAGCATATGTCTTACGGACTTGGTCGTATGTCGCAAGAGCCGTGGATGGACTCAGGTCAAACGTGTATAGATCTTTCATAATGAATTCTCGAGAACGAAGGAGTCCATGTCTGGGCCTCCGTTCATCACGATACTTTCGAGCTGCTTATGGTGAGCACAATGGCAGGAAAATCGACGGCAAACCAACATATTTGATAAAGACGAATCGGGAGCTCTTTGTAGGATTTCACAGTACTTGATACTAGGGAAGTAATCTCCTCTTCGTGTGTGGGGGAGAGGAGATATTGCACATCCTTCCTGTCCCTGAACCGAAACAGCTAGTTTGAAGTCAGAATTGACATGCAATTGAAGAGAACAAATCACCTCAGAACCAGCCTTTTCCAATCTACCACTCTTTGACCATATTTCTTCAGATGAAATAGAAGATAGAGCCAATTTGGAGGCGCCTTATAATAATTAGCTTAGGCGATTTGGGAGCAGAGATGCTCTCACCCAGTTGGTACATGTACTTGTCGATCAAGGCTTCCAGCTTATCTTGGACTCTGCGACCCAAAGGTAGCATATGAAAGACACCAGAATGCGCCTAACAAGTTAACGGCAGGCCGGACTCGGTGGTCATTAACTAACCTGTCGAAGGAAACCAGCTCGAACGAGTTTCACGTGAGGATCTGACACTGGCATCAGCTTACGTCCGACAATCTAGGACTTCACAACCTTCAGCCGAAGACGGAGCAATCCCCCCAGTGGGGACCCATATCCTAGATAGTCGAGCTCTGCCATCAACCTTTAAAATATCAGCTATGATTGCCATACCACGTGACCACGTGACCTACTGTTGCTTCACAGGCTGCATGACTGGAAGAGTTGCGGACAAAAGCACGACTGCGACATGTGATATGTGCAAAGCTCCAATTCAGGAAGCTCCGAGGGAGTTGCCGTGCTGCTTCTCTGGCTTTCATATAGGGGTTGGATGTCAAGGGTCTCATTTTGAGGAGGTGAAAAATTTGAGAGGTCCCCGGCCAATGTATCGTAAAAAGACTCCACTTGTAGTCAAAAACCCCCGACTCTCTGCCATCTCGACAGCGGGCTGAACATTTTGCTTCGCCTTGATAGTGAAAGAAAGAGTGTGATGAACCTTGACGTCTCTGGTTCGAGGAGACACAAGTTAAGCGAGCACGCCAAAACCTTATTTTTTTTGATCTCTTATCGGGAAGAAAAATCCTCGTTTTCTTCAACCATACCGGTCTTCAGAGTCGGATGCATTTTCTCTGCAGCGATCATGGCGCGGCGGAAGACCAATCTAGCAAAAGCGGCCAATGGTGGAACCATCCTCTCATTCGATGAGAATGCACTATCGACATTGACTGCTCAGATTGGGAAAGGATTCGATGCTGGGAAATCGGAGCAAGCAGGAGAGACCAACCGAGGACAAAAAGGGAGCAGTGGGACCAAACACCGGACGCCTGTGACAGCACAATCGAAGACAAAGCCCGGGGCAATCGCCAGAGGCACGAAAAGGGATATTCGTGGCAATGCAAAAGTAGCTGGGAGTGAGCCATCCACGAAGCATAAAAATGGAAATGGAATCGGCAACCGAGCTGTCTTATTGAAGGAGATATTGGCGCTTGGGGGAACCGAAGAAGACTTGGACCTTGTGGCAGATGCTACGTCGGACGAAGAAGACAGCGATTCGAATGCAGCTCTTCCCGACAAGTCCTTTCGGAAAGAGCTTGCAAGCTTTGTTGCTGGGCTTGGTATTGAGGGAGAGCTTCACGAAGTTGGTGGCGATGATAGCGACAAAGAAGATATGGGTGACGATTGGGAGAACGCTTCAGATGTGAACAGCTCGACTGGTTCTGAGGGTGGAGAAGATGTTGAGTCAACGTCAACTGCTCTTCCCAAGCCTCCCTTAGAAGATCCCAAGCGATTAGTCAGTACTACTCCTGTAGGAGCTACTGGCCTGACTGATTCCCAATAGATTTTTGAGGCACGACCTGACTGGCATGCTACCCCTTTACCCCCTCTTCCGAATCCGGAAGGTGTCGAGCCTGCCAGCTATCGTGATGCTATTCTTAATCTGAAAGATTACGCCTTGTCTCTTCTTGAAGCCGACGGGAACCTTTATACTTCCAAGCACCTCTCATCGTCTTCGTCACATCGATTTCTCTCTACTATCATGTCGTCGGGTACTCTTTCTGACAGAGTTTCTGCGTTGACTTTGGTTGTCCAAGAGTCCCCGGTGCATACCATCAAATCATTCGAAAGCCTCCTGACACTGGCCAAGAAAAGAAGCCGTGGACAAGCCGTGTCTGCCTTGGGTGCATTAAAGGATTTGCTGGGAGTAGGAGTTGTTCTCCCAGCCGATAGACGTCTCCGAGCCTTTGCAACGCAACCAGGTCTTCTTGGTACATTACAGGAGAGCTCAACTGCAACCTGGAAGCTGGGACAGAAACTTCCGGGAGCAATATCAAAAGCGCATCTGATTTCATGGGCCTTTGAGGATTGGCTGAAGGAGTCTTATTTTGATATGTTGAAAGTCCTTGAGGGCTGGTGCAACGACGAGGTTGAATATGCTCGTTCAAGGGCAGTAACTTATGTGTACGAGTTGTTGAAGGAGAAGCCTGAGCAGGAGGCTAATCTGCTTCGTTTACTGGTTAATAAACTCGGAGATCCCGACAAAAAAATCGCTTCTCGGTCGTCATATCTCTTGCTCCAACTACAAACGTCCCACCCATTAATGAAATCTATCATTATTCGGTCAATAGAGAGCGAACTTCTTCTACGGCCCGGCCAGAGCTCTCACGCAAGATATTACGCTATTAACACTCTGAATCAGACCATTTTGAACGGCAAGGAGGAAGAAGTTGCACAAAAACTTCTAGGTATCTACTTCAACCAATTCGTGTCCCTCTTGAAGAAGCCCGAACCTCCAACAATACCAGCAGGGCCTGTCATCAACCATAAGGGCCAAGTTCAAGGCGGAGGTGCTCCTATGGGGAAGAAAGCAAAGGCCAAAGCTGCGAAAGAGATGGAGGCAAAGGCGGCAAATGAGGATACGACGGAGAAGATGATATCAGCAGTTTTGACTGGTGTCAACCGAGCATTTCCCTTTTCCAAAACAGATGACCTCACGTAAGCCTCAGTCCTTAGGACGTGAAGAACTCTCTGACCATTTCGTCTAGCCTCGAAAAGCATATGGATACCCTATTCAGAATCACACATTCCTCAAACTTCAACACTAGTATTCAGGCATTGATGTTGATAGAGCAATTGGCTACATCAAAACATGTGGCTGTTGACAGATTCTTCCGAACACTGTACGAGTCGCTGCTGGACCCTCGTCTTATCACGTCTTCTAAACATGCGCTATATCTCAATCTCCTGTATCGAGCACTGAGATCCGACCTTAACATCAAGCGTGTCAAAACGTTCGCCAAACGAATACTCCAAGTCATAACTTTACATCAGCCTCCGTTCATCTGTGGTATCCTGTATTTGTTGAGAGAACTTGAGACTACTTCCCCTGGACTCAAGTCTCTCTTGAGTGACCCCGAAGAGAATGGCGACGCTGACGAGGAAGTTTTCCGTGATGTCTTGGAGAATGGGGCCGATTTGACGCCTCGAGAGCAGCATGATGTAAACAGCCGCAAAGTTGCTTACGACGGTCGAAAACGAGACCCAGAGCATAGTAACGCGGACAAGAGTTGTTTATGGGAGTTAGTGAGTAGCATGCATCACGTGCTATTCTTTTTCTTGCTAACTTTTCCCAGATCCCTTTCCTCCACCACTTCCACCCGTCTGTCTCCCTCTTCGCTACACGCCTTTTGAGCAATGAAAAAATGCCGCCCAAACCCGACTTGGCTTCACACACTCTTTCAAATTTCCTGGACCGGTTTGTGTACAGAAACGCGAAGGCAGCCGCCGGAGGCCCTCGTGGAAGTTCAATTATGCAGCCATTGGCTGGTGGCGATAGTCGTGGGGTTCTTTTGTCGAGCAAGACTGCTAATCACGCTCAAGGCTCTGTCAACACGGAAGCATTCTGGCACAAGAAGGTGGAAGACGTCGCAGTCGATGAGGTGTTTTTCCACAAGTACTTTAGTCAGATTGGGAAAGCTAAGCAAGCCCTGGGGAAAAAGAAGGGTGGGCAAACAGCTACTGCGGGCTCGGAGGATGAAAATGAAGAGAACGAAGATGAGATTTGGAAGGCCCTGGTTGACTCAAGGCCGGAGGTAGAAGGAAATTCTGATGATGAATCCGAACTGGAGATGATGGATCTGGATGAGTCCGAGGCGGAATCTTCTGCCGGTGGGTTTGAAATGGGTAGTGATGACGAAAATGCCCGGAATTTCGAACATTCCGAAATGGGAGGATCGGACGGATTTGAGGTCGGAGGTCTCTTCGATGACGAGGACGATTCGGGGTCGGAAATCGAGCAGCTGTTTGCACTTGAGACTGGACAGGCAGAGGAACCACAGCAAGGCGAAGATACGAGCAAGCAAAGGCGGAAGAAGCTGAAAAGTCTCCCAACATTCGCTTCCGTGGAAGACTACGCTGGGATGCTGGATAATGACGAGGATGAGGATCTGTAATTAGTAAACAGTGGGCCACACAAAAAGACATGCACAAGTGCAAGAGTTTCCGGAATCAAAATTGTGCTATTAGCATCGTGAAAGAACACCCTGATGTCCGAACTCAAGCCCTGAAAAAAGCGTGACCCAATTGACTCCCTTCCCAAAACCCAAAGTCAGAGGCCATGTCAAGACGCTTCAATTATGTATCAAACCACTCGAGAGGATCGCTCTGGAAGAAGATAGCCTTGAAGGTCTTGGTCTCATCTTCGTTCTCAATCTCCTCCATATGAATGCAATGAAGCTTTGCGGTCTCTGCTTCACCGGGAATAAACGCTCTAAACATGAAGTAGCAATCGCCAGCCCTGGATGTTATGTCAGTTGGGGAAAAGGGAAAGTGGATAATGGGGATTTTACTTCTCGGGATAGGCATGGGAGGGGTCAGAGTCTGGCAGAAGGATTTTCCCGAAAAGGTGAATGCCATATGCTGATTCTGCAACTCGAACCTCCTTCAAATCATCGGCTAGATTTGAGTTAGCAATCTGCACAAGGTGCCAAATAAAGTAACGGGGAAAGCCTCAGAACGAATGCATGAAGCCCCCGAGGGATTTTCAGGAGAATTATCTTGGAATATGCATAGCTCCTAGGCTAAGAGGATTGTACACATAGCTTGGCAGACATTGTGGGAGGATATTTAATGATTGAAAAGAAAGAGGGGGAAATGTTCCGGAAACCGTGCATACCAGAGAAATTGGTCAACTGCTTGTCCGAGAGATTGTGGACCGCAGCGAAGTATGCAGGCTCGTGCTTGTTCGTGTCATGGCGGAGGTGTTGAAGCATCTTCTTCAAATCAAGTTCAATTTCGTTGAAGGCCTTGATGGCATCAACCCTGCGCATGATATCAGTGCCCGGGCCACCGTGAACGCGATATTCCAGCTTACTTGGGGGGATGGGGAGGTCCCAACTTGACGGTGTCAGCGGTGGCCATGACGGATGGTTCGCGATGTTGTAACTGGAAGGTCGCTGGTAGATTTGCTACTGGTTGGTGGGTTTGCGATGCGGAGTTGAATGTTGTACAATTTGTGAGTGGCGTGGATGAGATCACACAGATCAACGAGGGCAGAGGCAGCCTTTATATGCAGGGCAGGTCTTTGCCCAGTCCATGCGTTTCAACCTATGTTCCAATCCATTGGACACCCGTGTGGAAAGAGCCACCGCTGCTCAGGAGATCATTCCACCAAGGCAGCCTGCTGGATGCGAATCTGATTATTGTACCAGTAATTGGCAGGAAGGTGAAGGTGGCATGATTTCCGCAGCCTGTGGTTCATGTTCACCCAAGAAAGCCGTGCCCAGCGAGCCACAATGTTGCAGGGGAGAGGGGAAAAGTACAAGCACAGTACATTACATTACATTACATTATTCAAGTGCAGCACTCTAGTTTCTAGCTTCGAAGTACTTAGTACAGGTTACAGACACAGGGATTGAGGTGGGTATGGGGAGGGGATGATGATGCTCGATGGCCAAGCGTTTGGGAAGCTGAGATGACGTAGCGGGCGGTCGATCTGGACCTGCATCTGCATCCCGGGTGCGTACTTATCCGATGGATAATGCAGCCCCTTTCCCGCCCCGCTCCGCCCCGGTATCGATCCATCAGCAACCGAGGCTGAACCGTGCAACCGTGCAACCGTACACCACAACCACACTCACACCCAGGCCCGCTCAATGCTACCGGCATGGCCCCCCCTTTCACTACTGCCACGATGAGATAGCATTATTGGTACGGCCGTTCTCTCCAATCATGTCCGTCGCAGCCCAGATTGGCAGGCTCCGTGCCGTTGCCGGCGGTGATGCCAAATTTCTAAGCTCCGGAATCCGTCAGCACCCCCGTTTCTTCCCCCTTAACCACACAAGCTATTTTCGAAGCTACTCCCCTCTCCGAACCTCCCTAGGTGAGTTGGACTGGGAAACCCCCATATCAAATGCTGATTTTTCTTGCAGGCGCCTTCCCCCATTCCCCACCTAAACGATCACTCTTCAGACGTGCAGCTGGTGTCCTTGCAATAGCCTTCCTCTTCACAAGTGCAGGATTTGCCATGGCAACAACTCCAGTCATCCAAGCCGCCAATGGCTATCTGAACCCCCCCTCCGACGAAGAGACATTGTCAATGTTTACGCCCCAAGACGCTATTGCCCGAGAGATCGAGGAATTTATACAGAATCATGCTGTCTCGGTTGAAATGCGTTCGAAGCCAGAATATTCAGAGTCAAGGCCACACCTGAAGATTCCAGAATCTCAGAGGAATCACAATCTTACAGGGGGCACACTTATGGGCCCCGGCAAGGTCGCCGTACCGCCCTTCGTCTGGAGCGAGAGGGGCGGAAAATCTCTTGTGTCCATTTCCTATCTAGGGGCAGACCTATGTGGTCACCCTGGCATCGTCCATGGTGGACTTCTTGCTACTCTGCTAGACGAGGGGCTGGCAAGGTGCTGCTTTGCGGCTCTCCCAAACAAAGTCGGAATGACTGCAAATCTCAACATCAACTACCGAAGTCCTGCCCTAGCAGATGCGTTTGTGGTTCTCAGAGCTAAAACCACCAAGGTCGATGGACGAAAAGCCTGGGTCGAGGGTCACATTGAAACGCTGGTAGGGGAGGGAGAGAAACCCGTTGTCTTGGTTGAGGCGTCAGCATTATTTATTGAGCCAAGGCAAGCCGCAGTAAGTGGTTACTTCATTCTCCTCTTATGGCATCCTGCAAGTACTTATATTTTAATAGAAGATGGCAAGAGTCTATCCAGTTCAATAAATGGGCTCGGAAAGTTCACTTTGCCAATGAAAGAAAGATGCATTCTCAAGAGCTCTATTGAGAGCACGAGTGATTTATACCTGCAGCATTAAATGGAGTTATAGAGATGGCTTAGAATCGGCAGTCTTTCAAAAGAGCAGATAATGGGCACAATTCAAGGGAACCACTTGCACAATTCCGTAGTCTTATAGATAAAGGTATTGATCAAGAAAGAGCGCACTCTGCAATTACCAGCACAGCCCTGCTGTACCTAGGGACATATTATCACGTGTTAGATTTCTATGAATCCTGACTACAAGTGACATTTCTCGATTTGAGGGTGGAGAATTCAAGCTTGACCCTCTTCACGTGACTACACCCCTTGTCAGTGCTGGATGATGCAATGCAAAGCTGTTATCAGATCGGCCAGACAGATTTTTTATAGTCGAGTTTGTTTACCCGTGACAACTGGCAATTTCCCACGTTCAATTGAGCCAGAACCTCACCAAAATATACACTTGTCTTATCAAAATACTTTAGGACCTATAAAAAGCAAAACAGGGCCGGCTTTGAGTTTTACAGCCAACAATGGCAACGTGAGTACCCCGCTGACCCCGCAATGACTTTTGGAAAAATTAACCAAAGACTATGAAGAAACATCACCTGGCATCCGTCCCTTTCACGACATGAGCGCAATGAGTTACGAAAGCAGCGAGGCTTCACCATCTGGCTCACAGGCTTGTCTGCATCTGGAAAGTCTACTGTTGCGACCGCGCTCGAGCAACATCTTCTGCACCTAGGATTCGCAGCATACCGTTTGGATGGAGACAATGTGCGATTTGGTCTGAACAAGGATTTGGGCTTTTCGGAGAAAGATCGAAATGAGAACATCAGGAGAATTGCAGAGGTCAGTGCTTTGTCTGCTTTTGGAGAACTTGCTAATGAAGTTAATCTGCAGGTTGCCAAACTCTTCGCCGATTCTTCCACGATCGCAATCACATCTTTCATCTCGCCATATAAAGCTGACAGGAAGATTGCACGGGATTTGCATGCAACCGCGAGTCAAGGGGGAGATGATTCAATACCGTTCATCGAGGCATATGTTGATATTCCACTCGAAGTTGCTGAGCAGCGGGATCCAAAGGGTCTCTACAAGAAAGCGAGAGCAGGAGAGATTTCCAACTTCACAGGAATTTCTGCACCGTATGAGGCTCCCGAGATACCGGAGATTCACTTGAGAACAGATCAGCTGTCGGTGGAGGAGAGTGTTGCTAAGATCATGGAATACTTGCACTCACAAAAGTTGCTCACCAGCAAATAGAGACCAGAAGATTATTGCCGCGCTATTCATTAGCTTCGCTCATTAAAAATTGATTGGGTGATTGAGGTCTGACACAATACTACAAGCTCCAATCCAGACGTCAACGTCGAAGTGCCCCCATCCCGGCTATCTATCTATATGATCTCAAAGTCGTAATAAACGTACGCCGTATACTCAGCGCCCTCACCACCGTGGGCTCCCACTCCAGCCGCAGCCATTTCCGATGATAATGCAGAGTCATCCTTGGTGACCTTGCCCTTCTTATCTCTACCAAAAGCATTACCCCCAAGATACGAGTATGTGGAGTCTAGAGAAGCTTTGGCTTTCTTTGCTTGCTTGGGAGTTGTCTATGGCCAGTTAGTGCAACGGACGAACTTTAGACTCGGTTCAGAATGACCTTGATCAAGGCGCTGACAAAGTCCAGGGGGAGGCCATAGCGTAATACGGTTTCCACAAACACTCGAAGAGTTAGAACGTGTATCCAGATCATAACGCTTTCACTCCATCCTGTCCGTCCAAGCCTCAAAGCTTCACCCCATATCTTCCTTTCATCTCTGCCAACTCGCTCGACCTCTTTGCGTTCTTCTTCCTTTCCTCCTTCAACATATTTATAATCTCGAGGGGTCCATTTCATCTCTCTACACTTGTGTTGAAACTCCGAGCTGTGCTTCTTGAACGTTGTAACGGCATAGAGCGTGAATTCATCATCATGTGTGACTTCGACCGATGAGCGTGGAACTACCATTGGCGATATCGTCTCGTAACTTCTAATGAAGTCTTTCTTGGCGTTATTCGGAACAACGACGAGGTGTGTTTCGAGGTATTCAGAGTCTTGGATCAACAGCGAAGGGTCGACGACCGGAGTTAGAGACTTCGTAGATAGGTTCCCACTTTCTGAAGGTCAGTATTATTCTTCAATTCCCCAATTCTCGGTTCAAGTACACACGTCTGTCTCCTCTGTAGAGTTGAGAGGTTTGTCTTCACTGTGTTGTATTGGCTGAATTTGCTTTTTACGTCGTTATCGATGCTACCAAGCTCCTGCAAGCAAGACTTTAGCAATAGGTCCATCCCAGCGGCGGCAATACCGACCTTTTGCAGGGAATCAATCAATTCGGCAAGCGGTTTGTCAGCACGATATTTAACCTTGTTCCAGGTGAAAGTCCGGAGATACTGGTCGGCAGGCTCTGGAAAGGCCATGTCAGTCTTAAGCAGGTGAGGTGGCGTGTATAAGCACAACTTCAGTGCGACTTACTGTCATTGACAGTCTTCTGCTGGGAAATCTTCTCTTCGTCGCCCTCTAGCAAGCTGCGCAGAGAATCCCCGACTTTGGCAACAACAGCTTCGCAGGAGCTTTCCAGCTTGGCTAAGTCGTCTGCTTGCTGAACCAACGCATCGAGAGTCCCAATTTTGAACTCGGGTATTTTGAACGGTAGTACGGTGACATTATCGGAGGCTACGGTTGATTGCAAGGCGCTCAGGGCTTCGTCCTTGTCGTTGGTTTGGGAGCTGGACGTGGGTAGCGACACCAGCATGTACTTGATCTGGCTCGACATGCTTCCTTCAAAAATTACCGTTCCCGCGCGCAAGTGATGGATGTCGATGACGCTCGGGCAAGCTCCAGCAGGATTTCTCAAGGCGTTGTTGAGGAATGCATTCGAGCAGCGATTCGCAAGAACAGTTGAAGCTTGAAGCTCGAGCTCCGCTTTGGGCAAGTTCACCTCGCTGCACGTGATAATAGATAGGCTTTAAGATAACCACCACTCACTCGCGACAACTTCCCTCCGTTTGCACTCTCCCCAGCTCTTGTTCACTTCCTTTCGCCCTTTATGGAGCTTCAACATCCTTTAACGCTTATACTTAACAGATCCAGGCTCTCTCCAGTACTCGTACTCGCACTTGCTTAAAGAAGTACTTGAGTTTCAGCACCTAGCATTGTTTCGAGCAGATCTTGTAACGGGCTGGTAACCTCGTACCAACTCCAATTCGAGATGATTAGTCCAATCTCAGTCTTTATTGATTCCCATATTTCCAATTTGCCTCTGAGAGTCCGCAGAACCAACGTTTTTCATTTTGTTCTTGATAAATTATAAAGCTGCGTGCGACTTCCCCCTGAAATATGTTGCAGAACTCGGGAGCTCACCTGCGAGGAGCCACAAACATACCTCGAAGTGGAGATAGTATATTCTAGCAGTGCAACACAGAAGCATTCATTCCAAGCCTTTTGTTGTTTGAAACTGTGGTGTGAAAGCCCCGACGAATCTTTATGCATTCTCCCTTCTCTTAACAATCCGGCCTCCTCTCACAAGAAGAGGTTGATGGTGAGCTCTCTTTGTAAATGGATCTCCTGCCGGCAAACAGTTCTGGGGATGGTAGAAAGGTGAACGAAGACTACATTGAAAGGCTGGCAGAAGATATAGTATAGTAATTGGAATTCCCTTGTAGGCTATCCTTGGTTTCTCCTTGGTTTCTCCTTGGTTTGGAAAAGTCTCTAACAAGACCCCTTTCACCATCCGACTTTGGTGTCAATGTGCATTCATGGCTTAGAAGCAGTGGGTTTACCTCTCTACTAGTTTTGAAATTTGAACTTTCCCTGTATTCACCATGGAGTTGCGTTCCATTCACCTTATGTCCACGCAGCCATTATCATCGCCTTTCGAACCTCCTTCCAAATTCCATTACTGCTCCAGCAACTAGATCTGCTCCTGGCACGCATCATCGATGCTTTAGATGCCACGAGCGAACTGATCGAGCGAACGGAATATCATGGCCACCGTCAAGATGGCGATCTCCTCGAGAGACAGCACGTCTATCCTATATTCTGCACAGACAGTGGCCGGAAAATTCTGCCACACCTTTACCTTCTTCGACCGCATCTCTGATGAGACCCTCGATACACTCGTCGGTCTTTGTGCAGGCCGTGGTGCTTTACTTTGCATCGAACGAAAGCAGTCTGCGAAGCTTATCACGCGCCTCTCTGCTACACAGACGCCTGCCCCTATCCTCGATGATGCAACCTGGGCAGCTCAAGTCGGTGGGAGTATTGTCGGAGAGATCGAAGGTAAGCATATACTCATACCTGACCGTCATGCCTTTCTAGGAGAGCAGGGGATGGGGCTGTTTAGGAGCCGTCGTGGCTGCTCTCTATTTGTGTCCTGGGAGCAAAGACATCTCCAAGACCTCAACCCCCTCCGGACCTTCCTTCTCTTTCAGTGCTAATTCGTTGGGTATGTAGGTCACCGCAGCCACCTCACTCCGTGGGCAGAACCAAATTTTGGGGTCAAATTTCTCTACCGCCGAGCAGCAGATGAGACGGTCTCTAGCAAGGATCCGAAATATCCCATCTACCCACACGACGGCGCCCTCTATTCGGAACTGCTGAAATGGAAGACATCTAAGTTGTTTCTTCGCCCGGCAGCGCCCACAGCCAAATCAAGCCCAGACTCACTCCCCGTCTCCTCGAACCTTCCACGGACTCCACTTTCAACGCTGCCGCCCAGCGACAGCACCTCCAAGCAGATCTCCCACTTGCCAACAGCCACCGATTGCCCGCGCCGTCCAACACCCCTTATAGTCGTTACACCCATTACACCACCAACATCTCCGACTGCAGGTGAATCCTTCAGAGTTCGTGATGATATTATGGACAGGTCCAATTCTTGCCATCAACAAATCCCCACAAAGATACCGAAGCATTCACCTGCATCTTCTGCTCTTCTTTCAGTCCTTTTCTCCGAAGAGAAAGAACGGGGATTGAATCGCCGCAAGAGAGCTGGTCGCACCCAACCAAACCCGAAGTATGCCGAGGAGAATTCCGAAGTCAAGAATAGAGAAGAGACCGGTGATGATAGCGGATCTTGCATGGACTCGTTTGAGGTAGCAGCAATGCGTAGGCAACAAAACCAACGTCTTCAGAGAAAGGGTCTTGCACCTCCGACTGAATACGAGGAAAATGGTACGGAAGTCCTTTCTTGCTTGGCGTGTATATCATTAACTAATCATTGTAGTCACCGACCGCAAACCCAACAAACCACAAGCTCGACCAGTCAAGGTAGGAAGAGCTACGCGAGGTCCACGAGTTCATTTCCGAGAGCGTGAACCTCCAAGACGCAGAGCCCCGGCTCGAGCCATAGAGAACAACGCCGTATGAATGGATGCGAGACGAGGAATCGAGATGGTGGCTGATGTAGCGAGACGAGAGCATGGTTCGGCGGTTTGAGTGGGAGCCAGATTCCCGGGTGACATGACATGTCTTTGGGGGCGTGAGCATTGAGCTATAGATTCATGAGACGTGGAGAGACAACAATATTAAGGACCGCTTTCATATATGCGTCCAAGCAGTGTTTGTGTCTTACAAGAAAAATACCCAGATCCTCCCGGAGACAACAGTGGCATCTAAGCACTGTGTAGTCATCGAGAATCACATTTAATTTCAAATTCTATGTACAGTGACCAAGTCTAAATAAGCAACAATTCTACCGTCACTAAAGGCTCCCAATATTGCTCACTGGGAAGACCTAGCATTACTCACCCAGAGAAGACAAAAGCGCATCCCGCGGGTCTCTCTACACTCCGCCTCTCCCCCCATAGTTTTATTTCCGCTCCCCTCGAGTGAAATCCCTTATGGATGCTGAACTATTCACCACTGAACTGGCAAGAGTGTACGAAATGATTGCGCTTGACCTAATCGTTTGGCGCTTCCCACCCAGTTTCTCGCTTAGCATGCTTACTGGGTGAGGGTCAGCAATACGCAAAGCACAGCAATGCGCAAAACACACCAAAATCAGACCAAAGTTTGTATGGGGAACTTGTACGGACTACCCAACGATAACGCCTTTATTTTTTGCCTTTCAAATTTGACTTACGGAAAGACCTATATCTTATTATTAATTGCCACAACTTAAGTAATTATTAATTGTGTTAGGTTTTGAAGGGCGAGGCGGACGATTTTGGTGTGTCCCCACCAAAATTTGGATTTGCGCATTGCTGTGCTTTGCGTATTGCTGACCCTCACCCAGTAAGCGTGCTAAGCGAGAAACTGGGTGGGAAGCGCCGAACGATTAGTGACATCGACTATGGCACAAAGCTCGAGAGACTACACTAAAGAATGAAAATGGACTGTACTGGAATAGTGGGCAGACTCAAGGTTGATCCGCGAGATGCAGATGCAAATGAATGTGTATCGGCAAGGAAAGAGGCATCGGGAGGTAAAGGGGCGTCGAGGTCGTAAACTCACTCGCTTGCTCCGTCACTCTCAGTAACACAGGCTGCCTTCGTTCCAAAGGTATTGGCCGACCTACCCAAGAACATGTCAACGCCGAAATCCTAGACCCCTGCTGGAAGCGGATCGTCTCAAGTATCACTGTCACACAGTCGCAACAACAGAGATGGGAAAATAAGCAGACACACTTCAGGCACTGGGCAGCTGCGAGGCTGTAGCCACCCGGCACAGCGCCAAATTCAGGTGCTGGCAGCCTCTTCCGTCATGTTCCCCTCCACTCGTCTCCCTCTCAGGAATTGGGGATGATAAGTAAACATACCCAATCTTGACCTCTCGTTCCTGCAGACTCACAATGGCGGTTGACCAGCCTTGGCTCAATCGGCAAAGACAACAATCTGGCCAACTGGCTCCCGATGGGGCCCGTTTGGGAGGGAAATAGCATCCATACGCTTCTGAAGAGCCATTTATTCGAGGAGGGTATACGAGTAAAAGCGGGTGTCTAACGCAGTACCATTCGTTTAGACAGTCACCCTTTGACCCCGGAACTCCCAAAAATCGTAGACATCATCCAAGGAATTAATCACCTCATCTCGTCATTTCAGTCATTCATTACCCTTCACCCACGGCGCCGTATGCTTCGACGTAAAGCTGAACGGGCTTTTCGTCATCTCCGGGCTTCGGGGGCTCATCTTCACTGCAAATAGCCCCTCCTCCGTCTCTGTATCGTCCTTTACCACTTGTCCCCCAGCGATGGCATCGATGGAGTTGATCCTGCTGTTGTTCCGGGCATGCCCTTTCGATACGATCCTCGCCAGCCTTGGAGCTCCACCACGAAATTGCGAGAATGACGAAACAGCAATATCTCCAAGATCGGGGGACATCGGGTGGGAGTCGTCAAAGCCAGGCTGGGTTGCTTCTATAAATTGTCAGTCAGGTTTCCGTTTCTTGGTCTTGCAAAACGTACCTGAAGGTCCCAGTTCCGACGCACTGGTTCCTAGCTTCAGTCCCTTGAGCTTCTCTGACAGCCTCCCACTTCCTGGAGTCTTGGGGGTTGTGGGTGACGTGGTGTATTGCAAATCGGGTATGACCTTTGCTCCAACGCCAAAATTGTCTTCGATCCACTGCTTTTCCTGCATTGCCATTTCTAGACCGACCCCTTCCCCATTCTTCATCTCTATCTCTATCTCTTCTTGTAGAACCGAGAGTCGCTTCTTCGCCCAAACTGTGTGTAGTACCCCCTTCCGACCTTGTGTCGTAGCACTCAAACCGAGCTCTGGTGGAAATATTGCGGGCAGAGGATTTGTCTGAATCTCCTCCCCACTCCCTGCCTGCGACAACTTCACTATCCGCGGTATGCTCGCCTCAGGGGCAAGTAAGAAGTAGAGTCGGTGCAACTTCCCCTCAGCTCCATCTCTAGCTGATAGGACGGTGGTTTTGCCTTCCCAAGATACCTCCCAATCCCCCATATTGGGCAGAGAATTCGACTCGTCGTCGGACCATTCGACCATCAAAATCTTTGTTCCCTCGTTGCCTTTGCCAGACTCGAATTCGAACCGGGCGAGAGCCCTTGACGAAGATAGGGCGGGAGCTTCATCCCGGCTGCTTGCAACTGCTGCCGACACAACATCTGCTTCGAAGTTAAGTCTTGAAGGTGATGGAGCCGCCATATTCGTCGTTTTGGGAGCTACCTCGCGGGGAGCTGGGAGGGAGGGTTATGAAGCTGTGCGCGGATAGCGAGACAAACGGTCTTCGGGCGACCGGTACTGGGTGCTCGGGATAAAAGACGAAGACCCATGGGATATTGGAGGTGGATCTATATCCTCTGTAGCGCGAGTAGAGTGCTTGACGCTATCCGTCCGTCTGCTCGCACCGCGAAAAGAACGCCTGAAAATCGGACATTCGTCTTTTGTCATCATGTCCAATGAAGAACGACGTTCGTTAACGGGAGGAGTTCGTTGAGGTATCCTAATTTTAGAACAACGCAGGGGTTCTTTATGGGGATAAGCGAGAGCTTATTTCCATGGCCAAACTTCAGCTTTTGATGGAGAAGCTGCAGAGAGCCTCTGTGAAGTCTATATGGGAGTTCACTAGAAGGAATATCCAATTTACCATGAATGGAGTTTGAAATGAGATATCTCGGTCATGCCCATAATCTAGAGTATATTCCTTCAAGGCACCCATTCGCAGCTTCGTTCCACGGAACCCGAGACTTTCATTTGTTGTACTTAATAGGGTAAGGAAGAACAGCCTTAGGAACATGTTGTCTGTCACCGACAATGAAGTTTGGAACTACTGGAAACACTCATGCCATATCTTCACGTCTCATAAGCCAGAGTTACACTCGAGGTGACTGGCCCTGGTCGAGACCGTATTCTGCAATGAGCTTCTCAGCTGCAGTTTCTCCAACTAGATAAGCGGTAGATTGCGTGTGGTTACTGTTCCGTTAGCAAGGGCAAGATGGCATGGTTCGGGGCGACCTACTTTGGGAGCAAGGGTATAACGCTGAGGTCCACGACACGGAGATTTTCCACACCCCTCACCCGAAAATCGGGATCAACACAAGCCCCCTTATCATCCTTCTTCCCCATTCTTACGGTGCCTAGACAGGCTGCGTCAGCATTGCAATTGCAAAAGCTAAACGTCCCATGGCTTGTGGGGCGTTTAAAAGAGGAACGAGTTGATTGTCTTGAACCCCGCTGAAATTTGAAACGGGGGAAGAATTGAATGCTCAGGTCTCGCCAGATGTGGGAAAGGGGAAGAAAAGCCTGAGACATACTGCACATGTGCCATGATGAGAAAATATTTCCAGCACAGTGAGACTACAGCAGCTGGTCAGCAAGAATTCTGTCCATCTCCTCGTCAACATACCCAGATGTCGTCATCCGATTTACTTGCCGGGCACCCAATCATCTTAACAGTATTTTGCTTGAAAATAGGTGCCTCCAGATACTCGAGCAGCTTCCTCATGGCCTCTATCAGAGCCCTGCGATCATATGGATGTGTGAGTAAGTTTGGATCGAATCTGGGAGCATCCTAAATAGATTGTTGGATTAGTGGTGTTCTCTAGAGTTAACCCTGGGATTGAGACAGAGTTTTGCGAGGTGTTTAAGCCCAAGGCCTTCTACCTAGGAGTCCAAGCAGCTCGTAAGATATAAAAAACGGGAGGGAACTTACAGAAGGGTCCGCAGAATATAAAGTGACCTCCCCGGTTGATTGCGGATTCATCAGAAACGCCAAACCTGTGAGGTAGCTGTCTTCTGGTTGGAGGACGTAGTCGCCAACGAATAGCGGTGGAGCATGCTTAAGATGGAGTTAGCTATCTGCGTTCTTCTCCGAGGAATGGGACTGACGGTGGCAAGTTCGTAGATTGGCACGTGGGGTTTCTTCAAAAATTCCTGTGTGTGCTTGTCAAGGGCCTTGTATTCTTCCGACATGTAAACGGCATCACTTTTGAACCATCCCATGGGTACCGAGCAATACACGCTGGACAGAATACCTTTCTTGTCCTTGGCATGCTGGGCTCTTGTAGCAGCCATCGCTTCCGGGCTCATCCCCTCGAATTCCGATCTATCATTTGTTCCTGGGCGTTGAATAAGTACTGCAGTTGAGAAATAGTGGTCTTGTAGATTCTTTCCAACATCTGGGAGGTCCTGAACAACGGAAATGCCATGCTTCTTAAGCTCCTCTGCGGGACCAATACCAGACAACATGAGTAGGTGGGGCGAATTGAGGGCTCCGCCAGAAAGGATAACGTCATTCTTGGCGTGGAAGTCACTCCCTTCAATCGTTCTAACTCCAGTTGCCCTGCTTCCAGACATTAGAACCCTGGCAACAGGCGAATTGAGCTTTACGGTGAGGTTTGGCGGTGCATTTTCGAGGTACGCTGATGCAGTTGTCCTAAAACCTTGATACATGCAAGTCGCACCCATACCCATCCCTATTGTCGAAAACTCGGAGTCAGTGTTCACAATACTTAGAAGATTGGCTATGAAACAATAGTGATAATCAAAACATGCGAGGTGAGGCGCGATAGTATCGAACAACTTCTAAGACCGGATTGCACTGGAGCCGGAAATGATACTTACCTAAGGGGTTGCCCGAGTTCACATCTGGAAGATAAGAGAGTCAGCGTATGTTGTGAGGTTGTTTCAAGGAGGGGTATAGATGTCCCGTGGGATGCGAATTGTACTGACCAGGGTTGACGTCCAAACCGAGCTCTTCAGCCGCCTTGAACACATCCGTGACGCCTTTCTCCCACGGATCGGCGTAGCTAAGGTGAAGGGGCCCCTGCCAACGATTTAGCAACGTATTCTTCAGGGGAAGAGAGCCAGGTGCGAGCCAGGTGCGTGAGACATCCTCCCGACCAATGAGGTATGGAGCTCGGGATATAGGACAAAGAAATTGGTTTGTTACCGAAGTCCCATGATCTATTAAGTTAGCTGGAGTTCTACTTATTCTGAAGCGTACTCACCTGCTGCTTTTGGAGAGATGTACCTCTTGCCCTCCTCAGGAACATCTACATGATAATTTTCGATCTTTTTGAGTCGTTCCTTCACGTTCGTCCAAGACCAGGCATCATCGCCCACTTTCCTTGCCCACTAGATGACATGGCGGTTAGTAGCAGCTCGATGAAAATTGTTTCTAGAATACTTGAGAGGCGGGCATGGAAGAAAACATGAGAATGCTTTGAATAATAAAAGGCGCCCTGCTCCTTTCACCCACCTCGTTGTAATCTTCGTCAGCACCGACCAGCCAGCAAGCAAAGTTAATCGCCGTGCTACCGCCGAGCCCCTTCCCTCGCGAGTAATCAATTTGTTGTCCAGTCAGATGAGTCTGAGGAACAGTTTTATAACCCCAATTCATGGATGGTTCTTGAAATGTTTTGAAGCGATCTGCAGGAACACGGTAGGAGACATCCTCATTGTCGGATCCAGCCTCGAGGAGAAGCACTTTGGGCCGTTGCTCGGATTGCGCGAGCCTGGCTGCAACAACGCAGCCAGATGCACCCCCTGAAGACGAATTAGCACGAGGGGCCAAGCAAGCTACCGTATCAGCGGAAACCGACCCCCAACGACAATGAAGTCGTACTCGGAAGACATAATGACAATGACTCAAGCGAGGTAACAAAAAGATTCGGACGGACTGTGAGCTTGCTTTAAATCTGCGAGAAGAGGAGAATCCTGTCGTCTTATACTCCATCGGAAGGCGCGAGCGGATGCGGGAATTGAAATCGGGGCCGACGGTCTAGTACGTACTTCCGTGAGGGGTTCGCGGCCGCCAGGCTGACGACTCACTACTAACTCCATGGAAGGAATAACTGACCAACTCCTCGTAGGTTAGGGTTTGTGGTTAGCGTTCGTCGGGGTCTCGGCGGCAGTGAGAGCCCCTCGCATATATTTGCCTTGGAAAATCCAGGTGTGAGGAAGGTAGGTTACGAGTGAGGATATACTTATTAGCGAGCTCTAATATGGAAAGCGAGCCCCGAAATCCAGCGATGCTGCGATGTGCTCGCTACACATTAGCGAAGCGTGCGCTAGAAAGCCTGTGTGTGCGATGCCGTTTTATTGCTTCAAGTAAGACGGCGTGCAGGAGGCGAGGTTAAAACCAACTGATACCGACTCGGAGGGTGTGTTGCAAAGTCGGCCGCGGCTCGCACTCGCACAGCACGTACGGGAGAACTACCTTACCCTTAGCATCGTCATGGAAGACCGCAGCTTCTTTACATGCGAGCATACTCTCTTTATTGCCCGCTTTCTAGCCCCCAGCTCTTAGCTCCTGGCTCGTCATTAATCGACTGCCTGGTGTTTGCTAACCAGAGTTGCGGAGCTGTGTCAACCTTTTCCTTCGCACTACGTTCTTGACCATCTAACCCGGGTGAGTACACATGGCATCGTGCCATCTCTCATCACAGAAGAACCACGACCATCGAAATCAGTACCAGCATCGATGTGAGAGCTAATGACACAGTCATCCTCGAAATCGACTGCACACTATTGTTAGGTTTTAGTGCATAGCCACCGCCAACTGGAAACCTGGCAAACGACACCAGGCCGGAACTCTGGTGCCAAAACCCTCTCTCCGGGTGAGGGCACTTTCACGGGGAGGGCATCGTAGAATAGAAAAGCCATTTACTCTCTTCCACTTCTGATCGAATATAGATAGCTCGTTGATGCTTATCTGCACGATGCGTTCATCTTAGGCAATGCTCGTGCTTGTGATTTCGACCTAGGAATATTGAAGATATAATAGTCGATACTTATGATCACTATATTACGACTAAGAAATGTTTTCGCTTGAACATAGACAGTCGGACCCCTGGGTATGATCATGTCTTGAGGGGATCAGTTTCGTATTTCTGAAGGGTGCTGTAGGGGGGTTTCTATGGCTTCGCTAAAAAAAATGCATCCATTCTCTCGAGTTGTGGGATTCTGCAACACGAGGTTAAGATCCTGGCTGATTGATGCAGCTTGTGTTTCTCGAGAAGGGGTTAAGGGGGCAACAGTGCATACTACCTGATTGGATATGTTCCTCGAGACATTGTATTTCAACACAGTTGGATTTTCTTTATCTGCACGAGCGCAGTAAAATAAGTATCCTGTGCAAAGCATTTTTCATGCACGATACGCATACCATTCGTTGTACCTACTGGATTTGGTGCCCGAAGTCTGCTTTGCTTAATGAACGTCTGTTAATGACCAGAAAACGATACTCAGTAGGAGTACAGGAACTTGACCTCTGTCAAGCCCTCAGGAGCAACAAGTGAACAGAGGGTGCAGGAAAAATGCCACACCGGACGGGTTTCTAGAAACTAGCTAGCTAGGGCCATTGCATCCTAGATGAGAATTTTCTTCACTACCGTTGCTTTACAGGCTTGCACTCCCGCCATAGAACTCTTCTAGCAGATCGCATTTCTATCCTTTCCGGTACACGCCCCAGAGGCCACGCACAAAATAAGGCAGGCAAGCAACCAAAGTTCCCTAAGAACGACCAGCTAGGATTTTGCCTACCGACATGTTATGTAACAGCATCCTCGCCCGCATTCAGACCAAGGTGTTGGCATTGATGTAGCCGATGGCGCTGTGTGAAACCAGCCAGAGGGAAATGCTGCGAGGAAGATCCATCGGTTTCTGCCCATGTTTTCAACTCCCCGTCAGCGAAATGCCTACTACGTCCAACCTCCTATTCGTCCCTCATCCCACCTTTCTTTCCGTTCCTGGCGCGAGTAATAAATCTTCTTAGCCTCGCGATATCTTCTCACCCACTCAAGAGCTTCTCTTTCACTTGCAGTAGCGCCGTCTCCTTCCAGAAAACTCTCCTCCAGAGCCCGACACACCATCTCCTGTTCTTGAACCCCCTGACTGAGCCTCTGGTAAAGAGACGACGGAGAAAATGGTGCCAGTGCACGATCCATGTCGGACTGCTTCTGGCGCCATTGCCGTTCTAGGGCATGCGTGGACAGCAGCTGAGCTTGAGTCGAGGATCTTAAATGCGTTAGGCGTGCCTCGATTTCATTGAGGTGTGATGCAAGGGCTATGTTCTCCTTCAACGCTGCTTGCAACGGCTCCTGTGATGCAGCAATAGATGGGTGTGCGCTTGACGACGAGTGTGCAAGAGCAGCTAGAAGTTCTGGCTTCGCAAGGACGTCGGCGAGATCTTGTTTACTGAGGAGCGCGTCAACTGATACTCTAGTAGGCTAAGCAACAATGTTACAGACAGTTTATTCTCCAAGATTTTTGGGAGCCATTGGTCGCCCGGATCTTGGTTTTGTTGTGCATAAGCCGCCTCATTCATTCGGGCTTGCTGCACATGCTGGAGATCATCAGAGGCTCCCCCGCGAGTGCCGAAGTGGTCCTGATGCTGCTGCTGCGTCGCCGGTGGAGGAATCAAGGACTGGCTGCCGGCAGGCGTGCTGCGACGACTCACCTCCTGGCTGCTCGGCTTCGGCGGAGGTGCAGGCGGAGTGTTTGGGTCAAAAGATTGGGAGTTTCGACGTGGGTAAGGAGGATATGCAGGCGAGGTCATGGCGAGTGTCGATGGACAGTCGACTTCTGGATAGAAAATGGATTACGGGGGAGTAAGGGCTGGGCCGAGTGCTGCCAATTTCTTAACAAGGGGGCGAACTCAACACCGCGTTGCTTGAGGGAAAGCTTTTGGATGTGTGTTCGGATTTAGGTTGTGTCTTGGCCAAGGGTATTAATGGCCGCCTCTGAGCAGACAGGACGTTGACGGTTGTCGGTGCGTGAACGCCTTGTCGATAAGCGACCGAGATAATTAAGCGGCGCTGGAGTTTCGAATCTCCTCAGTCAAGGTTACAATTTCCAAATGAGTTCGAATCGAATGTTTTCTCGACCTGCAGGATAGCTACAAGCTTCTTTGCATCGAGAGTCTCAGAAATTCCAGTATGTCAACTTTCCTTTACACCCCAACTCCAGAGATAAATGCCCAATGAGTTGAGGACATGGAGAGTTGTCAGTGCCGCTCTTTTCATCCCCCACAAGCAGACACTTAGCTTCTCCTCTGAAGCTCTCCTCGTTCCCCCCCCGCGTTTTGGCACTTCAAATCAAATTACCTTCCTTCAAATGCCTTCGAAATTGTAGGACAGTTATGTCTTTTCCTCCCCCCGAGCCCAAGCGTCCAGCCTCGACGGGACATTGAGGCGAGTGCCGCTTTTCCTGTGCACCAGCGAGGCTCCGAGTCCCGATCTCTCAGCGCCACAGCTGGGAGAATGGTTCCGCAGGGGCAGCCACAGCCACAGCCGATGATTAGCCGTGCGGCGAAGCCGGGGGCTCCAATGACTCGCGGAGGAGACCAGTCGGTGGTTTTGTTGTTCTGCTTCCGCCTCTGCTTCTGCTTCTCCTCCTCCTCCTCCTCCTTTCTCTCTTCGCCGCAGTGAATTCCGGCGAATGTTTGAATCCAGCCTACGAACGAGTTCCCTATCACAAGTTGCGGCGACAAGTTGAAGCTGAAGCTTTTGTTTGTTCCGTTTCGAGTCTCGGTACGGCGATGGTCTGCCCAATGCCGATGAGGCATGAGGCCAGAATCATACGCACTAATTTCGGACCGAAAGCAAATGTCGATCTCCCTAAAATAATAACATTCGAGATCGTCGCCTCCGGCAGATGCCCATCAGTGCAAATTGCAGGCCAGGGGAGACGAGGACAGGAGAAAACACCGACGCACTCCAGCGCGAGACGGGTCGAGAGCCTCGTGCGCGTGTGGGTATGAAATGAAATTCTGTTTTGAACGAAGACCATTATTGCGGCAGCGTAGACCTCCTACTATCCTGACCAGAAGTTTGCAGGCGGGGGGTTCACTGCTCATGGACCATGATAGCGCTTTGTTTCCTTGCAACAAAAGAAGGGGGTGTATCTGTTACAGTATCTACATGTGGTAGGAGGGCTTCTCCTTGAGGTGGAGGAGTGTACTACAGTAGCTGTCTGGCTCCCCAAGATTCCCCATGATCCCCAGACCCAACCGCACGCACCGACGCCTATGCGACCCTTTAGCAATCTATCAAACGGACAGCGGGTGGAAGGCAGAGTCCAGACTCCAGGACACCTGTGGGCCTTTGGGATCAGCGAGAATTGAACCGTTGCGTGAATGGGGGAAAGCAGATGGGCAGTGATCCTCGACAAATCGAGGCACGAGGCACGAGGCACCGCACCTCCTGTGGTATTGTAGTTGCGGTAGTTCTATCACGACCACGACTGCAAACAACCACGACTCTCAGACAGTCAGGCTCTCAGACTCCAGACTCTCTCAGACTCTCTCATCCAGACTCCATCCAGACTCCAGCGCGACTGACGACGGGCCCGTTCCCCGTCGCTGATGAAATTATTGCCCTCTGCTCGGCCTCACTCCGCGTCGCCCTTTAGGCAAAAAGCCGGGGGATCCACTGGCGTGCGGCGTTGCCAGACCCCAGACACTCACATCGCGCGCTGTGGTTGGTTTGGCGGCCTTATTCGGTGGTTCCATTTCCCCACTCAGGTCCACACGCCTGCTCCATACTACACGCCGCTGTCGAGTGTCGACCTGCGCCGGCCGTCGCTCTCTCTGGAATCTCTGGGATGCGTGCTGCGTGGAAACTCGCATCTCAAGTTCTCAACTCCTTTCACATCCGCCGCTTCAACCACCACCACCACACCCCCCCCTCCCCTCCCCCACGACGACCTCAAGGCTCAACGACCCTCGCGCTCGCTCTCGCGCTCGACCTCGACCTCGACGGCACGCCGAATTCTGTCAAATCGACCCAGCGGATCACGGCCATGCGCAGAGCCCTGGATTGACTGCTCGCCGTTCCCTCGCCGTTCCCCACCTCCACCTTTCCGACCACATACCACAATTCATCCGTCTGTCTGTCTGTCTGTCTGCACGTCGTCGCTACTTGCGCAGACCTCACCTCACCTCACCTCACCTCCCCTCCTCGACCTCTCGCCCTGGGCACGCTGCCACCGCCCTCAATTCGCCCTGGTCCTGGCCATAAATCTCGAATCCCACGATGCATGAGGCTCGCCCGTGCCACGACGTCTTCTCACTCATCCGCGCCGTCTGCGCATCCCCGGCGACCCTGTGAAGTGTGTCGTCCCGCTCCGGACCATGATATGCTCTATCAGCCATACTTCACCTCAACTCTGCGACCGGATGGCATAGCGGCCACACGCAGGCCATCATGGATCCTTTACACCTCACCGAATTCGCTTCAGAGCGATATTTCGAGAAATTAAGGCGGCTGAACGATAGCAATGAGATTGCCAACTCCCCTTCTTCAGGTCCTGCAGCAGCAGCAGCAGCAGCAGCAGCAGCAGCAGCAGCAGCAACAGCAACAACAACAACGGCCGCAGCCCCTGCGGAACCGCCATTATTAGAAGGACGTACATTGACGCTGCCATTAAGACGCCAACGGTCACACGATAGTGATAATGCGCCTCTCACTCTGAGGCCCAGCGACCAGAAGAAACGTTCACTGGGCCACGACCTCACAGCACTACGAACTCAACGACGTCCCACCTTCAGTGGATCTTTTGGGAGTTTGCGCTCTAAAGTTACAGTCATTCACAAGGCGCCAGCAGTTGTTCAGGAAGATGTTCTGGCCGAAGATCCCACAACGCCTCACATGTACGTCCATCCATTCTTATCAGCTTCCACCACATACTAACTCGAACGACGTAGCTTTGCTTTGCAGAATCTTTTACTTGCATTGCCTAATGAACTTCAAGCACAAGTCATTGCACCCCTTCCGATTCATACTATACTCACTCTTCGACTGGTTTCAAAATCATTCCACACATTAATAACTCTCAATGAGGCTTCGATTGCGCGATACCATGCTACTAATAGTCTTCCCGCATACGCATTGCGATTATACCCACTACCGGATCCTACCGCGATCAATCTCCATTACCTGTGTAGTATATGGCATCGACTACATGTTGCAACAAAATTATCCATCATGATTTCAGCTCAAGCTACGAAGGAGATTTTTCTCCGGACCACCGACGCTCAGCGGCTGGAGTTCGAACCACAACACCGACGCATGCGGCAGCGGCTTGTCCCGCTCATATTTGCACTCTTCCACTTTTTCGAAACATATCGAGACCTTCATGTTCGGCATCTTGCCACCGGAGGCACTCCAATCCATCTTCAACCATTTACTTTGAATCCTATTGAATGCCAGGTCATGGCGATGTACGACGATCGGACACTTCTCAAAGTTCACCAGGTATTTCCATTGGTGATGTCTTCTTTTTCTCGACGGTTGCGGCCACCGTCTTATGCCGGTCGTGTTGAGCGTTCCTTCAAGGGTTATCTCAAAGACCGGCCCGCGGATGAGGTCTATGCCACCATTATATCCGTCGGAGGGTTGCGCCAGGCACAGCGATTTTGGGAAACAAAGGGATACAATTCGCGGCGTGCTGCAGTCGACACCTGGTATGGTTTCGTCACACGAAGCCCTGTCGAGTCCCCCCCAAAATCAAAGATGTCGATAATAACTCATCTCGGACGGAAGAAGCCCAACGCTGCGGTCGATGCAACCACTTCAGAAACAACAGCAGGTCACAATTCAACCAGCTGCAATGAATGGTTTTGCGTCAAGCCAGCCTGTAAGAATGGTCGGCGGCGGCACTCCACTGATAACCTCGTCTTTCATAGCAGTCTCTCCGCAGGACCCCCTATGAGCCCCCTTCCACGTGATCAACTTCGCCTCATCCTGCCGGATCAGCAGCATCTATCGAATATCTGGTGTCACTCTGCCGAAGCATTGATCTTAGAGCGGAAAATAGTGGAGCGGGCGCAGGATATCAAGCGGACGCATCAAGTGCTTTTAGAATTGATCCGTGACGATGGAACGGATGGCCTGGATGACTGGAGCGCTGGAAATACAGCAGATCCTGGTCAAACTGTGAATACCGAGGGGCAAGAGGGCATGGATGCGCCCGGAGGCGTATCAGACTAGTCAGGCAGCATTTACAGGGCGTTTTTGAGCGGACTTTATATTATTGTATTGGAAACCATGAAACGCGGAGTTTGGGAATAAGGGGCATTTTGGGTATAGATATCATACACCGACATGTATGTCACGCACGATCTGGATGCAGAAGATATACCAAATACAAATCAAAACATAACTTTGGCAAGCCATCATCGTTCAATTCCCTCCCACGACTATGCGTTGCAAGCAAGCTAGTAGAATACTCCAGTTTTGTTTGTCATCTGTGCCTTCCAGCTCGAGCACCCGCTCCGTCCAATTCTGACTGTCATTAATATTTAGCATAGACGAAGGTATGAAATACAAAGTAACGCCACCCTCCCAATCCGATCCTATTCCTGTCATCAACGTTCGAAGTGGTATCTATCAATCAATCAATCAATCAATCAATCAATCGTCACCGACGCCCCATCCCACGAAGTAAATGCTCTGCTCCCGTATCAAATGCATTACTCAATCCTGACGAAGTTGTGCCATAAGCTGTGTTATTGCTTGTCGATCGCGAAACACCCCGCAAAAGATCATTTGTTCCAGAGTCGTAGGCATTGCTTAGGCCTGAGCTGGTCCCATACAGGCTGTTGGTGCTGGCAGAGGTCCTAGAGGTACCAAGACCGACGCCAATTGATTGTCCATAGGGGCCACCACTTAGGCTCACATTTGTCGTGCCGCTGCTTCCAGAATGACCAAGAGACTCTAAGGTTGGAAGGTCAATATAAGAGGAATCGGAAAAGTGGCTGTAATGGTTCTGATGTGAAGGTTGTGCTTGTGGATGAGCACGTGAGCTTGTGTATGAGGAGGAGGCGGGTTGAGCCATAGAATGGGTGCTCGGAGCTCTATAGGCATTTTCCGCTTGCGAGAAGGAGGGAGAAGGCTGGGTCAGGTTGTGTGCGCTATTCGTTCTGTAGTTGGTGTCTGGCTGAGAGAAAGATGGGGAGGGTTGCGCGATAGTGTGTGGACTGGCGGTTCTGTATGTGTTTTCGGGCTGGGAGAATTGAGGCGATGGTTGAGATAAAGTGTGTGTACTGGACGTTCTGTAGCTGTTGTTGCTCATCTGCGGGGAAGGCTGATGGGCCCCATAGAGCTGTGAAGGCTGGTGAGAAGGGTATTGCTGACTGTACGTGGTCGAGGGTTGGCTACGCTGATTGTAGAATGCTGTCGACGATGGCCTTGCTGATGGTGCCTGTGTCATCTTCTGGTCTTCCCGCTGGATGCCCTGCTGGCTGCTTTGCTGAATCCCTTGTTGGCCACCCTGCTGGGTACCCTGCTGAGACTTTTGTGTTTGCATTTGTTGCTGTTGCATCTGAGGTGTTGACTGTTTTGGCGGCACGGATGAAGGCTTCGCTTGCGGTCGTTGTTGCTGCTGCTGTTGTAATATAGTGGGAGTGTGGCTCCGCCCATTCTGCTGATTTGAAAGATTTGCAAATCGCTCGTAGTGGGCTTCGAGACCTTCAGCTGGAGGTCGAGAAACAGGTAAGCTTTGCTGAGAAGATGCTGCTGTTGAGTCAGGAATCGTGCTTGGGGCAGTTGGGGGGGTAGCACTGTTGACAACAGGGGTGGTGTGATTTCGAGATGGAGGGTCATTCGTGCTTGGTGCCTTGGGCTTCCTCTGGCGAGGTCGTTTGGCAGGTGGTGCAATAGGTGTAGAAGTATCTACATGAGACCACTGCATTGCGTCCTTCATCACGCCAACCTGAGCTTCACCGTTAGGAGGGACGGGGCCAGAAGTTTGCACGGGATTCGTGGTTGAGGTTGGAAAGCTTGGAGCAGGTAGTGCGCTGGGCTTAGGCTTGGGAGGAGCACGCTTTCTTTTTTGTCCCCCCTCCGGAGCAGTCTTTGCGGGAACGATGGGAGAAGGGACGATATTCAACGCCTCAGAACCATGATTTCTGAAAGCTTCCAGGACAGCACGTTCCTCTGGGCTAAGTTCATCTGTTGGGGGAACAGACGAGGAATGGCTTGATTGTCCAATTTGATTTTGGTGGGGATTGTTTTGCCATGGCTGTTGGGGATATTGATTGGCCGGATGCTGTTTCGATATGGCTGGAGGTTGGTTATCGGGCTTTGGTACATGGGCTGCTTCAGGCGCAGCTTGACTTGGCTGCGTAACTTTTGCAACGGCCGCATGTATTTCAGGAGATTGCGATGGCTGTAGGACTTGGTCATGGCCATCTAACTGAGCGTTGTTTAACCCTGCATCCGATCCTTGTGGACCTTCCGACCTGCCCTTGTTCCTTGATCCTTTGGGTCTGCCCCTTCTCCGTTTACTTGTAGAGGCATTGCTGTTAGGGACTTCTTCGGGTTGTTGTTTGCTTGGAGTAGAGGGCGGTGGCTGTTCGAACGGTTTACTCTGCTCAGTGCTCGCGTTTCCTCCCTGTCGAACCTCAGGTAGAGGAATAGGAACTGCGGGAATAGGAGTATTGACCAGCGCCAGGGACTGGGGGAGACCCCATGCGGGAGCGGAAATCGCGGGGCCAAATCCATAGCCATTTCTAGAGTTTGGAGGCTCGTTGGAAGCCCCCTCTCCACCCGGTGCGGCAGCCTTGCCTTTGGACGAACGTGGCCCTTTCTTCTTCCCTCCACCTTGGGCTGTATCCTTAGGAACTTCTGGGCTTCGAGCTGCCAGGTCGGGGAAAATCTCCGCAAGCCAGCCAATAAACAATGCACCAGTCTCTCTTGTATTTGCGCTCTCTGGGAAGATCCCATCCTCCGGAGGAGGTGCGTCAGGAATCCCCCCAAAGTATGCAACTGCTTTACAGATCTGGTCCACTACGGTAAGCGGATTGATGCTCCTCAGCAGTGTAAGTAGCCGTGCTTGCTCGAACTTTGTCTCGTCCGGGGCCAGCGGTCTCGCTCGCTGTCTATGATCGTCTCGGGATACAGCAAATGGGGAGCCACGGTTTGCTGTTGGATCACCTAGGCTTGCCTCCAAACCTCTCTTCTTTGGAGGCACGTATTTCTCGGATTGCGCGGCCTTCGCTCGAGAGGCAGTATTCTCGCTCGTCCGTCTTGCAGCGGCGTCTCGCTCTGCGGCAGCATCCCTTCCTTGGGCGTCTGTCTTCTTCCCCCCGGGGCTCATACCCATATGCATGACCCCAAAATTCCCCTGCTTATTGTCCGTTTTCCCCTTCAGTTTGCTCGGCACCGGATTCCTCACTCTCCCGTCTTTATTGGGGCCGAGTATGCCTTCGATTATCGGATTCGATGCCAGTTCTACAAGCTCCAGGGCTGGAGATGCAGTGGGCTGGTTGTGATCTTGCTGTGGTGGTGGCCTCGAGGGCGCGATGGATGGCGTCCGATCAGAATTCTGGCCCGATGAAGGGCGAGGTGCTTGCGCCATCTGCTCCGTGTCTGGACGCTGGCTGGAGTACCGCGCCTGTTGCTGGAGTTGAATATCGGTATTCGTTGACGCGTTTGGAGCATCATCTGCAACGAAGTGAGTGAGCCTGAATGAGCTAAACGATGAGCCTTTGCCGGTCACAAGAGCTGCGCGCCCAGCAGAGGCTGTTGCCATAATCGCAGGTTGAAGCTCAAGGTTGTCGCCATTCTATGCAGCGGCACAAAACTGTTGTTTCTTGGTCGTTCGCCTCTGCGTGAGCAACATGGACCGTGACCCCAGCAGGCTCGAAGCGGACAAGGCAATGAATGTACCGTCTATAAATAAGGAACCGCACTACAATGATATCGTATCCTCCAATCTATGTATATACCTTTGATTATGTGTCTATTCTTCCAACTGTCCAAGTTTATCCCGCTATCTGTTCACCACAGAGGACAGAGAGTGTGGTGAGACTCACAAGTTTTCTCACAGAAGTCACGAGCGGCAAGGTGGCGTGGCTGGAGATCAAAACTCAAGAGAAATCTCGGCCAGTCAGCGGCCTTGTTGATGACTTCGGTGTTATCTACAGATTGCCGTGTAACCCATCCTTCACTATTCAGTTTTCTGTACCACCAGGTTGTTCCAAGCTGGCTCAGCGTTTATCCTAACCAAGCATATTTAAGGCTTTACGTTCCACAAGGATTGTGTGAATCCTTTCAAGCGCATCTTCTTGGAAGTACTTCTTGATCCAGGAGCCTGCCTGGCAGACGTGACGAGCAATAGTGTTTTGCTAGCCATGGCGAGAGCGTCAACCAGTTCCTGCATTCGCCCCGTTTCAATGAAAAGGGTCAGGAGATCGGAATTCTCTTGAGCAATCAGTGCAGACAGTTCCATGCATTCCATGAGAAAGTCGCGAGTCAAGGCATTGCCTGCAAACTGCAGGGACACGATATAAGCCAGTAAAGTTTCTGGGAGATATGCCTCTCTTAGAAGCTTGAATTCCGCTTGAAGTCCCTCTGTCGTATGATTAGAAGTCAAAATTGCGCAAGCAGGGTGAACACTTACCGTTTGGGCTTGTAAGTAACCATCCCTTCAGTAATGGCTGAACGGAGGCCTGTGTGGGCTGAAATGCTTTGGCAAGCTGGCCCCGCCAATTTCTCTCTGAACTGGCACCATCCCTAGGGTAATGGTCAATCGACTGTGCAATACTTAAGGTGAGGGATCCTACTCTTTCATAAGTGCTGCCATACTGGTCACTGTCTCGATGTGGTCTAGACACTCTATCAGAGTTTCAAGTTCTCGGAAGCTTTTTGCCTCGGCCAGTAAGTGTTTCCTCAGAAGTCTCTTTTGCTCCCCAGAGCCATCAAGTACTTCAGTCAAGTCTTCATCATCGCCCGATTCTAGACCAAAGAAGTCGAGAGACTCGCCTAGTATAGCACGTGTCTTGCACTTTGCTATAGCGTTACTTGTGATTCTTGAGGCTAGCGTCCTGGCTGCGTTAAGGTGCAAGTGTTCTAGAGACAGTCAGCAAGACAACAGCAAGAAAAGATTAAGAAGTGCTTACTGAAAAATCGTAGGTAGAGCATAGACCCAACAGTGAAAGTCTCACTCCACAGACCGTCGACAAGAAGATACCACTCCAGACTTCTAATAAGCAACATATCGATTCTTTCCACCTTGTCGGGGTCATCTCCTAAGAAATCCCTGGTAACCTTGCGGATAGTCCCGAAGCAATTTGGATCTCCTTCGAGAAGCTTGAAATTGCCAGTCGCGGGATACCCTGTCGTAGTGTCTTTGTAGTCCCCAAGCAGAAATCGTGCCTGGAGGCCAACAAATTCTTGAACATCAAGGCCAAGTTCCCTCATCAGTTTTATTTGGGTAACTCGTTGCTCATGGTCTGTTACATCAATGAGGTTTCGACAGAGGATAGCATACTTCCTCTTGCCAGAAAGTTGAGAGCAATACAAGGGAATAAGCTCTTCCTTGCCGGCAAGACGTAAAAAGCTGATATATGCGACGATAACATTTTCAACTTCCGTCTCGCGCAGAATCCCGCCCAGATCAAGTCCCAAGGCCATGAACACTAGAAGAACATGTGTGAGAACCCTCAAACTGTCGTGATCATCGAGGGCAATGTATCTCGTAATATCTTCGTTTTCTGGCTGTGATCTATTTGGCGGAATAAGACTTGAGATCCCGTTGGCGTTTGCGAACTTTGACAGCGCAAGCCCTTGCTGGTAGATGAAATGGGAAAAGTCATTTGCGATCAAGACTCCTTGAAGCATCTTCATGGGATGGCAAGCCTCTGTGGCGGTGCGAGGGTCGATTTTGAGAGTTTCAACGAGTCGTTTCCCTGCGGTTTTGGGGTCGCCATGGAATTGAACTGCATCGAAGGCTCCAAAATTTGAGATGGAACTGGAGATTCCTGGCTGGGGGCGAACAGTCTGAAGGTAGGTATCGAACTGGGTCTTCAGTAAAGCGTTGTAGTGAAGAAATACGAAATCGTCCCACGACCTGCAGACAGACTCCACACTCTGGATATCGCCGCTCAAGATGCCATACACTGCGCGCTCGTACTTATCTCCGCCACCCTTCCGAGCCAGGCCAAAGCACATTCTTCGCCAGAGAGCACTGGATCCTGAAGCTCCAAAACGGTCATCAGCTGATCCTTCATCAGGAAAGCCCGACATGCTAACAGCTCTCCAGACTTCGGTTCGCTCCATACACCATTCTCTAATATCGTCTGTACTTTTTCCTCTGCGCAGCATCTCGTAACATCCCAGCCAAATAGCTCGTTCAAAGTATTCATCTTGGGCCTCCAATTTCCGCTTCTGCCGGGTGGTCGCATCAGGATCGAGCTGGGTGACAAGAGGTTCCGTTCCAGAGGCGTTCAGATATCCTCGCTGAAGAGAGGGTAATGCAGGGTCAAGTGGTTGTGGTGAAGAGTGAAGGCGCTTCTTGCCCTTGATGGCTGCTTTTGTGTGAAGCCAACCATGGGCAATGATATCGCCCCTATCGGCGTTCTGTTGGAGGTCTTGAACAAGAACATCGATGTCTTCACCTGACTCATCTGCAGCTTCTTTTAACCACTGTAAAACTGTCTTCCGTTCTAGGGCAAGGTCATCCGTCTCGAGAAAATTGTCCCAGATCTCACGCTCAGATGAGTACTGGTGGATCGGCCTCAGCCTGGAAATCGATCTGCCATCGGCCCCTCCTCCCGGTGGTGAAAATCGAAGACTGACGAGTCGCTTCAATAGATTCCAGGTCTGAGCTTCTTCTTCCCAACGTTCCAGGTCTTCCAAGGTAGTTCGTCGCTCTGAGAGAGGCGATTCATTTTCTTCGGAATCTTCCAAATCCAGGTCGTCATCATCATCATCATGGGTCATATTGAATCCTTGCATCTTCTTCTTCCATCGGAGACCGTCCTTCTTTCGTCGCTCAGAGGCATGCTCGTCCCGTAGACGCTTCACAGTCTCTGCAGCAGCGTCATAGTAAATTTCAATTAACTCCACCGCCATCTCATGCTTTTTGTGGCTCGCTGTGGCTCGCTGTGGGTTATACCTGTCGAGTATCTCTGCAAATTTTTCGACCTCGCGTCCCACGCGGTTTGCAGCTTCGCGAAGGGGGTGGAGGATGTCCTCGTGGTCTTCTGGACTTTCTAAAGGCGGAGGGCCTTCATAATACTCTGGCATCAGACATCAGTTGAAATACTCGGAGCGGGCAAGTCGGTCTGTACAGACCAGCTTCTTCATCGCCGCCACGAGACTCCATATCGGCTTCCTCATCATACGAGGAAGGAGGTTCTTCTGAGAGCTCCCGTTCGGATCGAGTTCCCGACTGTTCCAAGGTGGTGAGTAAATGTACCCAAGACTGAATGCATATGATGCTTACCTCTGCAAATTGCCAGCTGGTCTCGCGAAAGTTCTAGGAGAGAGAAGGTTAGCTGAATCCAAGGAGAAGCTGTGTGGGAGGGCCTGCCTGGGTCGGCCGTGCTCGTCCATCGGAGAGAGGGAGGGGAATCAACCCATGGCTACGCGTCATCGGCGCCATGGTCAAACACCAAGGAGCTGGATTCAATTTTGGAGGATAGTCATGGAGGAAGCCAATGGGTTGTTCGCGGTCTTAACTGTAAATAAACTTCGAGAGTTGAAAGCTCAGGCAGGCACGCGAATTCGCCTAATTTTTGGCGCTAGCTAACCTTTTAAAGCTACAAAATTCTTCCGTCTCTTTTCCTACACATAATGTCTAAAACAGGCCATCTTAATAGAGTCTCGGGATAAGCCTCCTAAGGAGTAACCATCATTGCTTGTTCAGGTCCTTCGGACCTCTATGCGCGCTCATGATCGCCAAGAGCAAATTCGACACTCCCTGTTTCCGTTCCCTGATCTTTGGGCTGACGGCGGGCAGTAAACTTGGAGTGTCATATTCTCATTCCCATAGGACTATTCTTTCCCAAGTATCTTTAGTGCCTGTTTCCTGGTGCAGCATACATTCTAGGGCCTGGTGGGCCTCCAGCTTCATTCGCCAGGTCACTTTGACCCTTCGTCCGCCCTCTGCTTCATTTTCAACTTCAACAGACTCGCCTTGGGGCAACTGGCTGATTTCGCATTGTCTCCATTTTGAGCATAAAACGCATTGCAGCACTTATAGAGAGCATCGACTTGCGACCTACACTTGGCTTCGTTGTAGGAGTTCTTCGCCAAGCAATCTTTGAACGACTCATTAGCATTGGGGGGCTTCCGCCCACATACAGCAAGCATGCTGACCTTGTATTGCGCACTTTCAGACATCGTTAGAAGAGGCAAATGCGGGTGCAACTATGTGACTCACGGCTCGAGAATGGCAGGGCGGATCAGTTGACAAATCCGCTTTTGATGCCTGGGTACTTCTATTAGTGACTTGGCAGTGATCAAAGAAAGCCCAATCTTACCATTTTGCATTTGTTGAAAGTGACCTCCAGCTATCTCCTGCAGTGAAGGTGAGGAAGGCTTTGTTGTCCTAATTGGCCATAGACATTAAATGGTGAATTGTCGCTCTCCTGCAAATTAAAATCGCACTACTTTATTACCATTGTTGCCGTCGTACACTAGCGCGATCTCGTCTTCTTCCCCACCACTTCTTCTTTCCAAGAGCCTTCCTCCGCCTTCCACCCATCTTACAAAACAGAGTACGCCGCAACTGACCATTGCCTCTTGATTCTACTCTCTACACCGTCTTGTAGGTCAAACCCTCTCCAAAATCATCGAGCACAAACATTGCTAAGACGCGCGATAGTCTCGTCCACACCAACCACCACAAACTCCAAATCCACTTCACCTTCTTACCAACATGTCTGGATCCGACGACAACGGAAGCCCAGGTGCCCCAGAGAAGGCTGAGACCGGTGGCCAAAGTGAACATCTCAACATCAAGGTTACCGATAACAACAATGAGGTCTTCTTCAAGATCAAGCGTACCACCGCCCTCAAGAAGCTGATGGATGCCTTCTGCGAGAGACAAGGCAAGGCTCCCACCTCAGTCCGGTTCCTCTTCGATGGTAGCCGCGTACAACCCACCGACAGTCCTGAAACGGTAAGCATACTTCTTCTCAACACGCGCCATCATTCCTTGAGCTCCGATTCTAGTCAAATCCGGATGTGGAAGCTGACAAGTTGGTTCTCAATAGCTTGACATGGCAGATGGAGACACGCTGGAAGTTCATCAGGAGCAAATCGGCGGCGCGAAATGAATGGGACGGTCTACATGGGATGCATATTTGCTGGATATCCAGTGGGGACGGGGCGTGAAGGATGAGATGCGGGGTCGATGGTTTTGATCTGGGTTTTTAGGGGGGGGATTTGATTTGCAAAGGCGTGCAAGGCGTATCTCTTCATAGCATCCTTGCTTCTCTGGGGAGATGAGGCCTAGAAGGTTTTACTTGTGCTCGACAATCCAGTCTACCTCGACCACCCCTCGCCATGACATTTTGCATTCCATAGCTCAGATCTTTGTGACGTGTCTGTCGATGGGAACAACTATCTTAACAACTGAGAATCCTGTTCGAGGGCTCTGAAGTCACTTTGAAGCCCGATCCCTATAACTCCTTCCTTGGTTATATAAATATATTCATAGCAACGCCATTCCAATGCACCAATCCAATACATATCAGCAAACCGAGGTCTTTTTCAAACATCCTCTAATCGTCCCAAACAGCAGCCTTTGCTCTCTCGGCCTCTTCCTTGGCTCTGGCCGCAGCTTCTTTTTCTTGGTTCCTTCTCTTGATTTCCTTCTCTTTGATGGCTCTATCATAAGCTTTCTGTTCTTCGGTCTTCTTCGTTGCCTTTACCCCAAGTGCACCGGCTATCATTCTCTTCGCAACAGCATCCGTTTTCTCCGGTCTCACGTTTGTCCGCTCGCTCCTAACATCACTCGCGCCGTCTATGTCATATCCAAATGGGATTATAAATGTCTCTCTTGCGAACGATGTAGATGGTGAAATTGGGGTAGGTGGTGGTGCGTCCGGAAGGTCCGCTGACTGCTGAGGAGAGAGTGGTCTGTCCGTATCCTCTCCAGAGTCCAGCTCCTCGTCATCCCAGGATTCGGCAACAGGTTGCTTCTTCTTGAACGCTGCAGATGCTTTCGATGGTTGCGGGTGCAGAGAAAGCTGATTGAGTGAAGTTTCGAGTGCTGGAAGGGTCAGTACAGTGATTCGTTCGAAGGCCGAGGCATTGCTGACCTCTGGGTTCTGCCATTGTGCAAGTTCTTGTCTACAATTTCTTGATGGTGATTATGCTATGCGTCCACATATATACTTGTGAAGTGCAGTATGCACAGAAGACTTCGACGATCTTGCTTCCCTGCGTCCTGTGGCTGGATATGAAGTGAGGAGTTTCGATTGTGGGGTCTCACGCGTGGCTAGCACAAGCACGAGGGGGTTCAGCCATCTCGGTAGATGAATTGCTGCACCTCCACAGATACCAAGAATAGATATGAAACGATTGGAATCTCGAGACATTATCATGGGCTTCTCTACTCTACGATGAAGTATATTTTCAAGATGGGATTCCTTCCGGAGACCTGGGATATTCCTCGTGGCGGACAGAAAAAGCGGCACTGGATTGTCAATGGCCCAAGTCGACTGCAACTTGGACTACTGGTATTTCAAATGCTTCTCATTCGAAAGTTCCGTCAAATTATAATACAATTCAAAGTCTACTTCCTCCTATTGTCCGTGAAGTTCTGAAACTCTAAAATCGGCTCCTTTCAGTGTCCAACTTGACTGAGGACATTGATAATTAGTTCCACATCTCCACCCTCGACCGCGAGCCTCCCAAAATCCCCGCATTTCCACATGCGTTCTAGACCATCGGGAATAAGCGTTCCAGTTCTACTCCCGAGGTCATGATTGTTCGTTTTCTTCGGGTCTTACCTTTTTGATATTTTGCTAGATTTCCTCTTGTTTTTCTTCGTAAAACTTGTAAAGATTTGTAAGGTCTATGATCGTGCTGGAGGAGGAAGTAGACCCTGTATGATCTCGGCCATGATTGGGCGGCAGCTGTTGCGGGGTCCTGGTCCCGGGTCAATCTCGAGGAAGCACGTTTCCTTCAGTGCATCGACTCGTCACAATTCATATGAAGACACAATTTCGAATCTTAAAATTGGGAAACATACACGTGTGATATTTCAAGGGTTCACTGGCAGGTCCCCTAATCCCCTTTATTCCGATTGAGATTAACAATGGGGTTAGGAAGACAAGTGTGTACATCATCAGACCTTTGGGCCAGATTATTGACCTCATTGGCAGGCCACCGCAAATGCAAAAGAGTCTATAGAATGGGGAACCAACATCGTCGGTGGAGTTACACCAGGCAAGAATGGCGAGCATCTTGGACTTCCAGTTTTGCCCACCGTTCGCGAGGTACCAACCATTACATGGGTTGTATCATCTGTGTTACTAACAAAATATTCAAGGCCATGGAAAAATTGAAGCCAGATGCGACTGGCATTTACGTGGCTGCCCATCAAGCCCCAGGAGCCATCGAAGAAGCAATCGAGGCAGAGGTCCCTCTCGTTGTTGCAGTTGCTGAACATATTCCTATTCATGACATGCTGAGAGTATGTTTAATGCTGCTCGCTCGGGCTATTTACTAACAATTGCAGATACATTCAATGCTGAGAACCCAATCGAAATCTCGACTGGTCGGTGCCAATGCTCCCGGCATTATATCTGCAATTGGGAAGTGCAGAATTGGGTTCCAACCTCTCCCATGTTTCATGCCTGGTCGTGTGGGCATTGCGGCCAAATCTGGAACTTTAAGCTACGAAGGCAAGTCCCTTCTGAGTCTGATTATGCAATGCTAACTTCGAGATAGCTGTGGCGTCAACGACCAGAGCTGGACTCGGTCAAAGCTTATGCATTGGAATGGGTGGAGATGTTCTTGCGGGCACAGATTTCGTTGATGCTCTCAATATATTCGAGCACGATGATGAGACTGAGGGTATCGTTTTAATAGGAGAGATTGGCGGCGAAGCAGAGCTAGAGGCAGCCGAGTGGATTACAGACTACAGGAAGCGTTCTCCAAACCCAAAGTACGTTTCAGAATCATTGCTTAGGAGGTGGATAACTGACATACGGAACAGGCCTATCTCGGCACTCGTTGGGGGCATCCATGCAGCTCCTGGAAAAGTGATGGGCCATGCTGGAGCTTTCACTTTGCCAGGAGAATCTGATGCGTTGACAAAGATCAAGCATCTGGAAGCTGCGGGTGTCACTGTTGTTAATCATCCAGCAAAGTTTGGAGACGCCATGAAGCTGTTGCTCGGTAAGTCTGGTCGAGCCAGCACCGGTGCTGCGGCATCAGGGCTCTCCGAACGAAGAAGCATACACACAATGAGACGAGTCCGCTCGACCGCAAAAGCGTTTGCATCTAGCTTCGGCAGTACGATTCAGAAACGAAACCTTTACATCCGAGAAGACCTTGCTCTTGATCTTCTTCGTGAGCAAGGAATCAATGCCTCAGAGTACTCAGGTAAAGGCAGAAAACGGATGCTTGCCGTTGCGGTGGATCGGGCAAACTTATCTCCTTGTATTATTGCCTCACCAGCAAACAATCCTGGAGATCCCCATGCTGAGGCTAAAAAATTTGCGTTTGACTACCAGTCAGGTTTCGATGTCAGTCAGGTTCCAGCGATCGCAGAGCATTTGCAGCTGGGACACTCTTCGAAAGAGTCCTTGCCAAAGTTGATCAACGGACTTGTGGATCTATACATGAAGAAGGAGGCATTCCTTCTCGAGACGATGTTTGTTGAGCGGTTGGGAGATCTTAAGGTTGTTGGTGCTCGATTTGGGTTCGACGATGCAGCATATCGAAGCACCAGGCGTCAATCAGATATCCATGCTCTTCGCCGGATCGAAGATGAGGATCCCCAGGAATTGGATGCCGAGAAAGATGGTATCGTCTACATCAAACTTCCTGGGGGTGGATACATTGGCACTTTAGTCAATGGGGCTGGTCTGGCTATGAATACGGTAGATGCATTGGCAGATGCTGGCGGGGAAGCTGCGAACTTCTTGGACACTGGCGGGAAAGCCACCAGCGAAACCGTCAAGAAGAGCTTTGAGGTCATCCTCCAGGATAAACGAGTGAAAGTCATCTTCGTCAACATCTTTGGTGGCTTGACTTTGGGAGACATGATAGCAAATGGGGTCCTGCTGGCGTTTAAGGAGCTCGAAATGAGGCTGCCTGTCGTGGTTCGGATTCGTGGAACGAACGAAGGTGAAGGCCAGAAGATTGTGAGATGCCCCTCTCCCTCTTTACACGGTTACTGATGGCTGGAACAGATCGCAGAAAGTGGTCTACCTTTGCATGCATATGATGATTTCGAGGAAGCTGCGGCGAAAGCAATAGAGTTGGCAAATAAACCCTGAGGGGTGCAACGACCGTTAAGACCAGAACGCATTGATCCTTATTAGAACCTGCTGTAGAGACTCTCTTCATTACATCTATTAAAATTTGCACCCTCCGAATGCAGGAACGAGGCAAAGTAGTCACGGGTTCCCATGATTCTTGAAGACTTCTATGTAATTTCGAGGTCCGGATGTGCTCGATCCGGCTACTGTGACGGCAGACCAAGGCGGGAAAGGGGCTGACCACGCGCAACGGGAGCGACGGGTCACGTCATCGCTGGAGCAAATGAACGAACCCTGACGAGAATTTTCACAGTTGCTTCAAGCCCAAGGTTCAGATACCTGCAGTCTGCTCTCCGCTCTCCGCTCTATGGACAGGGAAAAGAGCGCCGTGTCAACCAATCTTCTGCTCCGTCTTCCACCCTCATGATATGATGGGATTCCATCTCTACGGCCAGGTTCTGCAGCGCTGGCAAGGTTTGCATCGGGATCGCGTCCCCAGTGATTGATTGGCGTTGCGATCGAACGGACTGGATTAGCCTCGACAGTTCCTACCAACTTTTGGCTCTCTGCTGCCACCGCAAGAACAAGAACAAGATCAGCACTGCTGACGAGCGTGAGTGTTTAAGCGCAGCGACGCGGCTTAGCAGCCATCCGCACTTTGTCCTTGTTACGTAGTTCAACCTCAGTCCAGTGCTAAGGTCAACCCGCTCCTTCCTAGGGTATTTGCAGGACCTTATAGCTAGCCTGCTGCCCTTGTTCGATCGTTTGATCGATAGGTATTTCCCGATTATTCATTCTCAATTTTTTGAAGGAACATCAATTTTCATCGCTTTTCATCCAGCCCGTGTACGAGCGAATCCTCCTCGGCACGCGCTTTCACTCAACATTATTCTCGCAGCCGGAGTAGTTAATGCAGCTCATTCAACCTCCCCTCTCCCTCCCAAACCATTATACTCCCCTCGTCCACTTTCCCTCGCGGAAATGGCGTTAGATCGGGATCTGTCGACTACAGACTTCACGAAGTCGAAAGAATCTCCAACCCTGGACTCCAAACCGGACCCAGCCAGCAACCCCGACCTCGAGGCCATCGGGGAGAAGCCAAAAACTGGGTACGGTCGCAGTAACAAGATGGTTGGTCCCAGAATTGCTCCCGTCTTGCCACACTTAGCAGCATACGACTTTGGCGATGCCGACTCAGGATCAGACATCCTGGGAAAGCAAATCGAACTGGAAGCCGGAAACGATATTCAGTACAGAACTTGCAGCTGGCAGAAAGTAAGTGGGCACTTATTTTCACCGATCTATCTATTCCAAGCATTGCTCGTCGGCCTTCAGTCAGTTCAGGTTGATGGGAGGCGAGCAAGAAGAAGCCTGTGGGCCGATTCTCAATTTATCACTGGAACGTGGAAGTTTCTGGCGCTGGAAAACAGTTGAAACCTCGGAAGATTAAACCCGACTGGATGAGCTGACCCTCTAATTTTACCAGACTGCAGCGTTGCTCTTCTCCGAGTACATTTGTTTGGCTATTATGTCATTTCCATACTCCTATTCCGTTCTGGGCCTTGTACCTGGCATCATCCTGACAGCTGTTGTCGCCGCATTGGTTCTGTACACTTCACTTGTTCTGTGGGAATTCTGTCTGCGCCATCCGGAGGTCCGCGACGTTTGTGATATCGGGCAGATGTTGTTCTGGGGGAAGAAGTTTGCTTGGTATTCCACTGCAGTCATGTTCATTTTGAACAATACCTTCATCCAAGTATGTCAGAATCGAGTCACTTGAGTAATTTTGCTAATGGATGCCAGGGCTTGCATGTGCTTGTCAGCGCCAAATATCTCAACACGATCACCAACCATAGCCAGTGTACCGTGGTTTTCGCGATCATTGCTACCATAATCTGCTGGTTTTGCTCCCTTCCTAGAACTTTTAGCGCTCTTTCGAAACTTGGCACAGCATCTGCGTTCTTCACCTTCATCTCTGTATTACTTGCAGCCATATTTGCAGGCATTGAAGCCCACCCACAGGGATACAATCTTGATCCAAACTACGTAAACCCAGTAACTGGGTAAGTCTGACTTTCATACTATTTGATATTCTCTTCTCTTTGGGAGCGGCGAGAAAGTAGTTTTTTCAAGAGCTGTTCTGGCTTCCGACTTATATGTCATAGGATCAAGACGACCCTGATGCTCGTAACTTCCTCCAGCCTTTCTCGATTTAAGGTGCTAATCTGGTTTCAGAATTCACGGTGGAGAGCCAATTGTGACGGCAATCCCTATCAAAGGTACAACCTTCGTGGCAGGAATGAATGCTTTCTTGAATATCAGCTATACTTTCATTGGCCAAATTACTCTTCCTAGCTTCATCGCCGAGATGAAGGACCCCAGAGATTTTCCCAAAGCTCTTTGGGCTGTCACGATTGCCGAAATTATCCTTTTCAGCCTTGTAGGAGGCATTGTCTATGGATATACTGGAAACCAGTATAACACTTCTCCCGCTTTTGGATCACTTGGCAATGAGGTTTTCAAAAAGGTGTCATTTTCCTTCATGATTCCCACATTGATCTTCCTTGGAGTCCTCTAGTAAGTCCCAGCTTCTAGGAGTATTAGTTCCTCTTGTAGCAATGTGCAACAGCTTTTGGGACATTCTACTAGCAATGCCCAATAGCTCCTGGAACACTCTACCTCGGAAATTACCCGAAAGACGTATGCTGACTCCGGTTTCTTGGTAATAGTTCATCTGTATCAGCCAGATTCGTGTTTTTCCGCGTTTTCGAGGGTACAAGACATAAGACTCAACATACCGTCGTTGGGTGGGCATCTTGGGGTGGAATACTGGCTGCAACTTGGCTTGGAGCTTTCATCATCGCAGAAGCCATTCCGTTCTTCTCTGACTTATTGTCTTTGATGTCCTCCCTCTTTGACTCCCTCTTTGGATTCGTCTTCTGGGGGGTGGCGTATATCAGAATGAGGAGAGTTGATGGTGGTGTCAATTGGCTCCACGAACAATCTGTATATGGATACACAATGTTGGCACTGAACGTCGTCATCATTCTTATTGGAGTGTTCTTCCTGGGGGCTGGCACATATACCAGTGTGCAGAGTATTATTGACAGCTATGACCAAGGACTTGTCGGGGGCATCTTCACCTGCAAGAACAACGGCATATGAAAGCAGAGTATTGATGTTGCTCTCTCAAAAGTATGTACATAAGATAGCTCCGCGAACTTTGAAGATGTCACAACCGGATCCAAAATAATGACCGATTCACACTACTTTTGACCCTGCCAGAATGGAAAAATCATCGAAGAGGCATGGACAAATCCCAGACGAATTGTTGCAGGGAGTTCCATGCGGTTTTAGCTCTGGTGGAAGACAGTTAGACAAAGGAAGATATCAAGAGATGTTGATCTCAGTGGGCACCGGAAGCCCGGCTGGCTCCTAGTATGCAAAAAGATACAATCGTGAAAATGGTGTGAAATTTCAGGTCGGAACGGAAGTCTATGGTCAAAAGTTCCTGTGTCAAACCCTTGTAAGCTCTAACCTCGAACTCGGTGAGCTCAACGAAAAACTCTTGAAGCCAATGCAATCAGAAGTCACTTGAACTCGATTTGGCGACCATTGAGTAGCTTGTGGCACTTGCCTGAAAGAGAAACTTTTTGGTCCTGAAGGCGACAACGTCACAGGGCAGGGGTTCTCTGCCCACTAATCAGTGGTGGGGATGATGTTGCTTGACCCCGCTGCGCGGAGAAAGGTATCCCTCGGGGGTCGAAGACATTTTCGACTGGTAAGCATGCGGTATGATTTTTAATCAGCGAGCACGAAAGCATAATTGAAAAATATGGTAATAGCAAAGGTCTCGATCCTCCTGCTCATGTATATAGAGCAAGTGACGTTCAATTCAATTCTGTCTCAGCTCTCTTTCTCCAGCCAACCAACCCCCTGCAACCCATCACATCTCAACCTCGAAACTTCACAATGAGTATCTCATCAGTTGAGAAATATGGCTGGACAGCAGTTCCCAGAAAAGTCGAATTGTTGCTTCAACAGTCCGAGGCTTCTGGTCCTGCAAAGCCCATCTTCGTCTCCTCAATTCGGCTTCCAGACTCCGATCTCGTAAAAGCCGTCCACGAGTATGCAAAGAAAGAGCTCGCGGTGGAGACCTTCAATCATAGCATGCGTGTCTACTACTATGGTATTTCTCCCAACCCTTCAAATCCACCAAGCAAAACAGCTTACTGGACTTCTTAGGCCAAGCTATCCTTACCCACGCTTTTCCCTCCTGGTCAAGCCCGTCCTTCAATGAAACCTACTTTCTGAGCTGTCTTCTCCATGACATCGGTACCACCGACAAGAACATTTCCGCAACCCTAATGTCCTTTGAATTCTACGGCGGGCTGCTTGCTCTCGGGCTGCTGAAGTCCCTTTCCGCCCCCGTCTCTCAAGCCGAGAACGTAGCCGAAACCATCATTCGGCATCAAGACCTCGGGGAAACCGGGACGTTGACAAGAATAGCGGCCTTAATCCAACTTGCGACCATCTTTGATAACATGGGCGGTAATCCGCAGTTGGTGGATAGAGCGACGATTGAGAGTGTTGTGGAGGCGTATCCGAGGATGAAGTGGAGTGGGTGCTTTGCGAGGACAATTAGGAAGGAGAATGGGTTGAAACCTTGGGCCCACACTACGCATCTCGGGGAAGAAGACTTTCCTACTGGTGTGGCTGGTAATCAGCTGATGGAACCGTATGAGTGAGTGCGAAGTTGAATTTTTCATTAGGTAGCGGTGTTCAAGTAGGTGTTAGACAATGATGTCGGTGTATGGGAGTGTTCAGAGACGGCAAGAAATTGAAAAGTAATGTAATAAACATCTCAATTGCTCATTGCTGCTTGGTCGTACTATTGCACCACAATTCTCAAGACGCCCCTGATATATCAAGACTCCAGCAGAATGCTACCCAAACATAGGAGATCGAAAGGATTGGCATGATTCAGTTTCTCGTGGATCTCGTCCATTGTACACAAACATGCGAGGTGTTGAGGAAAGGAATTTCAAAGGAGTGAACGTAATACCAGAAGCATCACAAACCAAATCAAGCCTTCAACTCCCGTTCAATGCACTGTATGCACAAGACAATCGTTTCATTTCGAACCTCCTTGGGATAGAACGCGCCATCCTCGAATCCGTTCTTGCAGGTGGCACATCGAAAGCAACTTTCATGCCATTCGCCACCCAATGCTTGAACGTACTGGCCGATGACTGCGCTCCGGCACTTCTTGCACTTCGGAGCTTGTCGTTCTGTACGCTTCGTCTGGCAATTCAGACACCAAGCATAACCATCTTTCTCGATATGGGTCATGCCCTTCTCGAAAGGATCGCCGCACTCAGCACAGAAGAAATGGCCATAGTGCCAATTTTCACCCAAAGCAACCATATGCTCACCGATGATGGGAGTCCTGCAGTGTTTGCATCTCGGGGCAAAGTTCTCATGCCAGTCAAGATGACAGTAAAACCGCAATCTCTCGTCACCATCTTCTGCCATGGTCTGGCCTTCGATCTCCGGAAGCTGCTCGCCTTGCGCACGGCATCTGATTCGGTTGATGCGCTCGGCGCGCTCCTGGGGTGGCTCCGGGCGAATCTCTAGAGATTCGAGCCCAGTTCCGCAAGAGAAGCAGATAAAACATTGGGGGTGGAAATGCTCAGGAGCACCACTGAGCTTCACCACACGCCCTTCGATTGGTAATTGGCATTGATGGCAGGTAGCAGTTGCCCTTTTGCCGGCTGGCGACCAGTGGCCTCCAGAGATGGGTGCTGTTCCATGATGACGAGTCGATGGCCGACCTGCCGCGGTTTTTGGATCTGGGAGAGGTCTCTTTCTTGGGGATGCAGTTGAATCGGACTGGATGCTGATTGAAGGAATGTTAGGTGTCGAAACAGATATTATTGGGGCGCCCGATGAATTTATTGTAGGAATCGAGGGCGAATCGAGAAGATTTATTGTAGGGATAGAGGGAGTAGGATCGGGGTAATTGATGACCGGGACAGAAACTGGTGCACTGTTTACTTGGATTGAGGGTATGTCAGGAAGCTGAATGGTCGGGATAGGGGTTGTGACATCCTTCGAAGCTGGTCCAGCAGGTAAGCTTTGCCTCTGGTTGCTGGCTGAGACCCTGTCGAAGGGTGATCTTCTTCGCATTTCTGGCTTTACATCAGCCTCCTTCGGCTTCCAATTTGCATCAAAGCTTACGATCGGACGACCTGGTTTGTCACTGACAACAGTAGGCGTCGGGAGTTTGGGGCTACGATCCTTCAAGCGCATGCTCGTTGCCTGCCGGATCTCTTCACTTCTGATCTCAAGCCCGTCTTTCGTTGGAACTATCGATGAGGCTTGCGCTGTACTTGGACCGGCTTCTGAAGTTTGGGGCACAGGAAGGGGGTTGGCCGTGTAACTAGGATCTCTGGACTGAGAGGGGGGGTTTCGGTGGATTTCGAATCTTGAAAGCCTTTTGATGGGTTCTGGAGGAGTGCTACTCGAGCGTGGTGCCATATCTTGAGCAAACTGGACCCTGTTCAGAGGATTGCGTGGCTTGAGGCGTAGAGGTGCTGGCATATCTGGAGCAACTTCGGAATGTCCACGGTCGACGTTGTCTTGTTGTGGCTCTTCCCAGATTTGATCGCCTGTGAACGATTCTGCGATCTCCCCACTGACATTCCTCTTCGCACTGCTCCTCCGTCTTGTTCCGCGACCATATTTACCAGCACTTGAAATGCTCCCGTAAGACTTCTGGCTCGGTCTTGGGGGTGCGGCTTCGTTCGAAGAATCCAGTGAGGAGCGTCCGACTCCGTCCGGACTGATGTTCCGAGCAAGACGAGAATATCCAGACGATCCACTGGAAATCCGACTTCTTTGGGACTGCATTCCTCCACTACCGCTTGAACTCCCTGACACCGACCGTGGAGCAGTGTCTCGTGCAAGTCCTGTGACCATACCAATTCCACCATAACGACCAACACTCTGAGTCCTTGCGTGTTGATAGCTATTTTTCCTGAGGTGATCTTTGTATCGGTATGGAGCATCGGGCTGAATGGCAGCCTTGGGATGCTGGTGCTGCCAGACTAGTTCCGACGCTTCATTTTGTGCTGCGGCGTGAATCCGAAGCTCCTCCTCGTCCACATCTTTCAAATCCATATCTGCCATAGCTTCTCGTAAAGAGACAGCCTCTTCCTTCTCCATCCATCTTTGACCTCGTTCCATATATGTAGCGGTTGGGACGACATCGGAAGGCTTTAAAATTGCAACTGGAGGTGATTGTGCTCTTTGTGGCTGGACTAGCTGTCGCCCAGTCCTCGAGGTTACAGACGAGTATGTGGAAAACGATGACTGAGCGCGTCTATGAGATGAAAAGCTTGTGGAGCGGCGAGAGTCGTCGGCCGCAGATGATTCGTTCGAAGGTAACTCTGGGACCACAGCTGTTGGCGCGTGTGTCGCAGCACCTCTATCAGATTCACGTCTGCTGCTTGGAGGCGGAGGTCTGGCGCCGCTGGGTCTTGCGACACGATTGTTGCGCAAGTCTGCTAAATAGTTGGCTGCGATAAGTCAGTAAGTGTGTCACAAACACGCATCGAGGTGTTAAAAATAAGGCTCTCTGGAGAGATCAACAGACCAAATTGATCATTCTGCAATTATTAGCTGGATATTGAGATTGCTCCGGGTGAAAACTTACTGTCATATACACTGGCCCTGGCGGCGTGACCTTGCGGTCCTTCTGCCTGCCTCGCAGCATTGCGACCGAGTGTTTTCTTCGTTGCCCTGGTTGATGGTGTATGTGGTGTGATGAACAATCTGTTGTAGCTTGGAGACGTAGATGTGGTCTCGAAGCGTGAGGAAGCGAGAAGGATATAGCAAAGGTAAAGTACGGCAATAGAAAGATGGTGGGAGGTTGCAATTAAATGGCGCGGTGCTGATGACTCCGAAGTAGGGTATTTGTGCAAGAAAGAAAGAAAGAAAGAAAGAAAGTCAACAGGGTTGCCTGGGAAACCACCTCGGGCGACGATCACCGAAATGCTGCCAACGCCTACGTGGTGGTTGGTTGGTTGCTCGGCTTGAAATTGTTTCCGCGCAGGAAAGCAGAATAAGATACACAAATGCCTGCGCAGTCGTCGGACGTTCAGTTTCAATTTTATAATATACGGTAGAAGCCCATTGGGTTCTTCGTTCTCGCCAGCAGATGCTGAGATGGCCAGCAGCAAGGTGCGTTGGTCTTTGATCCTTGGCTCCACGATCAAAACGTTGGACCCTGCCTTCACAACAAGTTTAGAAATCTAGGGGTGAAAGCCTCACGGCACTGCGTTGCCGTACTCCGTACAGTAGTATACGATTTCTCACGTCTTTACGCCTTGCGCTGCAGGAAAATGAATGCCTCACACGGGTTATGAAAAACGCGCAAAGGGGCGGTGTCACGTGTCGCTCCGCAGGGAGTTTCCCAGAATGTCATTCGTCCACCATCCCTCGATCTTTCATCGTCAGCCTCGCCTCGCCTCACCACACATTATCTCTGCACGTCATCGTCCTGGAAGCTTCCACCAACTTCACTCCTGTAAGAATGGTTGCGCTGCTTGAACCCTTCGTCTCCGCTCTCAAAATCCTTCTTTCCTATTCTGTGCTCCTCCCAGCACTTCACCTAGACATACTCTGACGTAGTCAAACACTAATATATATGGCATCAAGATTTGTATTTGTAGTGTTGGGGTAGTACCTCAATGGTTCTCCAAAAGCCGTTCGTTTGCCGGCGCCATAGGTGGGTTGACATATTCGTTGGCGTCTCAGGCCACAATTCAATCGAAAGGGTTGGGCTGGACCTTCGAGTGCTCGCAATACTTGCATTCGCAGCTAATACACTTTGTACGATTCTTATTCGAGATCGTAACAAGGCCGTCGGCGCGGTGCAGCTGACCTTCGATGTAAAAAATTTCAAACGAAAGGAGTTTCTCCTTCTGTAACTACGGGGATTCTTCACCATGCTGGGATATATTATACTTTTGTTTCCCCCCACCACCCGAATTACGCCACGAGTATAGGCCCCTCTGCAAAGCAAAGTAGCATGATTGGTGCTCTCTTCAACCTCGGACAAGGTAAACCTTCATCCAGCATATGAGAAACAGTTAACGATGGACTCAGCCATTGGAAGACCTTTCGTGGCCTACTTCAGCGATGTGGCCTGGTCGGATCAATATGGCTGGAATATGCACATCCCTCGCCGAGCTCTTCTGTTTGGTCATCTGGATATTTGCGAAAAGCTTCGGGGTCTTAATCTTCTTTGCTCTTATGGTTGGGACTGTTTCCGGAACGTAAGCTAAAAAACCCCATTGCCTAACATTCTTAATCATTCACCTTCGCCACAGATTCCGGGCAACTGTTGCTCCGGTTGGGGCGGAAGTTGTTGGATTGAAAATATGTCCAGCCGCCCTTTCCATCAGCTGGACAGTATTGGTTCCCCGTTGCACCTTTGCAGAGCCCATTGGCCTGCAACTTCGGACAACAGGCGGTGCTTATCTACCTTCACGCGCAGATATTCACTGGCTTGATGTATATTGGAGTCGCTTTTTGTATGTGGTTTCTAAGAGCGTGAATATTGGCGAGCTTGAGAGGGTAGCAATAACGAAAGAGAGAGGGAACAAGAGCTGCAAGATGAAAATTTTGTACCGAGGGCCTGACCAGATATCTCAAGGAACCAAAGTAGGATAAGTATTAAGAGCAAAGTCCAGGCTGCAAAAAGCTTATGGTCGTGGCAACGAGTCGGATATTGGAAATATACTCGGGCACCAGTGTTGTTTCTCTCTACCGGTCCAAGAATATTGTCACGTGTTCACTGAAGAAGCTGCAGTTTAGAGGTTGCACAACAGCAGAGAATGTCGTATGCGTTGGCGTCGTCACATTCATGAGAGGCGTGATGGATTGATGAGGGTTCCGTGGGTTGATTGGTGTTATTACTACAAGCTGTAGGAGGTGCGATTGCTAGTAGTGCTGCTTCAAAGTCTACTGTTAGTGTTGTCCTCAAGCATAGTGTGATGCTCCGCTTACCCAGATTCAAACGCAATTGGGCATCGATATCATGTTGGCAGGCCTCTCCTGTCAAGTCGCCTCTCTCTTCCTCTTTGCAATCTGCTGTGCTGAATTTGCCCTCCGGGCCCGCGCCTTTTCACCGTAATCGAGGGCATCCCTACATCTCCAGCACTGAAAGCACAGCTCAACCTAATTCCCCTTCCTCCACCCGCAATCGGTATGTGCATTTCTCTAAGTCCGAACTTCACCCTACCCACTTGATGTATCTCTGCTTCCTACAAACGTCTAGTAGAGAACACAAAAAACGTGTTTCAACTTCCAAATCTCTTTCCTGATCAATCAATGCTGACTTTCATCCAGCCAATCTCTCAATAGCAGCCTTCCCAAAAGCCCTCTTCGCCCATTCCTAGTAGGACTCTGCATCGCGGCTGTCATAATCTTTATCCGATCCGTCTTCCGGGTCGCTGAACTATCAGCAGGTTTCCACGGTCCCTTAGCAAGCCACCAAATCAGCCTCATGATACTAGAAGGCGTAATGGCCTGCATTGCTAGTCTCAATCTCACAATATTGCATCCATGAGTGTGCTTTTAAGGCGGATGGCGATCAGCAAACTTCACGCTGAGACGGAAGCGACCGAATTTAAATGGGAAGGATATTCCTCTTCGTGATATCGATTGAGAGGCGGTTGAACCGCTACAGTATAATGAGTGTGTAGATGATGTCGACAGTCTACTTTCGGAAGATTTGAACCTAAGAATAACGACTGCTACATGTTAGACCAGGTCAAGCTCACGTGGAGATGTGCCAATCTATTGGACACGTTATGAGGGCTTGAGTGATGAGTTTCCACACCCGAGATCAGGTTGATGACTGGTTCACTTTGTTTCTTTGCTTGGCGTTTGGGGTCATCACAGGAGAGGTTGGAATTTCATACACAGCAACATTGATGAGAGCGCAAGCATGAGCATGCTGTATAAGATTAGACTTGAGAATTACTATGATCTTAGAGGACAGAGCTTGACTGATTGCCAAACTCGTTTAATCCAAGCAATGCTTTTAAGAAAATCCTCATAAACTTCGTGGACGGTGCATCTCCAGGAGATACAGGTATATTGATCCAAACCAACGCCGTAGCAGTGCACAGTAACCTCATCATTCATGAAATGCCTTCCCCACAATCTCGGTCCCTCTCTCAGCCCCTAAACCATGGCAAGTCCCAAACCTACTCCTGCCCAAGCAACCTTCGCAAAACATGGCGCCGTCTGTCTAGGCACCGCCCCGTTCCTAGTGTTCGAAACTACAAAATTTGCTTCAAACTGGGCGCAGTTTTGCGTGACCAGCCCATGACATGCCACCAGACTCAGACTGCTGCAAATGCTCGTCGCACTCGCAATGCCCAGATTCATCGCCGTAGCAGCCACCGTTGTTCCCCCTCCAGGAGCCACAATTGTCACCCCATTTCCTCCCCCGCCTTGCAGATCCACCGTGCAAGCCGCGTAGTTCGTTTGGCAGTTGCTGTATGCAGAGACGCAGGCGGCGGAATTTGTCCAGCTGGTTGTTATGTAAGGGAACGGAAAATAGGGATTCGTGACATAAGATGCTGAGCCGGTGATCGTAGCTGTTGCTGCAGTACTCGTCGTCGTTGTGGCCCCGAAGATAACTCCTCCTCCAGCGCTCGTTATCGTCGCCGTTGCGATCTGAATTGTTCCGGTGCAGGTCGCTCCAATCGGACAGCAAGCTATATTTCTCGCATGATCAAGCGTACATGTCGACCCTGCTATGCAGCATGCTCCTCCGTCTGCCTTTGCTAATGTCGAGCAAGAGTTGTAGTTCACAGGGCAGTTTCCGTCTCGTTTTCGGAGCTCGTTCTCTGGCGGAGGGACGAGCGTCTCATTGGAGATGAGAAGGGAGTCGTCGAGACGTGGTTCGTAAAAGGGTGATATTATCGAGGGTATTTGAAGTGCTGATATTGGGAGGAGGAGGAGAGAGACGTATGCGGGTAACAACAACATTCTTTTCTCTAACTCGGGATATGCTCCTGGCTGAATAATCGACAGCGACCAGAGAAGTCGCCCAACCGATTGCTTTTTGTCTGTGTCTGTGAGTAAATGATTTTCAGAGGGATGGAATCGGAATCACTGTCCAGAATTGCCTTCTTTCTTTTGAACCAATTGCCTTTTTCTTGGAAACCAGTTTAGAGGGGACTTGGGGACTGTTGATTCGCGGGGCTTCTTTGGCCGCAACCCTGTTGGTGGAGCAACAACCTTTGCAAGATATTTTTGTACGGGACGAGACCCCCTCTCCACGGCCCAAGTCAACTTGAACATTTCAATTATTTCGAATGCCTTCGAATATCTCGAAAGTTTTATAATAGTGTCGAAATTAGAGTTGTCCCCCTCCAAGTGCAGTTAAATTCGGCGGTGCTTTTCCTGCCCATCTTGAGTCTGGAAACCTCTGACTGTCGAAAAATCTTTGATTTGGACAACTTGACCCAGGCCTTCTTTTATTTTTAGTCATAGCATCGTGACCCTATATAAATAATTTCAAGTGCTCGAGTGGCTGTTTGAACTCAGCATTCCGAAGACCGTAATTCTGCTTTAATCTTGAATCTGCAACAGACTCGCAATGAATCGCGATATGAGTTGATCGCAACCAGAGTTTCTCGATATACAATGGGCTGCATCGTTAATTTGAAGCCTCTAGACAGTGTAGTGGCGACTTGTTGAGCTTCCTGCTCTCATCCGAATCTTATAGAAGAAAGTCGATTCTCATCTTCATCGACGGCTCAAGAACCGCTCACAGCTTTCTCCTCTGTTGTTTTTGTTCTGAAAGGAAATATAATCGTATCGACCTGCACAGCCTCGGTTTGGTAAGAGTCTATTTAAACTTCAATCACCTACCGTAGATCAAGATTACCAATTTCGAAATGCGACCTATGTTTTTATAGAAAACTTGCTGCCTTCTTGCTATGCTATGTATGGTACAGTACAGCGATTTTTGTGATCTTTCTCTATCTTATGTAACGCGACCACCTCAAGTGCCCGAGGTATCGAGTTGCAGAAAGCATGCAGAAGCCAAATTTTGAAAAACCTATGATCGGAGCATGCATGCAGCCTGAGGAGACATTCCGCCTGAGAATAACGTATGCTTGGACTTTTGGGAAGAGGCGGACCGAAGCTATGCCAATATGAACAGTAAAGCGACAAGAACGTAAGAAAAAGCCATACCCATGCTCTGATTCGGGAGCTGAGCACGGCGTGGATATGACGCAGGGATCTCCAATCTTCCGCGAGCCCTAAACGCCATGACATCAAACAAAACTCTGTAAATACATCAACATCAAGACCCCGGAGGTAGATACCTGCATGATAGCAGGAGACGCAAGTGAGGCGCGAAAGAATTGGTCGTAAGACGTTCAGGCAAGCGTATTATCAGAATCTTTGAGAAGTCAAGGAAGTAAGTCCAGGCCCCGGGAAGTTTTCTAAGGATGACTGAACGTGGCAGTCGTGATATAGCGAAGAAACACATGAGTCTGAAGCCTGATCATGCGAGATCGGACTTTTGGTGTGGTGCCCGTTCCAATTCCTCTCTCAACTTTGGATCAACGAAATTGTCGATCTTCTTCCTGCTCTTCATGTCAAGAGCACCATTTCTCCAGGCCGCTCGAAGTTTTTCAAAAGCCGGTCGAGTGCCAGGCTCCTCGTTCTTTACCAGCTCAACATAATGTCGTGCCAAGGTCTCCGGAATAACCTTTTTCTTGCTGTTAAGGATCTCGTCGTAGTACGATATGAGACTCTTCATTCCCGTCATGTCGTTGTCCCGTACATCCTCATATGCATATCTTCGAAATTCGGTATACATGGTTAAGTTGAAGTTCCTACATAGGAAATGGGACCAGAATTCGTAAAGAAGCTTCATATCAGGGTGCGTCTCACCCACATTCGAGGCCTCCCGGTTCCTCAAAGCTCTTGAATGAAACGTGGTGTACAATTCTTCAGAATTCTGTTCGGAAACAGGAGCTGGCTGTCTCTGACCTTTAACCCACATGACTGGGGGTCCATTGCTGGTGGTTGGATTTGTTGGCGAAAGTGGCGTAAAGGGACTTCTTGAACGACGAAGATCCTCGGGGGAACTAAGGGCCCAACTGTTAGCTAGTCACGAGAACAAGTGCAAGACAGAAATCTTACGTTTCTGTTGCCCTTGATCCGTTGGTCAGAGGTCGACCTTGGCGCGGGTTGTCGTGAAGCCCCTCGGAAATCGATCTTCCATCAATTGAGCCGTTGGAAAAGGTTCTAGAAGACGCATTGTGAAACGGAGTTTTGACCTTTGACTCCTCATGGCTTCGTTGGGGAGTGAAGACGACGGTCAAATGCGTGGCTTCATCGTCATGGAATGTAATCTCTGCCTCCAACGGATCTAGCTGACCATTCAGGGGAAGCAATCCAGGAGCAAAGTCTGGTACGGCAGCTGAGAGTGGGGTCTCCGGGTGGTAGCTTGCACCATTGCTGTTTGTAACAGGGGCGATGGGTGTGCCGTTGCTGAAAGGTCGAAAACTTGACTCTGTGCCGTTGGGCGAGAACGCTGGTGGGGACATTGAATGGTGGCCGGGCATAAACATGCTCATTTGTTGAGGTCTCTGAACAAGCTGCGGACGTTGGATGTATGCAGGACCAGCGTTTCTGACAGAGTCATCTCTCTCATCCATCGCTAGGACCCACTTCTCCCATCCCTCCTTTCTCCGTAGACGATCAAATCCATCGTCGCCCCTGACAAAATCAACAATCTCCGATTCCTGGCAGGCGAAGCGCAAAGTCTCAAACTCTTGAGTGAGTGATTGGATCCGCTTAAAGCCAGCAATGAAATTGAGGAAGACAAATCCTTGAGAATCCATGTGTTTCCGAAGATAGACGTCTTTGCACAGGTTATCAATGGAAAAGTAGTACTCGATCTGCATTGTGACCATTGCAATCAAAGAAGGGTAATCGATATAAGAGGTGTACGGTACAGCAGTCATGGACTGCGGAGGTGGATAGTCGAAGACGGGTTGCGATGTTTGAATAGGTCCCATGTGTTGCGGGAGCGGGCCGCCGTTCGGAGGAAATCGACCATACATAGAGTTATTAGGTATCGACTGTGATCGAGAGCCACCGCGTCCACCTCTCGAAGGAGGCGGCGCGTACTGGTTGCTGAATGGCGGTGGTTGGAGTGGTGGACTATACGGGCCTGAGCTTTGTCGAATGGGATACCCGTTCAGAGGTTGGGATGGGTGCCCATTGGTGAAGATGTGTTGAGGATGCGGTTGGCCGTTTGGGTAATTGGTGTGGTTTCCCCGTCCGCGGAAACCTCCTCGGCCACGATCTGAGCGAACATCGTTTCTCTCACGGGACTGCGAGCTATTTTCTCTGTTGTACACGGTACCCTCCTTTAACTGATCAGATCCTCTCGGATTCAAATCGCTCTTTCGACCGTCGTTACCTAGCAGCGACTGACTCTCATGAAAATTGTTCTGCATCTGGTCTGGCTTGAATTCTGTGGGATATTCACCTCGTTGCTGATCCTGATTACTATCGTAACCGCGATCTGGTACGCCGACGCCGACGTACAAAGGATTTCGAGCCTCGGCGGGGTCATTCGATTCAGCCTTGGTAGGACCACTCCTTGATTTCTCCATTGATTGTGCGGTAGATGGCTTGCGTTGATCACGTGTAGCAGATTCGTTGCTTCTCTTTGAATTCGGAGGGAGCGATGCTGCTCTAGGACCGTCTCGACTTGAGCGGGTCTCGGGTTCGGTGGACGGATTACCAGTAGAATTTGTGGTCTGTCCCTTTTCTCCCACAGCGCTGCCGTTTGCATGGCTGGGACGTCCCCCTTCTGTTCGACCACCGCGAGCTCCACCACGACCTCTTCCGCCTCTTGTTGGCAGAGGGGTGTTGAATGTAACTGTCGGGATGTATGGAACAGGGACCCATTTCTCTTTCGGTCGTGGCTTGCTTGATGCATTGTCGTCCTTTTCTTCCTTCTCCAACTTCTCCTGAACTTTACGCTTCTCTTCCTCCAATGCGGTTTCGGGAGTTGGCCATGATGTGGCATCTTCTACTGGTGGGGGAAATTGATTGGCCAGAGATTTCTCCTCTTTCTCACCTGTCCTACTCCCTCGAGGGCCAGCCCTCTTGTTTGGCTGATCTTCCTTGGCTTTGCCCGTACCTTCTCCGCCTTTCTTTTGGCCTCTCGCCGCATTCGGATCCTTCGCCCCCGCGTTCTTGTCTCCATCATCGGTATTCAAAGGTTTGCCTCGCTTCTTGGAATCTCCAGGCTTGGTAGATGCTGCTGATGTTGTATCATTCAAGACGGAGGACTCTCCAAATGACTGGGAACTCTGAGCAAACCCTGGGCTAGGTTTTGCCTTGGCCAGTTCTTCCTTCCGTTGTTGCCAAAAGTTCACGGCAGGTAAAGGAGCCGGAACAAGAATCTCCGGCTTTACTTCTTCTCTTTCCTTCTCCTTCTCCTTTTCGGTCTCTTTCTCGGCGTTCTTTTGTTTCTTGCTCTTCTTGCCCTTTCGACCTTCTGCACCCTCGACAGTCTTTTCTACTGCAGATGCGCCACCTTGAGAATGTCGATCTCGCATCGACTCCGAAGAGGTACTACCAACTAACACAAAATCATCATCCCTATCCTCTTTCGGTAATGTCGATATCGAAGCTGTATCAAAGCTCGGCGAAGCTGGCGAGGACTTGGGCTTTGTTGCTTTCGAGTCAGAGATCGTGCTTTCCCCAGAAACATCCACCTTACTCGCTACATCATGGCTTCCATTCACGCTTCGGTCGCCTCTCTCAGAACCTCCCGATGGCGTGTGAGCAACCGAAGTTGAGTCTCTGGCTGGTGTGCTAATGCCAGAGGTGTACGCCTGACTCGATTGTATTGTTGAGGCCGGCATCGAAGCTGGGCGACCCTTTGCGGCTTGCGCGTATGAGAAGGCGGGTGGTGGAGGAGGAGCGCCCTCCCCCATCGGCTTTGATGAGGTAGAACTCATTGTGAAATCGGGTCCTTGATGGTGAATTCCTCGTGCTTCTCTGAGGCAGGGGGGTTTTCACCAACTGCAACAATACGTGAACCTTGGATGGAGATTGGGAATCCCTCCAGTTCAGGATGTCCGGAGAGGTGTATTCAACCTCTCCGCACCGCTCGCCCCCTGCACGTATATCACCGACCGAGACTCTGGTTGATGTAGCACAAATCGTCAGATCAGATGTGGGGATCGACAGAACTGGGGCTTATCCGGCAGACTGGAATGGGAGGTCGAGAGATTCTGTCGTGCGCCGCTGATGACTTCTATGAAGAAGTTTTGTGAAATAAAGGGTATCAAGGATACTCAAGGATACTTTTGCAGATCGAGGTCTCGCGTAGAGATGAACGATGTGGTTTGTTTGATAACGCCGATCTACTGCTAGCACCCACACGCGCAGCTTCGCGAATCTAAAGGAAGAGTGAATGTTAGTTTGACAGTTCCAGCTAAAGGTGACTGCGTGTGAATAAACGCCAAAGCGAAGCGGCAGGATTGGGCCAGAGATCGGAGCATTGTGCTCCAGCGCGAAATAATCGGCACACAATGAAAGCTCGAAATGACGTGGATATGTGGTGACAAACCTCGATGATCCACAGGCCAGCAAGCCAGTTCACTTTGAATACACACTGATGTCCAGTCCAACCCGCAACGACTAGCAATGGAGTGGGAGCAGGTGTCGACCGTTTGACGGTACCTCAGTGGTCGGGAATTTGCGGCACGTTCTTGTCGCAGGAGGACAGGAGAGGTGAGAATGCAAGCACAAATCGAGGCTTGGAAAAGACGGGCAGCCTCGACAAGTCCCAGGGGTCAAGGAGAGGGTCGAGCGATCGGAGGAAAAGAAAATTGGTTGCGAGAAGATTGTGTCCTCGTTCAACAGCCCGCTTTAATTTTTTAGGACTAGGAAAAGAATCATCGGTTTGCCGAGACGACCACAGCACGGAAATAGTCAGCAATTTTTTGGCTTCTACCATACTTCACGCGTGGGCACTAGAGTTTCTATGGCTGAATTGGATATTATTGACTGGTACTCTCAGACCTTTCTACATGCTTGGTCGTCCCCTTCATTTATGTGTGAAAAATCAGAAATTGGAACTGGTGGAAGGCGCTCCCGGCTGTCTGATGTTCCAGCAGTTGCCTCGTCCTCGATTCGAAATTTTGCTGAAACATGTTCCACAGTGCTTCGAACCTTCTTCGCTCAGGCGAGCCTTGCGCATTCAGCGAGAGACGGAGCTGATTTTCTCAATTTACAGGACGGTAAATCAGGAGATTCAGCCGCAGAGCTCACCCGCATCACGGGACTCCGGGTTTCTTCATTGGCGGGGCACAACGGACCAAGCCCTCCTCCTCGTTTAATGCTAGGATCTGATAACGTTTGTGCTCCAACCCTGCATGGAAAGTAGGAATTATCTCCAAGCACCTGAAGAAATCGAAAATCGGAGAATATCTGCGCAAAGCCCCTCTTGCAATTGTCCCTTTTCCTGTATTGCACGTAGGAAGAACCTCATGAAGATGTGTCGAAGTCGGGTGGGCGGCAACTCGGTCCCGTCATTGACAGCAGCCGACGCGACTTACTCTTTAAATTTCACTTACAGAAGTACTCTCGGACGCTTTCGGTCGGAGGGGGGAACACTGACTAAACAGAGCTGCATTTGAAGTCAGTTTTCCGAGTGTTGCCGGTCAGGTCAGCCTTGATAGCAATCACATCACGCGCGATCACGGCCTATGAACTCAGCTAGTAACCCAACTCGTCTAGTCTTCACACGCGAAATCCGAACAAGTCAAGTCAACTCAAGGGCATGCAATCGAATCCTACGAGAAGACCAAGAAACCTAGGACTGGCACTCGCGATTCCAAGCTAGTATGCAGATTTCTGGAATTTGAAAAGTGGCACCTTTCGTGGTCTTGGTGAAGGGAAGAGATAGTGGAGTATCACATGACGTACCACCCCTCAAACAAATGCGTTTGGAGAAGAATATGCATTCTACCTACACTTGATTCTAGAAAGCCTTGAGATTGGAATTTATCTTCCTCCACCTTCAGCCTGTCATCCATGCGGCGGCTCTCTGAGCGCCGAAGCTTGTTGCCAGTCTCAATCTGCCAAGATTCAAGTCAGTGTCGCTCACTATGACTTTGAGGGAGGAGAAAGTCACGATCGTCTCGGTCAAGGTAGGTGACAAAGCCGAGTCAAGTTGCGAGTAGCTTGGTAGATGATGGAGATGGGCATGAGTCTTGAAATTAAAAGGTAATGCTTACCCACTTGACCCCATTGGGAAATAGCTGACGAGGTACCATATCAAGCATGCAAGTTGCACGAGTGATGATATCAAAGTGAGAATATTACTTCCGAGCTGCAGATATATTTCAGTTTAGCAGAGGTACCAGAGCCACCGAGCGAGGCTTCCGAGGCGTTGACGGGAAGGCGGCGAAGGTACTTACACCTAGACTGAAGTATAGCGTAAGAGCTATAGATCCAAAATACGCCGCAGTAAAAGGCAGACGTGGTGTTGACATCAGGTGCGAGACATAATTCCAAGGTCCCATCATGGCAGCCCATGATGCTAGGAACAAGGCTGACCCTAAAGACCATCTGGTGTCACAAGGACAGTTAGTATTAATAGAACATACAAAACACGATGATTCATTGCAAGACGAATCTGTCAGAAAATAATCCTGGAATGGTAGCAAACCTGGTGGTGATATCATACTGTCTTGGAAATGGAATTCTGCCCAGCGGGGTGTGCATGAGGTTGGACGGATACCTGCAGCGGGCGATCTTGCCGAGAGGGTGGGTTGTCTCAAACGGCAGTGCATGATCCGGCCGAATCGCAGGGAAAGACCAAGAGCAGGAGAACTGTAGCACTTACAGGATAGCGAATTTGCGTGGCCTTCCCATCATGATTGGCCACAGAGCAAAACAGAGGACGAAGCAGGCAAGTGCCCCAAGATTGCAGCCGCTGAATATCAATATTCGGTCCCACCTACTCACTGTTGGTACGTAGCGTCAGCCTCTCGGTGCTTCTCCAGAGGAATACGAACACACTTCAGCCACTGTTGCTGCATGTCGCACAAGGTCCGTGAGGTTGGCTGACGCAGGGGCAGTGGATCGTGGAGGAATGTGGAATGGCTGACTCACAAGCAAACCACCCTTCTTCTTCCTCTCTTCGAGTTCGAGCAGGGAGTGGTGCTCCAGCACCTTCAACTGTCGGGAGTCTAACATAGCCACCATCTCCGAATGGGTTCAGTGACTTGATAGACGATAACAGCCCAGTCTGCTGAGCAGTGTTGATGGGGACGTCCGGATCGCGGCGTGACCACCCGAGGGAATTCATGGAGTCTCTGAAAGAGGACGAGGCCATAATCGTTTCAGATAACCGGTAGTTGGACGGATAAAGTTGTTCCAGCCCCGGCGCACCTAGTCGTGGATGGCGATTAGGAGGATAGATAACCTGTGCGTGGGGAGATTGATCTGGGGAGAGCTCTGGCAAGCACCGGATCCGCAGTCAAGCAAGGCTAATGTACGGTTGCACTGCGGTCTGAGCTGCAAGTATGTTGTGCGTGGATCGACCTTGTGGAAAGAAGACGACTGGTCTTGATGGGCGACGAGCTGAAAGGGTGTCCAATGACCAGAAAGAGCGACTGGGATCACAGCTGGGAAGTCTGAATCTTGACCTTGCGGACTGCCTCGTGATCAGGGCAATCCTGAATGTTGAGATTCAGACGCTGGAAGGGACGAGGGGAGGGGGGTGTGAGGACGGCCGCGAATCTATTGGAGGAGGGGGGGCTTTGGCTGTCGGCAGCGCTGGGGACAGGACAGAGACCGATGTCAAGATATGTAAGAAGGTTGCGAGGAAACAGGCGACAAGGGAGCTTAGTTTTGAGCGCGAGCTTGAGAGGGTGTGCTGAAGGCAGTAACACTTGACGTTAAAAGAACGCGAGTTGTGTCTCACTTAAGGCGGCCTAGCGCGGTGCCAAATCGCCCACAGCCACACCAAAACCCACCAAAACCCACCGAACCCACCAAACCACCGAAAACCCAGTCTTGCCCGGTTCAGGACCGGGATCACGGCCATGATCAGCAGCCACAGAGAAGGCGACCAAAACGGTACGGCCCTTGACTACCGTCGCAGAGCCGTGCCAGTGCCGGCCGCCCCAGTCCACAGCAAGTCCCATCGTGAAGACATCGAGAAGTCGACAAGCTGCGGCTTTGTGAGACATCCATCCCCCGCTGACACACGAGAGGCAGCCAACATCCCGAGGGACCAGCAGCCAGTGAGCACACACACCGAATTCCGGATTCTCCCAGCCCCTGCACGAATCAGGCGCCCCAGTGTGGCTCGTCTTCGTATGGATTTGAGATTAGCTTCTGAGTCCATCAGCCATCCCCCCTTTATCTCCCAAGTCGTCCTCATCGACACCCAGGCCTGGGCAGAGTGAGACCTCATGGCCTGCTTGGACTCTGAAAGGGGAGAGACCAAGGTCAACAGCAGCAATCAGGAGGCGTGTGGCTGACGACCCTGGGCAAGACTGAGAGCGCGGGACATAAAAAGGATAAAAGCCGATCCTCGCACATCTTGTAGACTCGTCGATCCCCCCAATCACCCAGAATCCCATCGCGTCCGCCGTTGCCGCTGAGCTTTGCTGCTGCCGTCCCCCCGCATCCCACGGAGCCTCATCACGTTTCTGCGCCGGCCCCCCTATCTTTTTATGCGCTAGAGTCCCCTCATATCGACATCGACCTTCCTGTTCTTGATTGATACAGTGCCTCTCCAAATCGAGAGACGCTGGCACGGTCACACAGCTTCCCCTCACCAGTATCCCAGTCCTGCACAGCTTTCTGTCGTATCGACAGCGAGCACCGCATTGCCGATATCTCGCACCCCTCCCATCTCGTTGCCATCAGAGTGCACGATCGTCGACACGAATATAATACAAGCTGTCCAAACTGGCAATCCGGGGAGGCCCCCTTCAAGGAAGAGGAACAACAGCAGCCGTCCCACCCGCCACCTGAATACATCAAGGTCGCTGGAGAATCTCGATTTGAGGATTTGCAGGCTTCGCGTCGAGCATTGACAAACGAGCGCTCACAAGAGCTCATCAGGATTTATTGATTACGGGAGAGGGCAGTTTTATTCCCCAGGCCACGCCCCCGTTGTTCTCTCCGCCTTTGGCGTTCGACTTTAATCAACCCTGCCGTGCTTGAAATAACCAGACGCAGCAGGCCGGGCCAGCACAGCTCCCAGGTCAGCACTGCACTCAGCACTCAGCAGTCATACCATCCCAGATCAGCACGCAACAAGCAGCGCGCATATATCAGCAACACGAGGGCGAGATCAGGGCACGGGGGAGACTGATATTGATATTGGCATTGGTATTGGCATTGGCACTAGCATTGGTATCGACATCTGGAGTTGCTCTGGCAGCAGCGCGGCCTCACTGAGGTTCAACGACTGCGCTAATAAGTTACCTTAGCGCTGGCTCGCCAAGCAAGCGACACCACCACACCCACACTCACACCCACACCGACATCGACATCGACATCGACACCGACACCGACACCGACTTCCCTCCAACTTCAGAGGAGAAGAGAAGAGAAAGACAGGGAGGAGAGAGGAGGACAGCGAGTCGATTATTATTGATTGATTGAGTGACTCCCCGTCCGTCGAATCCTCCGCTCCACTCCACTCCACTTCACTACTCCCACTCCCACTCCCCTCTCATCCATCCCACTGCCATTGCCATCTTCGCCCACACCTGGTCGTCGCCTTCGCGCCCCAATCACTCCAATCACCCCAATCAGCCCCGACCTCCACCCCCCGTCAATCCCACGGTCAACCTCCGAAAATCATATTCTCTCCGCTACGCCTGCCCGCAACCACGAACCACAGCCCCGACTCCTCTCTCGACACGACTGAAGTTCCTTCATTCTTCCATCAACGTCGCACAACACCAAACCCGCCCACCTCTCTCCCCTCCAGACCTCGCTGTCCTGCGATCCGCCCTCATTGTGTCACCCTCGGTCACTCCAAGCCGAGCGAAACCGCCTACAGTCCGCACCCACTCCCTCGACCGCCCTATCTGAGGCTGCCGCAATCCATCGTAGACTTTTCTACACAGCGGCTGTTTAGCATCCTCGACTGCTCTCCGCAGCTCCTAGCGCATCCTAGATAGGTAACTATCTCCCCCTCCATCATTGTCCATTTTCATGTTCCCGACGATCCCGTCAGAGCTGTCACTTCTCCCGTTAATTGACGCTCTGTTAGACAAGGACCCCTCTCGAGAATATCCGCGCGGAATCCCCCTTGTGTGCCAGAGCAGACTGTCCGTGGTAGCATAAACCCTAGCAAGCATCGGAGCCTACGAGATCCTCGACATTATTGCCGTCCAGCTTCGAAACAGACGTTGTACTCGCGCCTCTGACCATCGCGACAAAGTCGCCCGACGTAAGTGAGCATTTTCTTCGAGTGCCCAGCACATATTCATACAGCATCTGGCAGCGAGGAGGGCTGCAGACCTGCTCATTCAGCATTGCTCCAAACAGACTCAGCGTCAACTTCGATTCTTTTATCAACCCACCACGCCTTCCTCTTTCTCTTCACCGGGTTGCCAAGTTTTTCTTGCTTGCTTTTTCTATTCTGTAGCGATCTTTGAGGATCCAACAGAGGCTAATGTTTGTCACACACTCTAGCTATTACAATTGCTGCTCCAGAGCACCTCTCAGACAAGCTTTTACCATCTACATTGTTGTCATAATCTGTCATACGACTTCTGAGTAGAGGACGAACATGGCTGGCACGGGTGCGTCCAGCCCATTCATCAAGGACGAACCCGAAGATCAATTCTTCTCGTCCCATAACAACCAACGATTCATTGGAGGCGCCCAACAGGGCTTCAACATACCGCAGCAACATTTCAACCAATTTGGCCCACACGGAGGAAGCATCAATCCAAGCGACCTCACGATGGGTACGAATGGCGTCGCCATCCCGAATGGTGGATATGGATCTTCTTTCCAAAATAACTTCAATGCCCAGGCATCAAATCCTAGCGCAAGTTTTTCGAAGGGCATCTCGACATTTGGTGATGACGAACTACTTGACAGCCTGGGATCTTCAAATCAAGCGGGAATGCAGAGCAACGGCCAAGAGTTTGGCATGGACTTCGATTTCCCCCAGAACATGTACAACGGCCAAAATGGTGCTGCGGCGTTATCGGTCGACCCAAATCACATAAATGGGTTCTCGAACACTCCGGATGGAGATCCAATCCAGAGCCCTTTTGTTCACAACTTTAACCACGCACAATTTCGACATATGCAGCCTCAACACGCCTTCGGAAACTCTTTACACTCGCCCAATTCCTATACTGGTTCACCCGTTCCTGGATCAGACACACGGGATGCAAGCAATTACGCAAAACAACGGCCACGGTTGTCCCAAGTAATGCAAGGCAGAAAGAGCTCTAATACCAGAAGCCCGTTGACCCCAAAGACTCCGGTCATGTCAGCTCTTCATATTGGTTCTGCCGAACATTCAAACTTCCCAACAGAGCCCATTCGAACCTCACACAATCACCGACATCAGAAGACTCTGTCTGGTCAGTGGGACCAGACTCCAAGCAGTCTCAACTCTTTCGGCGGTTCGGATTTCTCACCAATTCAAGGCATCCATCCGAATCCGGCAATCTCTGATATCCTCAAAGGCACGTCAATGCCAGCGAAGCTGAATAACGGTCACCAAGCTGGCAGTGCTCCAGCGTTACAGTCTCAAGAAATGAAGAGGAGAAGACGACGCGAGTCTCACAACTTGGTAGAACGTCGAAGACGCGATAACATCAACGAACGCATCCAAGAATTGAGTCACCTTGTTCCCATGCACCGGCTGGAAGATGAGAAAGTCCGCAAAGCACTGCAGAACAACTCGCCGTTGTCACCTACCCTCGCAGGACTGTCAGCACCACCCAGCGGTATGAGCCCCCCTCAAGCTACATCGGGGCTAGCTGGGCCAGGAGCACGAAGAGCCACTGCTGGCAATATCACCACAGGCATCCCAATTGAAGAAAAGGATAAAGGCCCCAACAAAGGCGACATTCTCAACGGTGCCGTGAGCTGGACTCGCGACTTGATGTGGATGCTTCATCTTAAGCTTCAACAGCAAGAGGATCTTGCAAACATCATTGCCGAATTGGGCGGAACCTTCCCATTTGAAGAGACCGAGGATGAGAAGCGAATGCACACCGAGCTGATGGATGCTATGTTGAAGAATGATGGGGCAAAATTCCACTATTCACGCGCTCCCGGAAGCGGTCTTCGAGTTCCAAAGCACACCGATGTCAAGGGGGATGCTATCGGTAGTTCAGCTCAAGGAGGTCAACTCGACACATCGTTGAGCCCCGACAATCACAGTACTGGTGATGCTGGCAATGCAGGCATGGGTGGTCCAGGCCAGTATTGGAGTGGACACAACAGTGGTGGCAGTGGCGCAGGCTCGATAAGCTTCAAGGAAGAAGACGAGTATGGAATGGATCTTACTCAATAAACGTCCTCGTTTGCTGTATTCATTTGCATTACGATGAGTTGCTTTCACGATCACCACTGATGGGATTTTACTTTTCTTTTCACGGATAGGGTTAGGTTTCAGAATCTGGGCATACATGGGTTTTTTGTCTTCGTTGCTCCTACTTTCCTCATACTATTTTAACTTTTGCTCGGCGTTCGTGCATTCGGAGGTAGTTTTGGAGCAGTCAATAGGAAAGGCTTGGCGTTGCTTGAGTGTACTCGCAGAATACGAGTTCCAGCATGGATGTTTTGATGTTTTGCACTGGCTGCTTGTCGTTCGCTCTGGGTCGCAGCATTCATCCCTCCATATGTTGTTATTACATTAGTGTTTATTGCCTGTTTTGACTGGCACGATGGCCACGCTGTGATACCTTTGCATTGCTGTACCTTTGCTACCCATCTCAGACAATGAATGGGCTCTCCTCTGTTCGGGCTCAGGCGTCTTATCTACTTACGTGCTTGCCTACCTTATGCAGACGTTACTGATTATGAAATATACCACCTGAACATCTTGATCATCGTCTTCATCTTGCCTGGTGTCACTGTGGAAATATAGCTGTCGAGTTCTTGAAGCACAAGCTTGAAATTCACGATCACGACGGCAGCACTCTTGTGAGTCTTAAAATCTCCGTCAAAAGTCAATTCATTCCTGGGTATCATCTACTCAAATCACAACGCCACCCTCAACTTCCGTAAAACCCCCTAGTACGCAGAAAAGCTACCACCCATAAACTTACCAGTGTTTGCAAGAAAGTAAATGCTCATGATAGCTCAGTAGAATTCCCCAAGTCTCCTTACGTTTGCGATTTTCTTGCAGAGCAATCATCTCCAGCGCTTCGCAGCCGTTGAAATACTTGGTGAACTTGGTCCAGCACTCCTTAGACTTGGGCTCCGTGAATCTCTTGCCAAGAGCTGCGATGTAGAGAGACTCTTCATGGGAAACCTTGTGAGGATCTTTGATGATGTATGGAGGGATGTGCTTGAGATGCTCAGCATTGTTGATTGATGGGTGCTCGGTAGCAACAGGGTTTGGCATCTTGGCAAAATCTGCGGCGGTTTCTGCGGCTTCTTTTGCGAGCTTGTCTGCAAGTCGTTCAAGACGAGCGTTCTCAGCGACCTGCTCGGTGGTGAGTGGGGCAGATGGATCGATGCTGCTGTGTTTCTCCGGACTGGACTCGTCGGTTGACTCTGTCGACTCGCTCGATCCACTCTGTGATTTGGCACCCTTCCTCGACTTCTCGATAGCCTCGGACTTAAGCTGGTATTGGACTTCGTAAATGATCTCAGGCCAGACGAGGATCCAGGCGAAGGTGCGCAACTGTGTAACCCATCCGCCACGAATAAGCCATGCAATCATATCAAGGTAGGTTGGACGGTGGTCCTTGCTCGGTGCAAAGTTTTTGAAAGGACGAGGAGCTGTCGATAGGGCTGCAAGAAAGCCTGGGAGAGAGGGAGCAAGTGGGAAAGCCTTTTTCCATGCAACGCTTGCCAGTGGTAGCTTACGACTGTCACAGTTTGGGGAGACAATATACATTTCGCGAGCGTGAAGAGGCGGGATTGCGATGGCTCGACGCCAGTAGATGAGGTGTTGAGCAAGAACTAGAAGACTATTGAGATCGACGGCGTTGGTCTGCGCAACTTGGAGGAACGAGAGAGTTGGCTTGCAGAGTCGGATACATTCGATCAGTGGTTCCGAGAGGTCAGTATCGTCGGCTTGGATCTCGGCAACGATCTTGCTTTCATCGTTGAGGAGGAGGAGAGCGAAATGTTTGTTGAGATGCGTAGGATCCTCGTTGCCTTCTTCGTCGACGAGTGGATTAGCGGTTGTGACGAGTAGTCCCGGCATGGCCTTATCGGCGGAGGTTGGGAGGCTCATTAGGAAATTCGGAATAGGGACTTGGAGTGACAAGTCCAAAGGAGGCTTGGTTGCAAAGCGGACCGTAGCAATCTTGTCGCTGGAGATTGCAAGGTAAACATCTCGAATCGCAGCAGCGAGTGTTGATTTGATCAAGATTTCATTCCACAACCAACTCATCGGACGTCCTGCCTCCTTGTGAGTATGAATTATGGATACAGATTGTAGTGACTTACGCTCTTCCCTTGCCTTTTCCTTCATGGAAAGCATCATCTCAGACTCCTTCCAGACGTAATTCGCAGATGCTTGGGCATGCTTTAATGCCTTGTTGAACTTCTTGATGACGTGCTCATATATGTCCTTGATCTTTTCTCTTGCCTGATCCTTCCGAGGATTGAGGATGAAAACAGCGTTGAACATTGTCATTCCTCCGTGGTCATCGCCGTCTTCAGACGCATTACCGGGCTTTTCTCCGAGGCTGACGTCCTTCATCTCTTCTTCAATCGATGTCGTCTCAGCTGGGGCCGCGCTGGGTTCGGATGCTTCGGTCTTGGACTTCTTGGCCTTCTTTGGCTTCTTCTTTTTCCAAAGGCCATCCTCCCGGATGTGTATGGGATAGGTGATAAAGATAAGAGGATCGAGAGACATCTCGAACTTCTTCTTGTGATATGCTCGTGATGGTGTCAAAATGCTCTCTAGATCGGTGGTATCAAACTCGAAGAGATGCTCCCAGGGGACGACATGTTCGCCATTCGGTTTGTCGTAATGGTCGTCTCCCTCCAGATCCAACTCTACCACGTGATTCTTCAGCTTGGGCTTGTCCTCCTTCTCAACCTTGTTGTGGCGAGGAAGGGAGTATCCACCATCTTCAAGATCCGACTCATCGCTGCCAGCCTCTTCCAGCAAACTTTCCTCAACTTCGCTCTCGTCTAGCTCTGTTCCATAGAGCCTCTCCTCTTGCGAGGCTTCGGTGGAGGGTCGGGGAGGGTAGTGGAAGACAAACCGTGGACCATCCCTGGATCTGATGATCAGAGCAACGGCAACGAGGCCAGAACAGCGAATGGGGGTTGTTATTGAAGCCATCTTTTGGAGCACTTCATTTAGGTGCGCCAGATTTGTCCTGGATGGTCGATCAGGCCTAGTGACTCTCTATGGAGGAGGGGCAGGGGCTGGCAGGCGTGCTTGGATGTTGAGGCGCCATTGCTAAGACGTCCGTGCGCTGTAGCGAAATGACCCCTATTGTTCACAAAATGCCACCTGGAGGATGTGTCCGGGGGTAGTTTGCACTATGCAGATTTTTAAGGAATTTAAAGTTAAAAATTTTATGAGATTCGATATTCTGGAGGCTTCAATTTTCGCGGAGCTTGCTTTAAAATTTGCCAAAATGATGTCGTTCATCACACGTTTGGTAGCCTCTGTGAGAATAATGTTCGGGAAAACGGTCAATGGTTCACAGGTGTAAATTGAAATTAGGGCTCTGTAAAGGCCAGGAATAGTTTGTATTCAGGTATGTTCTGGCCAGTGGATTTCACACAATGCTTGAAGTTGCGGTGTTACACAGGGACCGTAGTAAGAACATTCATTCATGAAAGGTATCTTTCTACTCGCTAACTAGATAGCTTCCCTTCACCTTGTAGAAATTGGGCAATGGAGATTCAATCCTATCAGTTGGTGACTAACTTTCAGGTACTCTATTATGTTTGCAACTAACGCCCTTGATTATAATGAAGGTCAAATGGATGAGCCAACAAGAGGTATCTCAGAGTAGACCAGTCTGTCACAGTCTGAATAGTTTTCAGACAGCGTTATTGGCATAAAAAATAATTTTGAGTCTGTTCAACTATTCAGTCACTTAGTCGTCTTCTATGACCCTATAGGCAGATTGTTGGCTGATTGAACGGCTGTTGGGCTCTGTTACGTTTGTTCCCCATGGCCATATCCAATGCTCCAGGCAAAAGTTGAGTGTTTTCATCCCTGTACAACTCAAACTAAAAGCAGTAAATGATTCGAAGATTTGAACAAGTCTTTGGAAAACGGTTCCGAGTTTAGGAACCGATGCTCTTCAATACAGAGGGCGATATGTTTGATGAAGAGACATGTCTATCTAGCTTTCTTTGGATTCACTTCACTTCTCTTTATCTAAATACAAATTCAACTACAATTAACAAATCACCTGGTAGTTTAAACACCTTCGCATAACTCCTCCATATGTGCTACACTTCCCCTTCATTCATAGTCATCCAATTTTTGCGTGTTCCACCTAATCCGTTAAGCACTGAGCGTATACTCACATTCACTATCTTGTGATACGACGTGCAATTGTTTATTAGCACTCACTTTCAATGCCATTTGGCATAATTGAAGTGTCTTTTGCAATAAGATGATCAAAACAGGGCGAAAGTGGCAGTCAGGTAGCGGCTAGGAGAGTGGTGAAGTGAGGAAGAAAGCCCAATGGTAAGTTAGAAGGGAAATAGGCAATAGATAACAACAAAAAATGGTTGATTTCTGGAACGTTTAGTGTAGATATTAGGATGACCCTTAAACTAAATGTACATTTTCTTTTTGGGCTGTCAAAGTATTAGTTTTAAGGAGCAATCTTTGGAGTGTCCTGTTAACCCCCCGGAACTCCACAATACCCAACCGAACGCCTTCTACATGCCAGAAAAATAGGCCGGTATGTGCTCCAAGTCTCTACCACCGCAGCTCACCCTTCTTCCCTTTCTCATCCCCTTCCTTTTTAAGCTCAGCCGCCGGTTTGCCGTCACCAAATCCCAGATTTTTGAATTCGTCCTTGGCCATGAGATTCCTCCAAATAACGTCAGCAGACTATATCAAGCCCGAATCTTGTAATTCAACGTACCTGTCCATTCTACAGCCCAAATATGATTTCGCCAAATTCCTGCACTCGTCGTCGTTCATGCCCTTCGACTTCTTGATGCACGATAGATAGCCAATCATGACATCTTTGCATTCTCCTGGCCATGCATTAGATCAGCAGATATTCTTGCAACCGTTCAACCCCAAGGATAGACTGAGCAAAGCTCCAGTCTCGCAGGAGAATCGTACCATCGTGATCGAGAGGAAAGCTTCCTCGCTCGGGTCTGCATTGACGTCAGCTCCTCGTGCTATGTGACATTGATCATGTAACTCACGGAGTAGGTTTACTATTTACCGGGCGACCGCCCGGCGCTCCAAATCCGCTCATTTCGTAGGTGGTATTGAATGGTCTTGGTGAAATCGAATTTGACGATGTCGGAACCTTTTTGAAGCTCTCGCCGACGCTAAACCCCGGATCTCTGCCCCACTTTCCGTTTTGGGTTCTCTTCAGGTCAAAGACCCCTTGGTTTGCCTCTAAATTCTCTCTCTGAAGCTTGATTGAACTTTATTCGCTTAGAAATTGGTTCTTATACCTTCTGGGATTCTGTTGGATTTAAAGGATCAAGCGAGCGGAGAGACACGAGTACAGTGGTAGTGGTTGTAGGAAAGTGGAGGAGTTTCTTCGGCTCTCATTGACACAAGTGTCTTCCTTCCACGCCAAGACTTATCTTACCATTTTGCTTTCGAAACTGCAGACAAGTGCAATCGCAAGAGCAAGACTCACAATTGCAGCTATTGGTGTATTATTTCGCAGTATTTGCCTACTGGTACTTTCGCCCTCGGCTGCAAGCTGACCAAGCGATTTCAGCACGGTGCTTCCGTCACACCATGAGTGGAGACCTTACACGAGTATTTTACCTTGCCATGAATTTCACGGTGCCTTCAAGTCGTTGCACAGAAGCGCCGTTAAACTCCTGTCAACTTGACGGACTTGCCTTCTTGCCCGAGCCATGCTAATGACATTTCATCAGCTCTCTCTTAACGGCATGGCAGGCTTCAAATTTCGGCCTTCAAACACCCTACAATTTGCTTCAGTTCAAGCCTTCAGCTCTGAACCTTCTACCAGAAGCACGTTGGCCTTAAATGCCCAACACCTCCCACTTTGCCAAAGGAGACCTTGGCCTGCTCCAAAATGGTCACCTGCACAGCATCGGCGAGAGGCTGGGACAACCTTCTGGCAGCTGCTCAAACATCCTTCCCATTAGTGGAAGCTACTGGGATTGGAGCAAGTCGCAGGACCAACCAGAGTATCGAGAGATTCGACACCTTTTTTCGATTACCGTCATGCTCGACAAATCAATCACTCAGCAGAAACCACGCATCTGGGCTCACAAATGATGGCCTAGTACGGGCGTGCAACAACGCCACATTTCCCGAAACCACTCAAGCCTGACAACGTCCGGCCCACGCATATTCCCGTCCCGCTGTCTTAATCGCAAACAAGCATTTCAGGGATCGGCACTAAAAGATTGCTCTCGATTGTTTGCAAGCCACGCTATCATACTCTGTTTAAAGGCGCCACTAAACTAGCACCGTAACCGTCCTGCAGCCTTGACCGCTTATTTGCCATCCGTCCCGTCCCAATCGTTATCGTGAGATTCGTTATGATTTCCTAACCTAGCAAATAGAGAAGCAACGCAGACAAATGAAAAACCGAGGAGATTCGTAATCCTTCCCTGACCCAGCCCACAAATTCTCCGATCCAAAGGAATTTAGTCCAATCCTAGCACCCATGGCTCTGTCCCCCGCGTACCCAACGATCCGGCCCGTCCGTATCTACGCTACCCTGCCCAACTGTGGTATGGCCGACTCGGTTCGGAAACGTGTGATGTTACAAGCTTGCGTCGAGGCAGGTCACTTGCAGCGTTGCTTAATGATGATGGCGGGGAGCTGTGCACAATGATTGAAAATCAGTTATCATTCTTTATGCAAGGATTTGTGCTTGCGTGATTCTATTTCTCTCCATCCTGTGAAAACACCGATGACATAACTCCAATGAAAATAACGAAAATGCTGATCATCACCATCAGAGGAGGTAGAATGTTGTAACGCGTGCGCTTTCGACATATCATAATGGATTGCAAGCGACTTCACGAAATCCTCGTGACGATCGTACTCGTGGACGTCGTGAAGTCTGAAGGAGCTCAGCTCAGGAGTCGCTATGTGTTGATGACCAAAGCGAAAGAGGTGGTGGCGTACATGATGAGGACGTCTATCTCCCATTGTAGCCGACGGGAGGGGCGGGAAGGGCGGAGGTTGAATAGTATGGGTTGTCGTCGATGTAGCGGGGCCCTCGCTCATAACCATCATCATACGGTGCTTGAGTGTAACCGTTGGTTTGGCGTCTCCGCCCACCACTTTCGCTCCCCTTTGAAGGAGTTTTCCTTTGTCGCTCGAGACGCTTCTTGTGACGCTCCTCTTTCTTCTCTCGGAACTCTCTACACTCGTGCCGCATCTCGTTCGCCTCCTTGATTTCTGAGATTGCTCCCTTGATACCGAGTGCTGCAATTCCAACAGATGCGGCGTCCTGCAATGTAGCCTTGGCCTTGAGCTTCCGTGCTTCCTCCGGGGTCATCTCTCCTTCCTGCACAGCTTTGTGTCTCGCATCGCGTTTCTCCATGCTCTGATAGATGTTGTGTGCAGCATGGATGGTTGCAACAGTAGCCAAACCAGCTGTAAGAAGTTGCTTACCTTTCATCTTCTTGATTCGCTTCTCATCACCTGACGAGGACCCCAAGCTGCTATCCGAATCCGAGGCATCCTGTTTCCCCTCTGCAATACGCTTATTCCTCTGTCCGTCTTTCTGGCGAGCGGAGCGGCCACCCGCACCACTCCTCGAACCGACGTTGCTTGAGTGCGAGTCGGCATATCGTGAATCCCCATAAGGGTCACCACGAGACTCGGCGTATCCACCAGCATCCCGAGAGCGTCGGGAATCCCTGTAGTCCTCATCAGATCCGGATCCTCTTCTACTACCACCGCCTCGGTGAGTTCGACGGATATGGGTCTCCTCGACCTCCCTCACATTCTCGCGTGATTTTCCACCTTCAGCCGCCTCACCAATTCCAAAAACAGCAAGACCCTTTCTGGCGAAGTCTGTGACACTCTTGCTTCGTTTGCGGTCTTTGCCACGTTTTGGGGACGGGCTTCTGCTATCATAGGAGTCCGGGCTGTCTCTGCGTCGTCGGGAATCACCGCCGCGGGATCGAGAGCGAGAGCGGTCCAGCAACTTCTTTCCTGCAAGTGCTCCCAAGCCAGCTGTAGCAAGCGCTGCGAGACCAGCTCCTGCACCACCCCCTGATGGGCCTCTGGATCTTGATCGTGATCTACCACCCCGGCTTGATTTGCCGTCGTCTTCCACAGTGCTTCGTGGTCCATTGATCACGCGGTTACCAGCAAGGCCTCCCACCACAGCCTCGAGGATGTGACGCTTGCTCTTCTTGTCGGGATCACGGTCTGCTGCTGCATCGATACCACCAGCTCCGATAGCCGCAGTGAGAATACGCTTCCCCTTGACTCCTGCCCATCCTCCGGGTTCATTCCTGACACGGAAAGCTTCAGTGGCACCGGCCAGAAGCGCGGCCTTGGCTGCCTGCTGATATTTGGCAGCTCCTTCTGGAGCCTTGCCACTGCCCCCTCGAGACCGTGAGCGTCGTGAGCGACTATCATCGAAGCTGTCGTCACTCCCGCGCCTGCTGTGGCTCTTGTTCCCTGTAACGGCTTTCGCAGCAGCGCCTAGGCCTGCGAGACCCAAAGCGCTCTCGACAATAGACTTACGACGACTCTTCTTTTTGTCGCCCTTCACGGTTTCTTCGTCCGAGGAGTAGTACTCGGCTACCTCGCCATTCCGGCCACGGTGAGCAACATATGTCTTCACCTTCTCCTCGGACTTGCCAGCATGCTTGGCGTAAAGTTCGGCACCTTCGTAGGCTGCAAATGCACCGGCTGCGCCTACAGCGGCTGTTTGGATGACATTGCGAGAGACTGGACCATCTCCTGCTTGTTTACGATCCCAGAACTCTTTGCCCCCAACGGCCAAGGCTGCTCCACCAACCGCAGCGATGATCTTCTGGTTTCGCGACAGCGACCGGCGGCGTGGCTTGATCTCTTGTTCTGCGTAGACCATACTCTTACGGCTGTGACGATCGTCCAAGTCGCGATCTGACCGGCGAGGGTCACCAAGGTATGCTCCATATTGTGAACCACGTTCGGCGGATCGGGAGCGAACTGGCGGCCCGTACCGATCCTCTCGTACCAAAGCTCGTTGTTGAACGTAAGCGCCGGCTGGAGGAGGGAAATCTCTTCTGACTTCTTCGATTGAGAGGTCACTGTCTTCGCGAACAGGCCGTCGTATCATATCGGTAGTTCGCCCAGCATACGGTGGTTCAGGCGCGGCTGCGACGGGGGATCGAATATAGGTTTCTTGCGTTTGTTCGACATACCGAGGGTCTCTATCATCTCTGCCGCGATCTCTATCACGATGGGACCTGTGGCGGTGTACCCGCCGGTCATCATCGTAAGGATCCATTGCAGACATTTTGGTGGATGTAAAGCGGCTGTTGCTTCGTGCGATGCGACCGAGGCTGCTCCTGCCAAGTGTGTAAAGCGTGTGCTAGAATAGAGGCTTGACGAGTCCGAAAATTGATGGCACGTAGTGGAGCGTCGAGAACTCGACAACGATGCGCAAGTCGCCAATCGTTAATATAGACTCGGTGTCGTTGTGAAAGTAAAAGTGGAAGTGAAAGTGCAGGTGAATTTGAGAGTGAAATGCATGCGAAAGTGGTGAATGTGAATGTGACTGCGCTGTGCTGGATGACGGAAGGAAGGGAGGGACAACTGATGGAGGGGCAGAAGGAGATGCGGTGAACGCCTGATCCAGCCCCAGCCGCCCAGGCAGACTGGCTCCGTTTCCGTTCGACACCGAGCACAGATGCAAGTATTTGCCTCGATAGGCGTCGGGGTCTGACTTCACAGCTCGAACTCATTGGGCATTGGAAGGGGGGGCAAGGGCCCAAGGGGTAAGGGAATCCACATTTCTGCATCGAATCGCCCGATTTCGTTGGCGTTTCACTCGGTGCGCGCTGCAGCAGTACGGATACGCTGCGAATGTGCCCTGCCTCCGCCGGCGAGCTGAAATTTACTGTACCATCATCGTGCAGACCAGGCTGGCATTGCCCTTCGCCACACCCGCACCAGACCAAGTCAAGTTATTTCTTTGCTGGCACAGTATTTCTCATAGGGCAGCCCCCTCGAACAGGGCCATGGCATGCCAAACAACATTCCGACACTTCAGGGCCGCCCAAACCAACCCTTCTCCCGAAGAGCTCACAACCATCGTCATCTGGGCTCTGGCATCTTGAGCCCAACCAAGCATCTGCTGCACGACCAAATGGACGGACAAGCCACTGACTCTGGCACTGCTTGCGCGGCAGCGGCGAGCTCAAGGCTCGAGCTCAGTCGGTGGCCCCCCAGTGAGCGAGCTGTGGTTGAAAAGGGGGAGGGGCGGGGGCCAGGTCTAGGGGTCTCCTGAACGCTGCGCCACTTATGGCTGAGATGTACGTCTGTCATGTCATTCTTGCCTCTTCTTCTCAAGAAAATGAGGTGCCGGGGTCACACTGCCCGGATCACGAGGAAGCTGATTTCGGTGTGGGCGTGGGTGTGGTGAGGTGTGGATGTGTCGATGTGATGTGTGTTGGTGACGGTCCAAACCTACTTGGAGCGGCCGCGACTCCCACAGTTCCAACCCCCCATCCGCGGCACGTGTAAGGCACGTGTCAGGCACGTGGTGTCGTTGAGAACCAACCTTACCTAATCTAATGATGTCATAGCACGTGACGCAATGCACAAAAAGCGTTAGAAACATCGAGCGGGTACTGGTACTTCCGTACTTTCTGTCGTCTCCTGAATCCTCGTCTAACTGTCTCTCCTGAATTTCGTCTCGCAGTTTCTGTCTCCAATAATGATTCGGTAAGAGATACGCTGTTGTGGGACGTTCTTCTGAAAGCTGCATCCACCACACATTCTGTATCTTGGACAATGGCTCTACGCTGGCCTCGGATTTGCAACATCTGGAAGCATATCAGCTAAGTGGCCCCGCTCCCAATCCTATCTTTCCACAAAGCGCAGAGCAAGGCGTGCCTCTCCCTCTCTCCTGTTCACTGCAACGCTCCACCCTTCGAGAGAGCGCAGCACTTTCAGCCACATTTGAATCTGGCTGCGGCTGCGGGGTCGCTTGCCGAATCATCATCGGCTTCAAACCAGGTTTCTGAGCAGATGGCAGAGCTTCAAACTAAACGGCAAGCATTTTTCCCTGGCCCAAGTACTGCAAGAACTCGGCAAGGCCCGTGACATTACTTTCGTTGGTTGCACTCTGCTTCTGTACCTTGAAATTGCCCTTGTCTGATGTACTTTCGCTTCCATGACGCTTCCCAATCAATGAACATGGTCTGTCATAAACTTGGCAAGGCCAAGGATGGGAAAGTTAAATTGAATGAGCTATCCTCTACTCGTCTTTCCGCTCTGTGATCGTTAAGAAGAGAAAGAAAAATTATATAGTCCCTCTATTACCCAGCTCATCAGAGATGTTGGCGTCAATCTTCACAGTAGTCCTTTTGAGTATCACTGTTCTGGCCGCCGAACAAGGAAAACGTCAAGCAACCAATGCAGCTCAGTTCACCGCGGCTGCAGACCAACTCATCTCTGAGTATATTCCTTCAACTGCACTCCTGTTGTCTCTAGGAGACTCTGGAATCTGCTCCTTTCTTTGTTGTTTGGAGACCTGCATATCTTTGATATGACAGGCTCTTTGTTCTGCAGGTGTATTTAGCAGGAGCTCTTGCCTCTGAGAGCTTCTCTTCCTTAAGTCAATGAAGCACATTCTCAGAGTTCTTCTACTCCTTGCGCTAGAGGCAGCAGTCAGTTCTGCTGCTGGTGCTGCCTCAGTCGCCGGTGATCCACTTTCTCTCATCTACGATGGACTGCTTGCAATCAATATGCCTGGGTGGTTCTCATCGGCTATACCTAGCGACATGGCAACTCAAATTGCGGCTCTCGAATCAAACATCAACGCACTCCGCGTGACATCCACCGATGGGAGCGTCACGGTGGCCATAATCACAACAACAGACTCTGAAGGACGCACCCTTACGACCAGTTCAATCTCAACACTCTCTATATTATCTATCACCAACACAAGCGGCGTCACGGCCACCACGTATGTTTCTCTCTATTCCATGCCCATGCCAAATAATTTAACACAAAACAGGACGACCACAGCAGGTTTAGGTGCCGGTTTCTCAACTTTGACAACTGAGGTCATTAACGGCGCCACGTCCGTCTTCTCCGTTGCAGTCAGTGGGGCCTCCAGCGTGGCCTCCAAGGCCTCCAGTGTCGTGGGGGGAGCAAGCAGTGCTTTGAAGTCTGCAAGTGGAGCAGAGCGAACTCAGGTCTCAGGATGTGCAGCTAGTGTGATTGGGCTTCTTGGATTGATGGCAGCATTGTGATAGCTGTTGAAGACGAAATTATGACTGGAGTTCAGGACCTGTCCGCTAAGTAACAACTAGAGTTTGCTTGTATAATGCCTAATAAATCGAACAGGACTCGAGGTGAACAGAAAAGGTTTTGCTTATTTTCAATGTTCCAATCCAGAAGTGGGACATTTGAAACACCCAACTTGACTACTCCCTTTGAATATCCAGGTCCTCGAGAGTATTGAAGTTCATCTAGCTTCGAATGCAGTGAATATACAACTTGATTCAGGATATTGAGAATTAATACCGGGGTTTCGTCCACCGCTGGACTGGCTTCCCCAGAATGTGGTCAGCCTCGATCTTAAACCTAGGAACTTGAATGAATGGATACATGACGGAACTTCAGAAATTCCGAAATCTTCTCGTTCAGTTCTAGCTTCGGGAGCCATTGAGAAAACTCATCATGCTTTGGGCGCGAATGTCCCGTGATTTAAGTTTTTCTCCCTGGGAAACCTCGTGTTATGCCGCGAAACAGAGCGGCTTGGCGCAACAAGAGGTTAACGGCTCGTGTGTGGCTGTGTTTCTTCCCACACCGAAATTGCCCATCCTTTCAGACTTTCATGCGCTAAAGACAGAAGAACCTCGGACCCTCATTGTCGCCCGTTTTACAACTCCGTTGACACTATTCACTCTGTGTATCGCAAGTATTCGGAATATCCTCCCTCGACCAAACCGCCGAAACAATGCGGAAAACAGAAACACGTGTCTGCAAGTGTGGTGCGACGACGTCGAATGAAGTTTGCCAACCCGCTGTGGCTGAAGCTGTGCCAATTTTGCGCGCCTCGACTTGGACCAATTTCCGTGGCTGAGCGTTGGGCTCTGGGGGCTGAAGATGCAAGACAAAAGTTGCATATTCTCTGACGAGCGTACGGACCAACTTCTTTCCCCGAAGGCTATTTGACAGTTCAAAGGATGAACATTAATTCTTTTCCTCTATTTCCCCCAGGTCGTCGCTCCGAAGGCCTTTCTCTCTTCCAATTCTCGTCTGAGCTCGCACCATGGGCAACATCCTCAGCGGCCCGAACTCCCAGAACACCTTAGCCCTCTCAGCGCTGATTATCTCTCTCGTAGCTCTTCTCACGACAGTTCTCCAGGTCCTCCAACAATACTACTCCAGTGCCGAGGGGTATCGAAGATGTGCAGAATCTGTAATGGGCCTCTGGGCCAAGGGGACGCATCGGAAGCTACGCTTCCAAGAGTTCAGAATAGAGGTGGTCTTTGAGACGCCAGTAATGTTCACAGCACACCCGGACAACAAACGTGGCCCAATTCAAGGCCGAGAAATACATTACATTGACGGCACCGATGAATCGTACAATAATACGCGTGTTCTTGGGCCGCGAGCTCAGGAGAAGGTCGAGGCTGAGGCAACGGCGAGGGTACATACTGCAGATGATGAACGAGCTTCTTGGGTCACTTTACTATCAACTCTCCAGCTCAAAGAATCCATGTCAAGGAAATGGGACATCGAATATCGAAAGAAATGCCCCCCTCGAACCCGACCTGGTGCGATTGAGTCCCCCGACTATCCTCTCGCAGTGGGTCTGCAAAGCAAGACTCGCTCATGGGATTTCATTCCTTCGTCAATCACAAAACCGTACGCCACATCTGCTATGTGTCATTTGGTGGAAATGATGGCCATGTTGGGACTCTACTGGAAAGCTTTTGATCAGTCTACATGGAATTTGAGAGCTGAAGGTAATGGATTCATCCTGACGTCGACCCAAGTTCACGGGCTCGGGGTTATGGTGGTATTTGCAACAACCGGAAAGTCAGCGTTTGAGGAGAGAAGGGTCATCCCATGCCCAGCTATCAAGGATTTGCCCTTCGGAACCGTGCCAAATATATTCGAAGACGATCTTTATTTGAACAAGGACAAAGATACACAAAGCTTGGAACTGGTGTTTGGGACGATAGAAGAAGTTACAAACACGCTAGAGTCTCTGGGGTGCCAAGCGGATGCGCTGAAGAAGTACAACAAGGACCACAAGCACATTTTCTCTGGTATATTAGCTCTGAACTAAGCATGTCTTCTCGTAAGGACTAACGAGGTATAGTGGCATTCGAAATTATTGGCATGCTAGGAAAAGTGTTCCGCATTCGCGGCAGTAACTTCAGAATGCTCCCAAACCCAACCAGCGACCCGTGGCTGAAGAAGATCGGTGCCAAAGCTTCCTGGAAGATTACCACGCTGATGGAAATCTTCCAAGCGAAGCTCCAAGAGCTGATCGAAATCGAAGGAATCGACTCGCTCGAAAAGGGCAACAAAATCGCCACCATAGCAATGCAGTGGAAGCGGATCGCAGATTTGAACTGCACGGACGAAGCCAACCTCAGCATCGAGGTCAGAGAAGCCATTCACGACGCCATCGATGAAACAACAAGTTACCTCCTCTCAATCAGCCAGCTCGAAATTCTGAGTGTACTTGTCGCACACATCACTAGAGTGCTAAACGTCCTCGCTGACCCTGTCTCGCCCCTTAACACCATCGTCCTCGCCAATAAAGAAGACTCCCTCCTCTCCTACTATTTCTCCGAGATCCGGCCCCTCGTCATCCATGACTATCCCGCCGAAATCCACGACAATACCACCGGACCAAAGAAAAGATCCTTGTCGACTAGTGAGATGAAAAAGAAAGAGGAAGAAAGAAATACGATCTGGGTCACCTTGATCTTTAGGATGCTGTGCTGGCTGCTGTTGCATGATTTTGATAAAAGCGATGTGAAGATTGTGCCGTCGGATTTGAAAGGCTCGAGGATGCCAGTGTACATTGGATGAGATGTGAAATTGCATATTAGAAGTATTAGCGAGCATTGGGTAGCGGGTGCAATCTTGTCACTTTGGATGGAGTTCAACGCATTGTGAGTACAGAATACCTTAAATTGCATAGTCTAGAATTGTGCCATTTAATGAAATGCTGGAAGATTATCTCTTTCCCTGAATCATGTCCTGCGCGAAATACTTTCTCGAGGGAGACAAATGTTGCTCGAGGCAAGTTCCTCCGTCCATGATCGGCGACATAGGAGAAAGACCTGCGTTTCGAGAGAAAGTCATGCAATATGGACCATGAAGTTAAAGTGACCAGCTGAGATGATGTTCCCATTGACCATAAATCATTGCCAGTCGCTTTGGAGCCACCTTCACTATGGAGCCAAACCTCGCCGACGAGGCTGAGGCCTTCCCTCCTCGGCTGCCAAGACTTTCGTGTGGGTCGATTCATATAAGCGATGTTCCTGTCAATATATGCTAATAAGAGCTGCACTTATATGTGGCATAAGTTGTGTAAGTTGCGGTGCCTAACCAGCACGTATGTTGCCAACAAGAAAAAAGTCGTTAAGAGTCTTTGTTCGCTCGAGTTCCCAAGCCGCCTCTGGGACTCGAGAATTTTGCCATTTGGTCCTTTCCTTCTTTAGTTTTGGGTTTGCTGCTGGAAAATATTGTCGGGTGTCAGCTAGGAGTGGAAAGTAACCGAGCCTCGCCTGCTCGACTCGACGACCACGACCAGTCGGGCAGGGAACTGGAGGCAAAAACTGTTGGATTTTGAATCGACTCCCAAGAACTACATATAGATACGCCTCTCATCATCTATTCTCCATTCGCGACATCTCCAGTAATCGCTCCGCCAGCCTGCTTCCATGACTGAGCCATAGCAAGCAAGTTGGACAGCTTCGCCGTCTGCCTATCATCTGCTGGGAACACATAGTCGATATACTCCTCGTAGCTGTCGTCGTCCAACTTCCGGCGTCTCTTCGTCTTCCTCGGCATCTGTTTCTGCACCTTCTCGATATCATCTTCCGAGCCATGTGTCCTCTCAAATGAAAGCCATGCGTTGAGCAAAGAGACTCGCTGTGATGAAGTTAGCGTCTCGCTTATTTTAGTAAAAGGAGTTGGGAATCTGCATACCTCTTCCTTGAGCTCCTTGTCTTTCATACTCTTGAGTGCTCTCTCAAAGACCTTCCGTGCTCGTGTCTTAGCCAACTCGCTGACAGGCTTCTCTTCTTCCTCTTCCTCTTCCTCCACTTCTTCATCATCCTCATCGGGTATATTGATCTCAAAATGAGCGTAAGAGATCCAGACCTTGACATGATCGGTCTTGTCCAGCAATCTCTCGTACAATTCTCGCGTCCGGTCGTACTCGCCTTCCTCTTCCTCGAAGTCGATATATGCTTTCCACAACAATTCTGGCATGTCGAGCACAGGTTGGTCAATGGCAAGCTCGAAAATTGCTCTCGTTCGTTCAAGATCATCGAGACCTCGCTCCAACTCGGAAAACTTGATCCATGCTTGGCAATTTGCTGGGTTCCATTCGATGTGCTTCTCATAAAGCGTTCGGCACCGGACAAATTCGAAGAGTTTCAGCTCCAGTTCGACGTACCCCTTGAACAACTTGTCCTTTGGGCACGTTCCGATGGCTTGACCAAGTGTCTTTCTTGCAGCAGATAGATTTTGTTGTCGGATCTCAAATTGCGCCTTCATGAGCCAGATCTTGGCGAACGTGAACTTCTTGTGGGGGATCAGCTTCAAACACTCCTGGTATACCTGCCTCGCACGCTCAATATCCTTCGATTCCATCTCCTCCCAGATCGCGTAAAAGACCCAAAGATAGATGTACCGTCTCCAATGCCTTTTCTCTTGCGTGGGTGGTATCTGGGCGATGGCTCTTTCATAGACATCCCGCACTCGGTCCACATCACCTGAGGTCTCCTCCAGTCTGGCATAATCGAACCAGACATCATAGTTCTTGGGATTCTCCTTGATCTGCTCTTCATACTGGACTCTCCGCTTTGACAAAATGACATCTTCTACTCCTTCCCGATCACCAAATTGCTTCTCGAAGGTCGTATACGCCTTGTGAAGAGCCAAAGATTTTGATCGTGCCAAGCGATCTAAAGCATACTTGTAGATTGCTCTGGCACGCTCATACTCTTTCAATTTTGCTTCATATCTCGCATAGGCGATGAAAAGCCTCTCGTCCATGAACTCGTCGCCCAAAGCCTCAACAGCGGATCCAAAGACCTCTCGCACCAGATCGCTCGTTCCAAACTCCTCCTCGAATCTCGCCCACTTGATCCAATTTCTTGGCTCCGGGTGGACCATGGTGAATCTTTGGAAAATCTCTCGGGCCCTCTGAAACTCTCCATACCGCTTCTCCAACTTGATGTAACTGCTCCATGCTGCCTCATCGGGCTCCCAGGACATCCATCGCTCGAAAACTTGTCGTGTACCAGGAATGTTCCCCAGCATCTCCTCCATGTACACATACTTGTACCACAGTTTATCGATCCTGGGCAGGATTGTGACAGCCCGATCCAGTAGATTTCGTGCATGGTTGATGTTTCTCGTCTTCATCTCGGCCTCGATATATCGAATCCATAGCGTAACAGAAGTTGCGTCAACATCCAGAGCTCTCTCAAAAATTGACCTCGCACGCTTGAACTCTTTCTGCTCCAATTCCCACTGCGCATATCTCATCCAGTTGTTCATATTAATCCTGTTCCTCCGCACATAGTCCTCGAACTCCTTCCGTTTTCTGCCTTGGAACTCATGGAGCTCTTCGAGATCAGCGAACCGCTGAGTGGGCGCCTGAAGACCTGGTTCCTGTCGATCAACAGCTTCACGAAGAAGTTGCTCAGCAGATATTTGAATTGCGCTGGGCGCCTTGTTCTTGACCCTTGGGGGGCCACGCGCCGACTCCATGATGGCGGCTTTGGTGTCAAAGAAAGTGCTGAGCCCGCGAGAAATAATGTATTGCCCCGATTGTCAGTGGAACTATCAAAGTCGTAGTAAAAGTCTAGTGAAAGACTCCCACAGAGTGAATGTGCGGTCAGTAAAGATCTCTCGAGATGTTCTGGAGTTGAAGTTCAGAAAAGATTCACAGAACGAGCCAAATAAGGTTGGCGCTAGCGGCAAGTGGCCGCATCGACTTTAAATCTTGAACTTCGTCAAAACAAACCTTGCTACCTACGCGGCAAGACCACAAGGCACAATGTCGACTCTCGCGGATGAACTGTTGCAAGACTTCGAAGATTCGGGCTCCGAGGGTGAGGAGCAGCAGAATGATACCCTCTTCCCTGACGATGCGGAGTCGAAGAATGGTCTGAATGGCCACGCGAGTTCGATTTCAGGCGCAATCGGCAGTATGGAGCTGGACGGCGACGAGGAGGAGGTAGATGAAGATGCAGATATGGCGGGTGTGAACGACACCGCTGTTGATGTCGAAGATGAAGAGGAGACCAAGGCCAAGGTCGAGAAGATGGAGTTGGGAGGCGTCGACGATGTGAGGAGTGTTGCCAAGCTGATGAAAACTTTGGAGCCAGTCTTAGAGGTCAGTACTTTTCTCTTGTCCCATTCTACGTCTTTGGAAGACTGAAGGTTTACATCTATTACTTTGTGCAATAGCCCTGACATCCACGCGACTGTACAGAAAATCGCACATTTTCAATCGTTACCACCGGAGAAGCAGACGACATTCGTTGGAACAATCGAGGACAACCCTGAATATCACCTTCTTACCCAGTCGAATACCCTCTCGACGTCGATTGATACCGAGATTATGATCGTTCATAAGTACATCCGAGATCATTACTCGATTCGATTTCCCGAGTTGGAGACTTTGGTCACAAATCCTTTAGATTATGCTAAGGTTGTTACTATCATTGGAAATGGACCTATGGATGGAGATAGCATCAAGGCTCTGCAGACCTCGAAAGAAAACCCGTTGGGTGCTACACTACGATCAGTTCTGGATGGCCCATCCGTCATGATTGTGACAGTCGAAGCAACAACAACCAAGGGTCGAGAGATGTCACAAGTTGAGCTTGAGAGAGTTATGCGTGCTTGTGACATGACTCTGGCACTCGACAAAGCAAAGAAGACCTTGACAGATTACGTTCAGTCACGGATGAACCTATTCGCTCCCAACCTAACAGCTCTCATTGGATCCCTCACAGCAGCACAACTCCTCAACTTCGCAGGAGGCCTTACAGGCCTGGCCAAAACTCCAGCATGCAACCTCCCACCTTTAGGATCCAAAAAGCAATCTGGAACCGGATTCGCAACCAATGTCGGAGTTCGGCAACAAGGCTTTCTATACCACTCACCCATCATTCGGGGAATCCCCAATGACCTTAAACGTCAAGCTATGCGCATTGTCTCCGCCAAAGTTGTGCTCGCTGCCCGGGTAGACAGAGTACATAACAGCCCTGACGGCTCCACCGGCGAAGAACTTAAAGCCTCCTGTCTAGAACGCCTGGAGAAACTCACCGAACCACCACCAAATAAAGGCCAACGAGCTCTTCCCGCACCAGACGACAAGCCCGCTCGCAAACGTGGCGGAAGACGAGCACGAAAAGCAAAGGAAGCAACTGCCATGACGGATCTTCGAAAAGCGCAAAACAGGATGGCATTTGGCAAAGAGGAAAAGGAAGTTGGATACGGAACTGGAGACGGAACGAAGGGTCTGGGTATGATCGGCCAAGCGAACGACGGCCGGATTCGGAATCTGCAGGTCGATCAACGGACGAAAGCGAAGCTCAGCGCGAAGAACAAAGGCTGGGGTGGTGCGACGCCGGTTGGTGGCTCTGCATCTTCTCTTCGTGGATTCGGCCAAGGTGCTGGTTCGGGCATTGATCTGAGAGGAAAGGGGTTGAGAGCTTCCGGGGTTGGATCGACGGTTGGAGCGGGAGCTGGAACTGCGTCCTCGTTGGCCTTTACACCTGTTCAAGGCTTGGAACTGGTTGATCCGAAGATGCAGGCTGAGATGAGTAGGAAGCGGAAGGCCGAAGAGGATAGGTGGTTCAAGGGCGGAACGTTCACGCAAGTGGGAGGCGGAAGCTCGAGTAATGGGAGTATGGGGCCGCCACCAAAAAGAGTCGACACGGGCGTAGGCAAGATGGCGCCTCCGCCTCTACCAAAGAAATAGGGAAGACAATTCTTTGATATCTCCAGAGCTTGGCGTTAATGGTGGGCATATGGAAGGCGTTGTGAGGTTTAGATGTCTGCTCGCCGCACTCGGCGAAATGCTTGGGTCGAGCAAGCCAACTGCTTAGCATATACCTGGATCAAAGCATTCGATGGATTTTGCCACTTCTTCGTTTTCCCCGCAATCCGTGACAGTCCTTGCATAACGTCCGAAATGTAGCCCGGCCATGTTGTCACCAGGTGCAAATCCTCATAAAGCAAGGACTTCATCTGGAACTTTGAAATGAATCACTCGACGGAGGCTCTAACAGATGCATCTAGATGCATCAAGAGCTGAGATGAGATGAAAACATGTTTGCGAGCATGAGGTCCGACTCGATGCTTTTCATCTCATCTCAGACCATCGGAGAGCAGCTATTTCGAATCGACGAACAGCTTAGTGTTCAACAAAATTTTAGGACATCGAAAGATCTGCAACAAACCTCCACGAGACACGACTCATTCAGTGAAGTATGTTTTCTATTTGAGGTGATAATTTTAGTGACTTATCATGATATGATGCTGAAATGTGCTAAATAAAACACGAGAGCAAATCGCTTCCTGATACAGGGGGAAAGGTCATGTAGTGTCTAAGATATTTTGAGACATCTGATTGCGATGTGAAGGGGAATTTAAGTCAGATCTGGGTCCTTAATCTAGGTATTAAGGCCGAGGGTAGCACTCGCGCCGACGACCAGAATGTGAACGCAGTGTGTTGAAGAGGAGGTTGATTGGGATTTTTGATACAAAGGCTCAGTGTGATGTTCAATGCTCTTGCTTGATGGATTTACTCCATGAGATTTTAGTACTTGCATTCAAGGGTATCGTCGTGTATTTATATATTTTCCCACCTCATAATCCCGTCCGGGTATTCCTTCCCACCCAACCAAAGCACCACGCTCAAAGGCCGTCGAGCTCATGAGCCATTTTCGATCCCGAAACAAAGAAGATATATTGTACTCCGTACCGTCCCATATGTACTCCGGTACCAGGATGCACAAGGACCAAAACGCCACCCATGCAATGCTTGCACCCTACGCGGTCCGTGACAGACGAGGCAGAAATGTAACACACAAAAACCACACAAAAACGCCACCAGGACCCTAAAACCCTTCGTGCATGAAATCCTTCGCTTTCGAACAACAACGAAGGCGGCTGATAAAAGAGGGTGTGGAGGACCAGTAGCGGAGTCGGCAACACATCATCCCACCGAATAGACAAGTGAGCTGATCGCGAACAAAACCCATCACCCCACGCATCGAAGATAAATTAAGACTTTGTCTGATAGTCGGCAGCCATCGCCAAGGCGTCCAGGCCGCTCGGTGAGTTCTCGCCGCGAGCAGCCATTAGTCGACCCTGGAAACTGCTGATGGGCGCACCATAAGGAGAGCCGGGGCTAGTCGAATGGGCGTAAAGTGCAGGGTCCACCAGCAAAGGAGCAACCTCCGTAGCGATGGCATTTCGGCTGGGGGAACAACTTGACCGGCTGAGCACTGCACTTGGCTTTTTGACGCCGGAATGGACGGTGAGGGTTGATTTCAATGTTGATTTCTGCGCTGGAGTTGAGCGGGGTCGGTCTTTGGTGTGCGTCTCCAAATGTTGCTTCATGTTATCTGCGCGAGTGAACTTCTTTTGGCAACCCGGCCAGGAGCAAGAAACGCCTTTCTCAGCTGTGTGGATTTTTGAGTGACGTGATGCGTGTCCAGAGGTGGTGAAAGTCTTTTCACAGCCCATGTTCTCTCGAAATCGGCACGGATATCTCTTTTGGCCCCGCTCAGAGTTGCCGCCGTTTTGATACGGTTCCTCATCGTACATCTGTGACTCGGCGAAGGGGGACGATCGATTATCCACGTATGAAGGCCGGAAGAGTTGATACTGACCGGTCGAAGAGCATTCCTCAAAACCAGTATTTCTGTCGCGGTAGTCAAAGTGTGCCTGGTCCTTATAGCCAGCACTCGTGTATGAGGTGTTCCTGAGATCGTTCAGAAAGACTGGGGTGATTGGAGAACGGGGGTCCTGGGTGTTCTGGGAGTCGAATGAGTCCGCTCGGACAAGGCCTGGTGTGCTGGGAGACACCGGGTCGCTGAGCTCAGATGTAGATGAATGTGATCTGATCATACTCGAATGCTCGTGTTGGCTCGATAGGTTTCGATAAGGGAGAGTATTTCGTTGAGCATTTTGGGATGACGGCTCGTCGTTGAGAAGAGAGACGTTCCTGCCAGAGGAATCCCTCGCATTCATACTCGGTCTTCCAGCCATTGTGGCTCGATGTTCGGTTACCAGGCTTCCAGACGTTGAAACGCGACTTCTGATCGTGTGAAAAGAGACTGCTTCCACTCAAGACAAGCAGTGCGTGGTGATGTGCAGTGAACTCGAAAACGTTGTCAGCGGGGGAGTAGGTGCAAGTGTGTCATGCAGGGGTGGGACTGCTATAGACGACCGACGTTCTTCGATGAGGCGTAGACTGAGCTTATAATTGTCGAAGGATAGTTTAGGGTTTCGGAGGGGGGGAGGGGGGAGGGGAGAAGGGCTATGGTCGAGACCGTTTAAAGGGAGTGACGAGTGTGGTGTGGGCGTTGGCGTGGGCGTGAGCGTGGGCGTGGGAGGGAGTGGTCGGAGGGAAAGCGGGTGACGGATGGGATTCTGGGACTCATATGGGATTTCGCAAGCTCGGGGCCCGCAGTTTGGCAGTCCTCTCTGGCGCCGCTCCGCTTCGAGTAGGTCCCAGCAGATATGGACCAGGGGCCGGATCAAGGTGGAATTAAAGTTGCAGCGTGCGTTTTCTCACGCGATCCCAGACCGGATCCTGGACAAGGCGGGCATGTCGTAAATTTACGTTGTACTGTACAGTACTACTACAGTATACAATACAGTACCGTACGGAGTGTGTTAGTGGCAAGGGCAAATGGAGAACCCGGCGGCGTGCCTAGTAAGCAGGGGAGGAGGGGAGCAGGGGAGCAGGGGGAGTAAGAGGAGCAGAGCAGGAAGAGCAGCAGGAGTACTACTCCGTATGCTGGGTAGCAGGAGCACCTAGAGCAGCCGGCGCAGAGCAGGCGCAGGTCGAGCTGGCTAGCGAGGAAGGAGCGTAGCTCCGGCTGCTCTTGGCTGGCCACTGGCGTGGCTAAAGTGAAGTGTGCTGGTCTGTGGTTCGGCGAGGCGTTGCTGCATTTACTCCCTCCTCCGGCTGCCAGCGGGTCTGCTGGCTTCGTTGACTCAAGCTTGTGCAACAACAACACAACACAACACAGACACTGATTCTTCAAGGGAGCAGCCCCGTCCTGGTGTGTGCCGGTGGGGAAAAGTCACGATAGGACCAGCAGCATCTCTTATTGACTAGCTAGAGCCCGGTCAAATGCCTCCTCCTTTGCCAGCTGGACGACCACCACCACCAAGTCCTGTCACCGCTTCATAATACGGGGCTGGAAGGGGGGGGCTCTTCACGACACAGCTCTTCGAAGCTACGGGACTCACCTCTACCAAGGCTCCATATGGGCTAGGTACAGTACGCAGAGCAGCAAGGAAGCCAAGATATCTTTTCTGGATGCTGGATAGAAACTCGCATCAGGGACTCATGGTGTGACTTCTGATTCCTCCACCCTCCCTCCCCCCCTCCTGGGTTGTCAGAAATGAGGGGTCGGCTCCGGAGCTCTGTGAGGTGTGTACAGTGTAAGCAGAAGAGGCGTCGAGGGTTCTTGAAAAAGCTTGGAAGGATCCCAGGCGTGCGTGCGTCCGAAAACGCCTCAACCACGAACGCTGTGCGGGCGATCGCAGGCCATGCGCGGTGCCAGCTTTCCCTGCAGGGAGATGTGGGTGTGGTGTGGGTACTGCACGGGTATGTGTGCCGCAGGGCAGTTGTCGGCGCCGGGGGTGGCAGCAACTGCAAGTTCTGCATGTTCCTTTGAATTGAGGGCTGGGCTTGGCGATCTTAGACATCGCGGCATCAACCCCTCCGTCTCCAGGGCCCTGGGCAGACCAACAGCCTTCTTGGATTGGCATCGATCGTTCGGTTCCGACGTCACCAGATCGCACCCTTTTTTCGAAGCCCCTCCAGACGTGAGCGGCCTCACTTCACGCACCCATTGGCAAAGTCGCACGCCCAAATGGAGGCTCTTCGTCGTCGCCAGGACTCGAGAGGTCAAAGGGAAGAATGGCATGGGTCGGAGACAGCCTCCGTAAAATGACCGAGAAACGCAGGCCCAGCCAGCAAAGAGGCGCTCGGTGACGCGGGGTCAAGCTCCTTGACCCTGGGATCCCCTTCATGCAGGGTCCCAAGACACCGCTAAACTCGATCAGAAAGGTTGAAAAGAGGTCGTCATCGATCTGTAGATGAAAGTCAACGGCGAGGAACGCGCTCGGAATTGGGGTGGTCAGAGTCAAGGGAGATTGACGGCTGGTGATGGATGATTGATGATTGATGATTGCTGTACCAGCTACAAGATGCTCCGGGAAAGATTCGCAGGTGTAGGTGTCCAGATCTCACTGGGAGAGCTCGGTCGCGTGGAATTCACGAACAGGACTTCGCTTCGAACTGCTTCATAGCTTCATGTCAGTTGAAACGGCGCCAAGGGCAGCACACAGCACACAGCACCCAGCACAGCACAGCATAAGCTCAGCATAGCAGGCGTGACATCATTTTCAGCACTGTATTGAATCGAAAACCCGGTGTACGATCGTGATCTTCGAGCGCCCTTCTCCACTGTGCGCAGTGAAGTGTGGGCCGCTGTGGCTGCGAGTGAGCAAGCGAGGCGCCGCAGAAGGCCAACAGTGCCGTGGCTCTTGCTAGCAGCCTTCTTCTTCTTCTTCGTGCCCATCGCATGCCAATGGCAATGGCAATTCTTGCCAATTACTCTTATTATTCGCCTTCGGCCGTCTCTTGCTAGAAACGAGGCTAGCAGTCCACGATCTGCTCCCTTATTGCTCGTAATTTCACCTCGAGGATATCGACATCCAAGAGTCGCTGTTACAGTACGAGCAGATGGGACCGAGACTCTTCCCAGAAAGACATGCAGCACCGGGCAGACCCCGCCTTTGCAGCTTGCCCATGGCTGATTATTTGTATTACTGTACAGTATTGGAGCGCCATGCTTGTCTTCCGGAGGAGAGCTCCTGCAAATTTGATTTTGTTTGGCATGCGTGCGTGATGGCTGCGTTGCACGAGGACCCTGGACAAGTCCCTGGAATCGGGGTTTTCGACCACCCTTGCGCTCGGGCAAGCCACGCATATGCACATCGTTATCAGGAGACCCTTAAAATGCGATCACGCCATACAATTTTTGCATCAAAACTGTGCGGATATGCGACCCTGAGGCCACTCCAACCGAGCTGCAGAAATGTTTTTCCAGCAAAGTACTGTGGTAGGTGGCCGATGGGAACTCGTGGCGCCTTCCAAGGGGGTCTCTTTCCCCTCGTCTGCTACGATGGTACACTATCCCCGAATAAGAACAAATCCAGGAACCAATCAGACCGTCGACGATCACTTCATCTTAGATCCAGCGACTGGAGAAGGAAAATTTGGAGCCCGATTCCGCATGTAGATCTTGCAAATCACATCTTACAGCATGCGCTCACAACCGACTGATCATTGTCTCTCTCTCACCGCTCCTGCCGGCCTCTTTACATCTGCGTAACCATGTTTCGCTCGGTTTGATTTCTGCGTTGTCATTACTTTATTGTTTGTTTAAAGGGACGACGAGATAGTGCTGCAGTCGCACGCTAGGGCCTTCAAAGTCCCGATGCGGTACGCCCAAACTGCCTTCCTCTTAGGCATGGCAGTACCAGACAATGTAACCACCCTTCGTTTCAGCTTTCCCTCTTTCATCGGAAGCACTAGAAGCCAATACTTTCCACGAGCTCCTCACTACTTTAGTATCAAGAGTGGGTGAAGAAGGCTTCTTCACGTACCTTGCTGCAGCCAGAATTCGACGTATCAATCAAAGCCCGTGGCAACATGCTCCTTCGAGGCCTGGTTTCCCCAATATTACACCAGCTGCCTTTCCCCGAACTTTAATTTATGTTACTGAGCCACACGCTCAGACGAGTTCCCATCTGAGATTCCTCCATCAGCTCAAGAGGTACCAGCGAATCTTCCAGTGTTCGATTCTAGCCTAGTATGGGAGCTAGATACGCGCTCGAGCACCTTCAAGCGGTTTGGGAGAAGGTTCCCAGCCACTGGCTTGGTGCACGGAAAGCCTTTAACTTCTGTGGAGGATGGAGACGGAATTAGCTCCGGAAAGTTCAGCATAGAGGGGAAAAGCGTCTTGAAAATTGAATCGGCGACTTTGTTTGGAGCGTTAACATGGTGGCTTACAAGTCGCATATCCTTAGGACTTGGTGGCTTGGTTTCGGTTCGGAAGTCTCCCTCTCAGATGGGCACGAAAGTTCTACGGTTTTCGTTGAAATGTTATTAGAAACACGAAAGAATGGTTGTTGCAATGAACTCGGTGGAATACCGAGTCCCAGAAGCTTCACAGTTGTCAAGTGAAGAAGTACTTCTACCGGTACAAGACAACAATGGCTCGTACAATCTTGCAATTAGAACAGCCAAAAGTCAAGGACTCATGAGTTCTGAGAGCAGGGGAACCCGGTGGTACTTTTATGGAACTTCCGATTTCAGGACCAAACAAATCAGATTTCGCCAGTTCAAATAGATTTTTTCTTACAGCATATTGTATGCTGCACAACAATCTGGTCATCATTCATGATTAATCGCTCCCTCGCATGTCTATACCGCTGTCAAACGCTGAAAACCGTCTTTCTATTTTACCCAAACAACTTCTCATCAACCGCAACAAACCTCGCCATCTCAAACTGCTCGTTTGTCTTGCAAACCAAAGTCCTATGCTTTGCTTCTTTCTTCCCCACCTCCTGTACTACATCTTTAACCTTCTTCCCATTCAATTCCTCATCAATCTCAAACCCCAAACAGCTCGCCTCATCCGTCACTCTCTTTCTCAGCAGGTCGCTCTTCTCGCCGATTCCACCTGCGAATACCAAAGCGTCCACTTTCCCACGTAGCGAAACATAGTAACTCCCTACATATCCAAGAATTCTGTCAACGAAGATATCGAAGGCGAGGTTCATTTTCGGGTCGTCTGAGGAGGCAATGGTGCCGAAGTTTGTGGTTCCGGTGAGCGCGTTCCATCCGCTTTCCTTGTTGAGGATCTCTTCGGCACGGGAGATGTGGAGCGATTCCGTCGAGGAAGGAGACAGTTTCCCGACATTTGTTGCGTAGTGGAAGACGAGACTATTTCGTGTTGTGAGTCTAAATTCCCGGGAAGTCTAGAAGGCGCATACCTCGGGTCCACGTTGCCGCTCCTCGTTGCTCCTGGCAAACCAGCCAAAGGCGTCAAGCCCATCGACGTATCCCAACTCTTCCCATTCTTCACTGCACAAGCACTAGCTCCCGACCCAAGGTGGAGAATGATCAAACTCGTCTCACTCTCCTTCTTCCCCACAAACTCCGCCACACTCCTCGTAATAAACGAGTAACTAATCCCATGAAACCCATACTTCCTCAACTTATTCTTCTTCGCAATCTCCTGATTGATCGGGTACGTCCTTATATGCTCCGGAATGCTCTGGTGGAACTCACTATCAAATACTGCCACATTCTTCGCTTCTGGCAACTCTTTCAACAAGAATTTGACAATCTCGAGGGCGGGAGCGTTGTGCAGAGGTGCTAGGTCGGTCAGCGCTTCGAGGTGGTGGTATGTATCTTCGTTGATAATCTGTGGGATCTCGTAATCGCCGCCGTGCACGACTCGGTGGCATACGATGGCGATATCTTCTTTGTTGCTGATGGCGGAGAAGTCTTTGTCGGCGATTAGCTGCTCGAGCATGAATTTGAATGCGTCGTTTTGGGAAGCGACCCTCTCTCCTTCTAGCTTCTTGTCCTTGCATATCGATTGCGTTCCTCTTATATATGTCAATTGAGGAGGAGGGGCCGTGAGACCGTCGATCCGCGTCTCTGCGATTTCTTGGGGTTCTTGGCTAAGGGAAGCTTCGTAGACTGATATCTTGACGGAGCTGGATCCAGCGTTGACGGAGAGGAGGATTTTGGGCATTTTAACAGCTAGAGAGCTTCAGAAGTGTTCCAAACGAGAAATAGGGTTCCTAGGCAGTTTAAAAAGAAAGATTTTGGCCAGGACTTTTCGTCAAAAATCAACAGACTGCCCCTCGATGCCCCACTAGCCGATAATCAGGAGATGATGTCAAGATGGCGCTATTCTTATCACAAGCGAAAAACTTAGCCTAACTAGGGCAGTTTTACAGGGGCAGTTTTCGGTTGCAGGGGTGTGAAGCCTGAGCTCACGCCATGATGGGATTCTTCATTCTTCCCAAGAATCAGGCCATCTTTTTCAACTTCACTCAACCCAACGGTCCGAATGAAAAGCTTTGCAAAGGCCCGGCGATCCTCCATATACGGATAAACAAGGCTGAGCAGGTCCCAAAGCGCGAGGCTGAAGTTCAGCCCTCACCAGCGATGACGTTGTCCAGATCTCGACCATGCATCAAGCTTCCAGCCCTGCTGCTGGACTGGAGCCCCAATTGACCAATGGTCTCTCCTGTGGAGACCATATTTTATTTATGCTCGACCTACCAAAGTGCTAGAAGCAGATAATCCGGCAGCAGATTCCGGATCTTCCGTTTTGTGTTGAACGGTTGCATCATCGTGGTGAGCTTTGGTGAAATATACTACCCTCTGCAGTTCTCTCCCCAAAATTGCTTCCCCATTCACTGGAAATTTTGTTTTTCTGCTGAACCCTATCACTCTCAATTCAAGCACGGTCTCCGTCTTTCTTCAACTCTTCACGTCTGACATCATAATCATAATCCCCACCTTTCCAGGTTGATCAAGAGCGGCCGCCAACATGCCTGGAGAAGTGATTGACAGACCGAATCCACAACCTCTAGCTTCTCATATTCCAGATAGTGTCTTGGAGTTGTCTGTCAGGTTGGAGAAGGTGGCTCTCAGTGATGCTGATCTCAGAGGTCTCGAGGAGTTCCGGCGAGCGAGCAATTACATTGCAGCTGGTATGTCTCTACTATCCCCTTGGGGAAAATAGTTGTTCGGCGAGAATATGTGTTATGAGCTACGAGTTCATTGCTAATTACAATAGCCATGATCTTCTTGAGTGACAATGCACTTATGGAAAGAGATCTCAAGTTCGAGGATATCAAGCCCAGACTTTTAGGACACTGGGGAACATGCCCAGGCCTTACCCTCGTTTACGCCCATCTCAACTACCTCACCCGGAAGAATGACCTAGATCTTATCTACGTCGTAGGTCCCGGCCACGGTGCCCCCGCAATCCTCGCATCTGTAGGTGTTGGGGGAGAAACCCTTTCCTATTTGTGACTGTTTCATGAGATTTTCCTTAAGACAATGTCCTCTCCCGAAACAATCCCAATTGAGCAATTGCTGACTCCCCCGTTACCTAGCTCTGGCTCGAAGGCAGTTTAGAGAAATTCTACCCTCAATACTCCCAAACCAAACAAGGTCTCCACAACCTCATCACTGGCTTCTCCACTCCTCATGGCTTTCCTAGTCACATCAATGCCGAGACACCGGGTTCCATTCACGAGGGTGGCGAACTGGGGTACGCTCTTGCTGTTGCTTTCGGAGCCGTCATGGACAAGCCTGATTTGATAGTTGCTTGTATCGTTGGTGACGGAGAGGCAGAGAGCGGCCCCACAGCGACTGCCTGGCATGCAGCGAAATATATTGACCCTGCTGAATCTGGAGCTGTTATTCCTATTGTTCACATTAATGGGTTCAAGATTTCTGAGAGGACTATTTATGGGTGCATGGATGATAAGGAGGTGGTTTCGTTGTTCACTGGTTATGGGTACCAGTGCAGATTTGTTGAGGATCTGGATGACATCGTAAGTCGATCAATTTCGGGACACATCATATGCTGATCTTCGACAGGATCGTGACTTAGCTACAAGTATACAATGGGCACTCAATGAGATCCGTAAAATCCAAAAAGCTGCTCGATCCGGGAAGCCCATCATGAAGCCTCGCGTGAGTCCCTCGCTACCCCCGTTCTGTACCAAAACTGATGATTCTCCCAGTGGCCAGTCTTGATTATGCGGACTCCCAAAGGATGGTCAGGGCCCAAGAAAGTCGATGGCGAATTTGTAGAAGGCTCTTTCCACGCCCATCAAGTCCCCCTCATGGCCGCCAAAAGCAGCGCGAACCAACTTGCCGACCTCCAGAAATGGCTTCTCTCCTACGGGCCCGCCCAACTGTTCACCTCGGCAGGAGCACCTACCGATTCAATTAAGAGCATTATCCCTGCTGAGGGCCACAAGAAACTCGGACAGAGAGTCGAGACGTATAAGAATCATGAGCCGTTGAATGTTCCCGATTGGCAGATATATGGGGTCGAGAAGGGAAGTGAGGAAAGCTGTATGCAGGCCATTGGGAAACTGATTGACCAAGCACTAGTCGATAACCCGAAATCTCTTCGACTATTCTCTCCAGATGAACTGGTGAGCAACAAGTTGGATGCCGTGTTCAACCATACAGGCCGAGATTTCCAGTGGGATGAATTCTCCAACGCGCGAGGTGGACGAGTCATTGAGATTCTGTCAGAGCATACATGCCAGGGTTTCCTCCAAGGTTACACTCTCACTGGACGAACGGGTATCTTTCCTAGTTACGAGAGCTTCTTGGGCATCATTCATACGATGATGGTTCAGTATAGCAAATTCAATAAGATGGCTAGGGAGACGACCTGGAGGACGGATATCTCGTCTATCAACTACATTGAGACGAGTACCTGGACGAGACAAGAGCATAATGGATTCTCTCACCAGAATCCTTCGTTCATTGGGGCTGTATTGAACTTGAAGCCTGACGCTGCGAGAGTTTATTTTCCTCCGGATGCGGTATGTTTAACCCCTTTCACTCACGCAGCAGCCTCGAGGACGCTAACCTAGCAGAACACCTTCCTTTCTACCATCGCCCACTGCCTTCGCTCAAAAAATTACGTCAATCTGTAAGTCGTCTCTGATCCCAGCAACCCTCCTGCCCCTCCCCAAACACCTACTAACTTCCCCTTCACAGGATGGTCGGCTCCAAACAACCCCAACCAGTATTCCTCTCCGTAGAAGAAGCAGACCGACACTGCCAAGCCGGTGCCTCAGTCTGGAAATTTGCTAGCACGGATTCCGGCCTCGACCCCGACGTAGTACTCGTCGGAATCGGTTCCGAACTAACCTTCGAAGTAGTAGTCGCTGCCTCGATCCTCCGTCGCAAGTGTCCCAACTTACGGGTGCGAGTCGTGAACGTCACAGACCTTATGATCATCGAGGCCGAGACGCTGCATCCCCATAGTTTAAGCAATGCCGAGTTCGACGCCTTATTTACGAAGGATAAACCGGTGCATTTCAACTACCACGGCTACTCGAATGAAATCAAAGGCTTACTATTCGGACGCCCGAATCTAGATCGTATCTCGATATCATGCTACAAGGAAGAAGGCAGCACGACGACGCCGTTTGATATGATGCTTCGGAACGAGGTGTCTAGATACCATGTCATGCAGCAGGCGATCAGAGGGGGTGCGAGGAGCAACTCCAAGGTTGCGCTTGATATGACGGATTTGCTGGGGGAGGTCAGACATCAGATTACGAAGGTGCAGGAGTACATTATGGCATCGGGACGGGATCCGGAGGGGACGTTTGATATTCCCAAGTTTGAAGGGACAGTGTTTGAAGGTGGAGCCGGTAGCAAGGGGAAGAAGGGGGATAGCAAGGAGGATGGATTTTTCGTGAATTGAGTTGGGGAAAAGGAAATACGGGCTCCCGTGTATGGATAGTTCATAGAATTCAATTGTTGTTGTTCTGAAATGCTTCTTCGTCACCCGGTGTCCTCCCTGAGTCCCTCCCTCCCTGTCGCTGAAAATAAGGGTGTGAACAGATCCAGGACTGGTCAGGTCGGTCGTGAAAGACAAACTAGCATTAACATGATAGCTTCTGGAATAAGAAAACGGTCCTTCATGTTTGGTATGGAGTTGATGTAGTACTGCAGTTGTGGCTCCGAATACAGAGAGAAATGGTTTGAGAAAGGGAGCTTGGTCTGGACCAGGCTCACTTGGGACATTGAAAATAGCTCGGGCGAGGGACACCACTTGGCTTGAGACGGTTAAAGAATTGTGCAAATTGTTCATTCATCGCAAATATCATCGCAAAGGCCATTGTAAAGTTCATCGCCAGGTTCACTGCAAAGCTCACTGCAAAGCTCATTGCAAAGCTACTCGCAAAGCTCATGGGAGATCGCATTCCAAACGCAGCTAAGATAGCCAGTGGATCATGACCATAATTCATGTCATAAACACGCCCGACGCTGTAAAATAAAGCAAAACGCCAGGTACTCCATCCCACCCGCGTACTCCGTGTGAATCATTCCGAACCAAGTGTGCTATTGCTCCCATGGAAAGAACTCATAACCGCAAATAATCAAGGCAGACCGTATCCTCCGTTGATAGCATCAGCAAGCTGGGATGTGTTTGGGCGATTCTGGGCATAACGTTCGTAGCTGTCAATGTAAAGGTCATCTGTACTGGTCGTAGCTTTCACGTGCTCATTGTTCTCGACTGCATCCAGCCAGCGACCCCATCTGCTTCCCGGGGCAGGGTCTTGCCAACCTCGGTAGTGCTTCATGACCCGAGTCAGTCGAATCATCCAGGGCGCGAATTGAATGTCCACAAAGGACATTTCATGGCCAAGGAAGAAGGGGCCTTGAGCATCGCTGGCCTCGACGATCTTCGCAATTTCTTCCTGGAGCTTCTTGGTACACTCAGCTTGCTTGTTGAAGTCTTGGGCTTGAAGAAGATGGTAGAAGGCAGGAATGATTTTACGATTAACCTGTCCCAGTCAGCGTTTAACGTCCTGTTGGGCAATAAATCGACCTACGTGATCAGCCCAGAGCCTGGAATCTGCCCGTCGCTGAGGACTGTTTAGTGAAGGCAGAAGAGGGTAGGCCGCACCAATCTCATCGATCTGTTATTTGTTAGCAAAGTTTTCGTGCTGTGGACCACGATTTGTTCTCATACATATTCCATCAAGATCGTGCTCTCACCACATCCCCAATCACCATGACGTATGCCAGGGACAAGACCTCGAGGATTTACGTCCAATAGGGCTTGTGGCTTCTTGTATGGATCGACTTCGATGTATTGGTATTGCAGTTTTTTGAACTCCATTGCAATCCAAACACGCTGGACAAATGGGCTACGAAGTGTTAGTGGGATGTGGCAGTAATACTAACGTGATTATATGCAGGCAGCTTTACTCACCAGAAGCAGCTTCCAAACAACTTTAATTCATGATCTTTCGAGTGCTTTCTAACAGTTGCCAGTGCACTGCCAGTCGCCTTCTTGTGGTACGTCTTCTGTCGATCCTTGAAATCAGCCTATGTCTCGAAAATCGGTGCTCCAGAATAAAAAGACGTTTGTGTGAAATAAGGCCTGAAACGCCACCTGAGCGAAGCTGCAGGCACAACTGATGTTGAGGTCCATGGCTTGTTTCCACAACAAAGAGCCACAATGTATGTGTCTGAGTATGAAAAGCCTGAGTGAGACTTCAGGATTTCTAGGGGTGATGATCCTGAAATTACCGGGGTGTCCCCGGCCCACTGCATCGTGCTAGCAGGGCCCAGCAGGGCCGCTTGTAGACTTACTTGGGTTTTTTTCTCTTCTTTGTCCTTCTTCATGACAAATCGCTGGACACTGTTCTTCTTGATACGATCGCTCTCAGCGAGAGTATGCTTGTGCGGGCCAGGGACGCCATCGCCCTTTCCATTGCCACCATTGCCGTTGACACGTTGAATTGTGTAGTATCGTTGACCGCCGGCTCCAGGATGGGGTGTATTCAAAGAGCTATTGACTAGTGTCATGCCAAACTGGTGTTGGTGTATTGCTTGCCCTCCAGGTTGACCCGAAGAGAAGAAGTTATTGCTCTGATCTGGTTGGCCTCCATCAGGAACGAAGTTTTCGTCTAACATAGCACCCGGCAGGTATTCCGTGATTTTGATCTTGACATCACAAAGATCACGCTCTCTAGCAGTTCGCTTTCTCTTCTTCTTGTTCGGATCATTTGACTTGGGTGTTCCTGGCGGTCTGCCCTTAAGACGACAGTCCCAATAGTGAGAGACGAAGGGCTTGCGCTTGTAGGTCTGGGTCGAACGGTGTGAATAGACATTGTCAACGTGAGGAAAGTATGTTTGGTACCTATGTAAACTGAGTCAGCGACAACCAGATAATTAATATCAGAGGGAACATACTCTTCTTCACTTAATGTGATCATGTCATCCACGTCGAACAATCTTTGGCGCCATTCAGCAAGATTTGGAGGGGCAACAACAATCTTCGTGCTCAGATGGCCATTGCTCTTCTGATCCGAGCCCTCTGGCGTACCAAAGAGATCCTCTTCTTGTTGCAGACGAGCAATTGAGTTATTCTGCATGGGTTCTGTTGTCAGGATGCCAAACTGTCCACCGTTATGCTGTTGCTGTTGCTGTTGCTGCGGGGTATGCGGGCTGGCACTTTGGACGTGCATGGGGCGATGTCCATGGTTGCGATCGAAGGAGCGTGGGAGCTGGAAGGGATGTTGTCCATGTGGATCTTGAAGTCGGAGGTCCTGGTGGAAAGTCGAGTCGGGATCGTCGAGTCCAGACAGGTCAAGACCAGGCTGGGACGCGAGTGGATGGTGAGCCAGGTGCGGCTGGCCGTGCTGTATTGCTTGAGCTGCTTGCGGCTGCAGCGTACGATATGCGTTGGGTTGCAGTTGTCCATGAAGGACAGTGTCGGTCTCCATCCTGCTTTGCCTTTGCCTTGTCTTATGCACGGAACATCCAAGCCCCGGGTTGTTCACGCTGCTTTTATGATTCGGGGATGAGATGAAGTTGAGTTTCTCAGGCAGCGGCGATCTAGCGCGAGGCGGATTTGATTTGTGGGACGTGCGTGCCGTTGCTGGATCGGTTTTGGGCTTCCTTCAGAGGCAGGTGCGAGGCCGGAGGGCGGCCGGCGGGCGGCATGGTGCACGGAGCCGGATGCGGGCCGTGCGCTCGCTTCTTCTCCTGCCCTTCTGTATCTCAGCCTGGCATAGCCTTGCAGCTGCACGACTTGAAAACACTGGTATGCAATCATTATAATAATGAGTTGTTCGTACTAGGTATTGAAGGTGTTGGACTAGAGCACGGGACTCGGGAGCTTGATAAGGGACACACCATTAACTTCACCTGCTAACACCTGCCAAAAACAGCTGGGGAGTACATGTTCGATCGGAAAGAAGCCCCGTGTAACATCCACATAGATCGATCTTGAATCGAAGTCCCCGCATAACCCCTTGAATATACACTTCTACACCTATGGTCTAGGCAAGGTGGTACCTCCAACAACACTAGCTTGGCTAGAGCTGCGAGTACGGGAATGCCAGAGCCCTACCGGAGGAGGCTAATGCTTGCTTCTTACCGTTTTTCGACTCTTCGCCCAGTGAACAACACACTGAAACTTCGTGGTAGTAAGGTTGCAATGAGGAGTCCACCTGAATGCTTGCTATTTAATGCAGCTCAACGGCCAACGGTTGGGCAGTGGCCTGCGAGAGGGGGACAACCCTGGGGAAATCTTTGCTCCGCCTTGAGCACAACACGGGATTGATACAGAAGTAATGGAGGGTTTGTAATGGTATTAATATCAACATCTTGACGCTGTGCAAGAAGAAATTTTCAAAGCACAAATCACTCCTAGTGCCAAGAACCACTCAAGTATTCCAACTATTCCAACCGTTCAGTTAAACTTTTAGACATGTACTTGACTACTCTCGTCTTTGGATTTTTTGGCTTTCCGCCCTTGCAGTGGCACGTCCTGCGAACGAGCAGCCCCGTCAAGAGCTTGTGGAAGCGATCAGGACTCCAACCAACGGCATTCAGCTCCCAACCAACATGCAAGATGTGCTAAACTGCCAGGGGGTTGATCACAGTGGCGATGCCAATGATCCTTCTTCTAAGTCGATAAGCTGCTGTGTGAATGCGACTGCCTTTGAAGCGAAGTCTGACATTAGGCCGGTCCCAGATGTCAGCCAAGGCATCTGTGATTTCGGAGGCATTGTTCCCTCGTATCTCGACGCTGTCGATGTCTGTAGATCTCTTCCAGCCTTCCTTTTCCGTACCCAACCGATTTCTTTGTGCTACATTGCGAGCTTACCTCACGGTTGGGGAGAGGAGACATGCTCCCGGCTCCCTCATGGCTCTCTACTCCTGGAAGACATGTCTTGCGAATTATTTTTAGTGCGAGCTTCCTACAGTGCCACCTCATGTCCGTGTGAGGGTTAATTCAAAGATACCGCCACGTTTGCTATATGCAACTGCGATCCTTGCAGTGGCATTGAATTCGTCCTCAAGTATGCAATATACATCAATATTTACAACAACTATCTCTTGAGCGGTTCTCGTGGGCTATATATAACAGACTGGTCTTAATGTTTTCTGGACACTCTATGGCCCCAACCGCCCCCTATTCACTCCGCTCGTTACCATTGAATGTTAATAGACAATGTAAATACTTCAATTATGCATCTACCAGTCGCTGTTAGGACGTGGCCTACTTTAGTAAAACTCTTCAAATCTAATATCAACAGGTTACATGATGACTGCGATGAGAAGTGCTATTGGGACAGGAAGATGAAGGTGGCTTGAGAACCTTGTCAAGGGTGAATGGGATTCAGGGCAGCTTCCTGACAGATTGACCAATTTCATTTTACCTCTTCTGTGTCATTCATTATCTGTAATGTATGGCGCTTCTACTGGAAGGATCTTAGTGTAGTCTTTCCTTTGCCTCTACTTGCGCATGGTTTTCTCCCTAGTATGCGGTGAAGGTTGCGAGATATCTGGAAGATCTTCACTGCACTCTTCTTCATCTAATCCACCACTCACTTCGGTATTCTCAGCTTTAGTTACAGAGGGATCCCTCCTCGGAGTACGAGGAGATCCCGTATCAACAAGTCGTGCGGTATCAAAGCAGCCTTCCGAGTTCTCAGTCTTCGCTTCTGCGCCATCTGTTTTTCATGTAATGACTCAATTCGCCCAAATCATCTATTGAGATTAAATGAGTGGCGAGATTTTTCAGTTTAGGTGTACTTCGAAGCAGATACGAAGACGGGAGTGGACGAATAATAACAGTGTGCTTGTCTCTTCTCGCCCATTTTCGTCCAGTCAGCTTAATCAAACAGCAAGGATTAGATGTATTCTTATTAAATAAAGTATCACTGGTCAATCATGCAGTTATTGCAATCCGTGTTTATTAATCCAATGTGGAGAAAGTGTCAAGTGTTTAGTAAGTAAACCTTGAGTCTCGCCACATCAACTGAAGCATCATCGCCATCGCTTCAGCTCAAGCTTGTGCTTGACTTGTCAAGCTTGTTCTCTGGATCAAAGCTCCAAAATATGTTGGGAAATCAAAGCTTTCATTGTAGTGGCTGCCAGCTTGCAACCAGCCTTAGTTGTATCTAGGAGAGATATCTCCAACCTAATTACTATGCCCAACCTCAAAGTGCCTCCCAATTTTATACAGATCCCTCGTTCAGGCCTTCTGATTGATGATCCCCTGAATAGCGTCTCGCTTCCTCATAACGTTCTCTGCAGCACCATCATACTTCAGAATCGGAATGGTCATCCCATAAAGTTGTGTCTTGCCTTCTGGATCGTGCTGATCCATCTCGACTCTGATGCATACATCGAGACTGCCATCAGAGCCTTTCCCATGCTTTTCCATATCGGCAGCCTTGTGTTTGCTGCCGGCATCCACTTCTCCCTCATGCAAGCAGCTATGGCCATCTTTAACTTTGAGTGTCGACTGTCTGGATAGATCAGTTGTGTCGTCTGTCCCATTTCCAGCATGGCCATTCGCAGCACCATTCGCTCCTAGCTCATGGTTCTCTGTAATCATGGCGAAATTTCGACTTGGCATGGTCACATGATTCCAGCCGGAGGTCTTGTTGGAACTCCCAGGATTTCTATCGAAGAAGGTCATTAGAGTCTCATCCGTGTCCGGGTCTAAATGATGTATCTTGTTTCTTCTCGCAAGCAGGTTGGCGACAGCTTGCGGAGGGGGTTTGTTGACAATTGCCGAAGAGATAATATTCGCTATGTACCGATGATCTTGGAGGACCGGGACATTGAGTTTAGGATTTGAGTAGAACCTCCCTACTGCTGCCAGATGAACGTCGCCACCGAGGATCGTGATTCGAACAGAGTATTCCGCAGAAAGCGATTGAAGCTGTTCCACAAGGTATAGGCGTTCCTTCTTGTGTGTGCGAGCAGTGTAATGGTCATCGAGATCGTCCAACAAGTCTACGCTTCCATCGAAGTGGTTGAAGAAACCGCCGCCTATGGGACATTAACATCTGCATATCGCAGAAAACGAGCAAGGAGTACATACCAAAGCCGAATCTCTTATTGAGAAACTTGATTGGGGCAATAAGAGGGGAACTGAATATGTTCTCTAACCATGTTAAGCGCTTATAGCATGTTAGTGGTGCCATTAAATAGAGCCAAGCAAACATACAGGATAGGCTATGGGAATTCCAAGCAAGACAATCAAGTGCGTGATAGGAGACGAGGAAGCTTTTGACGCGCTGAGCTCTTTTCGTAATCGATCGAATATGATGTGGTAAGTTTCAGGATAATTGACTTGTTTCCGCGTACGCTGCTCACGTTATTAAATGAGGACCTTGAAAGGCCAAGGGTCTTCTCACCTCCGTTCGTGCGTCAATGCCAAAAAATCCTATTCGTGCGCCCATCCGGCAAAAAATGCTTCGAGAGTGCTCCGCAACGTATGGCTGCTATGAGTTAGAACTAATCAAGTGAAATGTAAACAATTGGACTTACTCCGGGCTTGGATCCAATGATATAGCTTGGGTCAATAGAATGCTCCTTAAGTACGAAGGTATTTTCGAGTTGTCTTGGGTCAGCACCAGCACCTTGATTTGAAGTTGTTTGCACGGCATCTTCGAGGATGTTAAAAATTACACATGTGGCTCGAGAGGAGACTTACCAGTCGTGAATGTAGAGATGGGTGGTGCGAGGTGATGCTGAAAGAGTAGATAATACTTGTTTGCAGTGCCTCCAATGCCTCGAAAGACTGAACAGCGCATGAACTCGTCAACATATGAGCCGAAACCATCAATGATCTAAAGGCATAAGTTAGACCGTTAGTTGAACATTCATTGTATCCACGTTGGCAGACTGCTCAGGGTATACGAACATCATGGTCATCCCATATATTCAGCTGAGGAATTTGTCCATTGGCACTTGCGAACGGTTCCGTTGAATACCTGGACTCATCTGTCAGAAAGTAGCTCTCTACTGCTCGAGTCAACATAACTCAATACACACCATCGAATATAGTTGTCGACATAATATTTGTCACAGTCCTTCCTCAATTTCTCAGGAAAGGGGTATTCTCTCCTCTTTTTCGGATTTCCGATACCAGTCCACTCCTTGAGAGGGCCATGCACTCGAATGCCATCGTTATAGATCTGATCTCCACCGCCCAGCCTGTGAATGATCAGTTACCATTCTAATTTTCACTCAAAAAGGGGTTGTACATCACGTGGAAGGGAGTCTTTCGGTGTACTCGCAAGACATCATTCCAAAGTGCGGGACCGCTCCAAGCCTTCTCATCTGTGCCAACGCTGAATCCATTGCAAGAATGGAACATGATCCTCATTGACTCCGATATGGCGGGGATAAAGAAGTTTTGCTTGTCTCTCTTCTCACCTGTCGGGAAACTCAAGCCGGGAATGTCATATTCGCAGTGTAATTCGGATTGCTGCATTGGCACCTGCAAATCGAACCTCCAGAATGTGTTTGTAGGATCTGAATATAGTTTCGTACCCTCGACTTTGACGTCCTCGGAACTGCTTCCACCACCAGTAGCTTCTTGTTTTTGCACGCCATTACTTGGTGCTGGTGATGCCGAACTTGGTTGTTCGAACCCTCCATAATCGACTCCATTCACCATTCCATAAGGTTCGCCTCCGGCTCCGTTGAGTCCTACTTGTCCAGATGTAACGGTGTGCGCTGGGCCGAGAATTCTCAATCTCAGCTCAGGTGCCACAGGGCCTTCCCTAAGGCCACCTCCTTTTGTCACAATTAACACGCTGCCATACCAAGTCTCGTTCTCCATGCGCCTGTAGTTGAGGAGCGGACCACATTTGACTTCCATTGTGCCCGTATTGGCCTGTGTAGCTTCTCCAACCGCAACTGTAGATTCTTCTGCACTCAAGTTCTGAGCTCCTGGGCCTCGAACGTTCCCAGGAACCATAAGAGGCTTCGACCTGTGTGCCGCCGATGCCCGAGGTCCTTCGATTCTTGTGCTGTTCAAGAAATCCGCAAGATCTTTGCTGCCGCCCCTCCCATCTGCCTCGCGCGGGTTTGCAAGAGCATGCCGTGCGTAAGACCTTGATTCCTCATGCCTCCATCGCGTGTCGGACGAGTGGTCGCCGGGATGGTTTCTGCCATGCAGGATATCGGCTCGCAGATGAGAAGCCATTATTTATCTGGACTGGGGCAATTCGGAGAAGGTTTGCTTGAGAATCTGACAAAATGTGCGGCTGCTCGTGGAGAAGAGGATTTGCGACAGAGGATGGCTGGTAATTTCGACGACGTAGGATTCGAGGCGCAGGTCAGATCGCGCTGGCATTCGGCGTTCACTGTTCAGGTTCCGGGTCAACTGACCAAAGGGACGGAGAAGGCAAAATGAAGGTGGCTTATGTAAAGGTGTTGGAAATTGGGGGTCACGACATCGTCAGAAAACCATCCTGATATACCGAGAATGTAGCAAGTGATCAAACAAGAAGTTGTGGTGTTGACGCAGCAGCCAAGCCAGGCTGGCGGACTGATCGCAGCGTCGGAAATTGTATCGTCCTCGGCTGGTTGCCTCTTTCCGTTCGATGATGCAAGGATAGAGCTCCCCTGCAAGCCAAGCTACCGCGTTTCTGGGGCTGACATGAAGATCAAAAGACCCCTTAATGCCGTTATCCCTGCAAATCAGCAGAGTGGGTCAGACGAGGGAGCTGTCATCCACCTCATGGGACGAACGATTTCACGAAGGCCGAGTGGATCTTTGACAGCGAGCCCGAATATGGTCCGTGATCGGAAAGAGCCACCTTTTCATGTTTCGTAGGTTTGCAGCGGCGATGCTAGGGCAAGAATCAAAAAAAGGGTGGTTCTGAGCACTGTTTCTGCAGGCCTTGCAGAGACACCCCCCTATTATTAGCCTAGCAACCTAATGAGCGCAATTCGTCCTTGGTTGAACGTTGGTTGTGGGCAAAATAAAACCAAGAATGACAAGACATGTGGCCACAATGATTACAGGTTTCTGAGCAGGAAGCGGACGAGGGAAAGCCCTCGAACTCGCTTAATAAGGGGTTCGGCTCTCTGAAAGCTCTGAAAACAGTCAGTATATTAGATCTCTTTAAAAACCACATAAGTGCATAGCTGACAGAATTCACAGGAATGACAAATCAACACGCGATGTACCGCAATAGGGACTTAGAAAATTTAGATTTGCGACAATTTTTTTGTGGTTGATGAGCCTGCGAATGGCAGACGAGAGACACTCTAGCAAAGAGGGGATGCATTCTCATATACATTACTATTACAAGCACATATATACACGCATTACGTTCTACCTCCGCTGATCTTCTCAATGGCTCCCAAAGGATTCTTCCTCTCCTCCTCAATTGCCTTCCTCCGTCTAGCCTGCATCCTCAACATTTGCGCCGACGCAATTCCAGCAGCATAGCCACCCAAATGTGCCCAGTGATCCACCATAATAACCGCACCCATCTTGTTCAACGTCGCGATCTCTAAGCCTATCAAAAAGACTAGAAATCCTAAAGCCGAAATGGAGAACCAATCTTCCGGAGGAAAGACCCCAAAGATCCTGACATTCTCTGTACTATTCAAACACAAATATGCAGCAATGATTCCGCAGATAGCTCCTGAAGCTCCTAGAGAAGAAGAAACGAAATTGTTTCGCAGGACCCAAGAGGTTAGGGAGGTGAAGCTCGCAATTGCTCCGGACGACATATATATGGCGAGAAAGTTGGCACGCCCAACCTCTTCATGGAGCCGTGTCCCCACAAACCATAACACGGTCATATTGACACCAAAATGGTAAATGCTTTGGTGAGAAAATGTGCTGCCGATGAGACTGAAGGCTCGCGGATATCCTGGAACAGTGATGAAGAATTTGTTGAGGACTCGGAACAATGCAGGAATATGCCACGCGCAAAACACAACTGCGTTTGCGAGAAATATGCCTATGATAGTCGCGGCAGAAGGGGGCATGTCTGGCCACATTCTCCATGCAGGTCTGGGAGGGGTGTATGCCCGTGTGAACATGTACGAAGCAAGTACAACTCCAATGACAATGAGCGCTGAAGGCCAGAGCCGCTCGAATTTACTCATCTCTGGAGGCGTATCGGGCAAGACTTTGGCCCGTTCTACATAGTGCTTAAGTCTTGGATGTTCGCCTCGTCTTCGAAGCTCAACGTGTGACCGAGCACAGATTTCCTCCAAAGTACCAGTGTTTTGTCGAATCTCGTCCGCTTGGTTCATCTTCGCCTTTGCTTCCGTCTTCTTGAATTCCCTTTCCTTCGACTTCCTGATAGCATCGAGCCCACTCTTGCCGTAAATATCCTTGCCGTTTCCCGAGTTGGGTTTGCAGAGCCCTATCCTCTCTGCGTCCGAGACAATCTGCAGTTCCTTTTCTGCCAGCTCTTGCTCCGCTCTGAGCCCTGCACATTGTACTTCATCCACAGGAATATTCTTCCTCAACCATGCCAATGCAGCATCATAAAATTGTTGTTCGTAGCCAGTGCTCATCAGTCCTGGATCTTCTAATGTTCCTGCTACTCGACGGCCATGTAAGACTCTGAGAAGCCCATGCGCGGTCCTGGCATCAATGATATCCCCAAAAATTGCCTTAGTTTCAGCTTGTGACAAAGGCTGTGCTCTATAATCAAGACCGTCCTCATCTACATATTGCTGTGGCAGCTCCCGAAATTTGGTGACTATCCGTTGTGAGGTGAATGTGCGGTCGACAAGCCGGTACGCTGGACTTGGTGTTTGCCACAACCTCCAAGATGGACGTCTTTCCCCAAGCTGCCTTTCTCTCCGCCGAAATGGCAACGATGATGTGGAGCATGGACGAATAGACCGTTGTGCGAGCCTTGCGGCAATGCTATCGACTTTGTAGCATGTTTGGAAGATGGTTCGAAGATTCAAACACGAAAGCCGGGACGTTGCCGGCCAAAGACTGTTCATTTCCACCTCTGCTATCGTGTCATGTTGGAAGTCATCAAGGTCGAGCTCAAACCAATGTATCTTGATTTCGAATGGCGCTGAAATTTGGAGTGAGTTCTGGGTTATCGAATCATCATTTTCCTCGGACTTCTAGTTGTGCACGGTCCATTTTCGAGGAAATTCCGCGCCGAACGGCACGTCTTCCTCGTTACCTGCAACTCACAATTTACTCTTAAAAACCCATACTTACCACCCGACCTCATTATCTCCATCCCACATTTCCACAACGTAACGGCACATTCTGCGAGACTCATATACAACTTGCGAGCATTATGTCCAACGCAGCGACCCCCATCTCACCAGCCCGCTTCGCCGCTGCCCTCAAAGACCTCCCCTTCAGCAGTCTCCACCTTAAAGCTATGGAAATCCGCAACAACATCGCACACCTCGACTACTCGAACGAACAATTGAAGCCCTTCGCCGATGGCACCGATCCCTCCTCTAATGGTCACCCCGACCAAGATTGCATAGACGCCATCAAGGAAAACGAGACTGTCATTGCCAGAATGCAAGAGCGGATTGCTTTGTTGAAGGCTGAGGTTGAGGGGCGGGGAAGCAGTTGGTTGGAGTTTCAAAGTGCGGAGGAGCTGCAGGAGGGCGATGAGGCGTTGGTTAATGGAACGGAAGAGGGTGATGGTGATGTGGACGTGGAGGGACAAGAGAGGAGTGAGGCTTGGAGGGATGGGACATTTCAGACTGGACGCATAGTAAATGGAGAGGTCAGGATGGGTGGGGAGAGTGCAATAAATGGGGCGACGAATGGCACTGCAAACAATAGCGGTGGAAGGCTAGATGATGAGGCATTGAGGAGAGTAATGGAGGAGAGAATGAGAGCTTTGGTTAACGAAGGTGATGAAGGGGAAGGCATGCATCTTTAGAGAGATGCTGAAGATGAAAAGTTATGTCTGCACGAAAAGCTTGCATTGTCGGCGTTTGATACCAAGGAAGGAAAAGGTTATGAGAGCTTTCACTCAGATTCAAGTAATATCTTACTCTTTTCACATGCACGCAAATGGTGAGCTCGAACTCCAGACTTTCATATGGTCATAATACCTTTTTGCATTCAGAAACCCCTGTCCAAATAGTCCCAGCATCTGCGCGCATCCAAAAGTAACGCCATGCAACCTGTCCCAATGCAATCATAATTTGGAAACCCGATACCAAAACACCCGCTTGCATGCTAACTCATACCTAAACCTTAATGCCAAATTTAAGACCGCTAAAAGAAGGACGGAGGACGAGCCACTGAAATTTGAGAATCGAAAGATTGAGCTGTTGGCATGCCGGTATTCTATGCTTGCTATCAAGACGTGGGATCAACAAGGCCTGCGTTTTCGGTTGCCGTAGGTGGAGGAAATTTGTTCGTTGCTAGGCCAGGAAACTTGGGGTCAACGCTTGGAATCGATGCAGGCATTGCATTTGCGTTTGGTGTGAGCCTATGAGAGGGCGAAGGAGCCCGAGCATTCGCGTTATTTGTAGAAGGAGCCGACAGTTCGCGAAGGGCGGGAAAATTATCTCCTCCATCGGCGGACTGAGGAACTACATTTGAAGAGCCGAAAATCGTCGTGAGCACTGGCCTGTTGGGTTGTTCAGTCCTGATCGACGACGCGGTCGGAGGAGTCGAGGGGACAGGGACGTGTTCGATAGTATCTCTGGAGCTTCTTGCTGACGTCGATACTGAAATCGGTGGCGGTTTTCGTTTCCTTCTGGGTACTTCTGACCCAGAGGACTCCAAACTCGAGCTTCTGCTGCCGGTATCTCTTGGTGCTTTGGGACGGCTTGACATTGGTGTTTTTGATCTAGATTCGGCTCTTGACGTTGACGAGCGTACTTCAAGAAACGTTGGAGTTTCTCCTCGTTGCAACTTTGCATCCACAAGTCTTTCAGTGACTTGCCGACTCAGTGGAGTCCCTTCCCCGCCCTTCCGGCTTAGGTCGCTGCCGGCGCGACTCCTATTTACTCTCTCTTTGCCTTCCATTATTTTTGCTGGAGGCGGAGGTTGAAGCATCCATCTTGTCTCATCCCTACTGGAGGGCGCAGTGCTCACCACGGGTGGGTGTAAATCATTCACAGGAGGATTCCTCGCTAGGTAATACGTCCCGGGATTTTGCTCTTCCTTCCCAGGACCACTTTTGCTTAATCGACCCTCTAGCAGACGGCCAGCTTGTGAGCCAGCCTTCGCAATGGCATCGATAATTCTCTGTCCTGGTCCTGGAACATCGTGGCCCCATAGTGCTTCGTCTTCTCTTTGATATCGTTTCCTATTCCAGCCATCGCCGGAAATACGGGTTCCCTCTGTACCGGCTGTAGGACTGCTTGGGGGCTCCGAACTCATTGCACTGCTCCCAGCATAACTGCTTCCCTGCCCCGCTGTGTTGAGAGCCCTCTGGCTTGCATTCTTGCTCCCATTCTTATCCTTCTGTTTCGGAGGCCCTGGGCCCATCATGATTTCCTCCGTCCAATACGGATTTGTAGAAAATGGCGATGGATGCCGGTACAGTCCCGGCTGTTCAGTCTCTAATTCATGTTTCTCGGCCCTCTCTTTCTTCGCTTGTATCTTCGCTTTGCGTCGATGGTTGATCTTGGCACAAGTGCTGCAGGAAAGGACATAAAAGGCGACAGACTGCAGAGCAACATCGAGAGACATGTTCCCTGATTTATGAAGGAGGGGTCTGTCGTGCGGTGGAGGCTTTCCGTTATGAATGCATGAAGAGTGATTTCTTGTGGTTGGCTTCGGGGTTTGCGTGTGGTTTGCGGGTGTTTCGGGAGGCGATTACGATCTTCAACAAGGTATATGCTGTGAGCGAGGGGGTCTTTTGCAAACAGATTGGAGATGTTGGGCGGGGTCTTTTGAAGTCTGAAGGCGCACAGCTTGAACTGAGTTCGTTGTGCTGAGCTGATGAAAGGGCAGTCGATTGAGGCGCAGGCTTTCCCGTCGTAATAGTTTGCCTGAATGCCCCCGGATGGGTCAATTGCAGTCGAGCGATGTGTTAGGAATGATTGAGGACTTTGGGGCGCAGTGGGGCGTCTTTCGTCAATGGGCTTTGTTTCGGCGTGGGTTCGTGGAGGAGGTCGAGCCTTGAACTTGAACAAAGAGTATATCCAACGTCAAGATCGCATAGATTGACTCCTCGTATTGGGTACTTGAGCTGTCGAATTGCGGCAACCAGGTGTATGGATACGCATGAATAGTTAGTGGAGGTGTGATGTCAAAGAATGAAGCCCCTCTTCTGTCTGATAAACTGGCTCGGAGCTGGTGGAATGGCTCCTCTCGAGACTGATTGGCACGGGACGAGTGCGTGGGCTCCAATTTAGAGCGCTGGATCCACCTTTCGGACTTTGAAGATCCTCAAATGCGCAAAGATGGCATACCTCGAAAGAACGGTTGTCCTTGGATGTTCTGAGGCCTCACGACATCGAATGGGTTTCAGGTGGGAGGAGGCAAGATCCGGACCCTTTGCACCTGGTCCCTGTCCTCGTACAGTACAGTAGCCTGATTGGGGATGTGCTTGGTGTGGCAGCGAAAGCAGATGCAGGTCAACGGAAAACCCGCGACCGTGCAGAAAGTGGGGGCTCAGTGGGGTAGAATGAAGAGAAACCGGATGTTGATTCTTTTCCTGACAATCAAAGCTTTTTCGAGTCCAGATAGAGTGGAACATAGGTCTATGGATGCCACAGCCTTTTCAAGAGTAAAGCTGCATGTTCCTGCAAAGGGTCATTAATTGGGCCGCCGGCAACTTTCCCAACGGTGTGGCTGGATTGGGCAAGTCGGAATTTGTGCCCACCTGCCATTGACGGCATAGAATAGAAGCTGTCCCACGTTCCCGCAGAGCAGAACGTGAGCCGTGCTCATTTTGTTATCCTTAGGGCTTAGCTACTGCGAATTGTTTATGCACATGGGAGTTTTCCTTGTCCAAAGCCGCCTACTTGGCTATGTCATCTGCAACGAGGAAGTTCTAGAGTTGATGCCTGTATTGTAGGGGTGCGCCATCTACGGTCAAGCAGTGCTCTGCAGCAGCAATTCTGATGTTCTGATGGTACACGTGAAGTTTTGAAGGAAATGATCTTTTGAAAGAAACATGCCTTGATCCCAGCAATTTTTTGTGGCCCCTTGTGTGTGCTCGAAACGAAGTGGAATCTCGAACGCCTTGCCACCAACAATCGAGGGGATTTTGAGTACATGTTGCGGCTGGTTATGCAATACCCTCCAGCCCGAATGCCATACCATATGCAAAGATGTATAAAGCCAAAGGCTGTAATGCAGAACCACGCGGTAGCGTCAATGTACAAAGGAAAAGAAATCGAAGATTGCATGTGTTGAAATGCCAAAATGTCGAGGTGTTGTCATGTGGATGTTGAGCCAGAATCCGTTGTTAGTCGGGTTGACCAACTAGAGGACCACATCGATATCGGCAAGTCAACAGACGTGCAGCGTCCTTATGAGACCTCCCATTCCGAGTCCTGAGTCACATTGATCTCCTCGCGCAACATGCCGTCCTCGTCAATGAATTCGGAAGTGACCTCCCACTTCTGACCTGGGCCAGAAGGACCACTGGGCTTTGGGGGGGCATAGTCGGGAGTATCGTCAGTCGAACTTTGAGATTGCTCCGCCGGCTCCTTGTTCCTCTGTGCCGCCTTCTTCTTCTTGTGCTTCTCGACAATCTCCCACCTAGTTGAGGCCTCAGTTGCATATTGGACTTGATCCTCAAAGCTCATGTGCGCATACTGAGCCTCAAGCTCAGCCTGTTGACTGCCCCAGATCTGGCCATCAGCGTACATCTCTTCATCTATTGGCTTCGCGGCAGACTTGACTGCTGTCGGCTCAGCAGCGTCAGCGGTGGTTGAGGACTCGTCGGTATCGAGAAGGTCAAAGTTGTTTGCTGATGTGACCTTTCCTTTTGCGGGAGCATCAGGAGTCTTGCCAGTCCAAGCAGAAGATGATGGTGCCTTGGCGGCCATGAACGCGCTTCCATCCTTTGCAGCTCTGCCCTCAGCCTCTCGGGCAGTGCGTCGTTGCTTCTCCATCATGATCTTTCGTTGTTGCTCTTCCTCCTCACGCTGTTGCTTCTTGGCTTCAGCCTTCTTCTTGTTCTGGCGCTGCTTTTTGGTCTCAGCGGTCTCGGATGTGGGAGCCATCTTTTCCTTCTTTGCTTTCGACGGGTTTGTGGGTGAGGTAACTCGCAGGACTGACGGGCCCGGAGCAGGCTTCTCTAGCATGTCAGAGACACCGTTTGTGACTGGTGAGGTAATGGTCGTCGCACTCAAGTCCGGGGAATTGATGGGTGATTGATCGTCGTCTGCGTCTCCACCAGTGGTTGAAGACGGAGCTGTTGCGTTGTCTGAGCTTGTCTCCGCAAATGCTTTCTCCTTAGCTTGAGTTTGCTTCACTGATTTTGGCTTCAAAGCCGCCTGCGACCTAGCAACAGCGAGGGTGCCCGTCTTCGCATTCGACATTTGTCGAGCAAATTCTCGGTTGTTAATGCTCTCATCATCTCCGTTTGTACCCTTCGCTGTGCTTGTGAATGCTTGTTCATCGTTGACAAACGGCTTCACCTTCTTTCTCTCTTTCTGAGATTTCACCTCAGAATCACCACCACTGTTGTTGCCATCCTTCCGACCTCGCTTTTCCTTTTTGTCTTTGTGGTTTTCAGCTTCCCTGCCCGCTTGCTTTGGTAGTGCTCGTTTGTTCTTGCTCTTTCTTTGGTTTGTCCAGTAATAGTAGGTAACTCCGGAAAGAATCACAACCGCCCAACCACCCACAGTAGATACCGTTGGCATCTTCGTGCCACAGTGCCACTAAGTAGTGGTACGTAGCAGACTAGGGAAGGATGATGTCTGTATGTCAGGGATGTTGGGGTCAATTGACCAGATCGACAGCCGAGTCAGGAGCGACACTGGCAGTCAGTAGCCGTATTTGAATGGATGGGGACCAAAAGAGAAGCGGTAGGAATGGAAATAGATGTATTGAGGTAGGGAAGTGGTAGGAAGGTCTTTGAGGAGATCTGTACAAGATCGCGCGGTCGGAGGGAGACGTGTCGAATCCAACCAGTGGTTGTGAAGGTGATGAGCTTGCCGTTGTGGCCAACGTATCAACACAAGGTTGACTACGGGCGTCGGAGGGAAAGGCTTATCGGCTATTATAGCGTCCTTCCAAGTGTGCAGGGCAAAAGCGGCGCTGAGCTTTAATATCCCAAGTCAAATTTAGACATTCATTTAAGTAGAGGGGCAGAAAAGGATATTCCGGATTTTCTGGGGCATTTGAAGACAGTAGACTTGGAGTATAACAGTCTGGTTGTACATTCAGAGAGGCAGTCTTTGCAATGTCCTGCATGACTTGGTACATTGAAAGGAGTGCCACTTTTTCTGTCCCCCAGGAGGCAGTTCGTTCTTTCCCTTTAGCGACTTTGCCGATATCAGACCGCCTTCCTTGTCTGGACATGCTCTGCCCACCTGGCAGGAAAGCTTCCCGCAAAGAGGACTAGTCCGCAACTCTTTGATCTGAATGACTTCCTGTGCACAGTTCTGAGCTGAGGGAGCAATACACGCCATCATCATTAGAAAGCCAGGATACTGCACCCATTTCATCTCATCGAAGGTTCCTCAACATTTCTGCTCAAGTCAAAGAGACCTCTACGTCAACATCAGAAACCCGTCAAATCCCTGTGCCCTCTGACCAAGGAGTTTGATCAACAATGGCTGCTCTAAACCGCATTATCATCGACACCGATCCTGGTAGGTTTGATATATAAGAACTCAAGAGAACTTTCAACTAAGTACCAAAAGGCGTTGACGATGTTCTGGCTATGCTCCTTGCTTTCGCGGCAAAGCCCGAAGAACTTGACATTCTTCTTATATCCGTAACTTATGGAAATGTCGAAGTTCAGAGGTACATCACTATATTTATAAAATGTGATGCTTGTTGACACCACTCCAAGTTGTTTGCGGAATGTTGTTGCCCTTTTCCATGTGATTGATAAAGAACGAGAGTGGCGAAAAGCTCGTGGCCAACTCGAGGGCTTCGAGGCTATGTTGTCTTCAAAGCCTATTGTGGCGGTTGGCGCTGATCACCCTTTGGAAGATGAGATCTTGATGGCCGATTACTTCCGTAAGCCCTCATCCGTTGGGAACAGTTATGTTGAAAAGCTTACAATTCTGCTTAGATGGCATCGATGGTTTGGCGGGCGTTCACATATCGGTTTGTGATCTAAGTAGTAATTAAAGAACAAACAGTACTAATCTTAGTAGCACCCTCATCTCTCGCCGTCTGATGCTTGGAAGACATTATTCCAGCCACCTACAGCTAAGGCCAGTGCCGAGGAAGTGGCAGAAGCGCAAGAACTTGCGGCTCTCACGACGTCTTTCAGAGCTTCCCAGGTCCCCGCACATAAGGAAATGCTTCGACTTCTCAAAGAAAACCCTCGAGATTCGATCACCATCGTTTGTGTCGGCCCACTTACGAATTTGGCATTAGCTGCGGCAGAAGATCCTGAGACATTCCTCAAAGTCAAGGAGGTAGTCGTGATGGTAAGCCTAGCTTCATACTTCTTCAATCAATTCACAATACTAATATTCCCGGCAGGGAGGTGCTATTGATGTGGAGGGTAACATTACCCCTGTTGCTGAGTTCAACACCTACGCCGATGCTGTTGCAACAGCAAGGGTTTTTGCGTTAACTTCGCCCAACCCCTCTTCAACATTCCCTCCATTGCCGTTGAAATTATCGACTCTCGCACCCTACCCTCGCCAACTGTCAAGGCCGCTCAAGCTAACCCTGTTTCCCCTCGATGTCACAACTCCTCACACCCTTCAAAGATCTCATGTTTCAGCGAAGCTTGACCCACTAATCAAAGCTGGATCTCCTTTGGCGGAATGGACTTCTGCATTTGTGCACAAGACACTTGACAAGATGGAGTCTCTCACCAGGAAGCAAGCAGACATTGGACTAGAGTTGCATGATCCTTTGCCAATTTGGTACATGCTCACTCGATCAGCTCCATCCTGGATGCTCGCTCCCAAGGCCCCTGAAGATATAAGAGTTGAGACCGCTGGTCAATGGACAAGGGGAATGCATATCATCGATCGTCGAAATAGGAAGAAGGGGGGAGTCTCACAGCAAGTCAAGAGCCCTGGCGCTGTTGACATTTCGAACCCGATGGAGAACCTCACTATTGCAAAGGCTGAGGATGAGGGTGATGCCCCAGGAGACAACGGTGGTTGGCTTAGTCTGGCGAAAGGCAACAGGATCAATCGGATTATCTCGAGCCCCGGCGAGGCTGAATTTGGACCATATCTATTGGAACGAGTATTTGGTTAGATATGTAGGGTTTTTTTTGGACGTTGGCATGCACCCTTTTTGATCAGCACACGAACAGCTAAGCTCAGAAGTATAGAATAAAAACGACATATTCCAATAACTAGTAATTGTCTACTGAATACCAAAGTAGAAGGTTCGCAGAGGTTGTCGTTCTATAAGTGAACTAACTAACTGAAGTCTTGCCCTTGCTTCACAGAAAGACGAAGCATGCAGAATCAAAGTTGGGAACTCTAGAGGTCTTGTAGTCCAAGACTCTTATTTTCAAAATCACTAAGGGCTTCGCATTTCTACACGCGATACTGACTATAACAAGCTTTCCCAAGCTGCCCGAGCAAATATTCGACCAATTACAAGATTTGGGCCTTGCGCTGATCTGTGATTTCTTCCCAACGCCAGATATGCAACATTGCTTGTTGGTATTCTTCCCTCCATTTCCACAACATCACTCTGTATTGCTCATCATGAATGCTTGACTCCCCCAACAACAGCTCCTCTAACTGCCAGCCAGTTGATACTGTCATCTAATTCCTCATCCACTAGGCCAACGACAACCACATTGTCCCCTCTAATCAAATACAGCCCATGGGGAACCTCACTCGACGGTTCTGGATCATCTGGTGGTCGTATAATGCGTTCTGTAGTTTGTGACAGCACCTGAATGTTTTCAGCATCCGATTGTAATAATTCAAGGCAGTGGAGACCTACCAAATTTGTCATCTGGTCGCATGAAAGCAGCATTCCCACCAGCGTTCTTGAATCGCTGGTCAATACCAGGACCTTCTCTACCCGGCTGTCAGAATGGGCTGTAAGCTTTGCAAAAGAACTGTGAAGTCAAGGGAGAGAGGAAAGGGGAGCTTACTGTTGACATAGTTTTGGAGAGACATTGCGGAAGGTTTCGTAGTCGCTGCCTGTGTGCGGCGCGAACAGGATGGCTTCAGGACAGCTGGACCTCTTTCGACAGGCGGTACCTTTTCGTAGGGTTGTTGTGCTATGCTGGTCTGTCGTGAGAGTCGAGAAAGTTTGGACGTTGTCAAGCCCGTGCATTGAAAAGGCTGGCCGCAGCCTTGTGGCTCGTGCTGTCGGTTGTGCCTGCGAGCTGCCAATCCGACATCAAACTCACTTGCGCGTCTTCCAGTACAATCAATCAGCCGCTCGGAGGCCTTGGAAAAGACACTGTTAAGATGGCATACTTCTTCTCGACGCCAGTCGACATCGACATTGTCCTGGATGATGGAGACGACCGGCAGATGGTGGATATGAAGACGGAGAAGGGCCGCAGAGAAAAGGCACCGCTTTACAAAGACGGAGAGTCTGTGAAAGGCGCTGTCACGATACGACCGAAGGATGGAAAGAGATTGGAACATACTGGAATCAAGGTTCAATTTATCGGGACCATTGGTAGGTCTCAATGCAGAATGCTGCAGTATATATACTCACCTGCGGCACAGAAATGTTCTTTGACCGCGGAAACCACTACGAATTCCTCTCCTTGGGCCAAGAGCTAGCTGCGCCTGGAGACCTTCAACATCCTCAAGCCTTTGATTTCAACTTCAAGAATGTCGAAAAACAATATGAGTCCTACAGCGGCATCAATGTCAGACTCAGATACTTCGTCCGCGTTACCGTATCCCGAAGAATGGCGGACGTAATCAGAGAGAAGGATATCTGGGTGTACTCGTACAGGATACCACCTGAGATGAACAGCTCAATCAAGATGGACGTTGGTATTGAAGACTGTCTCCACATCGAATTCGAGTACTCAAAGTCAAAGTACCATCTGAAAGATGTCATTGTAGGGCGCATATACTTCCTTCTCGTCAGACTGAAGATCAAGCATATGGAGCTTTCGATTATCAGGCGGGAGACGACTGGCGCAGCGCCTAATCAATATAATGAGAGTGAGACTTTGGTCAGGTTCGAGGTCAGTCATCTGGTCTCAGCTTCCAATAAACCTATTGACATTTGTTAGATCATGGATGGCTCTCCATCAAGAGGAGAAACTATTCCCATCAGACTCTTCCTTGGGGGGTTTGATCTTACCCCCACATTCCGGGAAGTCAACAAGAAGTACTCTACCAGATATTACCTCAGTCTCGTGCTTATTGACGAAGGCAAGCTGCTTCAGTCCCTCCCCTCTTTCGACATGTCTAACAACGTCCAGATGCACGACGCTACTTCAAGCAATCCGAAATCGTGCTTTACCGTCAAGCACCAGAAATTGCAGCTGGTGCGGGGCAGCAAACTCAGATCGCAGGTGCACCACCACCAGAGAGAGCGCAGGTTCCGCAGGCAGCGTAAGCGATATGAATGGAAGGAGTAATGAAAGTCAATGCTGTTCACTTGTAACATAGAGGTTTGGAGCTTAAAGCTCTTACGGCGATTATGGGAGATATGAAGAAAGGAAATTCATCATAAGCTTCGCTATCCTGGTCCCACTGGTTGAGATTGTATTTGACTGCGTTGATTTCATGGCGCTGGATTGTAGGAAGGTCATCAGCATTTCCACCTGTAAGGCGCAGTATCTGCTATCTGTTTTACAGAATCTCACTCCAGGCTCCATATCACGCCATGCTCTCTGCCCGGCCTTACTGGCTCAAATCATAAAACATCCATCTCATCTCCCCCTGCAAATGCAAACTGATTATTTTGGATCGCAGCAATGCGATCTAGCTCCTCCTGGTAAGCCCTCCTCAGATCATCCAGAGTAACCACCTTCCTCTTCTGTTGACTGTTCTTTCCGGTGGCCCCTTTCCGTGGAGGTTCTTCAGATAGGATCCAAGCTTGTTTTGGTTCTACGCAGCTCAGCGCATTGATAAGTGCGATGTACTGTTTTGTGACGGGAGTCTCGAGGCCATCTTCACCGATTATCTTGTCGCCATCTCCGGATTGTTGGAGTCGTTGCAGGCGTTCGAGAGAAATGGTCGCGGCACCGCGGAAGTCACTTCGCTTGATTCGCCAGGCGTAGAGGATTTTGTGGTATGGGACGCCGACTGTGACATCCACAATGCTTTGGCATTTCTGAGCCAGGATTGAGTCCACGGCGTCTTGAAGGCCAATAAAAGGGAGCTCGGTAAGTTGAGAAGCATAGGAGGACTCGCACATCTTGGTCACGAGAGTCCTGACAGAGGAATGCTGAAGCGCATTGTCGGTGAAAAGGGCAAGAATAGAGTAGGCGAGCTCGAAGCGTGCCGTTTGAATGGCAGCATTGAAGAGACGACTATGCATCTCTGTTCGGAGCAGGATTGCTTGAGGTTCTTGGTTGCCAACCTTCATGAATTGGAGAGACAGTCTTGCAAAATCAATGACAAAAGAGTACATTTTCTCTCTGTCAAATAGTGCAACAATATGAGCGTAGTACTCTGGCACACCTGCGTTCAAGAGATTCCTCTCGGTCTCGTCAAGGTAACCAGCGCTACGATGATCGGTTCTCTTCTTTGGATTTGGATATGCTAGATGTAATTAGCATCATTCTTTCTGAAGTTAGTGGAGGCTCTTACCCATTCCGAACGCAGCCTTCTTGAAGAGCATTGAGGCTGTGAGGGGTTCATTGGCGGCAAGACATGCTCTTCCCTGAATATAGGTGGAGAACGCATCGCGGCCAGCAAATCTTGAGAACTCTATGGCAAGATCGGCCCGGTCATGCTTGAGCAAAAAGCATTGTATAACGGCAGGAGGTGCCTCATATTCGCTGTCAAGGGCGCAGATCTGTATTATGACCTCAGTGACAACCGAGGACAGGGTCTCGTCTCTTCGTAGATCCAATCCGAACAAGTGTCGAAGCACGCCTTCTAAAACTGTCAATGTCTCCAATCTTGGCGGTGGCTTCCTCGTAGGGCTCGTGGCCTTCTCGGAGATGGAGTTGGAGCGCTCAACCTTCTTAAGCGGTAGAGAAATCTGCGTGCTCGCAAGCCAATTTACCAACTCAAGCCTCGCGAACATTGGCATGAGTTGACCAAAAACTGCTGCGGTCTCGAACTGAATTCCCTCTTCCCCATGGTTGACCTCCACTTCTAACAGGACGAGGAAAATCAGCTGGTCGAGGCAGACATTGCGATGCAATTCAGTCGTCTCCTGAACTCCTTTCAGTACCAGTTTGTTTCCGAATTCTGCGAGCGGAAGAACTTGTGGCCTCTTGTCAAAATCTTCGGCAGTGTTCATAAGTTCAAGCATTGCTTGATAGACATGTTGGGTGACACCTTTGAAGTCTCCACCGAGGCCACTCACAAGTTGAGAATATTCATCGTCGCCTATCTGGTTGGAGAAGTCGCACTTATCGTAGAATGCACGCATCCTCGCAGGATCGGTCAATGACGGCTCCTGGAATATCTCTTCTAGAAGCATGGCCTTGCAACCGTGGATGAAATGGTCAGACAGCGAGTCCCTGAACGAGGCTGCAGCGAAGAGTGGCCGAGCTATGTGTTGAGTTCCTGCGGGTACCATTCCGTTGTTATGCCAAATTTTCTCGAGGCCACTACAGTCTCGAATTGCAGTGATTCCGTCCGCCAAGATTACCCAAGGCATCTCCCCTTGAGGATCAATGACCAGCGACATAGCTTCACCACGTTGCTTGTCTAGTTCTAGCAGCAAACGGTAGAATCGGCGCCATTGAGTATCCGTTGCTGTCCGGAACTCCTCGTAATTCATGTTGTCACCAGATATATGTTGTAGAGAAACAGTCGATGCGATGATTGCACACATTCTTTCAGGGAGGCTCCCTGATCTTCGCGCTGCTTCTTTAGCCGACCCCAAGCCACGAGCATAAATCGCAAGCCCGGTTTCAATAGTAGCTCCGGTAAATCTACCTGGGAATAAGATGAAATCTAGCCATTTATCGGTCATATCTGCCGAGTCACCAGGAAATGCCGCAGGGAGGGGAGTCTCGCGGAGAGTCTCTGTGGCCATTGCCTCCCAGCTTCCCTCCCATGCGTCTCGTAATCTAGAGGTCGAGCCACTTTGGAAATTTAGTTTGTGAAGCCTATATGTTACGTTGTTCTTCCATAACGCCCACAAGGTGAAATTGTTGGCGTTGGATCGATCCAGGACGACGGAGAAATCTGCCAGAGTCCATATTTCGGAAGTGGGAGTTTGTGGTATTAGGGTGTTGTCGGGGAAGAGATCTACCACTTCGAGGTTTCCAGCTTCGTTTGGGGTAGCGTTCCAGAATTTGAACTGGCCAGTTCCAAGAGGAGAGAATGTGACGCATAGAGCGCTCTCATCATTATCTCCAAAGACCTTGACCAGCTGTGATTGTGATGGATCAATGACTTTCTTCGCCTCTTCATGCAATTCAGTCTCCTGGTTCAACATATCTCCATTATAAGCCATCCTTCCAGCTGCCAGATTCCAGATCCGAAGTCGATGATCTAGTGAGACCATGAAGACATAGGAAACGCCATCAATGATTGCCGCTGGGGTTGCTATAGAGGTAGCCGAGGATAATTCGAGAGAGTGTTTGCCATAAAGGACTGTGTTGCTGCCTCGTACGATCATGCTCCGCAGATTTTGTGTCCAACTGCCAGCGCTGTGATGTGATTCTCTCCAGACAGAACCTACTCATATCAGCATATAAATAGACATAGCTTACAGCGGGTAGGAATACCGTCGCCGCCAGAGTTCCGATCTAGCTTCAGCAAAGACCCGTCATGAGCAGAAATCAAGAGATCGTCCGCTCCTAGAGTAGCTAGCCTATGGGGAAGTTTAAAAGAGGCGTGGGAGACCCATGACTTGCACCAGTCATCGACGTTATCTTCTGTACTTGAGGGCTTTCGAAAGAAGTCTGGACGCAGGGTGAGAGTGTAGAGGTGCTTGCTTTCGGTTATGACGAAAATGCTCAATATATCATGATCCTTGGAATCTGACAACGCGATACATCCAGGTGTAATCGGACTTGGGAAGTTCAACCGCAACGTAAGGTTCGCATCCGCAGAGTTGCTCGGCCTAGAAACATCTACTGCCCGGACAGAAAGCACCTTTCCATCTTCCAATACCCTCCAAAGGAAGCTCCTGGGGGACTTGTAGTGGGATCGGTGGTAAATTGAGGCCGCTGTTGCCAAATGACTTCGTCTAAAAGCAACCTCATCTTCTGCAATCGGGATCTCGGTGACTTGGGATCGTTTCTGGGCCGTTCTTGAAAGAATTGTTGACGCGCCATGGGGAGGTAAACGGATCGCAACGGTGGAGCCTTGCGTCGCCGGTTCGAGATCTAAGCGTGTCTCCTTGTAGGCATAGAATGGACTTGGAGATTCCATCTTGCCTCCATCAATCCGGGTTGCTAGAAATTCGTGGCTGAAGGATTTCGCATTTTCGTTGCGGTGGTGTTGACTGGCGCGATTACAGGTCGCAAAAGCTCCTCACAATATGAAAGCCTAAGCTCGGCTACTGAGACAAGACAAGTTACAGGGGTTCAGCATTTTAAGCTTCACTATCAACTTCAAGTTCAGTTGATGAATAAGTTGCACAATTATTTGATCTAATCTGAACTACGCACAATAAAGTCTTTATTGATGAATGCAAGCCGAACTGATAAACCATACCAAAACACCCTTTCCATGCACTCTATGAAAATGCAAGCTGAGTAATAAGAGAGCTTCGTTCCTCATTCCGTCCGTTCCAATAGCGTTAAACCACATTAATAACACATTAATTAAACACCTAGTCCTTGTCCAGATCCTTTGGACTCGGGTCGCCGATCCCGTCTTCGTTGATAGCAAACAGACAATCGCTCTCTGGCAAGCAAGGACTATCGTAGATCTTGCAAATCCGTGTCTCTCCACGACCTTTCTTCAGACTCAACCGGGTCGTACTAGCATGAGCGATGATGTTTCCTCCGATTGGCTTCTTAGGATCCGGATTGAACATTGCACTAGGTCCGCCATCAACTTGGGCAACGACTTGATTGGTAATGACGACCGCGATTCCGAATTCGTCTGCCAAGCGTTGAAGTGTTCTCATGAACTTGGCCAAATGGGTCTGTCTGGAAGACAACTCCCCTCGTCCAACAAAATCTGTTCGATAGAGAGAAGTGGCACTATCAACGATGAGAAGAGAGAAACGCGTCTCACACATCATCGCCGAAGCTTGGTTGAGCAGTTGAAGCTGATGGTCGGAATTGTAGGCTCGGGCATATGCAACGTTGTCGAGAACTTCCTCTCCGGATAAACCGTATCGGTTGGCAACAGCAAGCAGACGGACTGGTCGGAAGGTTCCCTCGGTATCAATATAGAGACACTTTCCTTCGCCGCCTCCCATATCGAATGGTAATTGACAAGTCACAGCCAGAGTGTGACATATTTGACTCTTTCCGGTTCTGAACTCGCCAAAGATCTCAGTTACTGATCCTGTCTCAATGCCTCCTGCAAGTAATGTATCAAGCTGTTTTGATCCGGTGGTGATCGATATCAACTCGCTTCTTCGCTGATGCATTTCGGTGGCGGTGGTGAATCCCATGGGTACAAGCTTTGACGCTATGGATCTATCAGCCAGGCTCTGGTCACTTGCATTCGGAGTGCAAACCCTCTGTCAATATCTTTGTTGCCTTCTGCTCGGAGATACCCTTGATCTGCTCGAGAATTCTTCGTGGAGTGTATGCAACAGATTCGACGGTGTTGTAGCCTCCATCAACGATCAATTGAATATCACGCTTTGTCAGACCCGCAACACCCTAAAAGGCACGAACATCAGTCATGTCTCTGTGCTCTGCGATCATCCAGACTTACTTCCAGAGCGGAAAGTGGCGTTGGCGCCCCGGGTCCTCCGACTCCACTATCTTCAACGCCCGACTGGAATTCCTCTATCTCTTCGGTAGTCATGTTGAGAATTTGCAAGGCACCAATCTTATGTCGTGGAACCGTGTTTGAAAGGGTGCTTGCAGTTGTTGCTTGGGTGGAGATCGCAACTTTCGATGGGTTGTTGACTTCGCGACGCGTCGCGAGGATGAAACAACTAGCGCGCTGTCACGTTTAAAAGTGGACCTGTCCCTCAATACTCTCTTATTCTCGAGCTTGGAACGCTGAATTGTCCAACCATCCTAGAGACCATTTTGAGAATGAAAGACTCTCCTGGTAAGTTGGTTCAGTCCATACCCATGGGTATCGTATATTCATGCATTGCGAGAACTGGAAAGAATAACTTGGAGATGTTTCATTCAGGCCTGGAGCAAATCTAATCTAGTTGAACGTGTTGCACGTTTATCGAGTACAGTACATTTCTAATTTTGTTGGCCAAGCATATGGATTATGCTCACAACTTATCCTCTTTCCCTCATCACTCGTTCTGTACCCAACTCCCCAGTTGCAATAATGGTTATGTGACCCTGCTACCCTTAATCAACCAACAAGCTACCCTTGACTTGATCCGAGCCATCACCCCATTGTCTTTGCCTCAACATTCCGACGAGCTAAATACTAAGACTCACTGAATGTTGGCAAACATCTATCAGCCCGAATTGTGTGAGACGTGTTCCTTGAAAATCCGGTCTGCAGGACTCGAGGCCAGTTGTCCCGTCATTGACGTCCGAGGCTTCTTCTGGAGTTTCGATTGTCTCCTCTCCCCAGAATCTTCATCGTGAGATGTATCTCCCCCTTTCAACTCAGCAGGAGTTCCAAACGTTCCGGCAGGCAAAACCTCGAAGCCAGAATTGACCTTACGTACTACCTTATTCACATGCAGCTCCCCAGGTACGAACGGAGATGGGGAGCGGGCTTGGTGGGAAGACTCGGCCGGAGGTTCGCTGGGCCAGCTAGGGCCAGGGTTAGTCGGTAAGTGTTGAGGCTTGTAGGTTCTGGGTGCTTCCAAAGGACTCTCCATTGGAGTTGCAAAGGGATCTGAAGTTTCGGAATTTGGAGAGCCAGCAGGAATGGAGAAGTATTCGGGTTTAGAGCTCTGAGCTGGAACAGAGGCCCAAACTGGTTTGCTTGACGTTCTCGTCGACTGTTCATCCAGACTAGCGCACTGAGGGAGTAAAGACTGATTCGAGCGCGATTTGGGATGATGTGAAAGGGTGGCATCAGAATCGTCAGAGGTTCCGGAGGAGCGCTCGTTGTCTGCGGCGGAAGACGAATCAACTTCTAAGTGGGTTCCACGAGATCCGCGCGGACGATGTGTATATATCTTTTTCTTCGGTGACGGGGACTTGCCCTCCAGCTGATCAAGCGTTGTTGCATCGTATTCTCCATGGCTTCCAATACGGAGGTGAGACGATCTTCGAGGCTTGTAAGAGCGCGAGGCTGGGCGCTCAGGAATTGTTGCATCTAGAGTCCCCGTGGTTGGGGCCATGCTCGGCTCTCCAGTTTCGTCATTTGAGAACTGTTGTCTTTCCTGTCTCGAAATCGGTCGGACCCCTTGAGCGGTCACTTCATCCGTGGCTTCGGCACTATTATTCGAATTATGGGGAGCGACCATATCGGAAGAGCCGTTGCGTAAATGTCCCAGCTTAAGCTCGCTCGGTATTGGCGTGGTGGACTGAGAAATCCAAATCCCATCAACTGTGATGCCGCTCTGAATTGCTCTTACGCCGAATGGGATGTCATGGCTTCTCCGAGACTCGACTATTTGTCCACTGTTTCTCAGCTCCTGAATCCTCATTCTCTTCTCCTCGTCCACCACTTCCTGCTTCTTGACGATCCTATTCGTCCATAGGAGTTTGAGATATCCGATACAAAAGACTCCAAGAATAGCAAGACCTAGAATCTTGGGACCGTCAGCCACAGTTCCAAGGAAGCAGTGCTTCGTCACTCACGAAGGTCATCTTCTCCCACAACGGCCACGAATAGAAGAACATGGTAGTGAGGGTGTCGGCGGGGATTAAATATTACAATGTACCCTGGAAGTGATCGTAGCAAGTGATCCGAGCGAGTGTTCCTTTGGATATCCGTAAAGGTTTGAGTAAAACGAGAGTACTTGAGACCGTCGAAGTGGGTTAGGGGTGCTTTGAGTTCCTTGCACGGGGACCAGATTTGGATGACGTCTATGCTTCCCAATTTCCAGAATCGGCAAGAGCACGACTACCACGAGGGAAGTGATAATCGATTGACTGCCTCATTCATTGAGGATAAAGCTCGAACTAAAGCAAGCACTGAATTGTCACCGTCTTGCAATGGTCCCTTGAGCGCCGATTTGATTGCCACAATAATATCACCACAACGGTAGTCGCTGACTGCACGACCTCGAAAGGCTTCGTGAATATGAGTCGATGAGCTCCAATCCGTCACTAAGGAAGCTTCCAAATGTTAGTCGTCTTGTGTTGGCATGGCTAGTTGCAGATGGTCCTACCCAAGATCCTGCTAGAAAATTCCTGACGGCTCGGAGCATTTACCATGCACAAGGAGGATGCAAAGATTGATTCCGCTGCAACAATACCGGAGATGAAACAATGTACGGCAGGAATTAAATGAGGAGTTATAACGACTGTACGAGTTGGTTGAAGGACAGAGTAGTTTCGGACACCAACTTTTATTAAAGCCTTCAGACTGGAGAAGGCTACGACAGGAGAGGGGTCGCGTTTCTCCCTATATAACAGGCCACGGAGCCAACAGTCAACGGCTTGGTCTGGTCACTGACCGTGACCATCCTATCCTTGTTTGAATCCATGCGTCAATCATAAGATCCAACAGGGTGGGTGGAAGGCGTTTTCAAACATGCATGTTCGACCCAGAAACGGACGCTTTGGGTGATTTCCATGCACTGGGAATCATTAGCTCAATCTGGGCTTGAGCGACAGAGATATGGTTGGCCGCAACGTGCAGGGAGAACGAGAAGAGAACCTTTGAAAGCGGCCTGCGGGTTGATGCGTTGTTAGGCTGGCTGGGCGGCCCCCTTTCCCGAACAGAACAAAAGCCCTGTACAGTATCAAGCATGAGCTATTTTCAGCGTCAGTGCCAGCCAACAGAACGCCATCCGCAACCCGAAAAATCAACTACGCGATCCCGCAACGATTCCCCGCGTGGGCGCTCCCTGCCCTTCAGAGACCGTATCAGGATCGAGAAAAATGGACTGCGTGCCAGAACAAAGAAGCTTGAGCAATGAGCACCAATGCCTACATTCCGGGTGTCCTCACCGAGTCACCGACCTTCAAAGGTTCAGGCTCGAAAGCATCTCACTGTGTCGAGGACTCCTAGCCGCCTGGAAACTCGTATTTTATCTGACAAGTTCGCCACCTCGCGTCGAGTTGCAACCGGAAATCTTTCAAGAGCCTTCAGCTCACTCAATAATCCAGCTCTGCTCCTCGGTTCGTGAAAGAGAGCTTAACAATACAGTGCCACTTAAATGCGTACCCATTGGATCTACAGTATTCCCACGCAGAGACATCGAGGAACGCTGCGTTATCCCTGGGCCAGAAGAAGATTTCCACAATCAGGAACCGAAAAGCAATTATCTGACAGTGCAGCATGCCAGCCAGTACCGCAGCGGCGTTTATGACATTTCGCCTCCCTCGCGAGAACGTCCAGCTGGAAACCCCATTCTGTTTTGCGCACCTCAGCTGTTGAATCTGCACCGTGTCTGCATTGTAGATCTTTGAGATCTGCTTGGACACACAGCCTTTGGGGGCGTAATTGAAAATCTGTTGCCAACAATGGCCACACATCTTCCAGTTGTAGATGATATGGCCGCTCAAGTGGAGGGTACTCGGCCTCGGCTCAGCCATAAGCGATTGATCATCACCAGGCCCCCAAAGCATCGTGGCATCACAGGATCGATCATACATGCACCTCGTACGCAATCCAATTCTCTACGTTGACCTGTCCTGGCCGCAATAGCTCGGAGAAGGATACCTGTCCCTCCATGAGGTCTAATAGCAAAGATCTGAGCTTTCAAAAGTCCCAAAATCTTTTGGCACGCCGGCGGTAAGTACTTGGTCAAGTGATCTCCCGACATGCCGTTTTAGATGGGGACCAAGCCATCCAGCATTCCGGATTGGCTGGGAAATAATAAGGTGGGCTGGCTGGAGAATAACCCCATTAATCCCCAGCTTCAACCAAGGCGCAGCTTGCAGAAGACGTCACGGGTCGATACTTACATCGAACCTGCGCTTGAGTGTTTTATTGAGTCTCCTTTTCACTTCCCTCTCACCGTTCCAACTTTAAAACGCCAATTGACCCCTCTTCTTCGACAATCACCCCCACACGATTCACAATAATGCCCATACGAAATCCATTTGCGAAGCGTGTAGATGTCCAGACAGGTCTGCAGCCACATGAGGAGGGAGTTCGGCCGCTGTCGCAGAATGGCACGCGACCAGCGTTTGAGAAGGTGGACACAACGGGCTCCAAGGAGTCATCTGCGATGAGCATAAACAGCAAAAAGAGCCAGGAGCCCGTAGAGTACAAGATGAGCGGTATGCGCCCGGTCTCCAAACCTTGGCAGGCAGGCTGATTGAACATAAAAGTCGTCAATGATAGTGGAGTGTATCTTCCAGTGAGTTGCTCCAAATCACAATCGGAACTACTAGCTGATCTTGCACAAGCCCTCACCTCCGGAAAAGAAAGGCTTCTGGCCAAAGCGATCCCATCCGTCTGGGACTTCGATCAGCACTGGAAACAGCGAGTCTGACATAGAACCATTTCCCATATCCCGCGAATCGTTCGATTCTTACAGGAGGTCCTTTGTAAGCTATATGCAGGAACTTTGTCAGATTCGACTTGTCTGACACAGTTTTAGGATATCTCGGCAAGATCACCAGTTATCCAAGTTGAGAATCATGGCAGACAAAGTCTCGATTCAGCCCGAATACCCCGTCTCCCTCGGTCAGCCGTGAATGAACGACGGTTCGAGAGGCATCCGCCGACTGCCGAGGAAGGATTCGAGGATGTTGGTCTCAATGACGATCAAAATAAACAAGCAAAGAAGAGGGGGTTCTTTTCCAAGTTTGGAGAGAATACGGATCCGAATACTCAATCACCGACTACATCCCGATTTCATATTGGCGGACGAAAGAGAGGCCAAAGTGGGGTCGGGGAAGAACTCGGCAGTATTCAGCGGCCAGGTACATCTGGAAGTAAAGAGGTGAAAGAGGTCCATTGAGGGAGATGATAGGATAGTATTTCGATTCTTTGTAAGAACTTTGCTTTGGGATCTGGGGCGTTGGAATCTGCATCTGCGTGGACCTACCTTACAATCGCTGGAAGAAGGTCAATATTGACCAGATCATACACTTGAAGAAGAAACGATCGATAATACCGTAGTAACGAACCCGTACTTGATGACTTGGTCAACACTTGAGCAGCTTCAAAGAGAGAGCAGAATCCAAGTGGGAAGACAAGCAATGCTACCAACATGTTCTTAAATCTCAAATTCTTTGAAACGGATCTGGAATCGAGCCGTCTTGCTTCAGCATCCCCCTTGCAGAGAGATAATAGTGGTCGTCGATAACGAGGTAAGTGGGGGCGAAACGCGGGTCGTTATCGCCAATCAAGGACAAAAAAATCATGCTGGCAGAATTAAAACTCGACAACTTAAACATATCTCTCATCCCCGCCACAACACAACTTTGAGTCACCTTTCCGGCATCGCAATGGCGAAAACAAAACCCAACAACAAGAAAACCAAGAAGCGCGAGAAATCAGCCCTCCACCGAGTAGTAGGAAGCCCCTCGAAGACCTCCACACCGCCCGAACCCCCCCCGATCCTCCTCGCACAAGCCACAGCATCTCTTCAACAGGGCGACATAGCTGGCGCTATTAAGCCTGCAAAGCGTGCTCTATCTCTCCTAGATCCCCAATCCGAAGCAGCATTACCAGCGCTTAATCTGCTTGGAGAAATCCATATTGAGCTGGGAGAAATTGACGCAGCAAGACAATATTTCCTTCAAGCTGCAGCCATTGACGAAGATGGTGCAATCAGGGAAGATTTTGGTGGAGGCGCGGAAAAGTTTCTATGGCTGGCGCAATTGAGTGAAGAAGGAGGCCAGGACAGTGTGGATTGGTTTGAGAAGGGTGCCGTGTGCTTGAGGATGCAGATTCAGCAATTACTAGACCAGAAGAAATTGGGCAAAGAGGGGCAGGCGCTGTTGGAGGAGAAGACGAGAAAGCTGACGGGGGCGTTGTGTGCTGTGGTCGAGGTTTACATGACGGATTTGAGTTGGGAGGAGGATGCGGAGCAGAAGTGTGAGGCACTGGTTACAGAGGCTACGATGGTTGCGCCTGGATTTCCGGAGCCTTGGCAGACGTTGGCTAATGTCAGGATATCGCAAGAGAAGATGGAGGATGCGCGGGCGGCATTAAAGAGGAGTCTGGATTTATGGAGAGACTTGCCTCCTGAAAGTTCCGTCGTCCCGGATTTTCCAACAAGAGTCAGCTTGGCAAGGCTTCTTATGGAGGCTGACATGGATGTCGATGCCATTGAAGTTTTAGAGCGGTTGGTAGGGGAAGACGATACTAGTGTGGAAGTCTGGTATCTAGGTGGCTGGGGCCTATATATCATGGGTGAGAAGCAAAAGAATGGAGAAGTCAAAGCTGAGAATGGAGACGGAGAGAGCTGGAGAGTCTCGTGGATATCGAGTCGGCAATGGCTGAACCAAAGTCTGCTTCTCTTTAAGCAGCAAGGTTACGAGGACGAGAGGTTGGGGGAGCACGCAAAAGAACTTCTTGCAAAGCTGAATGCTGAGCTTGGAGGCGAATCGTTAAATGGAGATCAAGACGGGGACGGAGAAGAATGGGAAGACGAGGACAACGAGGCAAGTGACGAAGATGAGGATATGGCCGAGTCATGACCTATTGTCCTACTCTCTTTGGCGTTCTTGGTGTCGAGCTTCAAAAGTCAATGGGACGGTTGTTTGAATATTCACGCCTTGTGTACCGGCCCCGACTTGTATTGTAAAACTTTCTACAACATCTCGTGGACAAAAATACACCGAGGTCCTCTGCCTCAAACCGTAGCGCCTTCAATGCAACTCCCGCATGCCCACGCTGATATCTTAACTTTTCCTGACCAAATCAATCTTCAACCTTCAGGTCCTCTACATCTTCCACCAACCCATCGTCACCCTCAAAGTCGTCCTCCTCAGCCTTGCCTGCTAAGCCTCTCTCCCAAAGCTGCTTTCCCGTTAACTGAACTACAATATCCTTCCCCCGGTTCCTCTTCTTGTCCGCTGCTTCATCCTCTTCCACTTGCTTGATTCTCAGTGCCTCCATTTCCTTCCTAAATCCTTCCCGCCAGCTCTTAAAAGTCTCGGGCGTAACCGGCGTTCCATGGAACTTCTTATTCTCTTCCCTCTCAGCAGCTAGCAGCTTCTGCTCGTGCTCATGCCGCACAGCCGCCTGTCGTTCCGCAATAAGTTGTTCCGCGTTTTCCTTTAGCGTTGAATACAAGCTGTAGATCATAGCCATGCCCATATTCTCTTCGACTGCGTCTTTCAGGCCATCGAGGAGGTTTTCTCTGTCTGAGGCGACGCTAAATAAGGAGTGCACTGGCGCATTGGGGATTGGGAGGAGGTCCAGGAGGGGTGGTTCTTCGGGGTAGGCTTCGGGGTATTTGACTTGAAGAAGAATGGTTGGGGGCTCAGATTCGTCGTCATCGTCATTTATGATGTCTAAGAGAACTGATATTCGATATTCAGTCTCTGATATGGCTATTGAGTTGTGAGCAATTACGCTGTTAAGGTTTCCCACCAAGTCTCTGTTTTTCAAGCTTCGGAGTAGCTCCTGAGTCCATGGAGGTACAACATACCTTGGATCTCATCAGGAAAAATACTGTCGAGCACCTCCCGCTCCTCAATCTGCTCTTCTCTTCCCATTGTGCGTAAATAATAAGGCCTTGTCTTTTGAGGATCGAATTCACAGCCAAAGACGTGGGGTGTCCAGAATTGGTTTAGCGCGGGATTGTAAAGTTTCTCGATAACAGAAAAAAATCCAGTGAACTTTTCCAATGTCCAGCAACAATGCCTACTGCAACAACCACGAATTCTGCAATGGCTGGTATTAAGAGAAAGTCCGCACCGGTCAAGAATGTTCATGTGAAAGAGAGCAAGAAGCCAAAAATTGATTCGGGTATGAAACCTGCGTTGAAAACGAAGACGCAGTCTGTACCAGTAAGGAAGGTTGAGGAAGCTGTTGATGAGGATTCTGAAGATTCTGATTCCGATGGAGGTGTTTCTCTAAATTTCGAGAGTGGTGATTCGAAGGATGTCGACTCGGTTGACTCGGAAGAGCAAGAAGAAGAAGAGAACGATTCTGAGGAGCTCCCAACGTCTACGGACGGCCTTCACCCAGAGAGAGCCAAAGCTGTTGTAACGAACAGTAAGATCTCCTCTTCACTTCGAGGATATCACACTAACAAACCTCAGGCCAGTCTTCGAAGGAAGCTCATGCTAAACAGAAACAATTGGCACAAGAGAGAAAAGCTGCCAAACCTTTGGCGGACCAATTGGTCAGGACGAAGAAGATTTGGGAACGCCTACGTCGAAAATCACATGTCCCAGCTGATGAGAGGAAACAATTGGTGACCGAACTCTTCGAAATCATTACTGGGAGGATCAAAGATTTTGTGTTGAAGCACGACAGTGTCAGGGTGGTTCAGACTGCAATCAAATATGCCAACCGGGAGCAGAGGCTGTTGATTGCGGGAGAGCTTTCAGGAACATATCGCCAACTCGCTGAGAGCAGATATGCGAAGTTCTTGATTGGGAAGCTATTGGTCCAAGGAGATGATAAAATCAGAGATATTATTGTCCCGGAGTTTTTCGGAAACGTTCGTCGACTCATAAAGCACCCAGAGGCTTCCTGGATCTTGGACGATATCTATCGGGGTGTTGCAAGTCGACAGCAAAAGGCAATCATACTGCGAGAGTGGTACGGTGCTGAATTTGCACTGTTCGAAAAGGACAGCACCGAGAAGGTATCTGGCGATCTCGTTAATATTCTAGCTGCGAATCCTGGCAAGCGGGCTCCAATTATGCGTTCGCTTCAAGAAATCATAAATCATCTTATCCAGAAGAAGATGACTGGATTTACGCTTTTGCATGACGCAATGCTTCAATATTTCCTCAACGTCAAACCAGGTACGGAAGAAATCACGGACTATTTGGAGCTTATCAAGGGTGACGAGGAGGGAGATCTACTCAAAAACTTGGCCTTCACAAGATCAGGGTCACGAGTGGTCTGCCTTGCATTGGCATACGGAACAGCAAAGGATCGGAAGCAAATTCTCAAAACCTACAAAGACACCTTACAATTAATGGCCGCCGATCCCAATGGTCATATTGTGATCCTCACAGCCTACGAGGTTATTGATGATACCGTGTTGACCTCGAAGTCAATCTTCCCTGAGTTGATTACCAAGGATGCTGAGAAACAAGTCGAGAACATTGTTTTCTCCGCGAATGATATCAATTCTCGGACGACACTTCTGTATCTCTTCCAAGGCAGATCAAAAGCCCTCTTTCCAGCCAGTCTCGCTGCAGATATCGAAATCCTAGAAGAGATTGATATCATCCGGTCAACAACAAGTAAGAAGGACCCTGAAATTCGACGAAGTGAGCTTGCGAAAGCACTATCGCCATTTCTTCTCAAGGCCATTGAATCGGCAGCGGGGGATCTGGTGGCTTCATCTTTTGGGTCTCAATTCGTGACGGAGGTACTATTTGGGGCTCAGGGGGACAAGTCCGCGTCACTGAAAGCAGTCGCTGAAACTGCAGCCGGAGATCCTAAATACCTTCAACCTGCAGCCACTGGGGAAGGAACGGAAGATTCCCAACCTCCGTCCCATATTGCAGCGACTCCTTGGGGCGGGAAGATGCTCAAGGCTCTCATTGCAGGAGGGCGTTATGATATCAAGACGAAAACAGTCGTGCCAGTGGAGCCTGCTCTCAACTTCGCCGACATCTTGTACCCAAATATCGAAGACTACATCATCGATTGGGCCACGGGATCAAGTTCTTTCGTCATTTTGGCACTTACGGAAGCAAGCAATTTTTCAAAGAAAGATGACTTAATACGGATACTGAAGGAGAACAAGAAGAAGTTGCACAAAGCTGCTAAAGAAGAGACGCCTGAACAGAAAGCCAGGAGAGAAGCAGCCGTGGCTGAAAAAGACGTTGTCAAGGGCAAAGGGAAGAAGTCAAAAGCTGTCAAAGTCATAGAGATCGGGAATAAGGGTTCTTCGCTTTTATTGGAGAAGTTGTAATGTTGAGATGAACATTATTCTTGCTTTACAAATGATACCCTTGATCTCGTCGTTTATGAGCCGTTGCCGTGCTCCTTTCACCCATTCTTTAGTTCTTGAAACGCAGGTCAATGCCTTGTTGCCTATGGTATCATTTAGCATGTGTATAGTCAAGGAGTCTTGAAAACAAAGGGATAGTTACAGCCAACACTATTTGCAACAGCGCAAACACCCTTTTTTCCTCTGTTTTGGCACGTATCTCTCTTCTTATTCTTGCCAGCAATGCAGCAAGCTCCTTCTGCGATGGGTCGTACAGCACTGATCGCACTGCTTGTGGTTAATAGGCAGTTCACTAATCAAGCTCGATTTGCGATACGAACATCCTTGGTCAACCTCCTCGAGGCGCTGCGCCCCCCCTTCACAAGGGGCATGGTAAGAATTTTGCAGTTTTATACGCGAGATGGCAGACTAGAAAGTGGTCTGGCTGATAACTCAGGAGAAAAATGGTGTATTATCGAGCAAATAAGATTTGCAAGCGCGAAGAAAGCGCTAGGATACTGGGTTCGGATCCCTGTTACAAGCAATCATAGCATTGGAACCTGGCAGATTGCCCTGAATCAGTACGCCCAGCGGGCTCCCGTTTCCTCAATCTCTGCACTATATAATCGGGATGCTCCTTCTCTATAAAATACCTCCCATACTTCTCGCTCCCACGCCTCGTCTCTTTCTCTACAATGCTTCCGCTTCTCCAACAAGCTCTCAGCACCATCTTTCACTTCCTCATAGCAAGTTACTTTCAACAAACCCTTGATCCAAACCCTGTATCTCAAACCATGAAGGACATTACTATTCTCAAAGACTCGTATACGGGATCAGCACCGCTCATCGGATTCTCAAGCTGGCTGGAAACTCAGGAAGTTTTAAAGCCACTCTTGTATCCCCGAACACGCATTTTTATTAGAGTATGGCGGCGGTAAGAGGCTTGGCCCCCAGGTCAGCTTTCCGATGAGCGGCTTTACGCCCGATTACTAAGGGGTTCAAAAGGTATCCTATATGTCCCTTCTCCTTACACAGGTTTTACCATCTCTAGCATATTGAACTTTCAATAGCCTTTCCTTAAACGATGACTAACCCAGAGCAAATCCCGGCCAGCCAATTCGAATTCATCCTCGCCTCTGCCGAAAGTCTCGATGACGAAACCAAGAAGGCCTCTATCTCTGGCTTCTCTAGTACTACAACGCTCGGCTATGACTTTCTCATCTTTGCCACTAGCTCCCGTGCGAAAGGAGATACACCGCTCAAGGGAGTAGGGTCTACGGAAGATATAAAGGCTACTCTACACGACTTCCAAGCACGGGTGGTAAGCAACGCGACAAGGGAAGCTTGCAGAGCCCCGAGGAAAGTGGGCAAGATGTCGCTCGACATAACGTGCTATTGGTTCTTTTCGGGCGGATGAATTGCAAAATCTGGATGGACAGAGATCCGAGAAATTGGTGGAGGAGAAGGACAAATTGAGGTCTTCATATTCAATATCAACGTCCAAGCTATCGCGTGAATTGCAATAACCCTTGCTTAGACGTCATAGCGGCAGTACGGGGCTGAAATCAAGCTTTGCCAAGCCCCACCCAACTCTCGCTTAGCATAAGCGGGTTCTCAGGGGTAAAAAAAACAAATACCTCGACTTCGACTTGCAAAATCAACCCGCGGGAGCAAAAGGTGGTCAATCCTTAGTGTACAATCTTCCGTATCGCTATTTCGTGAATACGGTTTCCGGTCTCGCTTAACGGTCACGCAAATAGTCAACAAATGCCCCTCGAGCGAGGTTCAAAAAATTTAAGATAATCGCACGCTATGTTTAGAGGTCTAGAAAAGTCCGTTGGGATCCAGAAAACTGTCTTTCGCTCAGCCAATCTTTTCCTATCATATTTTTATTAAAGCACTTCAAGAGGAATCATCATAGAAATCTCCACACACTAACTTCAAAACATTTACACCACAAAACTAACAGCCTTGCAAAGGAGTAAAATAGCAAAACTCTAGGACCCTCAGGGACTCCCTTAGAGAACCCGGCGAGCAGATTTTGAAGTCGTTCCACTCTCAGAGTCGTGTACTGAGGTGGGTTGTCGTCGCTCCACACATAATGTGGGTCTCCATATGTGGCTGTTACCCACTCGTCCAGGCCTATCGGTCCTCACTTTGAGCTTGTAAAGCATAAGTGCCAATGCCTGTCTAAACCTAGCCCCTTCTCAAAGCTTGTTGTACTGGGAAAATGCTTATTTGAGTATATCCAGGTTGGTCCTACAATTCGAAGTGAGCACGTGACGAAAGGAATTGCTGTTTAGACTAAAAGCAACGTCTCCTGCTGGAGATCGCTGGCTACAATTTTCTTTATTTTAGCATATAAAGAATATTTCCGCTTTGCTTATGTGCACAGAAACCCCAGAGGGAGTGTTGATTTCACAAGACTTTTCTTCGTGCCGTTTGTTATCATTTTCACACTTTGAGAGATGGAGCTTCGGAAGCTTCAGAAATATTTTACAAATCAAGTTTATTGCTCAAGGGTATCTTTCCAGTATCTTCGAAGAGCATGAAAGTTCATGGCCCACTGGGCACCTTGCTCCTCTCAGCAAGTTTCTTTTCGTAATACAAAGCGCACCGCGGAATTTTCAAGGCATAAAGCACAGCGACTGCCGGATACTCCTCCACTTTCTGGTTGATGTTCCATCGAAGCCATGCTTGCAGCTTTGGTGTCGGAACTTCTTGAGCAAACTCAACAAGGTTCACACACACCTTCGCCCAATTGTACACTGCCTCTGGGTCAAGGGTACCTTCGTGTTGCCTGAACTCAATGGTCTTCTTTAGATCATTATCCGGCCGGTGAAACGAGCACCTTTCGTCGACGTATGGCTCCAGAAGGTTCTCTAAGTTTACCCCCATCTTGTATCCTGAACCATCAGAGGCGCTCATCAGTTTGATAAGTTGGTTGATGGATGTTGTTTTGTATATTTCATCGAGGATGTCTCTCAAATCGATTTTTTCTTCCAACATTCGAAGGGCTAAACGTGAGTTACTTCGCAAAGGTAGGCAATACCCATTTTTTCGTCGATGTTCAGGATGTAAAGTATCCAATTGAGGCTCAAAAGCAAAGAGAATCGCCACAACATTTTGTACTGTTTCGAGTGTAAAAGCTCTCGTGCTATTGCCCACATGAACATGCAAGCCAGTACTTGGCCCATTATACGTTCTGTAAGTGCAAGTGATTAAGTGACAAACTCTCTGTACTTCCCTAAGGCTCCCCTCTGTCATCAAATAAGCAGGCGATTGCATCTCAACCTCCTGGAACTCGTAAACGGTCCTGAGTCCCTCAAGCGGCGGGTGTTTGATGGTCGTATCCTCAGTGACGATCCATCGATCGAGCGGCATATCCGCAAGCTCATGGACACGATCCATTTCTCCAATGGCGCGAATGCCTTTTTTTATGAGGGTGTTTGATATATGGCGCTGGGTGGCATGGTTACGATCGCCTTTCTTTTTCAGTAAAAGAGACAATGTGAGTTGAACTGTAGGCTGGTTTGGTCCTCCCTCCTCTTCTATGATTCCATACATTTCCCGACCGTCAGGTGCCTCTCGATCTTTGACATTGAATGGAAGTGCTGCAAGAGAGAACTCGAGCTCGACACCAAAGGACAGCTTTGGGAACTCTCCCGGCTTACAATCCAGCTTTCCATTTCCGTCATCCAGAGGTGAATAAATGTATTGCCAGGGAGACATCCTTGTAGTTGAAATGTGCGACGATTGATCTACTTTGTGGGAGAGTGAAGAAATTGAATTGTGAGCAGTAGAGCTCATGATAAGCAGAAGAGCCATTGTTCGGTTCTTGTGTAGAACAATGAAAGTAAAGTCTTATCTGAGCGCGCATTGTTTCAATTCTCTCATGAAAGAAAGACCTTGCTTGTTTCTTCTGGCGGAGCAAGCACGTGCTGGATACATTGCCACTTCTTTGTGTCGGCTTCGAGTCTGCAAACTCCATGGTAGAAGTTTTAACTACGACCATTCAGAACCGGTCTCCATTGTAAGAATGTTACAGACTTAACAGAAAGGTTCCTAATAGTTTGATAGCTAAAGCCCCTATTTGCATTACCAACGTGTACCTAAACTATGTCAGCTTTCCTACTAGAGGGAGAAAGTTGGAGGGGTTAACTTACATGAAGGCCACATGAGCGATTGCAGCTGATCCGATACGTTTTCGACAACGTCTCGAAAACAAGACGAACTTGCTCCAACGATCCAGGAGTGAAGTAGAAAGGTGGTGAGCAGATTTCCACCTGCGCCCATTCGTAGCAACGCGCAGGCGCACAGATGTTCAAATCCTCTTTCAGTGACCAAGATCAATCACTGAAAGGTTTCCAGTAGAAACTGGATCTGACTTCGATTTCGGCTGGGACTCCAACGCCTTCTAACGTATTACGGATGTGTTCACAGGCGGCCTGCCAGTCTGGCATACCAAATATGTGACCACCAAGGTGAGGCCCAGGGGCGATGCCATTTGCCGGAGCAGTGGCAAGTGCGAACTCGATTTCTACACCAAATGTCAATTTTTTCTTCTGTAATGGTGGTTCCTAGTGTTCTAATGGCGAATCGTCCTCCATGGTAGCTAAAACAGTCTTATAAAGCAATAAACAAGGATAAATTTTGAGTAAGGAAACGTGTATACTCGACTAGGAAATGTGCTGTGCGTTACTAAATTCGGTATGAGCTTTCCCCCCTAGAAACAGGTCACCTTGTTCATTGTATTCTTAAGAATATACAATCCTCTGTTTTGTCAGCAAGGAGAGGATTTCATTGTCAGGAGGCTTTGTTGGAAGGTCTCCTGTCATGGAACAGTAGAATTATGATTGGGAACAAAGCAGCTGTTCTAGAGAAAGAACTGTTGAAGACTTGCTATTTCATGTAGAATACTCGCTCAACGCTCAGCTTCCTCTTTTCATGCATTCCGCCGTGACATGGTACCTGCGCGAGCGCTCGCCAGGGATGACGACGTGAGATAGCCAGTGGCTTGTTGAAAGTTCCTATTGCATGTGAGGTCCACAGTATTGGGCTACACTTCGCGATTATAAGCAACGTGCCACTGGCCGTGTGAGACCTGAGGTTAATCACTAACAACCTGATCTCGCGTGAAGTGTCAGTTTTTTGAGTGCATATTCAGAACTGTGACTTTGATCTTGCTAAATTGGTAAACAGCACTTGCCAGATGAGTCTTCGCTTAGACCCGATAGAACTTCATAACAGAGAAATAGAAATCATTAAAATAATTCATTACCAACAAATACGCCTACCTATGGAAACAGCATCTCCCCATCACTATCATACTCTTCAACCAGCGGCTTAGTCTTCGGCGACACTTCCGGAGACGGAGCTGCCCAGCCCCCCCTAATCCTAGGCAGCGTATCATCAAACGGATTCATGCTTCCCTCCGGAATCTCCCCATCTCCGTTATAAGCTATCACCTCACCCTCAAACCCGTCTCTGACTCTCTCCCTCCACAGCCTATCCTCCTGACCGACACTTGCGCCAGCTTGTGGTTCGAAAGCAGCAAGCTGCCTATCAATCTCCACTTCCTCTGCATCAAGGTCTTCTTCCGCCTCTTCGGAGCTTAGCGTTAGAGTACGAAACGTTCTGGGATAGTTGGCCTCTTCGTTTTCGATACCACGGCCATCTTGTGCTCTGAATGCGCTGAAAGTATTACCAAAATCAAGCCTCGCGTACTCGGCGTCCAGTTCTTCTTCCGTTTCTTCGAGGACCGCGCTCAGTTGACGCGCGGGTGCTGAGGTGTGAGCTGGCGGAGGGACGGAATATTGATCAAGAATCCAGGCCAATACATTGTCTCCTGCTTCACCCTTTTCGATTTCACCCTTGGCGCCGCGACAGCATCCCATATTTGAATTTGATCCTGCATCAGAATGATCTGAAGGATGATTTGATTGGGGTTCTATATAGTGATGACGAGGCCATGAAGGATGATCCGGATCAAACTTCCATCCTCCAGGAGGCTGAGCTTCAGAAGCAATGCGATCTGCTTCCCAGTTCTCCTGTAAGCGATGCAAGCGCTTGTATTCGTCTGATTCCGGGTCGACGGTGCTATGGAACTCCCACTCGATATCGGGTTTTGGAGAGATCGGGAATGGGGGTTTCTTCGCGAGTTTCCTCCAGCGATCTCGATAATATTTTGCTGGGCCATAGAGCCCCATCTCAAGTAGGAGATCGATAATTGTGAACTTTGACTCTGCCAGGATCGGTCCAAGTCTCGCTTCTCTCTCAATGTCCTTGCCATCCCCGAGCTTCTCCCAGGATTCGTGCTCGACCATTTGCAGGAGGTCGGTGAGAGAAGCGTAGTCGATGTTTCGGATGTAGTCCACGATGCCGACGACAATTTCGATCCAATTGACGACAGCATTGGGGCTCATTGTGCCTTGGTGTTGTCTAAACTCGATCGTAGGTTTGAGTTTGGCGAGGCCCCTTTCTCGATTGTAGAATCCTTGAAAATTGTATGCGGAGAACTTGTGAACATGCCCGCCTGGTTCACAATTACTACTAGCCTGTGCAATAAGCTCCATTATGCTCTTGCAGTTCAGGAAATGGATAGCTCCTGTTAGGGGATTAGGCCGCCTGCCATATTTTGCCCGGTACGTTCTCACATAGAGAGATGACTCTCGCATCGAGCCTCCCCATTCTTGATCTTGCCGATGACTTGGGTGCAGACTATTCAGCTGCGGTTCAAAAGCCCACAAGAAAGCAATGAGGTTAGAAAGAGTGATCATATCAAACCCTTTATTCGAATCTCCGACACTAAACATCAAACTTTTGTTAACATTGCCTCAAAGGTAGGGTTTGGAATTCTTACTGTACATGCAGGCCCATAGAATCATTGATGTGTAAACCATAGGTCTTATTTAATAGAATACAAACATCTGCGACAGCCTTGAGTGAGCCACTTGTGAAATAAAAGGCCGGGGAACGAACCTCGATATCAGTCCACTCATATGGACTGCCTTCGGGGGCGCGTACCGACCCATCATTCACGACTTCCCACTTTGAGACGTCAGCCTCAAGGTGGACTAACTTTTCATCAGATACAGGGAAACCTGCTTCTTTGATTGTGTTCCGCACTGATCTCCTCGCAGCGAACTGGGTCGCTATAGGGAGGAATTCCTCTCTGGGTATATCAAACTCATTCTGAGCCCAATCCTCGTCTGTAAGTGTGAAGTGGAGGATTTTCTTGGCGTCGTCGGGATCTGGAAGAGGAATGGAGTCGTATGGCAAGTAAGCGAGTGCGAATTCGAGTTCTACGCCAAAGGTCAATGGCGGTGCCATGGCCGAGTTTGGGAAGCTCGCAGTGTTATGATTGAATATGTGAACCCTGCCAAGTGGGATGGATTTTCTCAGGAGGTCTATGAAATTATTAAGAAACAGACTCTTTGTTCGCGAAACAGCATTGTTCAGTGGCTTTATTGCAGAAAATGAGTCGGCCTTGTTCATCACAATGAATTATCTCTCTTTCACCTTCCGAGGACAATGAGTGAGTCTGCAGTCAGGCAATGCTCTGTCAATGTCTGATAGTGGCAATATATTAAGAAAGGCTACGACGCAAAGCAAGCTGATAGAGCTGTCTGGTTCTTGCCAGCACATCATCGCTCACAAGAATGAGAAGAGCGCCAATGGAGTGAAGTGATGAGGATAGAGAATGAGTCGTCTGTGTCGCTATAGGGCACAGTTCTCTGAACAGATAAGTCGTTGCCCACAGAGCACTACTCTGATGTCCCCACCCACTCCAGCTGCTGCCACTCCTCGAATGGGATACCGTCTCATCCAAAACTCCCCTATCTGTCTCGAAGCTAAAACGAGACTCGTACTTTTGCATAGTTTTTATTCCTATACTACGCCGTCTTAATCAGCGGAACCACCTTCCTGGATGTCTCCTTCGTCTCTCCTTTTCATCCCTCAGTCATCAATCATCGTCTCGTTCGCAATTAATATCCGCCATCATCAATATAGCAGAATGATATCCCCTCCGCATACAATGTGGGAAAGAACAACGGTAAAAGCCCCAGGAGAGATGCTGTGAAAGCGCAGATGCAGCAGCCACAACACCTATGCTAAAATAAAACGCGCTGAATCACAAATACAATATGCACAAATCGTCGAGTAAGCGTCGAGTACCTATTGGCATCTCCGAAGGAAGTAGGCTTCTTGGCGGACCTCGATTTCCAGCGCATAGTTTTCTTAGAGAAGGGCACCAAGGACGACACCGGCACCAACCGCAAATGCGCCAGTACCGAAGTTTCGCATAGCAGCCATGGTTGCGGCAGCTGCCTTGGAGGACGTGCTTGTTGCGCTGCTTCCCCCAGCGGCTCCGGTGCCAGTGGGTGTGGAGGTCGAGGTGGCAGTAGAGCTAACTGCAGCAGCAGTGAAGTTTGCGGGATCGATATGGCCACAGTCGGATTGCTCGGTCGCGGCGCAAGCTGCCTGAGCAGCAGCACTGTTGACTTGATTGACGGCAGCGGCATTGCAGATCTTGAAGTTTTGCTCGCAGATGAAGGTTGGCATTGTCTGCGTATAGAACTGGAGACCAGGTATGGAGTTGTTGGAGGAGCAGAGGCAATCAAACTTCAGAGTATTCTGTTTTCATGTGGTCAGCGACTGATGCAGCTCATTGTGAAGGTCACAGAAAGACCAAAGGTCTTACAGGGTCGCAGTCGTTCGCGCTGGTCTTCGTGCCACAGAGGGCCTTGCAGGTGTTGAATTCGGCCTGGCACCATTGACCTGAAAATAAAGCATGTTAGAAGCATTCGTGCAAAAGTCCGAAGAGATTCGAAACCGACCTCGAGTAGTGAGATCGACGGTTGAGGGATCAAAGGTGAGGTTGGTTTGCGCAGCAACAAAGCTGGCCAGAAGCGCGACGGCGACAGTGGTCTTGACGAACATCCTGACAGCTTCGGGGTTGGTCTGGGGGGAATGCGGGGGGGGCAGACGACTCAATTGATGTTTCTCGCGAAGGTGACGGATTGATGTTGTGGGATGGATCGCGGATTATGGGTATTGGAAAGAGAGCTGGAAGGTTGGGGGAAAGAGCAGGTGTGAGGTGTGAGGCGCGGCGTGGTGAATTGGGAGGTTGGGAAGCGGCCTCTGGGAAATATCGTCGTGAGACTTCAGTGTAGTGAGTTTGTTTACCCTGGTCACCGGTCGATGGGTCGGGCTGGGGCTCGGCGAGCTAGGGTGGGGTAGTGCGCTCAAGCCAAGCACCTGATTGGTTCATTGCACGCTCGGCACGCTCGCATTGGACAGCGCCATGCAAGGCTAAGAAACAGCATCGCATCGCATTCTGGAATCCAGGAGCTCTGGGCGTCCTGCACTGTGTCATGTCTTCTGCTGCCCATCCCCTCCCTTCCGTCGAATCCGCCGCTCGTGCTTGCCGCGCCGGCGGAAGGTTTCTGCAGTGCTTTGTGAATCTGTGACGCAGATGGGGAATTACGGGGCACGCGTGTGTTAATATCCGTGCCCTCCCTGGTTGAAGGAAATTGGCCGAAACCTTCTTATCGGGATGCCTTCACGATGCTTCGAGATGACTCGAGTCTCAGGTTTGAAAGGGCATGCTCTTCCTTGGCGCGGAGACCAACCATCACCGACCGACCCCCGTCCACCTGCCTTGCCTGCATGCGGGCTGGCTCGATATCAGAAGCCACGCCAGCCCGTGGCAACTCCGCCCAGGCACTCCAGTGCAGCTGTGAGTTTACGTGGACCAGGCGACGACTCTTGGGAGAAATCCCCGCCCGAGGGACTTCTTCCACTCCAGGAGCCGAATGCTCGACGAAGCTTCTCCTGTCTCAAGGTGTTGTTTCCTTGCGTCTCTTCGCACCACCAACACGTCGAAGCAATATGAGCCGAGAGCGCTTTTATCCAAAATACCACGACTTCATGAATCTCCGCAGACATCCGGTTCCCGAAGAGGCAGAGGGGCGGCCGGGCGGCGTGTGCCCAGTGCCCAGTGCCCATTTAGGCGGAGTGCAGAAGAGGCGGATCACGTGATGCTAAGCTTTTCCTCCCGCTCATGCCCGGAAAAACGGTGCCGGCCAGCCTCTCAGAGCACAGAAAAAAAGTCAAGATACCCACTAAAGCGACAGGCCTTGCAGTCTGTTGACCACTGACAAATACGATTGGTACGTTACGATATCGATCGATGTTTGGCTTCATGGCTCACCGAGTGGCGGGCGCGGAGAGGCCTTTCGTTTCTATTTCCGTTTTTCAAGATTCTCTCGTATCGATGCTGTGAGTGTCACGCATTGATGTCCCTGTTTCCGAGTATCTCTTTCAAGACTATGCCGAATGTTGAGGAAGTGAATGGCTCCACTAAGTTTGATACAAAAGTGGGGTCAAAGAAGAACAGCCAGAACGGGAATGCGAATGCTTCTACATCAACAAGAAGTAGTGATGAAAAGGGACGTTTGGCGAAGATCAAAAACCACAAGTATGTCAGAGCATGTTGGGGTTTCGTGACCTGGACACCTGAGCGCTGTCGGTGGAACCCAGAATCACCTCCAAAATTCAGCTTGGGTTTGAACCTTCTATTTGGATTTGTGAGTATTCTCTAGGCTTGCAGGCTTCCCTTAATATTCCATCTATATTCCTACATGCACGAGCCTTCTCGGCGCAAATAGTTGAACGAGTTTTAATTACTCCTAGGCTGGCACGTTTACAGTTGCGAACCTCTACTACAACCATCCTATTCTTAATATACTAGCCAGAGACTTCAACATCACCGATGAGCGTTCGTCTCTGATTCCAACGGTGATGCAAGCTGGATATGCCGCTGGTCTCCTCTTCCTCTGCCCCCTCGGGGACATATTCCCCCGCAGGGCTTTCGTTTTAATACTAGTCTTCTTCACTGCCACAGTGGTAAGATTTTTAATGCTTCCGACTAACACTTTCTTACGTCTCATAGTGGCTCGGCCTGTGCGTGACGAAGTCCTTCTCGGTTTTCCTGGCACTCTCTTTCATCACAGCTGTCTCAACGGTCACCCCACAATTAATGCTCCCTCTCGTAGGCGACCTCGCCCCCCTCCACAAGCGTGCTACTGCGCTTTCAATTGTCGTCTCAGGGCTACTCCTCGGGATGCTCATTGCACGACTCCTATCTGGTATTTTGACTCAATATACCAGCTGGAGAAGTATCTATTGGTTCTCGTTTGGCATGCAATACCTTTCCTTCTTATTATTATTTCTCTTTATGCCAGACTATCCTAGGACGATTCCTGGCGGTTTAAATTACTTCAGTATCCTCTTCAGCATCTTAAAAATGGTTGTCAAACACCCTGTATTAGTCCAGGCGTGTGGAGTAGGGTTTCTCGTATCCAGTACCTTTACATCATACTGGACAACCCTCACCTTCCTCCTATCATCCCCGCCATACTCATTTAACCCGGTCACAATTGGGCTCTTCGCTCTCGTCGGCATCGGAGCCATGTGTTTCGGGCCCTTCTACTCCAAAGCAATCATCGACCGCTTCGTTCCACTCTTCAGCGTCATACTAGGTCTCATCTACTGCATTACCGGCGTAATAATCGGCACATACAGCGGGAAACATACAGTTGCCGGGCCCATCATTCAAGCCTTTGCCATTGACCTCGGTCTCCAAACATCCCAAATCGCAAATAGATCCGCAATCTACGCCATCGAACCGAAAGCGAGGAATCGAGTCAATACCGCATACATGGTCTCGGTCTTCTGTGGTCAGTTGATGGGGACGGCCGTTGGTAATAGGCTTTATGCGAAGGGAGGTTGGATTGCGAGTGGGAGTGCCAGCGTGGGGTTCATTAGTGTGGCGCTCTTGTTTTGTTTTGCTAGGGCACCTTGGGAGCAGGGCTGGGTTGGTTGGGGTGGTGGGTGGGCGATTAGGAGGAGGGATTTGGCAGGAAGACATGAGCCTGCGGTTGAGCAGGCATTGAATGAGTTGTCTGCTGAGTCTGGGAAGGAGTTTACTGAAGGTGAAAAGCCAGTGGAGGGTGAGGAGTCTGGCGCGAGGGATGTGTCGCATACCCAGTCGAGGTAGAATTCAATCAACTTTTGACTAGGTTGTTGCACATCTTAGAGCTTTTCGTCCCTACTCGGACGATACGCGGCTTTCATCTGAGGCTATGAGACAAGAATGAATATGTAGACGAGGGGAAAATAGGATGAGAAGAAATCTGCATGTCAGAAGAAAGCTGCAGTAGTTCAATGTCTCCAACAGCAACCCGAACAACCGTTATACTGGGATACGGATCCAGTTACAGGGGACAGGGGAGAAAATAACTCAACCCCGCCTTTCTCAAAAATTCATCCTTCATCAGCCTCAGTGGATCCCCAGAGCATGACACAATTACTGAACCGTCCCACCCGCAAGCTTAGCACTTCCATCATTCACTTTGTTCTGAACTTTAACAGGTAAGGATGTCTCAAATCCCTCTATAAGATCAGGTTTATCCTTCAAGAGCACCTTGATCTCAGTCCTCACTTGCTCAGTTGACGACTTTCCAGCAGCCTTATCTGCGAAGACTTTCAGGAACTGTTGATACATCACGTCTCGTTCTGGAAGGAGCCGCTTCTGGAATTGTTGATATCAGCAAGCGCCATCGAACTTGCATTTCGCATCGAGGAGAGGCATAGAAAAGATGAAAAAGCAATTCCAGATGTCTTCTACTTTCCTTCCCACCACCAGGACAAGGAAAGGGACAAAGCGACGAACCTGGACCTCTTCAATATACGCCATGGCTCGCGCAAATCCACCGGGGTCTGCATGCCATTCTGGAGGCTCTTCACTCATCTTGAAATAGGGTATAGCATTTGTGTGCCTCGACCGCTCGAAAATGAGGCGAGATGAAGTTGTTGCGGTGCCTCGCTGCAAGGATATTTTGTAGCCTGACTCAGCTTGACAGCCTCCTCAAATCGGAAGTCGACATTTCAGCCCCGATATGCAAGATATTGCCAGCCTCGTGGCAGGCAACGATGATTGTTATTTTATCAATTTTCCGTCGCCTTTGAGCTTCCTTTCTTGCTTCCTCTTTTCTTGTTCAGAAAGGGTTGATCCCGGGTTTTGAGGTATTAAGGCCCTTCATCCCTCACCATCTGTTGATGTCCCACCCGCCCTCAGCACTGTCACTTGAGTATTGCTCTCTGCAGCCTTATTCTACCGCATTCAGAGACAATGCCTCCTCAGCCTCTTCAGGCCCTGTGGAGACGGGTGGCAGCATCGCAAGCACCAAGATGGTCAAAGCTGTCATCCGATTCTCGCATCCGCACCAACTGTTTCCACAAGTTCAGTTACCAAGCTCCCAGTCGCCTCAGCTCCTTCAAGCCGGCTCCGCGACTCTTCAGTCAGTTGCAGCAGCCTTTTCCCCCAGTCGAAGTAGCACAAGCAGGCAACCTTAGGCCAAAAATCCCCTTTCGGAGTCGGTTTTCGTCCTTTGCCTCTGGTGCATTACTAATAATGGTCTTCGGGGCGGGCTCTTTGTATATCTACTATCGCTCTTTCTTCGGCAAGGTTCCAGTCACGAACAGAGAGCGAATGCTATGGTTTGACAGGAACCAAGAAGAGGAGCTTGGGTGGGCGGCTGAGCATTGGCTTTTAGTTCAGCAGAATTCCAGGCCGCGTTTGGAAGAAGATAGTGTGGTTGTGAAACTTGCTCGAGATATTCTTGCAAAGCTCCAGGAAAGTGAACTGGCAAAGGATGTCAAGTTGAAGCTCTATGTTTGCGATGATTATTGTATGCTCCCCAGGCATTAGGTTAGGATTGTTGCTAATCAGAGTAGTTGAGCCGTATGCATGCAGTGCTCCGGCGAAGGAAGGGGGCCGCATCTTCATGAATACTGGGGAACTGCATGTCTGTGAAAGTGTTGATGAGATTGCTGGGGTGTTGGCGCATGAGATTGGACATATTATTGCTCGTCACATACCAGAGAGAAGGGCCGCTGAAGCGTTTGCAAGGAGTATTGCACAAGTATTTGGCTGGAATGCCGCCCTGGGATCAGATCTGATATCCTGGAGAGTAAGAACCTCCTTCGTTTTCGGAGGATAAGACTCTGTTTTTATCTCAAATTCATCTCTGGAATAAGGCTAATAGTTTCTAGACCCAAGAAAGAGAAGCGGATCACATTGGCCTCGTTCTCATGGCCCAGGCAGGATTCGAACCCAATGCACGTGTGGAATACTTTGAGAAGCACTATTCCAAGGAGAAAGAAATACTGAATGGAAGGGATCCAATGCCAGAAACTATGAGCACCCATCCTTCAGTAAGCAACCTTTGATCATCAAATTACATCATTGCTCACAAAGCTTCATAGCATGAAAGTCGAGTGAAATCGTTGAAATCTCTTTTACCAGAGGCCAAAGCGATCTTCGAAGAGAAGCCAAAATCTGCACAGCTCCTCAAAGAAACATGGGACGCTGCTCGAGTCGTCTTGATTGAGGGGAACCAAACCGCGCAAGCACAGCTTGAAGCTGCCCAGCAGATGGCGCCTGAGATCTTACTTCTCAAGATTGAAGACAGATTGGCGAGGCTGGAGAACACTTTTATGCAACTATCGGATGCGATATTGACCATGGAGAAGGGCAAGGAAGAGGCTTTGGGAAGGACTCTGTACGCCGTGGCACAGAAACAAAAAGAGACTGCAATGCCATCTGCTGAGGAAGGAGCAGTTGAGGAGAAAGTTGCTGAGCCAGTAACAATAGAGGAAGCAGCACGTGAAGACCCAACCCAGGCAGGAACTTTAGGACACAAAGAAGCAGCAGACGAAGCAGGTAGGGATATCTCCTAGAAACCCTCTCCTATTATATCTTCATTCGAAATCATGTTCTGAGCCTCCTGGAACAATCTTCATTAAGAAACTGCTGACTCTGTCGTTTGCAGTGCCCAAAGAAGCAGCCCACCTCACGTCTGAAGTATTTTCCGGAATTAAAGAAGCCGCAACACAAACCACGCTCACGTCAAATGCGTCCCGAACACCTGTCGAGGACAAGGACGGCATTGGGAGCCAAGGAGAAGACAAAGTTGGGAAGAACTGATTCAGTTTCTGTTTGGTTTGATTTTGAATAAATGAGACTGAGTAATGGATTTGGTGAAGTTTGCTAATAACGGTATTCCTACAGCGGAAAATTAGGAGAAGGACGGGGGTGTTTGATACAGCGGTTTGTCGGAGTAGAAAGGGAATGGCTCAAATAGGGTTTATCAACTCCATTTACAATGAACAGAACAGGAAATAAACAATGGATCCATACGGAGATGTTGGAGGTCTTGACCTCGATCGTGGGTATAAAAGAACATCGATGGGTTAAGTTTGTAAGTTTTCTCGGGCTCAATTTTGGGGACCCAGGAACGACTTAACTGGCTCGCTCTCGAGCTGCTTTAACCCTTACAGACTTCACTCTACTCGACGTCAAACATCATTGATCTCATCAGAACACGTCCCTCGTCCCATTTTACGCTGCATGCCAAAGATAGAAGCTTCTGTCGGGGAGGACGCAAATTCAGGCTGTGTCCTCGAAGTCCAACTTCAATCCACTTACCCGCAAAGGAGTATTTAATTGCGGAAAATTCTCGGCGCAGTAATGATCGGCCAAGAGGAGAGGAACATGAGATTAAAATTTACTGTACGGATGTCGTGTTGTTCAGATGATAGAATAAAAGTGGTCCGCCATCAAGTGTTGGGGGACTGAGCGTTGATCTAATTATCTTGATTTTCAAGAAAACTTCTTCAGGAGTTATTGCTTCTTCACTCGTATTATCAAAATTGTGTTTGCCTCTACTGTATATGGGCGTGTTTGTTCTTTGAGGATTCAGGACTGCATCCGTAGTGCAGGAGAACCCTTTCCGGAAGTTGGCAAGAGGGAATTGCTAGCTCCTGGAAACAGCTTGCAAGTTGATCTTGGATATGAAATCTACGCTGGGCTTGCGATCGAATACTTGAAACTGATGGCCTCCAGAATTCGATTCGCAGCACCCCCAAAAGATATGGATCAATTAACTAATCTTATGCGTCAGAAATCTGGGGAATTTCATCGCCAAAGACAACTCGTCCATCACACCAGAAATCGCAAATGGTGGATCTTCCAACCACTCTCAACAGACGAATCGAGGCTCCTCATAGCCAGCCTTCAATATATATGCTCCATATTGACTGGACCTGAATGAGACAGGTGGCGTGCCGTTCTCTGTGCAGGATGCTGCTGACAGTGCGACGGAGTCTATGGAGTCGGGTTTGAAGAATGACTTTACTTTGGTTAACGCTTATTCTTGGGAAGGAGGGAGAGGCTCTCGAGGTGATTTCTGGAGGAGCATGGGTGTTTCTATGCCTGCGCGAGAGATTCCGCTTGGTGGGATGTGGGACTATCGGACAGATTTAAAGGATTGTTTGTATAGTTTTCAAAGAGAGAGTATTCCGAGTTCGGTCTATTGTCCAGTTCCTTCGACTGTACAGGGAGAACGGGGAGTGAAGGAATTGCATCTTTTGCAGATTATCGAAGAAGTCGTTATGGTGACCTTGTGCCGGATTTTGAAATGCTTTCAATTCTGAAAGGAGAACAGTGGTGATTGGGGGGATCGGAAGTGTTGCATGAAGTCGATTAAGAAGCTGTTACGGACTTCGACGAGATTGGAAAGCTCGATGAAGAGTGAAATCACATCGCAGGAAAGGACTCGGTGGGACTCATGGGTATCTCGGATGGCCATCTAATCATTTCGAGGGGACATGCACAGAAGCGGTTCTCACTTCGGCCGCAAAGCGATGAAATTGCCACCCCCTATTTATTTCACGGAATATCCTCAGAGGCCCTTCAAAGCTCGGAGGACTTCAGCGAGCTTCAGACACCACTAGTTTGTCTTCGGCCGAAGCGATGCACGCTACGTTTCCGAGAGCTGATTCTATTGTTGGCAACGACGTTGTCAGAGGCTTGGCTGCAGCCGTTGGAAGCTTAATCCAAAAGTGGCGATGACGGACCCTTAACAGCGGGTATTATGGCCCCTTTCTTTGCCTCTCACACAACTTGGCAAAGATGAGCGAATAACCCCTGCGAATATGACAAGATCGGCAGTTGATCCCTGAACTGCGCGTCAAGTTCACTCCGGTAGTGTTTTGCTCTTGCTCGTTACCCCGCTTGCAGGCGGCTCGCCAGGCCAGGTCACAGCTGGATGAGGGCAACTGCAGCCCTCGCCTCAACGTCTTCTCGATGCTTGACGATAAACTCTTCGTCGAATCGAGGCGGGTAGGAAACAGCCACATGCTGTCGCCACTTGACCCCTACGATCGAACGGCTAGTGGAAGAAAACGTCCTTGGCCAATGGCCTCCACTCATCTGATATCAAATTCTCAGCCAATCAAGGCTATTCTGGATCGCCTTGAGCTCGCACTCATCCTTGAGCCCGAAGTGGCTGGTTTCCCGTATATTTCTTGAATTTATGCTTGTATACTTTCAAATGAAGTGGCTGATCAGCACGCTGAGCCAGATGAGGTTTGAAGGTGCTTTTGGAGATTGCTTCCCCGCTGCTCGAACGGTTCACAAAGCCAATTTTGATTATTCCTGGACTTCAAGCGTTTGCCAGGGACGTCGAAAGGAGATACCAGACCATCCCGCCCCCCTCGGTTGCGCAAGTGCAAACTACAGGAAGGAACGGCATCAGAGTGGATCCTGGTTGAACGGGCAGCCATATCGATCTGTAAACCCCATAGCACGTCCCTCAAAGGCAAGGGTTTGGTAGGGTATCTGAGACTTGCGGTACCGTTATCCATCATATGGAACACCCGGGAGGGCCGCTGCAGGGGAAGCAAGGAGACCTCCCAACGGCCCCTGCAAGTCTGTTCCCCGTTTTATTGCCCAAAACTTTCTGAGCTTCTAAGCGATGCATAAACAATGATGCTGATCCCATCTCTCAATGTTCGTTTCCAAACTTTTCATCCTAGAATAGCTGAACCCTGCAGCAAAGTGGCCCCTATGATGCTGATCAATGTCAACTAGTCTGCCAGGAACCATCTTGTACAGGGGGAGAAACGTTCTTCCTCTGCCAGCTCTCGACCTTGGAACGCGGCAAGAGTTACGCAGAAAAGACAACGGGTTTCGATCGACGTCGAAGTCCACCCAAACATGATGACCATCCGGGTAGAATGCCATCCTCGCTACAGCTCTTCCTGGCAAAATGACGACGGTCCAACGACGAGGCTTCCTCTGCCTTGAGCAACTGGACGAGACGAACTCGGATCGGCATCATCGACTTTAGCGGAATATGGCGATCAGTCGAGGATACGCGCAAGAAAGGTGAAGGATAGAGTAGAATGTGGCTTGTGCAATTACTATAAGATAGCCTCAATTTCCCTCCAAACGATGACTTCTTCTCAGTATCAACGAACAACATCAACATACTTCACAAACATTCAGCCTCAAAAAATTCCAACCCAAACAGCAAAGCCATCAATATGAAGGCCTCATTCACCACCCTCTTCATCCTCAGCGGCCTCATCGCCAGCTGTGTGGCCACTCCAGCTATGAGCGTTGAGAGACGTCAAGCCTCTTTGGTGTGTGCTACTGGCACTCCTAACTGCTGCGACGTCGATGTTCTCGGTGTTGCCGATCTTGACTGTGCAGTCCGTAAGTTATAATCCTAAGCCTTGAACTCTAGTTCGCTCCACAAGAACGAGCGTTGACCCATCCCGTTATAGCACCAACCGTTCCCACCAGCGTAGATGATTTCACCTCAATCTGCGCCGCCATTGGCAAGATTGACATGTGCTGCACTATCGATATCGTAAGTTTTCCAGCACTCTGCCCACAAACACCGCGCTAACATCAACACAGCTCAACCAAGGTCTCCTCTGCAGCCACCCCATCTAAACGACTTTAAACGAAAACTGTCATCGTCTGGGACGATTCGAACAGGCTCTGATGCACACACCCCAACCGTCCTTACCATGTTGTACTTGTGCTGTATTGGGGATGTTGATTACCGGCCCATGTCTATCTGTACGATACTGTGTCAGGATATCAGTTCTGCCTTTATTTTGTTTTTAGACAATGGTCGGTTTCCAGGAGTTGGGGATGATGGAAAATCTAGGCAACATTAGCAGTAGTGTATCAACTATATCTCTTTTGGATTGGGAATTCTACTTTTGGGGAAACAATGCGATAAAACATTCTTTCCTTGGATGACGCTATTCTCATATCCCGTGGGTTTTTCTGTAAGAACTATGGATGTATTTGATATTTTGCTTGAAATCAAAATTTCCTTTTAACCTCCAAGGAACTGAAAAGTAGCGGAGGCCAAAACTCTGAAGGATGATACAATATCAAAAACTAACAACTACCTGATATGTGCTTTAAAATCACCCAATTGCTAGCAAACTGTAAGATGTGAATGGTGGAGTACTTGCCCCGCATTTCGTCTTTAGAAGTATCCACGGGCCAACCACCCACACCCCCCAACCGCCCACCCTAAAAAATTCGATTTTTAATTATACCTTCATTATAATTACAAATCCTATTATATATTAATACTTTATAGTATTTTCGATATCCTGACGGCTATATATTTATTTCAAACTAGTAATACGGCTAGAATCGCTCATAAGGTAGTAATTTTGTTATTTTTGCCCTGCCATCAAATCCCTCACTAGAGCCTCGCAGAGGTAAAACACCAAAATTTTGTGATTTTTTTTAAAGTACTAGGAAAATGCTAAAAACTTCCTGAATTACTATACCAAGGTCGTTGATTACAAATATCTACTCAAAATTTCTGATTTATGCCGTTGTTGTGGTGAAAAGGGGTGGGCGGTTTGGGGGTAAGGGCGGTTTTCCGTGGATACTTCTTAAGTCGGCCGAGTCTGACTGCTTCAATGTCAACCCCTCCAACAACTTTTATTGCCTCTCAAAATTATACTATCGACCTAAAATAAGGAGCCATGCCATCAGAGACCTCACCCAAGATGTTTCCCGGCTTCACGGAATTCAACATCGCCGTATCTCCAACAGTCACAATCTACGGGCTCAAAGCTGGCACTGGACCACCCCTACTTCTCCTTCACGGCTTCCCGCAAACACACCACATATGGCATAAAATAGCCCCAGAACTCATCTCCTATTTCACCGTGATCCTCATGGACCTTCGAGGCTATGGGAAATCATCCAAACCGTCTTCTTCGGCATCAGAGCAACACAAGCCATATTCCAAGTCCGCAATGGCAACCGATTGCACCTCTCTTATGACTCAGCTTGGCTTTGAGAAATTCTCAATAGTATCTCACGACCGAGGTGCTCGAATCGCACATAAATTATGTGTCGATTTTCCGGATCGCGTAGAGCGACTCATGCTCCTCGACATCGCACCCACGCTCGCGATGTTCGAGAAAACAGACCAGTTCTTCGCAACAGCGTACTGGCACTGGTTCTTCCTCATCCAGCCTTCTCCATTCCCGGAGAAGGTTTTGATTGCCAGTCCCTCTGTATTTGAGGAGAGGTTCTTCGGGGGCGGGTATTCTGGCGGAACGGGGTAAGGCTTATTCTCATACTAATTTTCTGTTTTCTTCTGTGAGAGCTTAGACCCCAGGAGCTTCACGGGAGCCGGTATGCGCAGATGTCTTAGGAGCTTGGATCCTTAACTCCTAAGCTCCTCTGAATTTTCAACAATACTCTATACTAATTTGATGATAGGTATATGAGTTTGGAGGCGAAGGCGGAGTATATGGCGCAGTTTACCGATGAGGAGGGCGTGCATGCTATGTGTGAGGATTATAGGGCTGCTGCGGGCATTGATCTTATGGAGGCGAGGAGGGATATGGAGATGGGACGGAAGGTCAGATGTCCAGTTAGGGTGTTGTGGGGGAAGACGGGGGTTATTGAGAAGAGCTTTGATTGTTTGGGTGAGTGGAGGGCTGTGAGTGAGGGGAGTGTGACTGGAGAGGCGGTGGAGAGTGGACATTATATTGCGGAGCAGGTACCAGATGTGTTGCTGAGGCACATTAAGGAGTTCTTTGTGAATTAGACGTGGACAATTTTTGTGTCTCAGTTTTTCTTCGTTATATCGACCTCCGACGATAGCTACGCTGACCCGCTCTGTGATCTTTGTCCTTAAACCCATCCTCACTCCAGAGATTCTCGTAATAAGCAGGTAGAACCCCATCTTCACAAGTGAGCACATCCCTTTCCTCCTAAACACAATTCCCCAAACGAATTTCCCACGGGATCAAAGTGTACAGCCTCCCTTCCGTAGAAGCGTGACTATGACCATACACAACCAACTTGATGTAGACCCTTCTTAACTCCCGCAGTAAGAACTCTTCTCCCAAAACATCTGCATCAAGATGTCATTTGGCCGGACCGTGAGTAAGCAGCACACCTGTCCCCTCCGGCAACACTCCCGTCCACATATCACGAATAGGAGGATACTGAAAAGTCCAATTTCCAAACTGCTGAGTTTTGTGGTGCGACGTAAATCTTTATCCACCTCCCATTCTCAAAGGTAAGAGAGACAGAGCCGTCTTGAAGATAGATGGTATTGCCCCAGCTGAGATTAAATTGGCTGGTACTAGGTCGCTCGAAGATACGTTCTGGGAAGTAGCCGATAAAGGCTGAATCAAGCAATAGGTCGTGAAAGCCTACTATGATGACTTTGTGTTTGTGAGGCTGAGAGCTTAGCCAGTCCAGTTAAGCTTGTATTTCAGTGAAGGGCGCCATTTGAGAGGCGGTCATTCAACTTGCCCAGACTGTTTAGATGAAGTTGGGAGACCTCGAAATGAGATATAAGTTGGTGAGGTCAAAACACCAACATTGGTTACACACTACTGGTACCTCAGTGGATGCTAGGTTGTCAAAAGTCAAAACTGGCAGTCTTTGCGGAGAATTGTTTCCCCAGTAGTCTATGTACTATACAGCAAGGCCATACGATGCAACGAATCTATCGAAGCATAGCCCCACCTGCCTATTAGTACATGTACTATATTGACGATGACTTAGTAAGGGTCATCGCAGAACAGTCCCAAAACACCAGGCTAAAGGCAACCGTTAATTACATTTTGCTCACGGAAAGTTACAAATAGTAGTTACATACTACTGGAATAGTACAACACTGTGGACTCTTTCCCTGGGGGCAGATGTCCATAAGTCATCTTTGTCCTTTGGTGTACGTTCCGCTGGGTAGAATTATTATCAGCTCATTTCTCGGTGCCAAGAGGACGAAGAGCGGAACATACGATCGCCGCAGTCGAGGTCAGCGATTTTAATAACACTGAGACTGCAGCATTTTGCCACGCTATTAAATATGCTGCCGCAGACAGAGTTTCGCCCTCTCGGTAACAAATGTTTGGTGAGAGCACTGGCGATGAGGCCACTGAAGGCAACGAGAGAGACAAGGGAGGTCTTCATGTTTGCGGCTCAATGAATAGATGGCGGGAGGAGTCGGGGAGATTTGGGATAAACCAAGGTCCCGCCTGATATATTTATAACTTATTCTATACTCCATCTTTCTCCGGTCAACTCTTCCCACTTGGCTTCAGGGATTGTATGATGAGAAGATCCGGAGAACGAAGGCTCAATAGAGTCTTCCGCAACCCCATTTTAAAGCTGAGACGAGGGCCGAGGGGTCCTTAAACGTGGTTTAGACTTCAGCAGTCTAATGGGATCCAAAAACATTGTGGTCCCAAAGCTTTAGAAGGCGTCATCCAAAACAGATCCTCCCTCGAGCCACTTGAGGAAATCACAGAAGCCAAAAGATCAAATACCGTTAGTTGTGCTCTGATATGCAAAGGAACCACTTGAAAGATTGTAAGCCTTGAAAAGAAGAGTGAACGGATTGTTAAACTCGAGGGAGACCGAACCGCGACATGTTGCTCCAGTATACTACTGCGTAAGTGTATTCTAGGATTTGTTTTTACTATGCGGAGAAAAGACCAAGGTCGAAAACGGGCACCAGAAGATCTAGATTGCTGAGGAATCCCTGGAAGGTGGGTCTTCATGATGACGGGTCCTTCTTGGAAAGGGACTTTGCTGGTCTGACTACAATCGGTCTGGGGCCCGAAATGCAACAGAACAGGTGGTTGAACAGGGGTTTCTTGCGTTGGAGAAGTGCTGGATTGAGCGAATGTTGTTGTAAAGTGTTGACGCAGAGATGTGGAGGTTCTGTATTCTACACGTGACCTAATGGTTCTTGGCAATGGAATTTCCCATCGCTCCACTCCGCTACGAACTACGGTTCATGATGTAATGAAGTTTAAGGTAAGATCATCACCGAGTGAATGCCCTATATCCAAAGTTCGTGTTTGGACATCAGGTAAGTCCAGTCTTGTTTCATACCAAGGAGTAAACAGTTTTCAAATAACTCCACTACAATGTCTCTTTTAAGACCGTCCATCGCTCTCTTCAGTCGACGAGCAACTCTCTTGAGCGTCCGCCAGAATCTGGCAGCAAGACCTATCTCATCGACTCCAGTTCAATTCGCACAAGGTTACGGAGACGGAGAAGGGGACCCCAAAGGAGAGAATCCTCAGCATCAGGGGAGCTCCAACAACACGAAGCACAACGCGGAGCATCCAGGCCCAGAGCCACCAATTGAAGGACAAGGCACAGGAGCAGGGCCAACCAAAGGCGGCGCAGGCAAATCGCCAGAAGATGCCTCAGCACAATCAGGAGGAGCGAGGTCCAAAGATGCAAAGGAGACCGGATCCAGCCCAACTGGAGGCTCGATTGGCCCGGGTGGAGGCAAGGACAACAGCAAAAGTTCCCCGAAGATACAGAGCAGGAGCGAACCCGGTGGTCGGAATACTGAGAGCAAGCAAGCTGAGGTATAGAAGCATAATAGGGAATTTGAACAGGGACACGACGGAGGCAGCGGAAGACAAGGTTGACAAGAAGTTTTGGAGCGGTAGGTGTTGATAAGATGTCTTTGGAGAACTCATCTGCCTTCATATCTGCTAATTACGCTGCAGGGCACGGAGGAGAGGACAGTCAACTATAGGTGTAATCTACATGAGGGCAGAATCTATTGTTTGATCTAAATCCTAAGGGAATGATTCCATGTATTATTCGCTGTGTTCTCCTGATTTGGGCTGCTCCTTCATACCTTTTCTATTTCCAGCTCTTGATATTGATAGCAAAAACTATTTTTCCCCCACGAGAGTTTCAATGGAAGCATTTACATGTGATGCACTAAGCAATACGATTTATTAAATCAGCTCTCCCGACAATTCCGATATGTACAACCTACTCTGCTCCCTTCCTTTCTTCGGACTGAGCTCCAGCCACAGTGGCGCAATGACGTATCCCTCTTGAGTCCTGAGTCCTCTCCCCCGCAATCGACGATTGTGACCGAATTGTGACATTGGCATATTTTGACTAGTCCATGTTTTCTCTCAAGCAGCCAATTAAATTACTATCTACGATACCTCTGTCAGCCAGATTCCTCCGCTTCCGCCTCCGCCAACCTTGACCAGTTCGACGTTAAATCACGTCACTGCCAAATCCAAGCGAACAACCACAATAACATCTTCTGGCACTTAGCTTCCTCCTTCTTGATCAAACAACTTCTCTCAAATACTGAAGTTGACCGAACCGCTTCTGAATAGTTGAATAAAAACCCAAAACCCAAGAGTCTTCATCCAAAATGAAGCTCTTCTCTCGGCTGTTAGTGCTTGGCCTCGCCGCTGAAGTCACTCTTGCAAGCAACTGGTTTAGCAAGTCTGGTATGTCTGCAAGTTTTATTCACCTCACTTCTCCTTCAATTGCTTTGCGGCAATGAATTTGAGCTCCTTGAAGCTTCCTTCATCCGTAGCTATTGGACTTTCGTTTGTATTTTTCAGGATTTCCAAATATATCTGCACACATCATATCAGCTGCCTTTCACATGCCAATCGTTTCTGTTCTTCGCATTCATGGTTACCTGGCTGACATTTCCGCTCACCAGTTTACAACAAATGGCACGAAACCGAGCTCGAGAGATGGTTGTCTGATCACAACGTCCCATATCCTACCCCCGCCGATCGAAAGGATCTCGAGAACCTAGTCAAGGACAACTGGCAGTCCAAGATCGCCCAGCCATACAATGACTGGGACAGCACCCAGCTCACCTCCTATTTAAAGCTAAGGGGTGTTGAGACCAAGGATACTGCCGCTGCCAACAAGGATGGCTTGGTTGCCCAAGTCAAGAATTACTGGTACGAGACCGAAGATAAAGCCGATGACGCATGGGCAAGCGTGAGAGATTGGATCTTTGACAGGTTAGCTCTTTACTCAAGTTCGGTGCGAGCAGTACTAACATTCGAATAGCTGGACAGGTAAATATCCGCAAATCGTTAAAGTGACCCGGAAAAATACTGACTGCTCCATAGAATCTCAACTCAAGGCATTCTGTGACAAGCATGACATCCCCGTGCCCCAACCAAGAAAGCGAGATACCATCCTCCAGAAGGCCCGCTCAAACTACGAGACAGTTGCCAAGAAGGTCGGCGAAACAGCTAGCTATCCTGGCAACTGGCTCTATGAGACCTGGTCTGAGTCTGGTAAGCTCCAAGTAGTCATTTTCAAGTCCGTTTCTAACTCCTTATAGATCTGAAGGAGTTCCTAGATTCCAACGGGATCCCCGCACCTCAGCCGTCGAGTCGAGACAAGTTGATTGCTAGTGTCCGTCGCAATGCTCGTATCGCCAGCTTGAAGATGGCCGACATGCAAGCTTCTATGACAAAGTCCGCTTCCGATGCCACTCAAACATTGAGCGACCAGCTTCTTGACTCTTGGTCTGACTCTGGTTAGTTGTCCCTTGAGGTAGTATTATGGCTCTGTCTGCTAATAACCCTGGACAGAAATCAAGGCGTGGGCTGACAAGAACGGCATTCGAGTTCCTCAAGGTAGCAAGAGAAACGAGTTATTAGCCATTGCCCGCAAACACCGAGCTCAGCTCACTGGAGACAATGTTTCGGACCCAGCGAAGAGCGCTTTTGGTGCTGCTACGTCCAGTGCCAATAACCAATACGCAAAGGCCAGCGACGACGCTCAATTGATGGCGGAGGATGCATTCAACCAGGCTACAGGAACGTGGAGCGAGGTAAAGCAACAATTCCTCATGAAGATGAATAATACTGACTTGTACTTTCAGTCTCGCCTGAAAGCTTACCTTGACTCTCGAGGCGTCCCGGTCCCACAGTCTAGTAAGAAGGATGAGCTCTTGGCCGCCGTCCGCTTGAACAGACACAAGGCTGCCACAGGTTGGTCAGCCTGGACCTTCGATACATGGACTTTGGAGAACTTGAAGGCCTACCTGGCAACATCTGGAAACAAGGCCGCAGAAAAGGCCAGCAAGCAGACTGGTGCTACTCGCGAGCAACTGCTCTCGGCTGCCCAAGCTGCTTACGCTGAAGCCTCGAAGACTGGTGGCACTTCATATGCCTCGGTCACATCTTACTTGGCCAAGCAAACCGATGCCGCAAAGGATTCTATTTTCGATACCTGGTCTGAGTCTGAGCTCAAGAACTATCTTGACTCATATGGATTCAAAGTTCCTCAAGGTTCCACCAAGAACCAACTAGTTGCATGGGCCCGCAACCAGAGAAACTACTTCCAATATGGCACCACCACTCCTCAAGGCACTCTTTGGGCTAAGCTCCAAAACGGAGCGCAATGGGTCTTGGACCAACTAAGCATCGGCGCTGCCGCTGGACGTAAGCAAGCCAGCTACCAAGCTGAGAAGGCCGGTGACTCTGTCAAGGAGGGTGCTACATATGCCAACAACCGTGCAGGCGAAGCTACTCAGAATGCTTATGACAAAGTTAAGGAGGAACTGTAGATGAATGACTGTATGGGCAGGAAGGAGAATGAAGGAAGGAATGAGGACACCCGTTTTCTTTGGGTGGAATGCATAGGGTTTCTTTCGATGAGATTGCACGGATTGATATTTGGGCGTGGGATAAGAAAAGAGGCAATAAATTGATTCATTTCTGCTCTTGATCTCAATCTGGTGATCTGTGCTGTCAACACATATTCATATGAATTCCTAATTTCAGCGCGAGTGAGTCCAGGAACACTTCTTCTACAGCAGGCAATGAAAGCAAGATAGATTGAGCTGGCGGAAAAATAGAGGGCACATTTAAACATGGTTATGTTATATTTTGACCGGAATTGAGGCTCAAGAGGGAGATTTTGCCCCGGTGGAAGAAGCTCGAAGTATGATGTCGTCGTTGCCAAGCCCAACACAAACCCTGCCAAACTCGCCAAATCGCAAGCCGGTTTTCCTCCCATTCTCCTTCATCTTCCCTCTCATCCAATCGCCCGGACGAGTCAATCACAATGCTCCCTCAATGCATTTCTTAATGGAGAAGTCTCCGAGCTGCCTCGAAGGGTGCACAAACCCCATGTCAGATCGCAGGGGCGTAAAGCCTGCCACCCCAGCGATGATGTAAGGGTCCCTCTATCTTGATTGCTTGCATGGTTGCCACAAGATCAGGTGAGAGCGCCTTCCACCTCGTATTGCTATCGCGCGATTCTATTCTTTCGAACTTCTGAATGAACTATGTGATGCGAATGAGACAAATCCAATACTTGCATGAGCAAATCTTAACTCCAATCTTTGGGCGAGGTTTCTCCTTGGCTTTTCGTTTTGTATAAGGAAAGAGAGAAGTGGAGATGACTTCCTTCAGCCACGATATCTGTGCCCAGCATGCGCATGGGAGCGAACGCGGGAGGATTGCTCGACCGAGCTTCAGTTCGCAGAAGACGGCAGATCGATTACGAGAATGCGAGCGTAGTTCCTCCAGGTCGCAGGCGTCGAAGATAAAACCGCACAGGACGTCCGCATTCAAAGAAGAGGGATTGGATGACTTGAATCGAACGGTTCATTCTGTGGCACACGAAGAAATGAAGGTCTTACCTGTTTTTGAATTCGAAAGTGTGAAGAAGAGGCAGACGAAGTCCGAAGAGTCTGACCGGGAGAGAAACGAGGATAAGGAGAACGCGAAGAAGGCTGGACAGCCTTGGTATTCGAAGCTTGGGAAGCGATCAAGACCACAGATAAAGTCTTCCTCGACGGCACCGCCAGGAACCTTTTCCTCAATACCGAGGGTGGCATTGATTGCTTTCTTGATTGCTGCCGTCGTGCCTGGGTTTCGTTATGGCGGGGAAAACAAGGTTATTATCAGCGGTGCGGATGCTGGAGTGATTCGGGAGGCAGAGCTGGTTGACAATGCGTCTGCCGTTGAGGGTAGACAAAATAGCCCTACTGCTGTTTGCACCAGGTGGAGTCATCAGAGTATATTTTAAGATTCTATTGCCCGTCAAGACACTAACATTTGATGAAGTCGCCAATGTCAATGGAACTGTTTATATATATGGAGGTCAAGCTACGACGCAGAGCGGCCAGACTGAGAACACTTGGAGTAAGTTACGCCACATCATTCATGCTTGAAGTTTAATGCTGATTTCCCTCTAGACAATGACTTCCTCACACTAGATCTGACGAAAACATGGAAAATCGCATCCCCGTCCTTGGCCGGCCTCCCACAACCATCTGGCCCACCTGCCGTAGCTATGGGTTCTCTATGGAACAGCTACAATGAATTATGGCTATATGGAGGAGAATTCTCAGATCATCCTTCAACATCGCCTCTCCCTGTGTCGACCTGGGAATACAACATAAAGTCCCGGTCGTGGACAGAACACGCAAGTCCGCAGACAACTGCGGGAAACAATTCTGACGGTGGCAATCAACCTGTTCAGAGAGCAGCAGAAGGAGCAAGCTTGAGCGTTCCAGAATTGGGTAGGAGTTGGTACTTTGGGGGACACTTGGATATGTATACGACACAAGGATGGTCGAACCAGGTTGCTAGGGAATATTTGAAGAGCTTGCTCGAGTTCACACATCCCGGATATGCCAATACCGGAGTTTACTCGCTCGGTAGCACAAATGCAGCTAGTTCCGGAGGCGTCTACCGAAACATTACCCAAGGCGGACTGCAAGATGAGGCAGGCTTTACTGAACGAGCAGACGGTGTTTTGGTTTATGTTCCTGGTTGGGGTGATGACGGTATTATTCTTGGTCTGGCTGGAGGTACCAACGAGACATTCGTGAGTTCCACGTTCTCCAAGGTTACATTTCAGCATGACTGATTTCTACAGACTGAAATGAACGTCATAGACGTCTATGATATTGCAAGCTCAACATGGTACAAGCAAGCAACTTCTGGACCTAGCCCTCCTATCCGAGTCGATCCATGTGCAGTCGTAGCAGCTGCACGAGACGGGACAAGTTTCAATGTCTACCTTTATGGAGGCCAAAATCTCGTCCCATTCGGCTCCCAGATCCAATATTCAGACATGTATATTCTTACTATTCCGTCCTTCACATGGATTCAAGTCGACATGACTGGGCAATCACAACCTCCTCCACGTGCAGGCCACAGCTGTGTCATGTGGGATGGCCAGTTAGTGGTCATAGGCGGTTATGTAGGGAAGGATATATCCTGTGATAGCCCTGGCATCTATGTCTTCAACGCTTCGTCTCTCCAATGGGCTAACTCCTTTACCTCGCTCTCCACACCTTCTGAGTTGTTCTCCGTCAGCCAGGGGTCTTCTGTCTTCCAAGGATCTTGGGGTTACGCTGTTCCAGCCCCGGTACAGTCAGTTATTGGCGGCTCGCATTCGGGAGGCGCGACAGCTACAACTCCCGCTGCAGGTCCAGCGACTGCAGGACCAATGGCAACTGGCAGACCTCCAACGTTCACCATCACCCAGTCGGGCTCAACGGTGATCCAGACCGCACACTCAACATCCACTGTGTCTGCTGGCTCGTCCCCTCAATCAGGAAAACCCAGCCGGAACGCAGGTACTGTAGCAACAGGCACCATAGCAGCTGTTCTTGCAATTATAGCCGGCTATCTCGCGTTCTGTACCTGGTTATACAGGAAACAGCTTAGACTGTACAAAGACCATGTTGCCATGGCACAACGCACAGCTTTTGCTAGTTCACCGGAGAACGGGAATTGGGGTTCGGACGTGGGGTCTGGGAGCGGTAGTGGTGGGAGACCGAATGAGAAGGTGGGGACTGGAGTGATGTTGGGACCATTTGGTACTGAAATCGGTGGAGGTGGAAGTCCGGCTCGCCAGTCCGTGGGAGACAGTGCAGGGTCTGCTGGAGGGGGATTGCACCCTTCGTTGACTCCTTCAAGTGGCATATCGCCGGGTAGTGGAGCGCCTGGTGAAAACGGAAGCGGTAGCGGGTATGGAGCAGGTGTCATGCCTGGCCGAGGGCAGTACGAGACACTGAACGAGGAGCATGAAGGGACTGAGTATCTTGGTGCTGGGCTTCCAGGACCAAGTTACTTGGGAAGACCGAGCGGGAGCACAGCACATAGTTCGATGGAAGATCTGATTGGTGGGCAGGAACCGAGCTTCTTCAGTGTGGTGTTGAATCCGAGGAGGACGTTACGGGTTGTAAATCTGGACTGAAAGGATTTGGGATGGATTAAGGGCCGGAGTAATATAATGATACCCTGTTTGAAAAGCGTAATGTCTATGGGCACAAATATAACGAGCTTTAAACTTATCAAACATTGTCCCTTGCCAACTATGTAGGATTGGTTGTGGAGGTTTTATTATTCTGAAAGTTTTGTGTCCTTCAGTCAAAGAACGATCGAAACACAATATTATATTCATACCGTTACCCGAGAATACCTCTCCCACCTCTCCACAATTCGCCATGTCGATATAGCTATCTCTCCAGCCTTCCAAGCGTACAAAGCTAAGAAGTGTTGTGACTCAACGCTCTTTCGCTTCCAGGAAATCAGGGGCTCGCTACCAGTCCAAGGCCAACCCATCATCATTTGCAGTAAAGCTAGCATAGAAAGATTGATCCCTTGAAAAGCCTTGCTCTTTAGTTCAGTGACCCGACTGCTTGGTCATGCCAGCTGCAGCATATTTGTGTACTTGGTTGTCGTGCTTGTGGCTTTCAAATTCAGATTGAGGTCTTCCTTGAGCCAGATATTTGAGCTGCCTGTTGCTCGACATCTGATCCAAATTGAACCAGCTTGATGTCCAGCTTGGTAAGTCTGATAAATCCATTGCAGCCACGACCCAGCAAGGGGACCAAGTCCAGTGAGTTAAAAGAAGGAGCACGAAGTATATGCTACTCCTCTACTTTTTCTATATGCTAGATACGAAAGAGGCCAGTATATTATTTGCCCGGGGTCGGCGTATCTAAACCTGTATTGAGATACCTTATATCCTCTAATCACTACATAGAGGGTAGAGCGGCATTTAGAGTATGGACTAACGTGCACTCTTGTATACGGTGGCTAGGGAACACCTCTATGGGCAGACTGTGGAGCTTTTATTAGTTGTAGCCACTAAGCGTGTACCTCTCAAAAAAATACAAAAACAACTTCAATTGTTAGTTTAATACACAAGCCAGTTGGATTCTTTGGAGAAATGACACGACCTGACAAACAAGCAGCCCCTTAAGCTCAACGATATATCTTGAGACTAATAATTAGTATTCCGAACTTTTGGTGACACGTGATGCAAGGTTCGTATGGGATCACATGTCGAGAGACACTCAGAACGAAGGCAACAATGTCTTCATTATTAGTCTAGAGGCGATCTATCTCGTCCATGCACTCCAAAGGAGTCAGGATCAAGAAGACAGCAAAGGTTGACCTCAATATGCCCTCGAAATTCGTAACTTCGTGTATCCATCCATGCCGGGCGATATGCCAAAGGCCATTCGAAGGTTTTGCAAATTCAACCCCCAACTAAGCCTCCTCAAATGCTTAGCAATCCCGGATATAAAGTTTTTCCCGTCGCCCACCCCTTCATGCATGCGTCCTTAAGTATCTTTTGGTGTTCATCAGGACCAGGAAAGCCAGTCGAGCCAGCCTATCCATCTGAGAAGCGCCAACGCGAATTGAAATAAAAAAGCAAGGTCGTGAAGTTCCATCCCATTTTGTGCATGCCAGCCCCATCCATCAATTGAAGCCAGCGAGAAATCCAAGTAAGAAAGCATTGTACAAGAAGCTGGAAGAAATTTCGAAATGTCTGGAGACAAACGAAAGAAAAGAAACCGCCTAATTACAAATTTCTGGGTGGCGAAGCCGAAGAAACTGGCGACCCTTAGATGTTTTTATGAGACCCGAGTGATCGAGTCGAAGTCTAAAACGAAATCGTCAATGTGCAAGGAAAAGGAAACAAATTATTCCGCAAGCAAGAGTACCTCTCCCTCAATCCCACCCAAACACCTGACTGGTTTTCCCTCCAGTCTTCATGCCATCCGATTTTGAAAAACAAATGAAATTCTAAATTCGCTGATGCAACGCCGGGATGAAGTAAAGGAAATCGTAAGATCGAGGCAGCCACCGTGACGGGTGCAACGCGACTCGAGATCGTGATGGGTGCGTCCGTATGCGTATTACCATTTTGTGTGAAGACGGGCCGGACGTAACTACCTCCGAACGTAATGCGCGCTGGAAAACGCTCGAGAAAACTGAATGCAAAGAACTTTTGTGACGTGCGCTAGGCATCGGATGGTATTGGTATGTCGAAGAATCATGCGAGTCGCTCGGAAGTGAAAAATGTGATAGTCGAGTATATCGAAGGTACATGGCGATTATCCTGCAACGATCTGCTGTCCATATCCATGAGACATGAAGTATGGCTGTTTGACCGGAGAGATGCAATAACCACATTGGCACTCGACGAGAGAACCATCCCAGATGTGCACACCCGAGTGGTAGTTATTGTGTTGACTGACAGGGTAAGGTCCATGGGGGGGAACGTATGGAGCGTGTGATGGTGCTTGATATCTCGAGTATTGGTTATACAAGGCCCAATCATTGTATCGAGGGGCTCCACCAGTTGCAGTCATGTTGACATACTCGGGAGTATTGAGACCAGAATCCGGCGCAGACGGTGGAGTGAGGTGTGGTGTAGGATAGGGATTGACCCACGAGTTTTGGTCGTAAGCTGAATGGAAGCTGGACTGATGACGTTCGCGAGATGCACTCTTGGGGTAAGCACTGAACGCTTGGGAGTATGGACGAGGTCTCTGGACGTTAGTGTCGATTGGAGCAAGAGGTGCAAGACGGTCGAGCGTTGCTTTGCGTTGGATGTTCTTTGCCTCGCGCCATTCCTCCCAGCTGTCCATCCAAGCTTTGAAGTCTTTGCTTTTGTCGAGATTCACGTACAGACCCCAGCCCATCGCATCCAACCACTCGTGCTCCAGAGTATTCAGCTCCGAGACAGCGATGCCACTGACCTCTGACCATGATCGATTTTGGAATGTGTTGTCGTCCAGGAACTTGCTTCCAAGGAGAAGGCCAATCGTCAACATTCGCCAAACCACACCGTCTGTGGCCTTGTAGGGACCAGCAGCATTGAGCATGTTCATTCGTCTTGCAAGGTAGTTCATGCCAAGGAGAATTGTGGTGCTTGGAAGGCGAGTAGATGACAGGAGGCCGGAGACGAATTTTCGGAATGCCGGCGAGACTGGACTGCCAGGCAGGACGATCCTCTGGGCCATTTCCGCAACATATTCGGTGATCTGATCGATTTCGTAGTCGAGCACAGCACACACACCACCGGAGGCTAGCATAGTGGGCGAATTTCGAGGGATCGACGGAGACTCTAGTGAATCTCAGTCGCGTGTCGAAATTATCGACTTGCTCGTGGAGGTGAAGAGTTTGGGCAAGTGCTAGATGCTCGACAGCTCGCGACGTCTATGAAGGCTCCGACGCTGAAGGCGTTGGTGGTTGGCGACAATGGGAAGAAAGAGAGCGAAAGGCGGTAGATTTATTGTGCCATCGGTCGTCTGTTATTGTCCTCGAGGTTGTGGAGAAAAAACCCTTCGGCTGGGCAAAAGTGAACAGCAACAGCAACAAAACCGAACCGGAACGTCGCAGCAAGTGCTTAGACACCAATCCACGTCGTCAATTCGAGTCGACCATGCGGCGGAGAGGTTTTTGGTCAAGTCTTGAAACTAAAAGTGGTCTTTGCAATAATTAGCCTTTGGCCTGGACTGACTGAGCACTGGGCAAGTTCTCCGACACAGCTCAGACACGCGCAAGCTGGTGGCGATGTCGTAGAATCATAGGCAGTAGCTCCCGGGAGGGGATGAGTATGCGAGAGTCGAAGTTGTTTTGCTGTTGAATATTTCTCGGAGATCAGGAATGTTGTGCCGAATGTGAAAATCGCGGCCTCTTCATCCAAACAAAGCTCGCAGCATCAGGCCATGATTCGGGAAGGGCCCAGGGAAATGGCAGTGGGTGAATCGAAGCAGGCCAGTCAAACACGCCTGAATGAATAAAAATTGGTTACGAACCTCTTCGTGTTGTGCCCGGTTTTCGTTGGGGCTGTTGCTCGCTCTCTCTCAAGTGCACTGCAGCAGTGGTCGGGGATCGCTGGACAGGATATTGTAGGACCTGGTTCCTCAGGCGGAGCGTCGTATTCCCTTCGAGAGGTGTGCAGTGTCGAAGGAATGGAGGGAGGAGGAGGAGGAGGCAATGTCGAGAGATGGAGGTGGAGAGGAAGAGAGGTGGTGCAGAAGAGCAAGGGATGGGGAAAAGGACGGGTGTGTGAAGGGCCGGCCGCAGTGATTTCACGAGGGAGGGCGAGGGCTTGGGCAGCGCAGCGCAGCAGGCACGCAAGCACAGCACAAGCGTGGATCGGAAGAAGATTTGGCTCTAGCTCTGTTGCTCGGTTGTGGGCAAGGGCAGGCAAGGAAAGGAGAGGGCAGCGCGGTGTGCGCGACTCGGCCCAAGTAATGTGCTGTGCTTGCGCTGAGCCAGCCAGAACGCAAGCCCAGTGTCCCACCCACTTCCATTTCTCCATCCCCTTCCTCTTCCTCGGCCTCTCGCACGCAGACGATAGTTGCGAGCTTGAGACTTTGCCTCTCTCTCGCCGGTGCCGCACGCACTCTTCGTGAAATGTCGGTTAAGGTTATCCTTTTGTTCTCCGCCCGCCAACACTGGTCTCTTATTGTTAAATTACGGAGTACGTTCACTGCCCGTGGCTCAACAGACGGCTTTCGATGCTCCAGCTGCACAGAACTCATTCTAGCCAGAGCAGCGCCCCTTTCCCCTCACGTGAACACAGGAACTCGCAAGACAGACACATGCCCATTGCAATAATTGCTCAGAGCTGGACTCGAACTGCCTCCGGAACTGCCCCGAACTGCCCCCTTCGGCCTCTCGCTGCTGACACCTTGCTGCGGAGGTATGGGTCCTTGACTCCTCCTGAGTCCTGTGGATATTTCGATCGTGGGACAGAGTCGTAATTTCAGCGGTCTGCAATTCCCTGAGCCAGTCAAGTTTCTTCCAGTTGCCTGCCGTGATGACCACACCAGTCCCCCCCCCAGCTGTACTTACCAGTAGTGTGCCCTTGGCCATCCTCCTGTTTTGGGTGCCGGAGCTCCCCCATTTCAGAGACAGAAAGGCGGTGGCACTGTCTCGGCCAACCACTGCCCTCGATCCTTCGCGGGATGGGCCAGCTAACCACGCCAATTTTACTGGAGGGAGCGAGGCTTGCCTTGGGGGTCGGACGACTCGTCTCATCACCACTTTCTTTGATTGCTTTGTTATTCATACGGAGCTCCTGGCTGCCTGCCTCTGTCAGAGCCGTTGGTGTCGTGATGAGTTAGTGACCGTCAAATGGTGTTCGAGTCATCCAGGGGCAACGGTACCGTATGCCTGATGACCTTTTCAGAGGCAAAGGATGACACGTCCTTGCAACGCACAGGAAATTTACTCCCCTTCATCACCAACATCAGGCTCAGCACCGGAATGATAAAACAATGTCTGGAACTTAGTTCCAACCTGCAGCGCCCCTTCCTGAATACGAATAATTTGGCATACGTATTCTTGTCTGAGGATGTTTACTAATAAGGAGGCGTGGGATTTGTGCTGAACACCCCTTCATCCTCATCCTCATCCCCCCATTTTTGTCTTGGGAATAAATAAACTTCCATATCTGGGCACAATTTGGGACTAAGACCCCCTCATTCCAGATCAAAATATGAGGAGTGTCACGTTTTGTCCTTGGAGATACCATGTGCATAGTGACGCAGAACAGAAATCGTCAAGTCACACAAAACTTCGTGATAGCCGTCAAAATCCCACCAAAGCAGAGGCCGAGTCAGCAGATTTTCGCATCCACGCCTTGATGCGGAGAAGCTCTCCACGCCTTCTCAGTTCCCATGAGGCGTGGTCCAGTCACAGCTCCCCTAATGTCAGACAGGCGGAGAGACCCTTCTGCGAATCCTTCAACTTCAAGTCTTGGAGTAATAAAGTGGGGACAATCTGGGATAAAGGCGAGCCCATCTATCCCCACTCTGTGGACCTTGGTACCTGGTCTGATGAGGGTAAGGGATTTTTTTCACGCTCCAAGCTTCATGCTTCACTTCGTAGCCGGGAACGGACGTCGGCAACCGTGGGAGACGAAGGTCCGGCGAACACTGGATGGATCATGGAGCACAAGCACAGCGTGATCTTGGTAAGCACCCACGGCATCGTCGGGGTCCAGCCCGGAAACCAGCCGAATCTCGCCCCCTGCCAGGCCTCCAGAGTGTTTTGTGAAATTGTGGCGTTCAGAAATGCAGCCACATCTTCAACAAGCACGGCCACCTCCCCTCCCCGTTGGCCAACTTGGGTGAGCCACCAGAGCAATCCTTTCTCATCTGACAGAGAGTTGACGACTCACACCATCATGGAAAACATGCCGTTGACATGTTGATGATCTCAGGATGAAATCTCGTGATGGCTTTGCAGGAGCACTCAAGGCAAGATTTAACATGCGCCATGGTGTTCAGATCGCCCAGGCAAAACAGGTTCTCCAAAGTGCGGGAAGCGAGAGTGCAGAATCAATCAAATTCTCCTGGCTGGTAAAAATACCTGACACTATCTTGAAAACAGGATAGTTTCGAGTTGCAAACCTCTGTTGAGATCGGACGAAGGCCATTTTGCCGCACATTTTCCCGCCTCCGCCACAGCGTTCCGAGAGAGTTTTTGAAAATGGAGCCTCGATCGTTGGCTCGTTGGCTCGTTGGCAGGAGGACCGACCCCAAGCAACCATGTCTTCGGACCTAGAACACGACCGTTGGGAAGCTTCGAAGCTCTGCTGATCTCTTTGCGGACATCAAGAACACACAAATCACTCCAACAAAAAGAATGCTTTCGGATACCCCCTCATCACAGTCTCGGTGAACAAAGAGCCCAGCTCTCTTGCAGCACATTCGGGACGCCGGTTCCAATCACAGCAAAGAGACAAACTAAATTTTCCCTCCACTCGTCCAGACCCTTCTCAATTCTGACTCCTTAAGAAGCAGATTAGCGGCCCGACGTCGGTTGGCTCAACTTCGACGACAAATTCTCGCAGCCTAAGAAAAAGCCTGCAGAACGCGCATCATCACGAGGGAAGATCCCACGCTCCCCACTCCGTCTTTGAGGAGCTGCTGCTCCGACTCTCCGAGAACTGAAATGCAGCATGCAGAGTCGAGGCAATAACCGCAGCTTGCTTCCTCACATGGGATTGGATCACCCCCTCCTCCACTCCCACGTTCCTGATGTCCCAACGCATCAACGTATGCAGTTCGATATCCTCAGGGTTCCCGCCCCGCGGCGGCACAGAAAACCCTCCATTTCTTACTAAGAATGACCTAACAGTAGGCTGTGGGCCAATCTCCCGACTGTATCCGCCAGCCCGCGAGACGACACATGCATGGGTCCGGAATGAGGAAATGGCTGACGCTCACGATGCAGCAAGATGGGGAGGCAGGGCGATGCGACGAGTGGTCATCTCATGGCTTCCGGAACGGGCAGGTTGTTGAATCTGATGACTCTGATGAGTCTGACCCTATGGGAATAAAGCCGATGATGCTAGATGAGGGCTTTTATTGGGTTTCATTGCTGCTCTTCCCACCCGTCATGCCCTCATATTCGCCACCACCTCGCCGCCAGGATTATTCCTATTACAACCGATGACGACGTTGCCGAGCTGCCGATCAAAGCCAATCGCACGAGTTAGATGGCGAAAAGAATGAGGAGAGATGTTCACTGAACTCGTTGATTATGGAAGGTAAGGCTGAGAAGCTGGCTGCACGTGATCAATACACGTGATACTTGACATCCATTCCAGTCCTTTCTGTCTTCTATTTCTTATTTCTTACTATTTTACGAGGTTAGTGCAGAAGTGAAAGAAAAAATATTGCTCCTCAGAGTCATCATGAAGCTCCCTTTTCTCCTTCTTTCGTTGTTTCCAAAAGTGAGCTAAATTGGATAAGGAATATGGAAGTTTGCTGCCTTCCTTTTGTGCTTTAAGTATCAAAAATCATGGACTACATAGGATTGTGGCTTGGAAACCACCGTATTGACCTAAACGCTATGGAAAACGTCAAATGATCCTAGGCTCGGCCCCAATTTCTTCTGCTTGACCTTCTCCGTTGAGTCATGCGAGCTTGAGTGGCGCGTTGCGTTTCTTACTGCTCCAAACTGCTTGACAAGCCCCGCTAAAAACAAGGTTCCTGTCGTATTTCTATCCCAAGAACGGGCTTTGGCTCTTGATCTGGCTCCGTATATCCTTCTTGGCGACTGAACAATAGGGGCCGAGTGGCATCTTATTCTACTGGACCTTGGTCAAGAGGTGGAAGAGCACTCAATCGCACATGAGTAAACTATCGCGGCCGCGACAGAAATCACTGTGAGCTGCATCTAGATGGATCCATAGGTTCCTTCACCTTGCTCATATAATCTCGCCTGTCTTCCTGAGACAATAGCTGGTCGCAATGTTCAAAGGCAATTTCAGGGACAACTTCAAAGGAGGTCTTGGACCTCTCTTTTGCAAGGAAGAGCATTGTTGATAAATACGCTGCATTGAGCTAGGTTAGAGATGCAGGATAGAGCTAGGAATTCAAAGCAGAGTAAACCCAGCTGCCTAACTACAATGGCAACTCGATTCGATTCTGAGTAGCAAGAATGCTAAACGGCACTTGTGCTGCTTCAGCCTGAGGAGAAACTATCCCAAACGCTGCAATCGCATACCCAATTGTTCTACGACACATCTCCGCAAGTGCCTCTCGTTGAGAAGGCTCTGATACCTCGCATTGTTCGAGATACCTATCCAGTTCCGCAAAAGCCCATAGATATCAAACTGCGCATATCGCATTCCACCTCATATCGGGCCATTCGCCAGCCTGGGATACCAACAGCTTGTGTCTAGACCCCCCTTTTCCATTACAACAATCTAGAATTTTAATTTTGGCCATCGTAATAAAAACCTCAGATAACTCACAGGCAGAATCGTTTCCCCATCTACGCCACAAAACCAGCGGATAATCGTCTCCCCATCAGCTGGCGCAGTAAACCAGATCACAGATCTGACGATTGACATATGGATCCGTCCAAGGGCAGGGTGAAGCCCGCCTTCTGCAAACTTCGGGAAGCAGTTCATGGCACGTAACCCACCCCAGGCAATAGACTCTCGCTACCGCACGATCGTGTGTGGAGATAAGAACTGTTGCTCAAAGTTGACAGAGATGGCCATATTGTTCTGGTCCTGCGTCTGCCACTGGGCCCACGGCTCACGGCAATAAGTCATAATCGACACCTCCTTCTCAGTATGTGTTGGATGGAGTATTAGTCAGAAGAGGAGACGTCGTAGAGCCAGTCCAATCCAACCCCAGTAATCCAAAGATCAAGTAAGTGTGAACAAGCAGAGAAGAGGGCTGTAACAGAGGACAAAATGTAGTATCCCGTAGATACGCAGCATCCAGAAGAGTGGCAGCACTTTCAGAAGAGGTCGTATTCGGAGGAGGGGTAGTATTTAGAGAAGTCCCTTGCGTCGATGTTGTCTGATGATAGACGGTACCTGAAGAAGCACCGGCTCTTTGACAGGAGGAGGCAGTGCTTGAAGAGGCGACTTGTGATGGGAATAGTCCTTGAATCCTTGGAGAGGAGTTGACTTCTGTCAGCAGGGAAGATGGTTCTATTCAGCCATGTCAGGCTGTGCTACTTCATAGTCAATGAGGCTGGATGAACTCTGCTCCTCTGAAACACCTGGCCATGGGTGCGTAATTTCCTCAGCAACTCAATTGATGTTGAGATAGGCCCTCCAAGGCTTGCATCGTTTCGGGGCAGCCGCTTTTGAAACAATCGATCCGCCAATTGGTCCCTGACAGAATATTAACTGCTCTTCCACATTTCGTCGATTTTTAGAAATCTGTGCCATTCTCTAGCTCCCGAATCCAGAATGAGCAGTGGCATTACATCTTGCTTCTATGGCAGCAGGGGTTGGGTAATTGGCGTCAGAATGAAAGCCTGAAGGCAACTTGGCAGTGTTAGCATCCAGTTGCGAAGAAGGAGTGGATTAGCAGTTGCAGGAGCCTGGAGCCGGCTCTTGCTGGAGAGCAGGAACCCCAGTATTGAGGCTGACCAAGATTGGGCTGAAATATACCATGTCCACTAGGCCACTTTCACTGTCTACACTCTAAATGCCCCCTTGAGTTATCATACATTAAAGGTCTACCTCTTCCCACAATGGCGAGGTTCTCGAAATATAATATTAATATCTTGGCCATTCCGAGTCTCTCAACAGGTACAACTTTGACCAAGGATAACGAGGATTAGTGCCGCTTTTTTTGCCCAGTGAGGTTGACCTTGCTACTGAGGAGCAGGATTCACGTGCTGATGCTGCCAGGAAATACCTCGTTGCTTCTACTGGAATGCACTTTAATATAGTGAGGAACTGAAGCCATTGAGCCGCGCTGCTGAGGGGTAAGGTTCAAGACTTGAGGCCGCCAGAACTTCCTGCTTGCTTTTGCATTTAGATGTGGTGGCGGATTTTACTCCTTGTAGCTTGCTGTTTTGCTCTCTGATGAGAAAACGAGGTAGGATATTCTGCCAAGTAAGGAGGTCGATGGCGCAGTTTGAGATACCTACCCGCCATGATTGGTTCGCTACTTGCACCTACTGCTAAAGAGAGGTGTTTCAATGAATCGGGTTCCTCTCTGGTTCGAGGTGGAAGGAACGGACGAGTGGACTTTAGCGAGTAATTTAAGGGGGGGGATCCGCTGATGTTTGCTCTGTTTGTTCAGCCGAGAGTGCAAGGCTGCCAAACAAATCGGTGAGGCTTCCCCAGAAAAAAACATTCCACCACAACCAAATTTACGAAGAGACACGCAACGCAATACAATGGCAGAATTGAGTACCAGTCATCCGCTCGTCTGGATTGATTGTGAGGTATGTGCCTCTCGGCTGCCTCAAACTGCTGAGCTGAAGCTGACAATGCAAAGATGACCGGCTTAGATGTCGAACATGACGTTATTATTGAGATATTCTGCATAATTACCAATGGAAACCTGGACATTGTGGACGAGGAGGGATGGGGAGCGGTAATCCACCAGGAGAAGGAAAGGATGGATGAAATGGTAAGTCTTACTAACCTCATTAGACTCGTGGAAGCTGGACTGATAGCATGCTAAGGATGAGTGGTGTACGAAAACCCACGGCGAGAGTGGGCTCACCGCGAAGGTGGTTGCTTCGAAGACAACTCCAGAACAAGCAGCCACGGACTTGCTCGACTATATCAAAAAGTTCATCCCAGAACCGAAGAGAGCTTTGCTGGCTGGGAATAGTGTTCATGCAGACAAGGCTTTCTTGCGAAAGGAGCCTTACAAAAAAGTCCATGATCACCTCAGCCATCGCATATTGGATGTCAGCACCCTGAAGGAGGCAGCGAGGAGATGGAGCTCTCTCGACGTTCTGCTCGAGGTCCCAAAGAAGAAGCTGCTTCATACCGCGCGATCTGATATATTGGAGTCGATTGAAGAAGCGGCCTTCTATAAGAGTTCGATCTTCCGGCGACCGGCGAAGTGATAAAATCAGAAAATAAAAAACGAGATACATAAATAGCACGTTGCTTTTCTCGGAATATTGATTTGGCTGCCGAATGATTGTGAAGAGCGCTCTGACTGGCTACTGGGCTGCACGAACCCGCTGAGCTGTGGTGGCGTTGATCACCGCCTTCCGCCTTCCATCCTACTTTTATTCCAGCTGCAAATCTCAAGCCCCTCCCTCCTTCTCTTCTTAATTCCCCTAAATCTCTCAATTCTACCCCAAAGATCAACAAGACAGCAATCATGGACGTCCAAACGGTCACCTTCAAGCCGTTCACCGACCAAAAGCCTGGAACGTCAGTGGTTACCCCACTATCTGCCATCCCCACCACAGCTAACAGCTTGACAGCTCCGGCTTGAGGAAAAAGGTCGTCGTTTTCCAACAACCCCACTACAGCGAGTCGTTTGTCACAAGCATCCTCCTGTCAATTCCAGAAGGTGTCGAGGGAAGCTTCTTGGTCATTGGTGGTGATGGGCGATACTGGAACCCCGAGGTCGTCCAATTGATTGCCAAGATTGGAGCTGCCTACGGCGTGAAGAAGCTTCTCATCGGCCAGCATGGCATCTTGAGCACTCCTGCAGCTAGTCATGTTATCAGGAAGCGCAAGGCTACTGGTGGTATTCTCTTGACAGCGAGTCACAATGCTGGAGGTACGTAATTCAACAAAGCCCAACAAATAGCTGGAACAAAGCTGACAAAAGCTCAATTAGGTCCCAAAAACGATTTCGGTATCAAGTACAACCTTGCGAATGGTGGGCCAGCTCCGGAGTCCGTCACGAACAAAATCTTCGCAACTTCCAAGGCCCTGACTTCCTACAAACTGGCGGATATCCCAGAAGTCGACATCTCTACAATTGGCACAAAGACATACGGCGACCTTGAGGTTGAGATCATCGATTCGACTGCGGACTATGTTGAGATGTTGAAGGATATCTTTGACTTCCCCTTGATCAAGAAATTCTTCCAGACACATCCCGATTTCAAGGTCCTCTTCGATGCTCTCCATGGCGTTACTGGCCCATACGGAAAGGCAATCTTCGAGCACGAACTTGGCCTTTCCAGCTCCAGTACTCAGAACTGCATTCCCTCACCAGATTTCAATGGAGGCCACCCAGATCCTAATCTCACTTACGCACACTCTTTAGTTGAGGCCGTTGACAAGGGAAAGATACATTTTGGAGCAGCCAGTGACGGAGATGGAGACCGCAACATGATTTACGGAGCCAATGCATTCGTTTCTCCTGGTGACAGTCTCGCCATCATTGCTCATCACGCCCAGCTCATTCCTTACTTCAAGAAGCAGGGTGTTTATGGACTGGCCCGCAGCATGCCTACTTGCGGCGCCGTTGATCTTGTTGCTAAAGCTCAAGGACTGAACTGTTATGAAGTTCCCACTGGATGGAAGTTTTTCTGCGCTCTCTTTGACGCCGACAAACTTTCCATCTGTGGCGAGGAGTCCTTTGGTACTGGTAGCAACCACATTCGAGAGAAAGACGGCTTGTGGGCTGTTGTTGCGTGGTTGAACATCATTGCTGGCATTGGCGAAGCTCAGCCAGATGTTACACCGAGCATTGCCAAGATTCAACATGACTTCTGGACCATTTATGGACGCACTTTCTTCACGAGATACGATTATGAGAACGTCAGCAGCGAGGGTGCAGCAGAGGTTGTGAAGGACCTGACCGCAAAGATTGCGGACAAGTCATTCATTGGCTCCAAGATTGGTGGTATGTACTTCAAATTATGTATCTGCTCTCGTGCTAACTGTTTTGTAAGATCGCACAGTGGCTGATGCAGGCGACTTCTCGTACACTGATCTGGACGGCAGCGTTTCTCCAAACCAAGGTCTTTACATCAAGTTCTCCGATGGATCTCGTATCGTCGTTCGACTTTCTGGAACTGGCAGCTCAGGAGCGACTATCCGGTTGTATGTCGAGAAGCATACCAGTGACGCGAAGACGTACGGTATGGACGCCCAGGACTTCTTGAAGCCAGATATCGAGCTTGCTACCGAGCTTCTGAAGTTTCAGGAACACATTGGACGAACAGAACCAGACGTTAAGACATAAATAAATGCACCGGAGCAGACTGTAGGAATGAATCCATGCGCGTGGAATGGTAAAGAAATAGGCCACGGGCATTGTGAGATGAGGAGGATGAACAAAGCGAATTCATTAAGTGTTCATAGCCGCGGTAACTACAAAATCATCGTGAACTCATCCATTAGTTTTGCTACTGTTGAACTTCCTGTCACCATGATCTTACAAGAGCAGCCTAAACATCAAAATGATGGAATGGTTTAACTGCGAGTGGGAGTACAAGACACTGACTGGCAGCACAGGGGCAATGCAAACTTTAAGCCTTATACCGTCCTAGCAATGAATGCTCTGTATTGTGGCCTCTAGTCCAGAGCTCATTATCCTATCTCGATTCCCACCGCGCCTCCGCTCTTCGGGGAAAAAGTATATCCTCAGCTAAGCGAGACACAGAAAAATGAGAAAACATATTCAAAACGAGAACCAAAATGTCAAAACCTCACAGGACAACCTCAACTTGACTGTCGGATCAGTCGAATCAAGTCAGAAAGAGGGTGTCCTGCCAAAAATCTATCCGAAATGAGATTTTGCTTCGATTCGAAAACTCCCATTACAGGTACCCTTCATATAGCTCAACAACGCGGTGTTGTTTAACTAAAACCGTCCTTTTTATATGGGAAATTTGCAACGGGAAGCATGTCTTCTCCTTAGGAAGCCCGCACGCTCTAATACTAGTTAGTATTTGTTGCTGTAAATTATTATTTATGCTTTAATTTGGGGTTGTGAAGGTATCGGTAACTCACATGCTGTCTCGTGAGAGCCCCGGGTTGCTGGTGACAAAAGTGTTTATATTGATATACACAACCCAAGTCGATTTCGCTTCAATTCTGGCCTTCGGAATCATTCCTGGTAGTATTGTGATGAACTTTCAATGCACCTTGCTCCAAGGTAAAACAATACGCAAGCCGTTTATCTAAGCTCTCCATCATACCGTCACTGCAGTATCATTCCAATTAATGTCGTTCGTGTGAACTCTTGTGGTTGGACTGTAATCAAATGTGGACGACGATATATGAGAAAACATCGGAATGTTGTTAAATGCAGTGAAAGGGGCAAGGGGAGGAAGAGAGGGACGTACCGGGAGGGGAGGACAGGCAGGCTGAGTCTTCAGGAAGTGGCGATTGGGCTGTATGAGATTCGAGTGTCCTAGTCTCAAGAACAATGTCAAAATTTCGACGCTCCATGGACGATAACACGGTGCACATGAAATTGCCCGTGGACGTCGAGTAGTGGTTCGAGTTCAATGGCAAATCTTCCTTGGCCCTTTTGATGTTTCATCCGTCTCCCCGGAAGCATCATCTTCAGCTAGGAAAGGTCAATTTTGAGATACGAAATCAAGTTGGAGAACATTGAGACAGTGTTCAGGTCATTTGCACTGTAAAGGGCTTCCGAGTTCAGATCGAAAAGATCTTCCATGAATTCTCTATGATACAAGGTTGATTATGCAGGCATGCCAAACTCCCCAGAACAAGCTCCTAATCTATGCATAAAAGTTGACCGTATCTGCTTTGCGTAAGTAAAAATCGTGGAAATAGAAAGGGGAGAAGGAGGAACAGGGATAACATACCCTTCTTCTTAGCTTGGACTTCCGCAATCGCATCAACATAGTGCTCGTGGCTGATCTTGTTCTTTCCCATCCGAAGTGCAATCATGCCTGCTTCCACACAGACAGCCTTCAACTGTGCGCCTCCGAATTCATCTGTACTTCGTGCCAACTCAGGCCAGTTGACAGCATCATCGACTGTCATCTTTCTGCTGTGAATCTTCAGAATCTGTGCTCGAGCCTCCTCGTTTGGCAGAGGGAACTCGATTTTTCTATCCAAACGACCTGAACGCAACAAGGCAGGATCCAGGACGTCCACTCTGTTCGTAGCTGCCAGAACCTTGATACGGTCATCTGAGGCGAAACCATCAAGTTGGTTGAGTAACTCCAACATAGTTCTCTGCACTTCTCTGTCTCCACTCTTCTCGCTGTCGAAACGCTTCGTACCCACAGCATCCAACTCGTCGATGAAAATGATCGCCGGAGCCTTCTCTTTGGCCAAAGCAAAGCAGTCTCGAACCAGCTTAGCACCATCACCAATGAACATTTGTACGAGTTGTGGGCCGGCAAGTTTGAGGAAGGTGGCGTCGGTTTGGGCTGCACAGGCTCGGGCAAGGAGGGTCTTTCCAGTACCAGGAGGTCCGTACATAAGCGCACCTGGGTTGTCAGTACAGGGACCTTAATAGATGGGATCAACTATACCCTTCGGAGCCTTGATGCCAATCTTCTTGAAGCGCTCAGCCTCCTTCATGGGCCACACTATCGCCTCAACCAGCTCCTCAATCTGCTTATCCAATCCTCCAACATCTGTGTACTTCTCCGTTGGCTTCTCATCGACCTCCATTGCCTTGACCCTGCTATCATATTCGGCGGGTAATGTGTCCAGCACCAGGTATGAGTCTTTGTTTACACCTATCAGATCTCCTGGCTTCAACTGTTCTGGGTCAACAAGACCAATGAGAGGAAGGAAAATGGTTTGTCGAGTAGACGTCTTGATGACGGCAGACTTTCCAACCCTCGTAGCATCCAGGTCAATATTAGCACCTTCTTCCTGGGATTCGGCTGTTGGGTCGAGATCGAGAAGCTCAACAACATTGCCAACGAGATATGGTAATTGCCTGGTGGCATGTTAACCTAGGAGGAGCTTTAGAGAGACAAAAAATATGTATACCTGTTATTCTCAATCTTGTCCAAGTTGTCCTTGATCTTCTCACCCATTGTAGCCTTCTCGTGTGATAAACGCTGAAACTCGCTCTTCATGATTCGCGAATCGTTTTCCAGGAGCCGCTTCCTCGTCAGGATGTCTTGTGTGCTAAGGTTGTAGATCTCCTCATCTATTGGGTCCTCTTCCTTCTCCTCCGGTTCGGCATCCTTCATCTCAGCATCGCCATTTTGATCTGGCTTCTTCTCCTTGTCGCCATCGTCCTTCTTGTCTTCCTTCTGCTCCCGCTCAAGATCATCGAGATCTTCTAATGTAGACATGGCTGAATGTGGACGGAGGAGAGGTTATGGAAGGTGCTTGACGTGGGATTTGGTGCAATTCGTAGCCTTGAGACCAGTGTGTGAATGTTTACAGAGCCAGAGCTTCGATGACCTTGAAGCTTCCATCTCGCGAGGCGAGTTTGTAAGGCAGCTCTGGCGTCGCGTAAGATGCACGTGATATACGAAGTAGGTTAGTCATCGAGCTAATTTTTAGCCCCAAATCCAAGATATCTTCCCAGCCGCTCGCCTCCAAAAGTGAACCCGTCATCCTTCTTCCACGCTCGCTCTCCACCACGAAGAACTGTCGCTTCAACATCCAAAAAGACTGCGCCGGACGTTCATCTTTCCCAGCGATAGTACTGACAGCTTCCAACGACCTACGAACTTTCACAGACGCCTTCACTGGTCTTCCGTTCTGAGAAAATTCTTTGTCTTACGGCAGGCAGCACACATTCTTCTTCATTCCTCGACACAACCCACCACCTATCCATCGAACTCAATACCATAATTACCAAGGCCGAGAGATCAGACCTCGAAGCATCCTTCGACCTTTACGAGCAGACAGCAGACATTGTTCCTCGTGTCATCTCGTGTTCCTGACCTTGATCAGCGGTCGTCGATCCCGACGGCCATCACACATTCCACGTAGCCCTCAACAACACCGCCAAAACGCATTCCCCACTCTTCGTCAAGCTTACAACAAGTCTCCTCTGCGAGAAACCTACGAAAGATACCCGAGCTCTTGCTGTTGTCTCGCGCAAGAGAAAGCAGCTTCGTCGCAAGAAGAGCAAGCGTCTCGTATTCAACGAACTCGATAATATCTACCGGCCAAAGCCGTACGCGCCGAAGATGATCGCGCCATCTACTACCATCGAGAAGGGCGGAACAGAATGGAGCGAGAACCTGAACATGACGCTCATCTGCAAGGACTGCAAGGAGGTTCCTCCTAATCTTGTTGAGGAGTTCTCTTCTGGTGATATGGTTTGTGGTTCATGTGGACTGGTTTTGGGTGATCGTATTGTCGACACGCGCTCTGAGTGGCGTACCTTTTCCAACGACGACCAAGGCAACGATGATCCGTCTCGTGTTGGTGATGGAGCTAACCCTCTCCTCAATGGCTCTCAGCTTCAGACTACCATCGCTTACACCGATGGCAGTGCTCGCAGCCGAGACCTTCTCCGTGCTCAAGGAAAGTCTTCGACTGATAAAGCCACCAAAGGTTTACTCGCTGCATATAAGGAGATCGGTGCTCACTGCGATGCCGTCAATATCCCCAAGAATGTCTCCGATACCGCCAAGCACCTTTTCAAGTTGGTTGATGACGCAAAGGCTTTCAAGGGCAAGTCGCAAGAAGCAATCATCGCCGGCTGCATCTTCATCGCCTGCCGCCAGTGCGGTGTTCCCCGAACTTTCAGAGAAATCTACGCCTTGACGAAGGTTTCCAAGAAGGATATTGGTCGAACTTTCAAGGCTTTGGAGAAGTTCTTTGCTCAGGATAGTGCTGGGAAGGCGGCAATGGCTTCTTCTACTGGTGGTAAGTTGCGTGTGAGTGGTATAACACTGTTGCTCTTTATTAACAATCTCTCTCAAGGGATGCTTCCGTCCACAGATACATACCAAACTACCACCTCTACCAATGCCAAAGACCTGTGCCTCCGCTACTGCAGTCAACTTGGTCTTAACCGCCAGCAGTTCGTTAAAGTCTCGCAAGGCCTCGCTGAGAAGATGTCCACCGTCGGTGATCTCGCCGGTCGTTCACCCTTGTCCGTCGCCGCTGCCTGCATCTATATGGCCTCGTACCTGCTTGGCAAGCCAAAAACCCCGAAAGAGATTTCTCAGGTTGCTGGTGTCAGTGATGGTACTATCCGCACTGCCTACAAATACTTGTACCAGGAGCGCGAGAGGTTGATTGAGCCGGAGTGGATTGCTGATGGCAAGGGCAATATGGAGACCCTCCCGTCGGCGTAAATGGGTGATACCATACGCTTGATTGTTGGACTATTGAGTGGCCTATTGGACTGATGTCATTATCGTTGATTCTTCTGCTTTTACATCTGCGAGAGATCGTTGCGTTAAGCAACTGGATCTGATATTGCATTTGATTATGGCAGGACGAGAATGGACCTTGACGTCCTTGAACTTCAGTGGCTAGTGGTATCTGGGGAATAATCGAGGAAATATGAGCGGAGCAGTGGGTCAACCACTGCCGCCATGCCTTGATGTTGGAGAAATACTGCTCGCATTGAGCAGGTTATAGAGGAATGCAAGAACTTTGAATATTCTCCTTTCAAGGATTTATGATGAACACAACAGGCAAAAGAAGTGTCCCGTCCATACAAACACTTCTTCAGGTTGACATCCCGTTTACTTCAAGACTTATGCTGGTCCATCTCCGCTTGCTCAGCTCTCAATCTTTCTCTTGCTCTTACTAATGCTTTACCAAGGAGGTTCAATCCCCAATCCTTTCTTCGGCTCCCAGCATTCTTCGCTCCAAATCCAACGCCCCAGATTCTATCCTATTCGAAAGAAATTGGAGTCAGCATACTTCTTTCAGGTATTTTAGGAAGCAGAATGTTCCTGCAGCTGTTTATACATTGCATTTAGGATGTTCTCAAAATTTGTTGGATATCGATAGCAGAATATTCCGAGAGCTGTTGAACATTGCTATAATAGGGATCAATACTCCAAGAAGTCGGGACTCACCATTGGACTAGCCTCAACGATCTCCCTATCACCGGTTCCCAACAATTTCTCTCTCAAACTCGTGCCGTCGTCCTTTCCCTCCCCCTCATCCTCTCCATACTTGAATTTGAAATAACTCCCTTCCTCCACGATTCTCTCCCGATTCGCTTCCCAGACTTCTTGATTGAAGTTGCTGACTCGGCGTCCCAGGGCTTTCTGCTCTTTTGGAACTGTGGTTTTGAGGATTTGGGCGGCGATTTCGTGGTCCGAGAAGAGAATGGCTTTTTGGTGCATCATGTATTGTTCGGCTGTTTGATATACAATGGTTGAGTCATTGTCGGTGTGAAATGGAGAATGATACCATTGGGACAAATAGCCGTAAATCTCTCCGTATTCACGCCAGAAGTAAATTGGGGATGAGTCTTCTGCCTTCATAGAGCTTGTTGCCATGACGGGCATGTGGGTTGTGAGTCTGCAGGCTGTAAGGTTTGAGAGCGGACTTTCAAAGCTTGCACACTGCAGAAGACAGTAGGAGAAAACGGGGAGTTATTATAGCAGGTCTTGGGAGTGATTCACGGTAGGGAGTCACTACGCCTTTAACGGCCCCTGAGTTCAAGGACTGACTACAAAATTCGATTGAATATGCAGCCTTCCTTGCAAGCCACGGTATCAGCCACACGGCTTCTGCAGGTGTTCGGGGGCTGTGCAAGACTCGGGATGACTCGACGAGCCTGAGTCCAATGATGTCCGGCTTCTTTTGATGCTACAAATGTAACTGACTCCAAGGGAGAAGCAAGACCTTTCTCCAGGCAATGACCAATGCTTTAGGGTTTCTTTGCTCCTGTGAAGGCTGTGACATGAGGTTTATGGTGTTCATTAATCCTTGCAAGGATGTTGACCGGAGATACCGAGGCCTGTGAGCTCTACTTAGCCGAAGTGGGGAGTCTGGGGAAGCAACGACAACGTCTCTTCATTCATCCATCTTCCAACTTTGTTGTTCGTGCCCTTTTCTCAATTGAAACTTGGACTCCAATCAAATAACAATAATTCAAAATGTCTGGGCCTGGGGCAGGATTCGAGTATCCTCCGGTCGAAGTGGCCTGGCTAAAACGGGATGTTCTCCTCTTTGCAAATAGCATTGGCTGCACCGCTGATGAATTACACTTCTTATTTGTATACTCTCAATAGACCCTTTGAGCGTACTACCTGCTGATACAGTTTCCACCAGGAATTACACCCCGATTTCGCAGTCTTCCCTACATACCCAATTATCCTGCGTTCGTAGAATCTACTCCACTTCAAGCTCAAAGATACCTAATGTAACACAGCTTTCAAACAAGCAACGCAAGAAGTGATTGACTTCTACAAAGCTCAGGGGGCTGTGCCGATTCCGGGAGTTCCTAAATTTGATGCTCGCCGAGTCGTCGATGGCCAACGTCTTATGACTTTCCTCAAGCCTTTCCCCACGACCTCCGAAGGTCGAAAATTCGAGCTCCGCTCGAAGGTCATTGGTGTTTATGACAAGGGCAAAGCGGGAAGTGTAGTTGAGACACAACAGGATATCGTCGATAAGGCTACTGGGGAGAGCTATGCTCAAGCTGTGGGCTCTGCGTTCTTTGTTGGCCAAGGAGGATGGGGTGGTCCAAAAGGAAATCCCACTAAGAATTTCCCACCTCCACAAGGAAAGAAACCAGATGCTGTTGTGAGCCATCAGACTACTGCCGAATCCGCTTTACTTTACAGGTATGCCAATTTCAATGTATTATGGTATGGCGCCGGGAATCTGACATGTGCAGACTAAATGGCGATTACAATCCTCTCCACGCCACCCCGGAGCCGGGTCAGAATATGGGCTTCGGGGGGGCCATCATGCACGGTCTGTCATCTTGGAATTTCGCAGCCCATGGTCTTTTGAAGGCTATCGGAGGGAGTGACCCAAAGAACATCCGTGAATTCCAAGCACGTTTTGCCTCACCTGTCAAGCCAGGCGACAAGCTCGTTACCGAGATCTGGAGAACTGGAGAGATGAAGGGAGAGTGGGAGGAAATTAGATTCGTTACCAAGGTTGAAGGTGGGAAGGTATGCTTGAGCAACGGGCGAGCATTGATGAAGCCAGTGGCTTCCAAGGGCAGCAAGTTGTAGAACTTGACTTTCAAAAATGGTTTCCTGGATAGGTACTGCCTTTAAAATCTAAGAACTTCAGCACATCTCACCCCTACGCGAAATTGAAATTATCAGAATAGTCAAGAGCTGAAGTAGCTCAAGTCAAGGTCCGAAACTATGCGAAGTATCTCAGGGTGGCATTGGTGGCTTGAAAAGTAGCTGGAAGCCAAAGACCAGTGCAGACACCCCCGCACGATAGCATCTGCCCTCCGCAGACGGAGTAAGACCTGAGTCTAACAGGAGCCATTATATATACGCACAGAATGCCAACCCTTGAGAAACAAACGCTATGAGAAGTTTAAAATTACCTGCACTCCCATTGCCATAGAAGCCAACGCAGCACGAAACCACCCAATGATCAGAAACAGCAAAGAACTTCGCGATGAAGGAGATCAAGAAGATTCTTCAAGAGTCCAGAGATGAACCATAGGGTCTTTGACTAGGAGGTTTGAGATGGTACAGGCTTAATACCGCGGAAGCAGGTGGACCATGCCCTTCGGCCAGATAGCATAGCCAAGAGTGAAGACATTGTATTCAAGCCGTAGATATTCGCAGCCCTCAATGCTCTTATTTTCCCTCATGCAATGTGTTTCCTGAAGAGAACATGGCTCACTCACCAGACGATGATGAGAGGTCATGGCCCCGGCCTCGGTTGATCGTCTCTCAACGGTGCAGGGAAGGCTCTCATTTCGAAGACTGTTAACGGCTTTCTAACAATTCACTTTTGAACCGAAGAGACGCAACTTGTTTGTAATCATCCTATCGTCGTGGTGTCTGCAGCTTACCAGTTCCCAATTGCCAATTGGGAATCAAACAGGCTTGTAGCTCTGACGAGAATTTCACATAGAGCTTGCGCCTGATATGCGTTGTAGCATTGGAGGTAGAGAAGAATACCCAACTCCGTAGCTCTGTCCAGTTGTAACTGTAAGATCATGTTGGTCTGCTCGAAGTGAAACCAAAAGTTTGAGCTTGCTTTCTGAGGTGAGGTAAAATCAGGTCTCATCACGTGATACGGATGGAGGATCCATCAGCCGAAGCAAAATGGAGAGTTCGACCTCTACCTCGACTGCTTCGCATTCAATTGACACCATCACATCTGTCACCATGCTCTCACAAACGTTTCGAGCTTCGGTATGAGATCCCCTCAGCTTCTGGGATAAGTTAAATAACTCTTGTAGCGTTCCTCGATCGCCCGTGTCGCGAGACAACAAGCTTCCGGCATGGTGATCAAGCGCACTTTCATCACTCCTACAGCTGTTCGACAAGGTTCGTAGCCCATACACTTCAATATGGAGCCTCTCAGTATTCGTTCCCATAGGAGAAGCTCATCTGTGATGTCCAGCTTCGTTCGGCGTCCCCTTCTGTCTCTCTCCTGCGGTCTTCGAGAAAAAGTAGCTGATGTTCTTCCCCCAGCGGATCTCGTCCAAGACCTCTACATGAAGGAGCTGAAAGCCTATAAAGTCCCACCAGTGAAAGCTGGTGACGCCGATGCCCACGTCCAGAAGTTCTCACCACCACAGGCACCCAAATCCCCCGAGGAAGCAGACATCGCGAACGAGTTGAAGGCATACGAGGCACAAACAGTCGAAATCGAGGGACAGGCTGAGGGTGGTGCTGTTGAGCAGGAAGTCGACTGGTTTGAAGAGGAGCCTGAGGAGGAGACTGCTCATCACTAGACGTGCTGGCGGATGCTTCCTGAGGTCGACAAGCGGTTGGAGGGTGACGGGCGAGATGAAGATTCTGCGTGTATAGCATAACTAGAGAATCAAACTTTGTACAGTTTGTGGTTATGCTGTGTGGCCCGTCTGCTTTTTTCAATGGCCGTTGAAAATCTCAATGCGTTATGGATGGCTAACAAAGCCGTGGACTCTTTACGACTCGAGTTGGGTCTTGGCAATTCCTTCGCATTCTGATCCTCTGAGAGCTACCAAATCTTCGACACCGGTGTTTCCATACAAAGTAAATTTTGGCAACAGGAAGAGTTTTTGTGCAAAGCCGAAGACGTCCAAATAAGCAGGATGGATCTCCTGTCTCTTCTTTTCACATTTTACATCTCCTATCCCCAATTCCCACTCATAACAACACGAACAGAAGCATTATCGGCTGAAATCCCTAGTCTTGTGGAATTCGCTGAAAGAGAGCGCTGAGATCATTTCTAGGACAAGGCAAGTACTGAAATATTGTGTGTGTGATTCACTCCACTGGAACTGTATCTGATTTTGGTTCAGAGAGGAGCACGGGATGCTGTTCCTTATTATATCCACTCCCCTCTTGTTCGAGTTTCAGTGTTGTCATTTCTCTTGAATTCGGAACAGACATCTTTAAGAAGAACCTTTTTCTATCATTCTCTGTTCAAGGGCTTTCGAATTCGATTGTGTGGTTTTGGGATGGTCTGACCGTTCGAAGTAAGAAAACTGCAAAGATGATTTGATGCAGAAGGTTCAAGAATCCTTTGAGTGTCAACAGGAGACATCCCATTAAATGAAAGGAGAGCAATAGAATTGGGGGACAGACGCTGAGGGGCCAGGAATGGCGAATTTCCATGCTGCTCTTCCTATTCGAGTATTCTCCCAACATCGGGCTAAGTGATCGAATCTTCAAGTTCTCCCATTCTGTCTTTCTTTCAACAAGAATGAGCTCTTTGCTTTAAAGCTAGGCAAACTGTCAGTGTATATGGAATCATTCACTCTAACAGGCACCCGAAACCAGGCAGGGTATGAAGTGCACAGCATCAAGAAATCTTAAGACTCAGGGAGAAATCATAATGGAACAAGTCTAATGTATCTAAGGATTAACGTTAGCTTCAACCACAGTCTCTTGAGGAGGGGCGAATAGTTCAGATGGTAGAAACATTTCCATGGCATCATAGAGTTTCAAGAGCAAGGCTTGCTCCAGGACTCTACTTACAATTGTCACATTCTCGAGAAAGACTATTTTGAGAACAAATTGACGTGGAATAGCCCGCACCGCCATGACTGAGGGATCCTTGATTACTGTTGCACAAGACCACTCGGGACCCGCCATAGGCTGTGGTGCATTGGTGCCGCTTGCGACTGTCGCAGGTAGAGAGAGTCAGCCCGGACAGGCAGAGGCCTCAAACATCTTCTATGCGCTCTTCTTCAGTCATTTCTCATGCACATATAACAACAATTGTGATATCTTGTAGATTGTTGTAGAGCGTTCATTTCGCAAATCAACCCCGACCGCCTGGTTCGACAGTCGAAACCTGGCCCCAATTTTGCGACGTCATTTCGCCAGACTCACCCTCTGAAGTAATACTCAATCCTTTAAATCCCCCACAACTCAATCACCATGGTCCTAGAAATCCCTCGACGGAAGTTCTTTCGGACTATAAACAGCAAATACATTTATGGGCGAGTTGTAAGTGTTTCCAGACGGGTTCTGAGTCCTGTTATCGGCGGCGTTTGTCAACAGTGGCAGATCCCAAAAACAGGATTGCTCGTGCTAATTCATTTCTCACGGCAGCCCCTCGTACATACTGTTATCTTCCTCATAGAAATGGCCATCCTTGGCAGGCTGGCGGCGAAATTCAATAGCTACTATGCCGACCGTCCTGGTACAATCTACACTGCCATGGAAGATGAAGTGATACTGATACCTCTGCAGTGCTCACGATGATGATTACGAACGCAGTGCTGGGAGGAATAGCAGATACGGTAGCACAGTCTATAACAGCTATTCGATTGGCTGCACTTCGGAAAGCTGGAGGAATTACCAAGGACGATACAATGGCTATTGAGATCCACGAGCTCGACAGGAAGAATCCCCTCCTCGAACAGGATATCATCCCAGACTCGAAATTCCTACCCCCACCCTTCGACTTTGAGAGATTGACTCGATTCATGGCTTACGGCTTTTTGATGGCTCCAGTGCAATTCAAGTGGTTCAAGTTCTTATCGAAGGCATTCCCCGTTACACCAAAGAGTGGATTTGGAGCTGCACTCAAGATGGTTGCATTTGATCAACTGATCTTTGCACCCGTTGGTATGTCTTCGTTTGGGTAATGATCAGAAAGACGCCTTTGATGCTAACGACAAGCCAGGTATTGCCACTTTCTTTACTGTTATGACCATCGCAGAAGGTGGCGGACGAAGAGCGGTGTCCCATAAGCTGCGAGACATGTACCTTCCAACTCTAAAGGCCAACTTCATGGTTTGGCCTCTTGTGCAAATAATCAATTTCCGTCTGATGCCACTCCAATTCCAGCTGGCAAGCATCTCTCAGTCTATCAATCTAGCTATCATGCTAATCCTCATCACAGCCCTTCGTATCATCCGTTGGTATTGCTTGGACCGCATATTTATCTCTTTCGAACGCTGCTGAAGAAGCCGATGCTAGGTCTGCTCCTCAATCGCCAAATATCCGCTTGCTCTGATTGATTTGGGTCCAGGTCTGGACGAAAGCAATGGGATAAAGGCATTGGGAACTCGGCGTTATGAATTTCGATCCCTTGAGGACCAAAATGAATTGCAACTCATGAATGGTGTTTCCAGAGTTCCTGGAAGGCGGCGACGGAAATTGTATGGATGGTTATTGGAGTTTAAGGCAGACGGAGTTGTTGGGAGCAAATGTACACATATATTTTAACGATTGAGATTCTCAAAATATATCCGCAGCAACTTCTGCATCAAAGGAATAGATACGCAGTACCACAGAACTTTCGATGCACACAATTTCGATGATCTGTTGCTGATCTGAAAAAAATCGGATGTCGACCCACCTGCAGGGGGGAAAACATCCCACCACAACTCACATGCAAGCTCAAGCCATTGGAGGGGTAGCAATCAAACCCACGCTTCCTTCCTTTTTTTTCACTCATCAACCACAGATCCTCAAACAAAATCCCTCACAATCTTGAAAGAAAAAACTTTTCGAAGAACACTGGTAGATCATCAATTGCAATCATGTCTCTCTCCAGCAAGCTCTCGATCACCGACGTCGACCTCTCGGGAAAGCGAGTCCTCATCAGAGTGAGCTCTCTCCAAATTGGTGGGATGCGCTCATGAATTGTTACTGACGAGGCTGTCGCAACAGGTCGATTTCAATGTCCCTCTCGACGCGGATAAGAAGGTTACCAATACCCAGCGTATTGCGGGAGCTGTCCCAACAATCAAATACGCTATTGACCATGGCGCGAAGGCCGTTATCCTCATGTCCCATCTCGGCCGTCCAGACGGAAAGGTCTCAGCCAAGTACTCTCTAAAGCCTGTTGTGCCAGAATTGGAGAAGCTGCTTGGAAAGAGCGTCGAATTCGCTCCTGATTGTGTTGGGCCCGAAGTTGAGGCTATCGTCAACAAAGCAAGCGGTGGTCAGGTCATTCTTTTGGAGAATCTGCGTTTCCATGCTGAGGAGGAGGGAAGCTCCAAGGACATAGACGGAAAGAAGGTCAAGGCGGATAAGGAGAAGGTTACGGAGTTCCGAAAGGGTTTGACAGCCTTAGGAGACATCTACATCAGTGAGTCTCACTGAGACTTTACTCGAGCTACAATCTACTAATTCGGAAAACAGATGATGCCTTCGGAACTGCCCACCGCGCCCACAGCTCCATGGTTGGCGTTGACCTCCCACAAAAAGCCTCCGGGTTCCTGATGAAGAAGGAACTGGAATACTTTGCAAAGGCTCTTGAGAACCCTCAACGTCCCTTCTTGGCAATCTTGGGTGGAGCCAAGGTCTCAGACAAGATTCAGCTCATCGACAACCTTCTCGGAAAGGTCGATAGCTTGATCATCTGTGGTGGAATGGCTTTCACCTTTAAGAAGACATTGGAGAATGTCAAGATTGGCAATAGTCTCTTTGATGAGGCTGGTAGCAAGACTGTTGGAGATCTTGTTGCAAAGGCAAAGAAGAACAATGTTGAGATTGTGCTTCCCGTCGACTATATCACTGCGGACAAATTCGACAAGGATGCAACCACTGGCACAGCTACTGATGAGGAAGGTATTCCGGACGGATGGATGGGTCTCGACTGCGGCCCAAAGAGTATTGAACTCTTCAAGAGTACGATCAGTAAGGCCAAGACCATCCTCTGGAACGGCCCACCTGGGGTGTTCGAATTTGATGCCTTTGCCAAGGGTACGAAAGCAACTCTCGATGCCGCAGTTGATGCCGCACAAAACGGAAAGATTGTTATCATTGGCGGTGGTGATACCGCAACTGTTGCTGCCAAGTACAAGGTCGAGGAGAAGCTCAGCCACGTCTCGACCGGTGGTGGAGCATCCCTCGAGCTTCTCGAAGGAAAGGAACTCCCCGGTGTCACAGCCCTGTCGAGTAAGTGAACGTTGGCAGAACGAGTGGCTCCAGACTCTGATGCAACGAAGGCCATTCAAGCAAATCCAGCCTGTAATGAATTGATGAAGCACGTCGTACACAGCTCTATCATGTCCAATGTAGAATCCTTTTGGTCTTGATTTGCTTCGCTCATCGAAGGCAGTGATGTCCATTATATGCTACCCTTTTATAGTGACCTCTTGTAACCCCGTGAACTCCAGTACGATTATGTACAACATGTTCTTTCGTCAACGTTTCTTGCTCGCCTCGACCTTCTTGAGCTCCTCCCTGGAATTAAAATTAGCTCCGGTACCAAGTGAAGGTAATCTCGCAGGTGGCCTACTTCAGTTGCGCCGAAAAGTCTTCACTCGTGTCGTCATCATCCCAGCTCTCCTCCCACAGATGTGTGTTGTCACCAGGCACTTCTGTATCTTCTTGGGTCCAGTCTGCCATCACACAATGATCAGCATTTGCCTTCCAAGCTATATTTCCGCCTGCCGCCAGCTTGTGCATTCCCAACAAGCCACAAGCGAAGCACAAGGCAACATACTCTCTACTGGGAAATCCTCAAACTCATCATCTTCCTCCAATGCAGCCGCTGGCTTTGCGTCCTTCGTTGGTTCAGCGTTCTTGTCTGTTGCGGCGGCCTTGGCTGCTGGTGCCGCGCCAGAAGCTGGAGCTGCGGACATGACGGTAAAGGTGAAGGTAAGATGAGGTGAGAGAAATGCGACGGAGATACCGTTCAACTAGATCGTATTCGGAACGAGGGATTGGAAGTTGAGGCTGTGGTAGAAGCTTGTCTTGAAGCAAGCGGTTCTTTCTGGACCTTGACGGCAAAACTGACCAGGCTCGCAGTGGACAGCAAAAGCGGCACTAAATTCCCAGTGTCCCAAATCAACGCGGAACAATTTCCGATGCTTCCCTAGTGAAATTTTCCTTCGTTTTATAAACATTCAAATTCAACTTCCACTTATTGTCTATGAAGTTACGGAACAGTTAAAAACTGTCTCCTCTCAACGACTAGCTTGATTGAGGACATATATAACTGTTGCCGCTTTTTCTGTCCCACGCGAGCCAGGGTTCGGCCACTTCAGGTCCCGACGCCGTCTCACCACGCTTGAGGCTGAGCTTACGAAACAAGTTACGGTGAAGTAGACTGGAACTTTCTTTGCCGACTTCTGAATTCTTCCTTACTTGTTCGTGCCCTTTGGGATATATCGAATTTCTTCGTTAGGTTATTCATCTTTGGCTTTGGGTGGATCTGTTGCAATTTCTTTTATCTTTCCTTGTATTGTTTGTATTGTCTGGGGTCACGGACTTGTCATTCTCTCTGGGGACTCGTTTCTGGTTCGCGGCATTTCAAACTCTTCCCTTTTTGCAGAATCTATCGTTATTCTTAACATCGATATCGACGTCGACTCTCAACTGTTGCAGCGTTCTCGGCCTCCTATGGTACTTATCCCGAGTCTTCCGCGTTGTTGAGACTCTATCTCGCAGGGGGATTCAGGCACCAATATGAGTCGCTGGTTTCGGTCAGCGGCGACGCCAAAGGCTCCCGCAATGGTTGCTGAAGAAGAGGATGCACATCTTCAGCAAGTTGAGCATGCGCTCCTGCAGTTGCTGAACGATGATATTGCAGAAGCCGACAGGATCCTGAAGCAGCATAACTCATCTTACCACCATCTTGGTCGAGGAATCTCAAATTTCATTGCCTCTATGCTGGGAGTTGAGAAAGAACTTCTGAAAGATGCCGCGACCACATTGCAACTTGCTGAGAACAAAACTTGGGAAGATATGAAGAAAGCTCAAGCGTCCCCCGCTGCATACAAGTCCCCTATTTATCCTCCTGGGACTGAATATCTGCTATGTTATGCTAGTATGGCCTCCATCACCTACACTATTTAGAATCTAAGCAGCTAATTGCAAGCATAGTATCTCAATTGACCAGTGCGATCTGTGCCGTTCTTAGTGGATCGGTAACTGAAGCAGTCAAGGGTTTCTATAAGCTGAGAAAAGCTTATTTGACGTTGGATGGGATCATGGAAATTGAGTCGAACTACCTGAAGAAAAGGACTGGATCTAAAGACGGTTCCCTTGCTTCCCCAACCGTGCCTCTTGGTCATGCCCCGAGACAGGGTCTTGCGAATTCGCCTCCATCCAGCAGTCATGAAAACCAGTCCAAAATTACGAGTGAACTTGGTGCCAACGAGAAAACCAGTATCGAAATTCAAAATTATCCGAATGGAAGTGCTGGAAACGAGCCAAGGACTTCGGATCTTGAGTGCGATATTGAGAACCTATCTTTGCATAATCCCACTAGGGTCGAATCTAAGTTGCTGGATATCGATCCTGCTTCCGTTGGGATCACTTCCCATACAGATATTTTTATTCATTCTGGAACGAGGTTGTGTTACGGCATTCTGCTTGTGGTTTTTTCAATGATTGAGAATCCATTATTCAACAGGATTCTCTACATTGTTGGGTTTAAAGGGGACCGAGAGAGAGGAACGCGGTATCTTTGGCAAGCCGCCCGCTTCAACAACTTCAATAGCGCAATCGCTGGGATAACGCTGCTCGGGTATTATAATGGCCTCGTTGGATTTTGTGATATCCTGCCCACAGACCCTGGGGCAGACGACGATCTAGCTGGATACCCTAGAGCAAAGTGCAAGGTCCTGTTAACCGATATGCGCAAACGGTATCCTGATTCGAGGCTGTGGAAGATGGAAGAAGCTCGCATGCATGCCTATAACAGAAACCTTGCCGCTGCCGTCAAAATCCTAGCAGACAACTCTGATTCGAACATGAAGCAGATCGCGGTAATCAACATGTTTGAGATGTCTCTTACCACAATGTTTATCCACGATTACGAGCTTTGTGCAAGAAGCTGGATCCAGTGTTCTGAGTTGAGCTCTTGGTCGCCAACTCTATACGCCTATCTCGCTGGAGCTGCGTATGTTGAGATGTATAGAAATCTTCGGGAGAGCGATCCCACTACTGCAGCACAATACAAGGAAAAGGCCACGGAATACATTCGGAAAGGTCCACCCATGGCGGGGAGGCAGAAGGTTATGAGTAGGGATCTCCCTTTCGACACTTACATCGTCAGAAAAGTAGCGAAATGGGAAGAGCGAGTCAAGATGTGGCAGTTAGATCTTGTTGACGCTATCGGCGTGAGCCCGTTAGCCGAGATGATATTTTTTTGGGGCGGCCTAAAGAAACAGGACGCCGCTTTGTTGGAAAAGACTCTCGACATCTTGAAGTGGGAGAGAGTCAGCCATGCTGAGAAGTTCAAGGACGATTTAGATGAGACGGCCATTCATGCCGTAATTAACGCTGCCGTTCTGAGAAACCTGGAGAGACGCGACGAGGCGAGGGACTTCTTGACTGGCAAAATCTTGAACCATGACAGGTAAGCAAGCCATTTACCTCTCTCTATCCAACAAAAGCAAGAAGCTGATACCTCGCAGACATGAATTTAAAGGCCACCTGAAGGATGACTGGACTTGCCCTAATGCCCATTTTGAGATGGCATGTCTAGCCTGGAAGGAAAAAGATCTCGATGGTGCGGATCACGCAGCGAAGGTTAATGATTGCTTTGAGTGGCTGGAAAAGACTCAAAAGTGGGGAGAGGAATACGTTCTCAATTCGAGGATGTCCGTTAAAGTTTCGACCGCGTTAAATACGGTTAAGAGACACAAGAAGATTATGGGTATGTAGACTTAGAGTTCAAGATCGTGTTAATAGATGATTGCAATGTAAGAGCACCTTTCAATGCTTTGCGTACACAAACCTATGTCGAAATGTCCCACAAAAGACCGTGCATTCCGAAATCTGTTGCTCAAGGCTGAGAATTTGAATATAAAACATTTCGGGGGACAGTTGAATACCGGGCCTTGATGAGTGTACTAGAACCTCTTCTACATTGATATTGGCTGGAACTGCGTTGTACACAGAATAGTGGCAGCAGCTCTTACTAGACTTTTGAATATCTAAAGCTCCTGATATTCGCTCCACCTAACGAAACCCGCAGCTTGAATTAGACTTCAAGACCTGACGTTAAACATGCTCACTGAGCTCCTGGAGTAGCCTACAGTCTGCTCGGGATTACTGTAGTCAGGAGTGAACAATGTAGCATCCTCGCAATCGCTTCCAAGAGAAGTATTATTGAGCCATGCAGGTTCCCAATACATGACGCCTCTCCCAAGCCCAAATGGGACCTGTTGAACAATGCTGATAACATCATCAGTCCAAGTCGTTTGTCCAGCCACATCGTAAGAAATCTCCGGCTCGGAAGATGGTGGGATAGGATTATAGCGTCCCTCACATATTGCAGGGTAGTCGGTTTCTACCACTTGCACAGGCTTCCGGTACTCCTCAGCCAAGGCATTCAACGTCATTCTAAGATTATCGAATGTCGCTGATGTCCCATAAAAGGGGTAGAAAGAGAATCCAAACACATCCCAAGCAGTGATAGGTAAACCATTCTCGATCATGGCACCGAACCATCTTTGCTGAAGAGTCAGATTCCACCCATTGTCAATGTGGATCAGAACTTCTGGCTTGGCTACTCCGGCAAAGACTGCATCATCAACACCAGCCCTCGCTGCTTTCCACAGCGTGGCTAGATTCGAGAAGTTGGCAACGGTTTTGGGCCATGGTACCACGTCTACGTCGGCCTGACCCAGGGGCCAGAGCATTCCGTGACGAATCTCGTTTCCAAGCGCCACGAGATCGAGGTGGATTCCTGCTTCCTTGAAGGAGATAAGTGTATCTTTCACATACTCTCGAAGAGTAGAGGCAAGAGGTCCGAGTGTGGAGGGCCATGCTGCCGGTGGAGGTTGCTTCTGGGGATCTGCCCACGAGTCCCTATCTGACTGTTAGCTAAATAATTAAGTTCGAACGTTGGTAACTCACGAGAAATGAAAATCAAGATATATCTTATAGCCTTCATTTTGGAATCGTTTTGCGAGCTCGAGGTTATATTGTAAACCATATAACCCCCCAACTGGATTTACCCATATCCTTAGCCGGACGGTGTTCATACCGCCATCACCGAGAATAGCTTCAGCCCGTCTCGTTTCGTTGTATCGTGTAGTGTCTCTGTAGATACATCCCCCATCTTCTAACATCTTGAGGGAACTTAAGTCATGGCCTTTGAAGAAAAAAGGTTCTTCTCGGCTATTCGATATTAGCAATCACTCAGTCTGAGGATAAACGTAATGGCAATAAGAGACATACTTCGAAGGTTGTGTTGGAATGGCTCGAACTAGATGCAATGCCAACAACAATAAAATTTGGAGTCGCATATCCGAGGGAAATTTAAACTTGAAGAGGAAAGAAATTTTTCAGGATCTTCTGTGGGCAAAATATCATGGATCAAGAACGCCTGGGAGCAGCCTGGGGTTGTTATAGTAATTTAAAACCACTGTGATCCGGCAGGGGTAGATCTTCATGAGTTCACAGTGCTAACTTAGACTGGATCATGAAAATATTCCACCAATACAGGACGCTGACAAAGGCATGCAACCGGCCCCGCCGCGAACCGGAAATTCAATGTGGAGAAGTTGAACTCCCCGCATCTGCCCCGACAGTGGACGAAAATAATTGGTGCGGCAATGCGAGATGATGATCAATACTGGGGTTGCGCTTGCAGTTTTCAGAGCAGTTTTCAGGAAGCGAAAGGCATGGTAGCAAGCTTAATCGAACCTGCGTGCACGAGTAGGTTTCGATGAACAGATCAAACTTTATCTGGAGTGTAATAACCCTCTCACTCCCCTCGTGATCTGCTCAAGGACTCCTGGAAGAATGCCTTGTCGTTGCGAAACCACGAGCACGTGGCACCAAGAAGTAGGCCCCTGAGAAATCAAAATGAAGGTCGTTACCCGAAAGTCAAAGGGGTATGATTATTCCTACTTGCACTCGGCCGGATCGAGAAGGTATCCCAAACCCACACAACTCCAACCACAAAGTTCCCGGTTTCAACCTCCAGCAAAAAATGCAATGCAGACATGTGTATCCCAAGCAAAACGATCCAGCGACCCAAAATGCTCTCAACCAAGCGCGAAGCCCTATGCCAATGTGTCATCAAACACACAACGTAATCCATCCCAGTAACACAAGTTTCAAAAGAAAGGATGAACAGTCCGAAGACAACGACCACCACCTAGTTAGGTTCGGGCCAGAAATGAAAAGGGTGGGAAGAAGAAGAGTAACGAAAACCAAAATTAGAGCGACAGAGGTATATCGGTGTAGCGATGAAATGAATCCAGCCCATGAATGCTGTACTTTACAAGAACGGAGCGTAGCAAATTATAAATGAGATCCAACACAATAACAGTGACGCCAACTCCTCTACCTGGCGCAATGCAACCAGATACTTGCCGAACTGACAACTTATCCGTCTCTGGAGGTACATCGATTATTCTTGCTGTGCCGGTATGTGTGTGCACGACTCCTCAGGATGCGGACTCATCATTCCATTATGTTCGTAAGACGTAAGGATTTGGAATATTTCCATGACTGCCGTCATTGAGGCTGTCCAGCCCAGCCTCCCCAGTTGTTTCCGGATCCTGATGACTGCTGCCCTGCCCAGCCCTGGGTGCCTGGCTGAGGCCCGGAGGTGTTGGGCTGCATGAATTGTTGAGAGCCTTGATCGGGTTGGTAAAGCCCTCGCCCTTGTGTGGGATAGCCCTGACCCATTCCTTGCATGCCTGAATACTGCATGGTCTGTTGCATTTGGGGATTGCTGCCCGAATGGCGAAGTTGTGGTGGTTGTTGGTGTGGCGATTGCTGAATGTGAGGTGATTGCTGAGGTGCGTGGGTGCCGTAACCCGGGAAATGTTGTGGTGACTGTTGGGCCTGAGATGGAGGCCACATACTTTGCTGAGGAAACCCATAGGGATTTCCTCCTTGTTGAAGACTCCCTGCGCCAACGGCTAGGCCCGGAGATCTCCCCATTTGATCTGGTCTTATGGAACCTTGAGGGATTCCCCTCATCGGTGTTTGGGCAATGGGGGTTTGCTGGTGTGGAGCCTGCGAATAGCCTTGAGCAGTCATCATGTGTTGCGGTGTTTGCTGAGACATTGTTGATTGCTGAGCACTGCTCTGTGATGTCCGCGGGGACTGCATGGCCTGTGTTGACGGAAGCCCATCGTGCGTACCAGTTGGCTGAGGGGCAATATTGGATGGAGGTGCTTCACGGGGTTGTCTCCAATGGCGATCTAGGTATTCATTGCTTCGGGCGCGTTGCGAATTGACCTGTTTGTTGTATTCCGCGGCTTGATGTGCATGTGTCAGCAGCTCTGTCGTTGGGCTTGCTTGAGTACGATCCTGGTAGGCGGGACCTGTGATCTCCTGACGAGGGCGTTGAATATTGCTGTAGTCTCTCATACGCATATCGGGCTGCTCGGGTGCAAGGGTGATCATAGGAAGTTGGGTTGCACCTCCTGGTGCACCGATCATGCCTGGCTGGACCGTTTGCGGTTGAGGATGGACTCCAAAGTGCCCAGGGTTGTTACTGTAAACGATATCCCCGTGATGGCCCAGGGTTAATGAAGCAGTGGCACTAGCTTCCGCGGCGGCAGCATCTCTGGCTTTTGCAGCACCAGGCCGTTTCTCTCCTGCAAGGTCTTCCTCGGTGAATCCTTGCTTTCTAGCTTTGGTTTCCCAATAATCGTCGCGGACGCGCCTTCCGTTGATAATGACCCTGCTGCCAAATTGCCGGAACATCGACCTAGCCGTGACAATGGCAATTTGCCGGGAGCGGTAGGAAAACGGTAGGATTTCCTGGTGAATCAAATCCTCCTTCTCGGCTTGAGTCGCGATGATCTTGTACAACGACCTGTTCTTGTTAAACAGTAAATATGAATCTCGATATCCTAAGACCCTAGCACATTCCGTGGCTAGCATAAACAATTTGTCCCCTCTGTTTGGCACAAAGAATGTCCGGCATCTATATTCGCGTCCATCCAGAAGCTGACCGTTGGCTGTTACTTTCTTTTCTCCCGCTTCGTCATATTCTCTGGGGATGTATTCGTCTCCTTCCGGGCCTAACTGATCCGTTGTATGGTCCCTCACAGTGGGCAGTGCCTTAATTACGGTCTTGGTTGGGGTTGATTTGGGCGGGGATGTCTGGGTAGGAGTGACGTTGCTTATTTGAGACGGCAGAGCCGCAGTCTGCGACTGCGGGGTCTGGGGAGGAAGACTCTGAGATAACGGCATTGATGACTGAATTGGACTTTCCGGTACAGCTCCAGGAAGTCTTGATTTCATCGGTCGTCCTCGTTTTCTCGGCTTTGAGTCACCTAAAATGAGACATTATCAGCACAGTGACCAGAATCGGCACCCGCGCAGAGTAACACTTGGCTACAGGCGCATCGATGCCAGTAAATTGAGAGTGCCAGATCTCAACGAACGGCCACGTACCATCATCCCCTAAACCATCACCCGGCGCTAGGTCGCCGTATGTATCGGGAGAGCGACTGCGTTTGATGCCTCGAGGACTTGTTTCCGGAGTGATAATTGGGTTCGTCAAAGCTCCTGCTTCTTCCATGTCAGCGCTGATGACGGCAGCAGTTGATAAGCCATTTCCACAAGGACAGAACGCTCTCCTAGCAGTTGGAGGACTGGAATTGTGGAATTGTTCCAGCGAGCGAAATACGCGTTTTGCGATTGAGACCCACCTGAATTGAGCGCTGCTGGATTGATAGTGCCACCGTCCGTTACTCCAAGTCCGGCTGTCTGGGCCGAGTACATTGCCGCTGACGCTGACGGCGCGATGCAGCGACGTGAAGCACGTCAACGTCAAGTCTTCCGTCTTCCGTCTTCTGCAATGCTGGAAAGTGGCTTCTGCTTCAGCGCGTTTGCGCCCAGAAGCGCAGGATTGAAGGTTCAGCTCCTCACATATGCGATAGCCGAATCGATCGATGCGGGAGCGGATAAGAGCTGCGACCGGTGCGGCGACGAGGACGATTGGACTACCGGGGCGTCGAGGACCGTCCTAACTCACGACGAAGCTCGACGCTTCTTTGCGACGGTGCGAATCGTGGTTTCTGGCGACAGCTGCAAGTGCCCCCGCGAAGGCAAGCATGGACTGGAGTCTCTAGCGAGAAAGAGCCCCCTGCACAAGGACCGTGTGAGGATTTCTGGGGACGCAGATGTGCAGACCGCAGACCTTCCAGCCAGAGAGAGCGTCGACTTTGACGATAATGCGCGATTGGCACAGGGCGCAGAGGCAGAGCTGAGGCCGTACTTTCCTGGAAGCGGGGTGAAATGGTATAATAGGCTCAACATCCGAAAGCATGTCAGTGGCCAGGTATTGCGCTTCCCTTTCTAGCTGGTAGGCTGGTATGCGACTCTTGTTATGGATCTCGACAAATCGCCCGCCCAGCTCCACGCTGGACGCACACTGACAGCGGCGTCCCGTCTGTCTGGACGGCACGGGAATCTGTCGAGCACAAGCGCCGCTGCCCACAGCTGCAGCCTGCAGCCTGCAGCCTGCAGTCCGACGAAACCGTGTGCGAACGGCGGGCTTCGGAGGAGAGGACCTCGGCGGCCCGTATTTTGTTCGGGAAACAAGCTGAGGGACAGGAATGATGATGCTGCGAACTGGAACCGGTGAGATTCCGAGAGGCTAGGTCTTGGGCGCGTCCGGATCTATTTTTATCTGCGCGGATGGACCGGCTGTCAATAATGAAAGCTGTCTTCGTATGACTGTCTCGATGGGAGTCGCGTTTGCTGAGAGAACGATCGCTTGGGAGCAATGATGGACCATGGATGCCCGTGAGATCAGCCTGCGGACGACCCTGGTAGATACGGCGTGCTAGTGCGAAAGGGGGGCCGAAAGGGGCAATAAGTGCAGGATTGAGGCTGCCAATTTTCTGTTGCCTTCTTCATATGTCCGGCCCTCGGGAACGGAGCTCAGGGTTAATATTAATCAGGACAAGTCCATTCTTGAATCCTATGGCGAGGGAGGAGGAGAGACACGACCTCCCTGATCCAGGAGGGGGTCGACAAAGAAGGCAACGCGGGGCAGGCCGAGCAGCCGTGCCGGGGCTGGGAGTCGACGACTCGACCCGACCTCGACATCGACATCGACATCGACATCAACATCGATGTCTTTCGCGTCGCGCTAATCAGGCAGCCGTGCCGAGCGAATATCAGATCCAAGCTACGGCAGGCTACTCGGCGTCTGGGAGCTCGTATTGGTTGTGTGAGCAGTGAGCACCGCGAAGAGTCATCAAGAAGTGAAGGTAATGGGGGAGAAAAGGAGGGGCATCGCGCATGTGCCAGCTATTGGTGGGCCGCCGGGCCCCACCCGCGGCGCGTGGCGCGTGGCGGGGGACTTCTGTTCACTCCTGACTCCTCAGGTTATGATGGCAAAATCGAACCCATAGGAAGGCAATAATACACAGTATAAGGTCAGCCAGCGCTCGGGCACAGCACGAGTAATGGAGAAAAGAATCAGCCCCAATCGTGGCATGTACCGTCCATGTGATCGGACTCCAAGCGAAGGATTCCCTGCCTCTGGATTCTCTTCGGAGAATTGAGAGAGTTGGTTTCCAGGTTACTGCCCCATCGAAACTAACGCCCCCCGGACCTGTGCTGGGTTGGGCTAGGCCCGAGCCTCACAGCGTATCCTTCTGACTACATTCTTCAACTAGTTGCGCTAATTATCCATCCCGAAAATTGATCTTCTGAGCTGCGACCGCGAGGCGAGCTTGCCGGCACATCGCCGTTGAGGCCCCATGAGGGTGGCGCAGGTGCAGAAAACACTGACTCTATCGGCATCAGACTGACCAGGCCTGCCAGCCATCCAGACGGACATACAGACAGACGATTCGCACGGTGCACAAAGCTCACCACGCGGGAGAGCTTTGGCCCGACCCCATCCATGATGTCCACGGGCAGAGCCGCACCTTGCATTTGGGCCATGTGACAACCCCATGCAAGACATGGCGGCATTCTTTGGAAAATGGACCTTGTCGAGATGCTCCGATGAGGGTGTGCTGCAGATGGTCTGTCATTCGAGGCTTCGGTCTGCTCAACCAGATTCGCTGTGGTGGATTCGTCAACCCACGCTCCAGCATGCCAGCCCTCAGCGCCTACAGCTCTCCGTTGGCTTCATATGCAGAACATACGTCTGGCTTTGCATTGCTGGATGCTGGGGCGCTCTGCCACCCTCCACCTCTCCCTGCACCATCGAGGCAGCCGGCTTTCAACGAGTCAAAGCGCCCTTCTAGACCCCGGAATTTTAATCATGCCAATCGTGTGCGAGAACTTCCTTCAACATGCGACGGGAGATCTGCTGCACTCAAATTGTGTGTGGTTGTCTCGGGAATAAAACTAAGATGGTGTCTTCGTATGGAAGACCCCGAATACTTTCATAAGATACCCTCAATGAAAGACGCAGGAGAACGTCATGACTTGACTCTGATATCTATTTGCATACTTTTGCCTGACAGTATCACGCTCGAGCGGGTCCGTGGCGGCGGCAGGGAACGGTGCGCAATGAGACTATCTTGCCGATTACAAATCGGAGCCTTTCCTCGGCCACGATCGACCTCAATACTTCCAGATTCAGATTCATCCCAAAGGAAGCCCATACTCCGCAGCTTTTTATCCTTACAACACATGAAGCGTTCTAGATTTCCCAGGAACTTAAGCTCAGAAATGTTGCAGAGACAACTTGGCCACCGATAACATACAGGAGAATAAGGGTTATGTGCCAACAAACCAGTCTTGTATGATTGAGAACTATGCAGAAAGTGCGCTTGTCTAAGTTCGTCCAAGTGTCCGATCCTTCAAGAATTCACACTGAAATATGGAATTGAGGGTGGAACGAACAAGACAGACACTAGCAAATATGATTCTGGAACATGCATAATTTGGAGTGCTGTCACTTGACATTTATGTGTCTTGGATCGACGGTCAATCTTTCGATCTTCGTATTTTGGAAGCATAGGACCACGAGACTTTGGAAATGAAAGGAACCTCTTAGTTGTTGACTCAGCACAGAAGGCAAACATCGATGACTCTTTCTACTCCTGTCCGTTTTAGATAGTAGGTCACTCGACTCCTGCTGACGGTACGTTTGATCGTCTCCGGACTTCCAACACTGCCACGCAATCATAATTTGATAGTATTTCGAGCTTTCTGATATGATGCTCTGATGAATACTTCTCACTGGATTTTAAACAGACTCTTTTTAACACACCAAATGTCCTCTATTTGCAGGCGTACGAATCGGTGGAAGTAGCAAGAATTTGGGTATGAAATTCCCCTTGTGAATCTCCAACTCATATATAGGCGACAAAGAGGAAGACAAATGCGCCGACCGCAAAAAACTAAAAACTGCAGTCCCATGTCGCTCAGACTTGCCTTTACCACTTCATCATAGTATGTATAGGATTCCATCGGCATCCATAGCTACTCTCAGGTTACTACAATTGCAGAAACACACGAGAACAGCTCGGGTGAGCATCCGAAGGTACACATAACCACTCAGTAGTATCTGGGTATCATCATCGCAGTGGGGGTGCTTTTGAGATAAAATTAAGATATCAACGCTGTGCCTTTTGTATTACCCAGTTCCATCTTCGCCGTCCTTGCCCCAAATTGAATCTATTGGCTGTTAGTGAGATCATCCCAAGGGAAAAAGGAAGGCGTACTGCTCGCTTCTTCTCCTGCGCTACTGAATGCATTCCCAATTCGTATGCAAGTAAACGCAAAACCTTTTTTCCTGGCTCAAGATTTGGGATTTCTCGCTCGACCAGCACATTTGATTGGAAATCGCACTTTTGCCAGATTGGTAATTCTACTGCCCATTTGACCAATGCTTCGTCCAAATATGGAAACCGTACCTCTCGGCCCCAATGGGAGATGACGCGGTCGTCTCTGCCTAGATTTCTTTTTCCGAGCCTCTCAATGTCCAATTTGAGTTCGTCAAGAAGTCCCATGAAGCCTTGTCTCGCCCAGGCTGTAGCATGCCTGGTGTAGCCTCCGAACAGCTCGTCGGCGCCAAGCCCTGAGAGAAGGATCCTGGCAGGTGTATGGTAGGCGGTCGGCGTCGTATTAAAATTGGTCGAGGCTACTCCAGTCCCACGGGCAGCAAAATACAAGGCGTAAGCTATTGAGAGGTCCATTTCGGTGTTATGTGGATGGATGAGGTTGATGACATTGCTCCTATGAGCAGTAGTCTCTGTATAGGGGACATTGACCTGGCTGTCAGCTAGAGAATTAAATCCATATCGGCCACTTACTGCCACGAATCTCCAGCATCGACCTGGGCATACACTCTGTAACTCTTGAAAGGCTTTCCTGCCAGTCTCCCTATCTGGACAGCTTTCGAATGGAGACTGTCCACCCAAACATTCGCTGTCAACTGCTAACGAGGGGCAATTCGCGCCATTTCCACTTTTATAGACTTCGTTTCCGCCTTTCTTTGCCCTTGCTGAATCTTTGGCGGCTTTCATCACCCGTGGATTCTCGAAGGCAACATTTATCAGATCAATCTGCTCATCCAATGGTAATATATCGTGCGCCATGCGGGCCAACACGGTGCAGTCGAGTCCACCAGAGAAAAGTACAGCGACTCGTACTTGCTCTCCATCCGCTGATCCAGGTGGTAGGGGCACATTCAGAATTCGAATGTTGAGAGACTCACATAAATGACGGCGCAAATGCTGGACAGATTCACTTCGACGGTCGAGATATTGTCCTTGTGACGGATGAGCTTTATTGAACTTGCCCAAGCTCAATACCTGACATGAATCGTCAGTCACAAACTGCTCATGGACCCCAAATAAAGATCACGATCAAGCAAAGCAGTCTGAAGAGGGTACGTACAGCTCCTTCAGTAGCATGATCTTCCCATACGTGCCGGCATATCGATGCAAATGATATTGAAAGCAGATTATCGGTTGAATTTGAAGACTTTGATCTTTCACCACCTTCAAATGAAAGCTGATAGATGGCGTCGGCCTCCACCTCCTGCCAGAGATCCCTGCGGGGATCAGCCACGCTGGAGAAGTACAAGCAAGAAGAGGCGCTGTCATTCTTATAGAGAAGAGAGCGTCTTCCAAGACGGTCTCTGCCGAAATATATCTGGCCATGGATTTTGTCCACAAAAACAAAAGCGAAAGGCCCTGAAACGGTGTGCAAGATGTTGCAAATGGCAACAGCGGACTCTGTGACACTTTTTTGAGTAGAGCTTGCTCCCATCAGCAAATCAAAGAGACACTGGCCATCATTACCTATGATTGATTTTGATCCAATACTCCACGCTTCTCCGTTCCAACAAAAGACGGAACCGCTCGACGGATCTTTGAACGGCTGAGGAGTGACACGATCCCCTCTCAGAGCCAGGACGGTTGACATGGCTGAGATCCAGTAGGAAGATCCATTTTTGGTAGTGAGCTCCACGTGAGACTCTGCAGAATGGTCTGGGCCTCGCGAGCAGAGCAGATGCCGCAAGTCATCGCTCGGGCTTTTGAAGTGTTGAGTCGAGATGGAAATATGGATCCCACACATGTTGGGTTATTGGCCGCCCAAGGGCAAGCCGGAACTATGGTGCGATTTCCAAAGGTTGCGAATTTGGCGACTCTCTGAAAAATGTTATTCTTGACCTGCCCACGCTGACCAGTTGTTGTTTTTTTTTTTTTGGGCAGGGATCTCTCGCTTCAGCCTTTTCCGAGATGTCTCCCCGACGGGACGATCAGAAAAAGCGGCACCCATTTTCATACCTAGCCAGACTTAAAGGTTGTAGGAATTTCGAACTTTAGAATTTCCCGGATATTCGAAGAGATACACTTTCATGCACTAAAACCCCTGGGATATCTCAGGAGAAGAGTCCGGAATGGTCGAAGTTAACTTGGGACATTGAAAGTTCAGTGCCGCTTTTCTTGTCCTGTGCGAGGATCCATATTGTCGGGCGAGTCCCACCGTTGGTGTTTCTCAGAACGAGCCTCCGACAGCCCTCAACGACAACGGAGACGCCCCTAAGAATCCAGCGTCTCCCGATGATATTGTCAAGTTCAAGACGCTCGACACATTTGGCGCGTCTGGTTTTGCACGAAACATAAATCCGAACCGCGCTCATCGAGCTGTACCCCGCCAACATTAACAACCTCTACAACTCAACTACACGTCTCACGAGGCGCGGGTGCGTTGTATGTCTCCTCCGAGACAACCAACAGACACTATCGAATACTCAGATGAGCTTCCGGACGAGAAATCGAGGAACATAACTGGAGGAGCTGTTCGGCCACTGGGAGAGCCTCATCTAAGCTTGGGGCAGCTGAAAGATGGTCAAATTCGTGGTGTTGAGAATGCTCTAATACCTTCCCGCGACCAAGACAAGATGGATGACCTGCAATCTGCTATTGACAGTAAAAAGACTGCTGTGGAAGTTGATGATGGGGAGCCTCGAGAAGTTGGGAAGGCGGCTGTAGACACGACAAGCACGACGATGGAACATGAGACACCAGGTCATGATGTTATGGAATCTTCAACGGCGACATTGGTGCCAGATGCCACACAATCTGCGAAATCAAGTACAGGGCAAATACTGAGTCCCGAGGACCAGAGGTACTTGGATCCTACTCCAAAGACTCCCCTCCCATCACAACCACCATCCCGGTCTCCCTCCAGTGCCGCATCCATACCACATTATTCTCGTTCGACAGAAGCACCAGAAAGATCCCCAACCAGGTCAGACTCGGGGTTTGATGAGAAGGCGTCTGCGAGCGAGGATGAGCGAGAGACCAGTTCAAGGTCCGAAATACAAAGCATAATGGAGCAATTCAGTGAAGGGGGCCATGGGCCGGGCCACGAGGAAGTTATGTCGCCTAGGCTGGAGTTTGCTGGGCCCCTTCTCTCGAGTCCTATCCAACATCCTCCGAGGAAATCTAGCCTCGAGCCTCTAAATGCAAGTAACACAAGCATTTCTCAGAGCATTCAGGATTTGCGAGTTTCGTCGAGTACTTCGTTGAACGCTCAATCGCTGGATTATTCAGATGTCGGTCCCCTTGTTCCACCAAAGCCAGGTTCAATTCGTAGCTTTGGACAGCCAAATGATCGGTATCAACACTCAGACTCTCCCATGTCACCACCACTTCACAGACCCCCACCCCCAGAGCCGGAACCCGAACCTGATCTCCCTTTCGACTTCCATCGATTTCTGGAACAACTCAGGCACAAAACAGCTGACCCAGTAGCAAAGTACCTACGGTCATTTCTCGCAGAATTTGGCAAGAAGCAATGGATGGTTCATGAGCAGGTGAAGATTATTGGGGATTTCTTGGCTTTCATAACGGACAAAATGGCACAATGCGAAGTCTGGCGTGAGGTTTCTGACGCAGAGTTCGACAATGCTCGTGAGGGCATGGAGAAATTAGTTATGAATCGACTATATACACAGACATTTTCCCCTGCAATACCTCCTCCTCAGCCTATTCCTGGGACTAGGCCGAGGCGGAGAGGAGCAGAACGTCCGATGGGCCCTGGGAGGAGAGGTCAACATCAGGAAGATGTTGAACGGGACGAAGTTCTAGCGCAGAAAGTCAGCATATATGGTTGGATCAAAGAAGAACACTTAGACATTCCTGCAGTGGGCGACAGTGGCAAACGTTTCTTAGTTCTGGCTCAACAAGGTATGCCCTTCTTTAATTCATTGAGAATTCTCGAAGCTAATCCTAGGTAGAACTCCTCAAAATCAAGACATACAGAGCACCTCGAGATAAAATCATTTGCGTTTTAAATTGCTGCAAGGTCATATTTGGTAAGGACTCTTTCGTTTTTTGTCTGCATACAGCGCTAATATCTTGGCCTAGGTCTGCTCAAGCATTCTAAAGCTGATTCGTCTGCGGACTCCTTTATGCCCCTGCTGATTTATGTCGTCCTCCAAGCCAACCCCGAGCACTTGGTTTCAAATGTGCAATACATCCTGCGATTTAGAAATCAGGAGAAGCTTGGTGGAGAAGCTGGATACTACCTTTCATCTCTGGTACGTTACGTAACACCATTTTCCATCAAATGGCTGCCTTTGCTGACTTCTCCAAGTTGGGAGCTGTTCAATTTATTGAGAACTTGGACCGAACCACTTTGACTATCTCTGACGAAGATTTTGAGCGAAATGTCGAACGGGCAGTATCCGCCATTGCCGAAAAGCACCAGGCAGAGACTGCAGAACTCCCTCTTCCGAACCAACTGTCCGAAAAGTCGATTTCTAGCAGGCCTGAGGTGACTCCTCGGCATTCGATGGAAGGAGAGCCTTCGGCGGCACGAAAATCAACCTCTTCAAACGAAAATGACAGTAGTGATGGGCTTGACGAAAAGGCTGCAATGGGTGGCCTGCTTCGAACAATTCAGCGACCCTTGTCTTCAATCGGTCGCATATTCTCTGAGGAGCCCGGCACCTCGCAATCAGGCCCAGCGAGAACACCTTTGCCTGGTAACACGCCCCGTCTGAGTCCAGCTCCGCGAGTAAGTTCGGACAATCCACAAGTCCAGCAGCGCACAACTTCCCAAGATGCGAGCGTTCGAAATCGGATGAGTGCAGAAGATGCAGCTGCAAGACAAGCGAGCGCCGAGACAGCGGAAGCTCATCGAATCCAACGCGCAGAGCATTCGAATGTTGTCGAGACTCTGGCTGGTATGTTTCCGGATTTGGATAGAGAGATAATCAGCGATGTTGTAACTCAGAAAGACGGAAGGTTGGTTACTTTTGCCTCGCTGCCAGGATCCAAACTAACTTACTATAGGGTTGGTCTCGCAGTAGACGCGTGCCTCGCTCTCAGCTCGTAATGGTTTCTCTTGAGATTTGACATATGCAGGAAATACATAATATTCTTGGGAGCAGGCCGTGCAAGAAGACAAAGCTTTAGCATTTGATTTGAGCGTAGCATGGCGTTTCGTTGATATCCCATAGCCTCTTCATATGATTGCGAAAGAAGCACTCCAGCATAGAGATACGATCGGAGGATAAATTACATAGTAGTGGTAATTATTAGTCAAATGAGACGAGTACTCAAATCAAGCTTGCAAAGCAGATCGAGTTGTTGAGGGGCATTGGAAAGAAATATGGCTAATCCTCGGTCGGCTAACCTCCGAGTGACGAGCGCATTTAACAATTTAAATGTTTCGGAAGAGAATATCTTCTAGCAATCCACCAGATTCGCTGCCGATCCGATCGCAATATTTGCTATTAAGAATACCTCTTGAGCTATGGCAAAGAAGAAGAACAAGAGCCAGAATGCTGCTGAGCCCCCAGACAATCCAATTCCTCCCAGTTCTTCTGCATCAACTTCAACAAAGACGAAGGACACAAAGACAACACAGCCATCGACATCGGCTCTCATAATCTGTCGAAATAAGTGCGCTCCTCAATCTACCCATCATGTCCTCTTCTCTATATGATCTTGTCTTCCCAAAGCAAGTGTGTTCAAGATGTTGATCTGTTGATGTTGAACATTGCCTCTTTGAGGCGCATTGCGAAAACTGGGCAAACCTTTGGCTCAATTCTGCTTGCTAACGAAGATAATGTTATAGGCATTGGCGATACATCTCGTCCTTCCACGGGCCATGGCTACAATTACCCCCAGAGGTCCTTGAAAGCCTTGCACATAACAATTACAATCTGCCTCGACCTCGACCCATTGACCCCGCAGTCTTCTTCGACCTCCTCAAGATTCGACAACTCGTCGACGAAGCTACCAATCTTGCCGTACGCGCAGCGAGTGGTGTCACATCGTCTACTCTTACAAATTCCCTAAATGCTGGTAACGGACTGTTGGGCAATGGCGGGGCAGCACTGGGACTCGGACTCGGCGGAGGGGGTGGCAATGCCAAACTGAGCAGAGAACGAAAACACCGCATGAGGGAGCAGGCCACTCAGAAGCTTTCGAAGGCATATCACTTGGATGAGATTGCGTGTAGCGTTGCAACCATGCAGTCGGCATCGACGTTGGAGGACGTCGCCCAACTCGTTTTGCAGAGAAATCCGCTCGATGCAGATGCGAAATACGTGCACTTCTTCCATGAAAAGATACCTTCACGCCAACTTGCTGAGTGTACGAGCTTGCAACCACTTGACGAAGTCATTGCGGAACGCCCAAGTGAAGGTGAAATCTTGAGGACCCGTGCGGTTACGAAGATATTCAAGGACGATTTCGTTGGTGCAGCACAAGATCTTACAGCAGCACTACAAGTATGTAGATATTTTCAGAGTCAGCACAAAGCAGGAAGACAACAACTCCAGTTGGCAAGTGAGGCGTTTGCTGAAGCACAACATAACGGCAGATGGAAGGAGGAAATCAAGTTGGATGAAGAGGATCACCCAAGCAGTCTTGAAACCCAACTTCTATTCCACCGAGCTGGTGTCTACCTGACGATTGCTTGCCAACATGTCAATGAAGCTCTCCCGCCCAAAACCTCCCCCAATGGAGCGAATGATGTGAAGGCTGAGCGTGTGAATGGCATTTCAGAGTCCCAACCTGAGGAAGTCGAGAGGACTCCGGCCGAAAAAGAATCAAATCGCATATGTCTTGAGGCGCGTAAAGCCGTCAAGACAAATGCAAAGAGAGCTCTGAGGGATTACGTTGCCTATCTATCACATTTCGACTACACCCCTGGTCTACCAGCGGAGATCACAGAGGAATTTGTCCGCAAAGTAAATCAAGCAGCGAACGGATTCAAGATCCCCAGGCCACAGAACCATAGCAGAAGCCTTGACTTGGAGAGCAACTCCTCTCTGAGCAACGGCCAGCTCTCTGATGCTCTTGTGCCGCAGAATGGACTTCACAGTAGCCGTAACCGCCAACATTCTGGGACAGCTCGTTCTGAACTCCCAAGCCTTCCACCTCCAGTCGTCTATCAAATCTCAGCATTGTTCTCAGCAACTCCTCCAGCTGATCTTCCTGCATACCCGGAAACTGCGACTGCGCTTACTACCAAACAGCAACTGCCGACGACACAATCCGAGGCCGCAAAGGCTATTCTAGCGCAGACAGACTGTCACGAAGCATTAACCTACCACCCACTTCTTACAGATGCCCTTCATTCTTTGCTTCTTTGTCATTGCCTTGTCCAAACCTCGTCACGCGAATTGCAGCGCCACGCACACATGGTAGCGAGACTGGCTCGAGTATGCGACGGCTATCCTATTTTCCAAGCTGCACGTTCGCCTAGCCGTGCTGATTGGATAGAAGTTGTCCGTCGTGGCGATAATTGGATACAGCTGCAACAGTCTTGGGAGTCTCTTTGTGCTCCAGCTCCCCTCCCTGGCCAAGTGTCACCAAACCCGCAGAAGGAAACACCTGCCGAGAAGAAGGAGCGCCTCAAACAGCAGGCTATAATGGAGGCTTTAGAGGATGACCGAGTCCACGATGAGGCCAGTTTCCATGCCGCGGTTGCAGCCAGACAGCGTCGCCAGGAAGAAGAAGCCCGAAAAGCTGATGGCAAAGAAATGCCGAAACGTTGGGCTCAGGAGGATGGGAAAGAATACCCTATCAGTACTGAGAGAGCAGCAGCAATTGTGCGTTGGGTCAGAGAAGCCCCCATTGGTGGTGAAGCTGCTGGGCCTCGTAAGAAGAAGAGGGCCGGAGCCAAAGGCAAAGGCAAGGCCAAATCTAGCGTAGAGGACTCGATGTCGGGGTTGAACGTTGATGATTCTAATGACTTCGAACCCGTCGAGGAAGAAGTCGATTGAGCCGCAACATAGGGGAGAACAAAGTGTCCGGGTAAAGCAACCAATCAATGATTGTTCAAGCAAGATCTGCAAATAGTTTATGTAGAGTGCTTCCTGCATGTCACCCCGCCCTTATGTTGACATCACACTCAACTTCAGGGCGTAAATGGAGATCATGTCGCCGATTTTGAAGTATTTCTCCATCAAGTGATCGACGTCGAATGCTAACTGCAGCACCCCGCTCTGACAATCCCTGTATGTATTGTAAGGCCACGCTCCTCTGACGTTGATGCAGTAGAAGGATTTTCGTTTAAAAGACAGTCACTTCCAGAAAATAGTTGTTCATTTGCTGCGTTATATCATTCCGGTCTTCAACACCATTTAAAATCTTTAGGACTCAATTTACATTGCGATCATGGGGAACGTGTGGGACGAACGCCCAGCAAAGCTCACTGGCTTCAAGCTATTGTCATTTGACGTCTACTCTACATTAATTGACGAGAAAGGTATCTAAATTGCATCGCACGTCCACCTGCCTTTCTCCTCAGTAACCATGATTGAGGTGCTACAAGCTCTTCACAAGATTCAATTGTCCCCTTTTCTTCTACTGCATTTCATTTGAAGTCCCCTCAAATTCTAAACACTTCCAGCTGGCATGTTCACAGGCCTCCGACCCCTCCTCTCACGCCTCCCAACACCAAATCCCTACATCAACGATAAAGTCCATACCCTGTCCGCCTTCCAGGCCTTTGAATGGTCCATCCAACGCTCCCGGCCCACTCTCCGGTACAACGAGCTCCTCCCTCTCGCCTACAAAGCCTTCGCCGCCTCTCTATCCCTCCCCGAGCCCTCAGAGCAAGAAGCCCACGATTTCGGATCCCAAATCGGCAGCTGGCCCGCCTTCCCGGACACCGTGCCCGCTCTCAAAGCACTGAAGAAGCACTACAAGCTCGTCATCCTCAGCAATATCGACAACGATTCCATTGCACGGACGATTGCTGGTCCATTGGCCGATGTGGAATTCGAGGCTGTGTTCACAGCTCAAGAGATTGGGAGTTATAAGCCTGACTTGAAGAACTTTCGATACCTAGTTGAGGGGGTGAAGAGGGAATTGAATGTGGAAAAGGGGGAGATTTTGCATACGGCGCAGAGTCTGACTGCTGACCTTGTTTCAGCGAAGACCATGGGACTGACTAGTATCTGGATCGACAGGGAGAAGCAAGAAAAGAAGATGCAAGAGCTCAAAGAGCAGCTTAATTTCACCTGGCGGTTTGGGACAATGGGAGAAATGGCTGAGGCTGTCGACAAGGAGTTTCAGGAAATGAAGTCAGGATAAGAAATTTTTGGTATAATTCATGAACGTTCTGACGTCTATCGAGTTCGTAGTCAATGCTTGACTTGCACTTGAAAATCAGATCTGTCCGCCCAGATGGTTTGTCGAACCACATGCTGGATTTATGCTTCGCAGCAGCTTCTTTTTACCGTTCTCCCAAAGCGCCAACCCCTCCCAAAATCGTTCCAACGCGCAGCCCACCAAGCTGATTTTGGCATCGTTATTCGAAGATTTCTCCTCATGCCATGACGGCATGGCTCCAAGTTACCACTAGACGTAAGCCTTCTTTGACTAGCCAGAATTGTTCCGGCTTCCTTGGACTTGTTGCTGTTGTATTATTCTTGTGGCCAGAATCTGGCCAAAAGGTTAAATTCGATCGGCGAAGGATACTTATCAAAGCTTTATGGAAGATTCGTACCCGCTATTCGTAAGATTCATAAAATTATCAATCTCCGTCAAGCCATCCGTCTCAAGACTCTGCAGCAGGTCGAGCTGCTGCTGCTGACTGAGCGATCCGTTTCTCATTTCAGTGTCAAAATTCCCGTCTCCATACAAATGCGAGCCAAAGGAATAAGCTCCAGTCTGCATGAAATAGGACGGATCCGCTATGGCAGGCTGTGGCACGGGTGCTGCTGCTGGTGCAGATATTTGAGACTGTGATGTCCCTGAAATCATCGGATTCCAAGCATTGGGGAGAGTGCTAGGCTGGGTGAACTCTGGTGGGAAATAGCTAAACCGACGGTCCGTTTGCATGCTTGATGGACTTGCGAATATGGAGTTTGATCGGAAAGATGGCTGAGGCGGTCCGTAGTCAAAATTTGACATGGGTTCAGGCATTTGATCGAAAACATATCCGAATTGAGGCGGCGGCGAGTGAAACGTCTTCTGGGAAAATGCAAGCGAGCCGGTGGTTGCACTGGAGTGTTCGGACGCCGAAGGGGAATTAGCGTCCGTGAGAGACGATGGTGAGTTGGCTGAGAGTGATGACGGTGGATGAGAGCTGTCTCTCACATCATACGCCTTCAAACAAGCCTTTGCAAGCTTTGAATAGAGCTCAGAAGCAGCCGAAGTCCCAGGCCAGCGTTCCCGACACTTGACAATAATATCAAGCGCAATTTCAATATTCTCCTCGAGCTCTTCCTTGCTATGCAGAGCGCGGATTTCGGGATAAGAAATCGACCAGAGGATGGTATTCACGGCCTGGAAAAGGGTCAAGACGAAAATCCACGTGATATCAACCATTGCAGTCTCCATTTGCTTGCTGAGGCCTTTAATGTTGGTAGATGAAGCATCATAGCACATCCTTGCCGATCGTACTGAGGGTTTGGGGACCTGAGGTGAAGGGCGAAGGAGAGTCACAATCATAGTATTGCATCTTCCGGCAAACCTAGTCAGGCCGTTAGCAATCCCTGTTGTCATAGGAGGGCAAACACACCATGGCGGGGCCCATGCAGGGCTCTGGGGACAAGCGCTGAGCCAATCCTGGATTTTCTGCTCCATCTGCGCATACCAGGGATGGTCTTCGCTTTTTGGCTCCGACCGTTTCTTTTGGTACAGAACGCGCCGTATCTCTGCCTGCAACAACCTCATTCGAAGAAAATGGATGGCCACTGTCTTCTTTTCAGAGACGGGCCCAGGCAGTATACCTTCCTCTGTAATGTACTCGTCATCTATTGGCTCAAAAAAGCCAACATCGACATGGTCTTGACCGGTAGCGAAGGCATTCGGACGTCCCATACTGTGTGCGAGACCAAATTCCATAGACAGGATAATCCAGGAAAGCCGCCGTCTCATGTCTAATTGAAGAGGGTTGACCATTCCTAAAGGTTGGGTAATGGTCTTTTCTTCGGTCAAGCCTAGTTGTTGGCATAGTCTCGTTGCAAGGCCAACAACATAGTAGATGGCAGTTCGTGTGGGAGTCAACAGAGAATATTGTGCAACTAAAACCAGACACTGGAGGGTCTTTAGGTCCTTAGGCCGTATCACGTCTTCCATGTACGCCATAGCAGCCAGGTAGTAGCTATCTGCCAAGCCTGCGTACTGAGGGTCCAGCTTCTGCATGCTAATTGCTAACATCATGCGTACCACGAAGTTCTGATAAGGATCGGTGCTCCCGTCGTAGACTTCTTGCATATCTTTGAGGAATGAGGGCTCATGTAAGGTAGGCATTAGATACTGGGCTGGATATTTGTTAATAATGCCCATCAGAGATACGTGCTCGTAGAAAAGGGGTTGGTGGGGGTGGCAAAATCTCGCACTGGATTTACCTTTTTGATTGAACACCTCCACCAATTTGTCCGATACTAGTCTGCTGGGCAAATTCTGTGCCGGAACGGCACTGATCATAGGATATGATTTTTTGCGCCCAGTAGATGATTCTGGAGACTGAACAGGAGTTCGACGTTTGCGGACCTCGGGCACGAGTTCCCGAATAGTCCTCGAATCCGTGTATTTTTTCGCTTCTTCCATGACCAGCCTTGTCATGGCAATACCACTCGAAGGGCCTAAAAACCGCGGCGTCTCGTCGTCCTCGTTTAGACGGACCAGGCCACCGGGCCGGACGATATCTTCTGTGTTTTGAGGGAACCCCTCCTCTTCGGTGTATTGGCTAAGTTCCGCCTCCAATGCCCGCACTTTGTCTTGAAGTCGGATCACATAAGTCCGGGATATCTTCTTGCCCTTTGACGTGTCAAAGTACTCGCAGATTGCTCCGGCTCTCTCGCAAGGCAAACACCGCGGAAGATTTGGGTCGCATCTTGTCTTTCTCTACGAATCATTAGTACGGGAGTGGCAAGCAGAGCGGTCAGGAAGAGCATTGCGAACCTGTCGACACCGACAGCATGCCGTCAGCGTGTGTGCTATTCGGGGTGAGTGGTCGTCACTCTCATGGCTACTCTCTCGGACGCGAAAAGACTTGGCTTCTCGAGCCCGGTTGACAGAGCTCTGCGCCTGTCGGAATAAGTCTGCCGCATCCATGGACAGTGTTTATGCGCCCCTTGAGGAGCGGGAGCGTGGGAACGATAAGGCGCACAAACTCGAGGCCGTCACCATTATCGAATGCAGTCTCAGGTATTAATGGTCTATGTCCGCTGAAACCTTGTTCATAGAGCAGTAGGCTGGGGGGAAGAGGCAGGAATCGACACTCGGGCAATGTGATCGCGGGGAAGCAGAAGGCTCTGGATGCGGGTCAAGAATGCATTTCTGAGCGCTTGTCCAGAAGAGTCTGGCAGGGACCTTGAGACGGAGATGGCGATGGAGATGGTGATGGAGATGGAGATGCAGATGCAGATGCAGATGGAGATGGAGATGGAGATGGAGATGGAGATGGAGCTGGAGATGGGGCTGGAGCTGGAATATGGAGAATTTGTGCGACCTAGGGTCCAGGTTGCAGCGGCGGTTGGGAAGGCGCCTCGCTGATGCCTCTGCACTTCACCAGCGCAAATCCGATTTGGATTGATTCGATTAACAGCGAGTAGCCAGCGAGACCAGAACTTCGGCAGCCAAAAGTTCAGAGGCAAACAATGGTAGTCGCCTTGGTAAGAGACAAAGACAAAGACAAAGACAAAGGAGCTCGAATGTGCGGAGGGACGCGGGATTGAGATGGCGATTGCGATTGCGATTGCGACTCTAACCAGAACTGCCACTGCCACTGCTCTGTCCTGCCGTAGCCTGCCCTCTCCGGTCGCTTCGTGGATCCACAAAAACACTTCCGCCAAAGGAGAATATCCCTGCTTATCGGGCTCCTCTCACGGTCACGGGATCTTCGCCTCACGACCAAATGCTTTGCGCCTTCTCAATCCCTTCTTCTGTAAGCACATATCCCGCGCAGACTCGGCTTCTGCGGTGGCTATCGATAAGGAGGCTCTGACGACCCAGTATTTCGCCAAAACTTCTAGAAGCCGTCGATTGGGAGTATGTAGACACACACAGCAGCCCGGCACCGAATCAATTCGCAGCCTCGCCATCGTCGAGGCCGGATACCAAAATTCAACCGTGTGGGAAGACAAGCAGGTCGGAGTAGGACAGACTAGAGCATTGATCCGGTGAGTTCCAAGTCACACCTCGTCTACTCGTCTCTCTCGGGGTTACATCGCCGGCCGTTCTTTGCTTTGCCGCTCCGAGTATCCCAAGTCCTGAAATAAGTCTCAGCGCCTTCTAGAGAATGCGAAATGCTTTTGGTGACTCCATGACCGTCAAGGCGCTCGCCTGACCACTGTCTCCTCTCGTACTCCCAGTACTTGTTCCAGCCGTCAAGTTGGCTAAACTTGTATACAAGACTAACGCAACCTTCAGAATCTTCTCACCAGGGAAGATGGGAATTGTGGAGTTGATACAGCTTTAAGGACCACTCGACCCTGGGGTCCAGTGACAATACAACACAATGACCCGCTCAGGCCCAAGTGCCGCTGATACGCCACTCTTGAGGGTGTCGAGACCCGTTTCTGCCTGTTCCAGATGTAAGCATAAAACTTCATCCCCATGGACCTCATGATCAAAGCCTCATTGTGTGAATAGGTCGAGCTGCGAAAATAAAGGTTTGATTGACTCGCTTCCTTGATACCAGGACCTGAGGCCTAACTTGAAAAAGTGTGATGGCAAGTTGCCAGCTTGTACTGCATGTGAAAAATCAGGCCGAGCTGGTGAATGTTCTAGTGCCAATGACCAGTTTGCGAAGGGAAAGGAGAGGAGGTTGGTATACAATCCCGAGCGCTGTCACCGTGCTCATTTACTCCAGTTATGTTGCCTCCCTTGAATCCCGTGTCGAAAAACTCGAGAAAAGACTCGCCTACGCCAGATCTCGAAAGGCTTCCGTGGCAATGCATGACGGGGAAGAGCCCGTGGAAGCTCCCGATCGCAAAGATTCCCTTGCGACGATTCGCGCCGCAATTCATGGGAAGGCTGCCAGACGAAGAGAGGCGGCAGACGTCAATGAGCTTGTGTCCGACTTTGGCTTCCTGTTAGTGCTTTATATGTGCACTTTTTCATACTGCAAACTAACGTGCACAGCTCGGTCAATGCCACCACTCGTGATTTTGAGTCCTCTACCACTAACATGACCTTCGCGCGTCTCATTCTGGCTGCCGCAAACAATGAGCCAGTGCCCAAGTCGAAGCCTTTCCAACTCCCTTCGAGACCAGCCGCGATGGCTCTGGTCCAGTATTATCTTGATAATGTTTTTGCACTATTTCCCGTCTTTTCCGAAACTGCTTTATTCAACGCTCTTGATGCAGTTTATCAAGAAAACGGCCGTCCTGTAACGGACTTTGAGCACTGGCTGTTGTATATGGTTCTTGCGATCGGGGCCACTGGCCAATCTCGAAGCAATCAAGATCCATTTTATGCTGATGGCGTCCTCTGGGTCGGTCGTGCTTTGCGTTATGCTGATCGAGTTCTCATGCCGGGCTACGTTTCTCAAATACAGGCATTGATCTTGCTTGTTCAATACTCGATGCTGGACCCTGCTCATTTCGACAGTTGGCAACTGATTGGCTTTGCTTGTCGCGCTGTGGTGGATCTTGGATTTCATCAAGATCCTCCGAAGGAGCAGCAGACAGACAAGAAAACGCTTGAACTACGCCGTAGAATATTCTATTGCGTCTATTCTCTCGACAGGCAAGTTTTCCATTTGAGCTGTAAAGGCAAGAGCTCATCAGGAACAGGTCTATTAGCATGGTTCACGCCAGATCTTTCTCATTCACGGACGATTCGACGAGTGTGGCTTTCCCATCAGCACCAACTTTGGCTTCCTCTGCAGCATCAACAAACTTAGTGACTGGGCCTCATTCTATTGACACTGCTCTGCTTCTATTCCAGTTGCGGCAAGCTCAATCCTCGTGGTACCAGGAACTGTTTCAGTCGAGTCGAGATCCTCTGCAAAACTCCTCGACGTACATTTGGCAAATGTGTCAAGAGATGCGCGAATGGTCCGAGTCTTTTCCGGATAGTTTACCCCTGGCATTCAAGGAGTTCTTTGATCTTGAGCTTCTGTATAGCTATGTTTACTGCCTTGCACCATCCTGCAGGGTCCAAGCTGTGACCACGTATGGGAAGACCTTGATCTTCGAATACAGCATAGCATATATGCAAAAGACATTCCCTATCAGCAGAGACCCCATCAACACCGCCTTTTACACTTATCACGACGCACTACGGGTATTCTTCGTTGGCAGCCAGTTTCTTGCAGTTCTTTCCGAGAATCAAGATGACCTTCTGAATGGGATTGTGCCTTATACCCCCACCCTCGCTGGTGCCCCACCGCCACCTCCTCTGCCCAGTAATGCCGGGGTTGATAATATTGATAGGAGTATCAATTGCGTTACTCATATCAGAGAGACACTGAAGACGTTTGGTCATCGTTGGGACGACTCAAAAGCCCTCCTGTCGAGTTTTGAGACTCCATCCGAAAATTTGCTTACCTCTTTACGCCATCGAAAGCGCAGCATCGAGGAGCTTTCTCGCAACAGCCACAGCCCCCCAAATCACATGTCACAGCTAAGCTATGATCCAAATACTATGAGATCTGCGTTCGCGAATCCAGGAGCGTTACAGGGAGGACATCCGGGATATTAGACATTTCCTATAGTTCTATTCTTGTCAGTAGAGCAAACCAATATTTATAACGGTAACATGCAATCAATACATTCGTTGACTACGGTGGGCAGTTCTTTCCTGTTCAGATTGAAGACCTTGTTTTGACTGCTGGCGGCGCTCCTTCCCTTGATACTCCAGCCAACTACCAGTTTTCTCCCATCCTCGCTCTTTGATTGTTTCAACACCACAACCGCAGCTTACAACAGAGCATTCTTCGCCTTATCAATTGGAGCGGGTGATGTCCCATCGAGGATTTATCATTAGGATCATCTCCGAGCTTGGGCTCATCTTCACACGACGACCGAGCCTATTCTTCTCTGTAACCAAGCCTTTTCAAATCTCCGACTTTCTGGAAGAGCAGAACACCAAGTGCAGTGGTGTCAAGGACCTGGTAAGCAATGCACAACACTCTCTATGTCTGGTGAACTAATAATTACAACAGACTTGCCGCAACGATGAACTACCATCATGGCCATCCCGGAAGAACTGTCGTAAAAGCCACCTCATTCATCCTGAAATGGACATTAACGACCCTTCTTATCCTCACCATTGGCCTTACAACAATCCCAGCCTCTACAAACCTTGTGCAACGCGAGGAGGCTATTCTCAGACATCACGAGACAATTCATCACTTGGACGCTGGACCCACATCGAGACCGTTGACAAAGGCTATGAAAGTCCTACTTCACCACTTGCCCGCTCGACGTTCTGAACGTGTCGATCACGATAATACTCATGGCTTGACCGTGGAGACGGATGATGTACAAGAGGCAAAAGAACACCATGAGGCTTCCCACGGTCTTATCAGCCATGACCGAGAAAGCCTTGTTCATTCTGAGGGGAAGTGTACTTGTCCGCCACCTTTCCGCAACCAGAGATGTCGCTGTCCTCCGGGAGCCCAGCGTATTCAAATGAGGAAGGTAGCAGAGAATGTGGCCGTGTCCGATTTTAGACCATCGGATCATTCTCCGAATCTGGCAGACTATCAATTAAACGAAAGGGATGTCAAAGATGGTACTCCCTCTAATCTCGAAATAGAACACCATAAGACTTCCCACGATGCCATTGGCCATGACAATACAGGCCATCTCTATTCTACTATAGAGTGTTTCTACAAGTCCACAGGGAGATGGAAATTGGAGAACGCACGTACAAATATTGCTTACAATGGCCATAAGGGTATGATCGAAGGGACTGTGAAGAGCAGCACTCTGCATAGAAAGCCAGGCGACCCATCGGATTTTGGCTCCGATATTGAGGCCCATGAGCGCGAAAGGCTCGATGGACCTTCCAAGTTCTGTAAATGTGGCCCACACAACCGGAAATGCCGCTGTTATCACAATAAGGATCCTTCGGTTGAGCGCAGTCAAGTGAAGAAGGAGACAGAAAAGGTTGCCATCGATGCCATGTCTCATTTCAGATCTTCGGATCCCTCGTCAAAGCTGCCTGAGAGAGGAAATCTATCTCAATTCCAAAGCAAGGGCAGTCAAATCAATCCTGAAACTTCTTTATCTTCTACTTCTTCGTCTGAGAGAGAGCATGAACATCACTCTCAAAGCACGAACAGCCAAACCAATTCCAAACCTTCTTCAACTTCTAGGCCGTCGAAGTCCTCGCCAGACTGGCACACGATAGAATATAACTTTGCCGTACAATCAAAAGGAACGGAGGTCGAACACGGCACTCACTCCAACTTCGAAAACGACAAAGAAAAAGACGACCTCGGAAGGGTGAAACAAGATCCTAGATCTACCTCCTGCCATTGCAATGGAGCGAGTCCAGGTTGTGGCTGTGGCGAATTCCTTCAACTCGGCCACCTTCAAGCAAAGAAGAAGAGACAACACTTTGCGCAGTGTCGCTGTGATGTATGTACCGGTAGAAGCTGGATTGCCCACAGATTGTGTTATGGCCGCTGGTCCAGAGATCTTGCGCACTGTCAAAATTTCCTTGAAGATCACGCTACGTTCAATGAGAAATGCAGCTGCAACCCGAAAAACGCCACAGGTGGCTGTGGCATTCAACGACCTCACATAGTGATTCATGAAGGAGAACCTGATCTGACAACAGATCTGGCCAAGGCCTCTGGTGTGAAAGCTGAGGAGAGCGGTGACTTCAACAACCCTGAGCACAATGTCAACGAGAAAGTCTGGCGCGAACGATGGTCAGGGAGCTTCGATGCAAGAGCTTCACAGAACATGCATCTTGATCCTCTTCCAGCAGATTCTATTATCACTCCAAAGCGAGATGTAACAACCCAACTGTGTGGCGAGAGATGGTGGCTTCGACGACCGAACTGTCGTCCAAGATCCGTCCATACATCCAAAGCCGAAGAAGTCTACAATGACAAATTCTACACCTCTGGGCACAATGATGAGAATATCATTCAGTCTAAACAGCAGGTGGACGGGTTGGATCTGAGCACACCCGATTCCATCATTGCTAAAGATGATACCTGCCACAAACTGTGGCGGGTGAACACGGGTTGTCTGCCGAAGCATAGGGCGAAACTCGGGACAGCTGCTAAGCATAGCCACCATCTTTCTCGCCGGAGCAACACTCTCTTAGAGTCCATCAATGAAGCAAGGTGTCAGGACAAACTTGGAAGAGCAAAAGAAAAATGCGAAGAGAATAATAGGATTGGATTCTGGGTGGTTTGTTCAATATTGGCTGTGGCTGGTATTTGTGGCCTGCTGTTGGGGATTATCATCCTCCATATCCATCTCAGGCGCAAGCGACCAAGTCAGCTCCTCATCAATAATAGATCTGGGTATAAGAGTGGCGCGTCAACTCCGGCAACCTCTGTCAGTGAGATGCCAATTTCCAAGGTCGGAAGACCAGCATCGGTGATGCGACGAATAGATGAAGACGAGAACGTTGAAACCAGTAGCGTTCGTCGCTATACAACCCTCGATGGCGCGAATGACGGTTGGACCAGCTGGATTCGTAAGCAAACAGGTCGTGCGAAGGTCAGTCAAACGTGATCATGAACTTTGCCCGTCGATCTTCTCCAGTGAGCAGTAGGTAGCTGATGAGTTACGTCAGATGTCCCAACAAGGCCGCTTTTCCCCAACGCCAGCGACTCGGCCCCCCCGAATTCCCACTCTCAGACTCCCACGGACAGCTTTGGCAACCATGCGGAAAGTCAATGGCCTCGATTCTGAGTGTGAGAGTGCGAGTGCGAGTCAGGGATACCATACACGGAAGGCTAAAGGAAAGGATACGACGAGAGTTAACTGGTGTTCTACCGTCTGAAGGGTAGGGAGTGACTGGTACAAGCTATGGTTTCATTAACAAGTAGTGTTACTCGCGGTGTGTGGAAGAAAGATCTTGTGATGTGTGCTAGTGTGGATGGTAGAGTATTATTGGGGCTGTTATGACTTTATCGGCTTTCTGATTGTTGTTTGATGCTCGTGAGCAGGCACGTGGTTATCAAGAGAGGCCTTTCACTACTCGTGACTTTTATTACTGACAGGAAAATCATTACCACCAAACTCTCCGACTGCTCTTGTGAACCGCTTGTATTCCGATTCCGCTGCATTATTCCATGATTTCTTTGAGATTATGGGGGTGATTGATCCAATGCTGGCGTTTTACTACGTGCTTTACATAATCGCCTCCGCTATTCTCGAGAGAAATTTTACAATGGAAAGCCTTAGGGTAAAGAACATCGCCCCGTGTGCCTACAAATTCGAGCTCCGAACGACGCATTGATCTCTTCGGGGGACAGCCTTCTTGGTTCTGGATATAATAGAGAAAGCGAATGGAAGAATCGTAAGAAAAATGAAGAAGTTTGACACAGATAAAGAAATCCAAGTTTCTTCTTATTAGACTGGGAGACTTGGGAGACTTGGGAGACCAAAGTTCACGATTTTCATTGAATACGTCGGCATTTTGCCCAAAATGAAACCACAACGATTGCAGCAATAGGCCTACGAGACCCCGTCTTCATCCAATTTAGGTTACCAATTCCGCCATTCCATTAAAACGCCCTCACGAATACCGGAGCTCCATGACAGCCACTTCAGGGTACCGTCTTTCAGGGGTTTCCTGTTTTCCAACCCGGAATGCCGATATAACAGCTTCTAGAGCCAAGTTCGGATTCCGCAGTAATTCGTAGCCACTTATAGAGTTGAGTAGCGAGGGCCCAGCATAATTTCGAGAGCCTAGAAGAAGCTCCCCGTCTACTTCTTCCCCATTGAATGGTACCTTGCGCCCCTTCACGCAGATCAATTGCTTGAGATGGGGGAAGGTCCGGGCGAATTTCTGAATGCTCCAGTTCCCTCTCCAAGTAGCAAATGGGCTGTACGCTAAGTCTCGTCGCCAGAGGTATTCTGCTAAAGCAATATTCTGGATCTGGTCGCGAGGTTCAAGCAAATTACTCTGCTTGTCGAAATACCGCACCATATATTCGATCTCGTCATCGTATTGCTCAGAGCCGAAGTAGAGGATGTCGTCAACTGCGTTAAAGTAGGTGCCCGGCGGGTGCTTATCGGTGCCAAAGGAGAAGTGATAGTAACACAATCCTACAGCCCGAGATTCCTGAGAGGTATGTAGAATAGCCGGCAGTTTCTGGAAAGAGAAAAACTTGCGGTCAACTATGCAGTACTGCAACTCTAGAAGGCGCTGAGTCGTTGCTGCATACCCCCAAATCTTCAGGCGGAGTTCCGTTGGCAGTTCAGGGAATTTGGTGAACTGTGAGAGCGGAGCTGGGGCCAAGATTGTTGAGTCTGATTCAGTCATGCTGGTTTTGGTGGATAAGGGATGGAACTATAAAATTCAGTAATCTGATTTGTCCCATGAATATTGTGCTGCCCTTACCAGGTTCGTACGGCAAATGTAGTAAACTAGTGGTCGGCTTGGCCGAATTCAGCAACAGGACGTGCGATGAGTTGCTGGGTTGCAGCAAGCTTTCTCGAGATAACAGGGCTATTCGATGTACTTCGGTTCGCGTATAATGATTGGTTTGAAGATAAATAATCCCGAGCCCTGTCGGATTGCTGTACAATCTCAGAAACCGACGAAGAGAGAGGTTCAGCCGCCTCGACGTTCAGGCACGGACAATGACCAAGAACGCTGTAGTACAAGTGGCATTCAGCGAGAGCATGACTCTCACACAGGCCCTGATAGACGGTAAATTTTCCTAAATTTTGAAGTGACTTTAGATAAATTTGACAAGTCGTGACATTTAATAAGCACCAGTCGTCGTCTTGGCACCCAGAAAACTCGCTTGCCTTATTTAAACGACAGCTCATCCCAGCCCAATCAACACCCCCTCCAACTCCGTCTTTCTTCCATATTCTGTCTCACGTGACAAATCTTTCCTTCGCCTTCTTCCCATGCGAGAGCATCTGTTCTTAGGCTGGCCATGTGGCGCATGAGAGCATGGTCAGTTTTATGCTCTACGAAGTCGTCGTTTGCTGACTTCCTCTCTAGGAGAAAGAAGAATATTTCCGTCGGCTCTACGCATTAGGCGACAGTTCTGACGGAGAGGTAGATGCCAATGATACCCGAGATGTCATTAAGCAAAAAGCGGTCACGGCATCGTCTGCTCAATCTTCCTCAGAAGCTGTTCAGCAAAGACGAGGCCAGCAATTCAGAACTGGAAAGAAGGTACCGTCGATTCATCGAACCACCTCGGCTCCAGTATCTAGTATGGTGAAAGAAACACCTCCTCTTCCAAGAAAATCTTCATTACTTCGCTATGACATCTCAACCCCAGAGATAAATAATTCCTCTTTTCCAAACGCTGCACCTCCAGAAGGCGAGCTGGCGAAAGCAAAACCCGAACCTGCACGCAGCGCGTCGACACCAAATATCGGGACGATTGTGATGAAGAATAGCACTGGTATCGACTCCATGCTCAACAAAAAGAGGAAGAGAAAAGACTCCTCAGTCAAACTCGTCCCTGAGAATGATCGAATCCTGGCTGGCAAGACGTTCTTCTACATTCCTCCTGATGACATAGCTCCTTTACGACGTGCTCGTATTACTAAGGCCAAAAATTTTGGCGCAATATGGACGAAAGAGGTGAGCACATTCTCTCTTTGCTTTTTTGCTTTTCTTCTTGCCAATGCAAAATCCCTTTTCACCTTTCCATGAGGTATTTGACATTCCGTTTGGATAATTTGCAAATTCTCCATTTTGCTGTACTGATCAATTTATAGTGGATTCCAAGTATTACGCACGTTGTTGTTGACAAAGCACTCACCTACTCAGACGTCATGAAGTTTTTGAAACCCATGATTAACGCCGATACCCTACCACCAAACGTTATCCTTGTCAACGAAGACTACCCAATCGAGTGCACTCAATACATCGCAATTCTGGATGCGACCCAGAGACAATATATTGTGAGCGGGTGCGGTGCTGCCGCCGAAAAGTCTGCCGTTGTAGGAGAAAACTCACAGAAGTCTGATACGTCTCTCCAAGTCAAGCCAAGCAAATCCAGAAAATGGGATGAACCCCCGGAGAAGCAGACTCCGCCTCGAAGTCAATCTCAATCGCAACGGATTCCGCCCAACGAAGACACGCTTTCTCCAGGAGTGTGGCTTGTGCCAAAGGGATCTGAATTTGTGCAAAGTCCCAAACAGACCCCAACCCTGGTCAGTGACTCTTCCAGGGGCTCAATGGAATCTGCAGACCTCCATCCACTTGGCTCGCTTTCTGGCCTTTGTGGCGCTCTAGAGCAAGCCATTGAAGAGGCAAAGAAATATCAGCATCTCCCGTTAGACGATGATGAGGATGAAAATCTCGATAGGCCTTCGTCAAGTGAAGGTGACACCCCCGAAGATTCGGATGACTCCGAAAGAGATAGATCTCCAATCCGAAAACCGAAACGCAAATACAAAAAGAAGGAGGTGGCAAACCAGGAGAACTTTTCTTGTATGCAAGGTGGCACAGGATTTGCTGTGGAGGACAATCCCAATGGCGTTACGATCTCGATCTTGCAAGAAATGGCCGATTATTACGAACGCGTCAGAGACAAATGGCGATCAGTGTCTTATAGAAAGGCAATTGGCACACTGAAGAAGCAGACTCGAAAAATCACCTCTTACGACGAGGCAATCGAGCTACAGTGGATTGGCCATAGGATTGCAAAGAAAGTCGAGGAGATTGCAGCTACGAACCGACTCCGCAGACTTGACAACATCAAACTGGAACCTAACGATCTCATTCTGCAGACTTTTATGAAAGTTTATGGGGCTGCTGTTAGTCAAGCATCTAAATGGATACAGGCTGGCTACAAGACTCTCGATGATCTCCGAGCTCATGCTAAATTGACCGAAAAACAGCAGATCGGTCTGGATCATTATGACGACTTCGAAACACTGATCCCGCGAGAGGAAGTGACCGCACTCGGTGAAATTGTCAAGAAGGCAGTAGCTGCAATCGATCCGGAGGTACAAGCAATTATTGGGGGCAGCTATCGCCGAGGAGCAGCAACCTCAGGAGACATCGATTTCATTTTGACCAAGCCTGGAACAACATCCAGTCATCAACTGCTACCATTCTTGAGTGAACTTGTCCATCGGCTCACCCAAGAAGGATTCCTCGTTGCCGCCCTCGCTGAGCCTCGTACTGGGGAGGGATCAAAGTGGCATGGAGCTTGTGTCTTGCCCGGAAACCCCGTCTGGAGAAGAATTGATTTCCTTGTTGTGGCAGAAGTCGAATACGGGGCAGCTCTGATATACTTCACTGGCGATGATATCTTCAACCGAAGCATGAGACTGCTCGCCGGCACAAAAGGCATGAGGTTGAATCAGAGAGGTCTGTACAAGGACGTTGTGAGAGGCCCAGGTCGGGTCAAACTTACTGCCGGAGCTCTGGTTGAGGGTGCCGATGAGAGGAAGATCTTTGAGATTCTGAAAGTTCCATGGCGACCGCCTGAGCAAAGAATCTGTCACTGAACGACAGGAGTGTATTCGCATATGGTACTTCTGAGTTAGGTAACGGCATGGTAGCGGGACGGGAATGGATTTGATACCCCAGGAACTATGAGCGCCTCTTCTTCTGTGTGAAAGAACTCCCTTTTCTTCTTTGTGTGAATTTCCCAGCTTCCTAAAGTTAATTTTGATCTTTCTCCACTATATTAATCCATCGAGCCACACAACGATTCGTTCAACCATTCTCCTATAGTATCGGCTGCGGCTCTCTCTGCATGATCCTGTTTGACGTTGTACCCTTCCCACCCCATCTTGATAAATCGACTTCAACAATATCAACCTGCTTAAACAGCAATTTTTGATATACGGGAAAACCTGCTTCGGTTGCTTCAATGTAGGACATCTTCCCTCCCCTATCGGCGATCTGGAGAACTTGCTTCAACAACTTACTCGCCAGCCCTCTCCTCTGATACGCAGGATCCGTGGCTAGCAGTTGCACATCTATACATGTGAGCCACTTCTGATTCCGGATCTCGAGAGACTACATAAACTCACAATAGGTCTCAGAATCGTTACAATAATATTCCTTCAACTGCCCCAACGTCCCAAACTTCACATTTATAACATCGAGATTCGCCCCTTTCGGCCAAAAGCTCTTATCCTTCACCTTCTGCTCCTTCTCCGCCTTCCGCTTCTCACTCTCCTCTTCACTCAGCACATGGGGGAAGGCGCAACGCATCCAAGCTGCCAGACTGCCGGTGTGCGTTTCTGTGATTTTGAAGAAGTGTACTTCGGGCTTCTCGAAGAAGGAGGCGATGAATTGAGACATCCAGCGGCGTAATTCGGCCTCCCCGATCATCTCGCGGGGCATGGTGATATTGCTGAGAGGGTCGTTGGCGAAGGCGGAGAGATTTAATTCTACCATGGCGGGAATGTCGGCGGGAGTGCAGGTGGAGAGGATGAAGTTTTCTGGAGCCATTTTGAAGGTAATGTGTGAGATGTGAAGTGTGTCAGGGAGTGGGTGAGATGTCTAGTGTATAATATGAGTGAATATGAATGCGAATTTGAGATGAGACGAGACGAGTGAGCTGGTGAGATGTGAAGTGTGGAAACAAGAAGAGAAGCTGAGGCGAATCTGGCTTTGAGATGATGGAAATGGTGACGAGTTAAATTTGAACTTGTCCTTTATATACATGCTACTTGCTCAGTGTATCCTCATCTGAAATGCGTGAACCCCGAACAGAACTCCATTGGGGGTGAGTCAAGCTTCGCACTGTCTCGTAGCGCGATGACGGCGAGTTGGAAGTGGAAGCTGCATGCAGTGGCCCCACAGCTTGACGGGAGGCAGGTCGTTGATTTAAGGCTGCGGAATCTGTCAACGGTATTTTTTGTTTAGCTCAACGGCGTTGACTCCTTCATCGGAGCTCGGAGCAGGAGCTGCCGAAGCGAGGATTCAAGGCTGAAATGCCGAGGCGGACTGATGGAAAATTTCTCGGTAAACAAAGAATACGTTCTTTGGAAAATTGGAACAGCCACGCCGTCTATTCTGGACATCACTGTGTTGTACTCTTTGGAGCTGGATTTCCCTGGCCGCTTTCACGAGATGAGCTTATTTTCTCATTCTGTTAAGGTTTCTATTGCTGACATTTTACGTCGGACGCAATTTCAGGCTAACCTCATAACCGAGGATTCAGGGGAACATCGCCTCAGCAGAGTCGAAGTTGAACCCCTGTCTAAAAGGGTTCGTCGGTGTCAGAGAGTGAGTTTTTTTCTCTACGATCTCTATCTCAGTCCCTTCATAGGAGGATAGCCAGAGAGGCTTCAGGTCTCTTAATCAACCGATGCATCTTATCTTTCCCTTTCGTGTTGGCATTTGTTTTCAGTGACGGCTTGCCAAGCCGGAGGCATCTCTTGGCCATAATCCATGGAGAGCGCCGTGCCTGGGAGGAAACTCTCCACCCCAAGTCCCTGACGCGATGTCAGAATGACAACGCGCAGGAGTGCAATGTGCATGCATTGAGGAAAATCATTCAACCCCCTCGTCTCCCGGAATCACATCCTTTCATGCCTGGCGAAGAAACCCTGCTATCGATACGGTAAGGTTACTGTAGAATATGCCATTATCGATTAGGGGAAAAGGGCAGGACGACGGGTTGGCGGACAGGAGTTGGTGTGGACGCCGACACCGACGCCTCCGGGTAGGGGCCACTCAGAAGCCCTAGAGCGGCCGGACTAGATAGCGGCGTTCTCGAGGGAAGCTCCGCCAGGTGCTGCTCAGCAGCCAGTGCACCGGTTGCGGCGTCAATCTCGGACGGGCGATGATCATTGGACGACAGCTCTTAGCGAAGGATTCCTTGGCTCACTAGCTGGCACCCTTCTCATGTACCCTGCAGCCTCCCCTGCACCTGCACCCGTCTTGCACCACTGCACCTCGAAAGTCCCGCAATTACTCCCTGAACGCAGAACACCATCACCCAGAAACTATGAATTTATCACGAGTCGAGCGCATCGTGGCCTCCCGAATCCACGCTCCTTAAACCACACGAGCATCAATTGCTCCCACTGTCCTTCCTGCTCTGCTCTGCTCGGCTCGGCGCGACTACACTCCCTCCACTCGACGGCGCTTGCTCAGCCATCGCGGCCAGCCACTCAACACTTGTACTTTTTTCTCTGGCTAGCTAACTGTCCTGGTGTACCGGCTGCGGGCACACACCAGTTCCACAACCCCAATTCCGCCTGCGCTCCATATCAACAACAAAGGGCCACTCCCTAGACTGTGCACTGGAAGGAAGCATGCATGTGCAAATGCAAACAACGACCATGGCCTACCACTCGCTCCCAGCGCTGCCTGCATCGCCGACATTAACGAACCCTGATATGATTCTGCCATACGGAGAATATGATTCTACGCCCTCTCCTCCCCAGCACCCCTATCGGCCACCTTCGCCCGGCGACGATTGGGGAGGATCAAGGTCTGGAGACATGCAATTCTCCATTGGACCCTCACACGCGATGGGACCTCTCACACCGACTACGCCAATAATTTATGGAAATGGGACAATGCTATCAGATATTGGAGAAGTGACGGAGGCTGAGAGTACGCCGGGACGAAAACTGCCTGGTCCAGCAGAGAGAAGGATGCGCAAGCAGGCACAGAATGCCCCGATACGATCCAGCCCAACAATTCCGTATGATGCTGTTTTGAGACGCGTGAAGAGCGGAATACACGAGAGAAAAGTTTCGATGGAATCGACTAGCACAATAACATCTGAGGGACAATCGGCAGAACTTTTCAAGGATTTCGATGATGGAGTCAGTGTCGATGACAGTGTTTTCCAAGGAGACGATGAGGAGAGCGTCGCAGACTCTTACAGCGAGGAAGTCATTGCGTCAGAGACGCAGCGGCTTGCAAGGAACGAACCCCATCTTGACAGAGAGGAAGATCGAAATTCCAGTGCTGCTTTGAGTAGGAGAGCGGAGCAGATTTTACTGAACGCGAAGAAGCGCCTGAATGTAAGAGGCCTGATTTCAGACGAGTTCGTATTGGCTGACCCTCATCTAGAACATGGAAGGTAATCTCACCCGAGCTCGAAGCTCCTTGTACATTACGCCTTCTGGCTCGATGTCTTCGATTCACAGCAGCAGTCCTTTGTCACGCTCGACCCCGTCTCCCCCACACAACGATCGGCGAATTGTCTCCGCGCTTGGAGTGTCTCCTGCAAAACACTGGCAACTACACAAACCCTCTGACAGTCCGAATGGGAGTCCAGGGCACTCGAGGGTATACAGCGAGAACTCGATATCGTCAACATTAAGAACAGCACCATTCCCGGTCCGCTCAGCAAGCGCAGCAGCACGATACATGAGCAAAGGGGATGGGGGTCAGCCGTCCCCCCCTATGCCACATAGCCCCGACACGGTCCGAGAAGATTTCCGAACCTCATCCCGAGGCGGCTATACAACCGCTCTGAGCAAGTCCTCCCCACCACATGGTGCACCACTTGAGCCACTGAGTGAAGATGAGGCTGTTCCAGAGTTCGAAGTGGATCCGGCAAGCCAAAGGTCCAGCCTGGACGGATATTTGAGCCCAAATGGCGAACATCGGGTTTTGACTAGGTCCACATCTTCGATGCAGATGCGTGATCTACGGGATCAGATGCAAGATCTCAAGGGAAGGTTATCAGTTTTGAGGGACCGTGCCCGGGACGATACCATGAAACGCCGAAGCTTGCAAAGCTTAAGAACACCAAGCCCTTTCACCGCGGCTGAACACTGGTACGCAACCTCAAAGAATTACGGCGAGCAACCAAGTGCAGATGCTGGGCTTGCACATCCTCCATTGAAGGATGAAACCAGTGAGGATGTTCAAGCACAGAAGGAGCTGGGCAACGAAGGAGTACCGAAACAGGTGCCCGAGTACGCCAGTTCTGATGTTACAAGTGTTTATGAAGATGTCGTTGAGAGTCACCATGCCACAGATGGCTTGGATGGCATTCATGAAGCGACTATTGAAGAGGAGAGAGAAGGTTATGATACCGCTTTAGAAGAAGACGAGGCGGGAGCTGTTGATGACATTGACAACGATTACAACGACGAAATGGTAAATCGGGAGGAGGCTGACGATTATGAGAGCGATGCGTCACTCTATCATGATTCATTAGCTACTCCGATTTCGCATGAAGATCGGGAGGATGCTTTCGATTATGAGCATTTCTTCCTCCACAGTGCAATGGGCACCATCAGTCAGCAAAGACTTGGCCGGAGAGACAGTGTTGGAAGCTTCAGCTCAGAAGATTCTGTAGAAACCACTCGTGGGCCCAGTGCCCCTCTCACCAATCAACAGAGCGAGACAGCCGGGCCAGAGAGGGTGGGTCTGGGACATTTCAGATCCGAAAGCACTGATTCCGTTTCAACCATGGCTACCTTTGCCACAGCGAATGAAGGTCGTGGATCGGACAGCGGGAACGAGGAAGAACAAGATACCTTCGCGGTTCAACAAGGAGATGTTCCACTTCGGTCGACTACGCCTGTCACTGCGAAGCGTTCAACATTTGGCACACCCGTCAAAAATGGCATCGTGAACGACGTACAGTCACCACCGCAGCAGAGACGTCGATCTGCTTCTGCAAGTACCGACCAAGAACAGAGATATAGCAGCACCGTGCATCGACCATCAGTTGCCTCTTTTGATTCCTTCGAGTCTGTTGGCACCGTTCGTAGCTTCCCATTGGTCAACAAGCCCAAATCCCAGCAAAATCTAAACAACTCTTCGAATCAAGACCCACGAGAAGCTGGATCGCTTCTGAGTGACTCTGTCGCTCTGGCTGAGGCCGCTGGGGATCGTCTGCAACCCTCACCTGTACATATGCTCGCGAAGGAGGACCAGATTCTGGTGGAGCGGCTTGTCGCCAGTCTCGGCAAGTGCGTGTTGGGCTTGCAGGAAGCTGGGCGAGCAAGCTACGAAGGCAGAGTCTGGAGACGACGGCTCGATGCTGCGAGGAGAGTTCTTGAGGGGCAGGAAGGAGCAGTTTAGGCCTCCATGCCAACGACATTATCTTTTCTTCTGTGAATTATATTTCCTTTGTGGAACGGTTTGGCGTCTTTAGGGGCATTAGCTGCTCTCTGCGTTTTGACAGGGCGTATTTGGCTTTGGAGCTAGACTGCTTCTTGATACCCAATTTGCTTCGGAGCCTGATTTTTAGTGCTACTACGGCAGGAGGAAACGATATGAGGTTTACGTGGTTTGATGATGAGTGTTCAGCGCGTCGGTGATTGGTCGTCGGTGATTGGTATGAGGTTGCTATGAGTAAAGGCTAACAATGACATTTGGGAGTAAGATATTAGTTTCTAATCTAATATGTATCAAATTTTGACATGTCCGTGTCGATGGTGTCAATTGCGGGCTTTTATGATTCAAAATTACGCGCTCAAGAGGAGGATGTCTTCTCCGTCCCCGATGTCCCAAATTCGCCGAAAAGATTTGACAATAAAAGAGGAAGGCGGACAATTAGGGTTGTTTTGAAAGTCTGATAATTCATGGCAGAAAGCCACTTTCTCTATAGGATCTGTGTCCCTCATGAGTCTATCGACGGCGAAACAAGTATCGTCGGCAAGTCCTTAACGTCAACATGCTCTTGCGTCGCTAGATCTACGACTCTCACACACTCAATCCCAACAATACCCGCCTTCAGCGCCATGAATTTCAGCTCCACTTCATAACAAGCCGATGGAGCCAGAGGACCAACCCGAGTATCCGTGCTCAAACACACAATCTCAGTAGAGTCAATTGCGGAGTTCCGTTGCATGGCATAAACGATATTCTCGTCAACAACGGCATCTGCAACTTTAGGATCTCTTCTTGAGCCTCCGTAGCTGGTTGATGGTGGTCGTGTTATTCGTGCTTCGGTTCGTCGGCGCTTGGGGATTACCATGAGTGCTAGCTTCCTGGGGCGGTCGGAGCGGTTGACGATGAAGACGGACCAGGTGAAGGGGATGCCGGGGTAGATCGGGCTGCTGGTGGGTGGAGCAGTAAAAGTCATGGTTACCCCGAAGTCCGGGATTGAGGGGTTTCGCTGGTGACCGGTTGTGACGTCTATGCTTGGAAGTGCGTCGGGTCGGCTTACAGCTAGGGAGGAAACTGTAGGAGTGGTTTCGAGGACGGAGCCTATGGAGAGTTGTGCAGGTCGATGTGGTCGTTGGATAGGTTGGGTTGGGTGACCGAAACCTGGATTCACAGGAGGGGTGAAATCAAGAGAAGTCGTCCAGAACATCGAGAGTTCAGGTTGGCAGGTTTCAGACAAGTTTGCTGTAGCTAAGACAGATATTTCCAGTGTCCGAATCTGGGACTTATTCGTAGCGTCAAGATCATCTGGTTCCAGCCGGTATAGAAATGTGATGTCATCTTGAGGGAGGGAAGTAATTGGTAGTATCATTCCAGACACGCGGTTGAGATCTTCAACAGTGCCTCCAATAATCTTCACCTCCGCCTTCTTGAGCATGACTTCACAATTTGCAAATGGGGTTATATCAACGTCGAGAGACACAATAACAGAAGGATTCGTTGGTGAACTGTTTGGTCGAGAGTAGCGTACACGTGCATTCATCGCCGGATAGACCTTGATCGACCTCCGGGAGATGTTCTTCAGAGGCCTCATCAGCTCACTCGCTGTCTGAGTTGCTGGGGCCACCCGGGATACTCTCAGCGCAGAGAGACGTGGCTTGATCCCGCCCATTGCAGGATCATCACCAAAAGCCTGCAGTGAGTCGAGTCAGTGTGTAATGCAACGACACAGCCGATAATTGAGCCTCAAAGTTGAAAGAGGGAGGGATGTTGAGAAGTATTAAATTTCAAACTAATCGACTACAAGGCTGAAAAGGGAACATGACTTCGGGAAATCGCATACCTCTAGTAAATTAACCCCAGAAGGCACCTGGGTCGGGAGATATTCTTCCTCCAATGTAGCATCTTGAATCTGCTCAGTAGGCTTCAGATTCGCCGTAGCAGCGAACACGACTGAAGGATTTTGCAAACGTAGGCGAGGCCTTACAAGAAAAGCTGCCAACTTCCATACCACTAGGATGTGGCCTTCTCCGGAGGACTGATCGGTGTCATCAGGGCCTTGTACAATTATTAATGGATCCTCACTGTCTTGGACGGAACCATTGAAAATGGTCTCCTGTCCTGGAGGGCCCTCGTGGCTTTCCAGCTGCGAATTAACCACTTGTGCTTCGAGATTGATGACGAGTCTCCCAAGATATGATCTGAGAGTTCTTTCGTCGAAATATGGGGTTTGTAATACGATGTAGACATTGACGGTTTCATCTAGGATCTGTGAATAAGTAAGACAGAGGGTTTCAGCAGTGATATGGAATACTAACCAAAGAAAAGTGCCTGCCTCTGCGGAATTGGCGCTAGAGGCGAGGCATGGCCATTATCCAGGCGTTCGAATGAGCCACGCAAAACGTCCTCGATGTTGAGAGCGTTGGCGAACGGGATGATTGTGTCTAATACCGATGTCTCTACAAACTCAAGACTTCCACGAGGTTGGGCTTCCTCAGCCTCTAGCTCTTGCATCATTGTGTCCAAATTTCAGAGAATAATCAAGAACTAGTGGTGAAGGCGGACCTTGAACAGCAACAGGTCAGGGGAAGGGTTGGTGCCCGTTGTGCGAGAATTTCGGCATTTGGATGTAGGAAGCAGATATCTAGCTCATGATTCATATTCTGAGCTTGAGCATAGCAAATACGGGTGATGTCTGTAATTGGCCAATCTGGAACGATTGCAACGTGAAGCTTGACGTTGGAGGTTTATCGCACATCCGCAAGCTAGTCCTGATTGGGCGAGCTTCAAAATCTCCAGCTTTATTTTCTTTGCATCAACACCGGCCTCTTCTCCACCCATCCATCCTTGAATTTACACCCACGCTCACCATGAACGGCATCAACGGCCTTAACGGCCACGCGGCCCTGCCTGATCTCTGGCAGGAGGCACGAAATAGCGATGGTCGCGTGTACTACTTCAACACAATCACGAAGGCGACGCAGTGGACCAAGCCAGAGGACTTGATGACACCTGCAGAGGTAAGTGCGCATGCTCTTCTGAGTACATATGGCTACTGACATTGCTTTTAGCGTGCTCTTGCATCCCAGCCATGGAAGGAGTACACTGCAGAGGGCGGAAGAAAGTATTGGTACAATACTGAGACAAAGCAAAGCTCGTGGGAGATGCCCGATGTCTACAAGCAGGCTCTATCTAAGGAAGCACCTGCCCAGATACCAGTCGCGCCGTAAGCAGCTACCTGATTTCCACTCTGCAGTGGGATTTATGCTGACTTTTCACAGAGCTCCAACCTTTGTTGCCGGAGGCGGATTTTCGTCTTCTCAATTTGACCAACCACGAGATAGGGAACCACTGGGCGAAGCGCGTCAAATCGCGTATGGCAATGATGTTAATGGATCCCGTGCGCAAGTATTCGTGCCTGCAAATACCGACCCTGATTATGCTACCTTCGAAGAAGCTGAGGCAGCCTTCCTCAAGCTCCTCCGTCGCAATAATATCGATCCAAATTGGACCTGGGAACAGACGATGCGATCTATCATCAAGGATCCTCAATACCGAGCGCTTAAAGATCCCAAGGATCGGAAGGCGGCTTTCGAGAAATATGCCCTGGAAGTGCGCCTGCAGGAGAAGGATCGCGCGAAAGAGAGAACCGAGAAGCTCCGTAAAGACTTTGCTACTATGCTGAGCAGCCATCCAGAAATCAAGCATTATACTCGCTGGAAGACAGCACGGCCAATCATTGAGGGAGAGACCATCTTTCGATCAGCAAAGGATGACGATGAACGGCGCCAGCTATTTGAGGATTATATCATCGAACTCAAGAAGGCTAATGTTGAGCGTGAAGTGACCACACGGAAAGCAGCAATGGATGAGCTTATTGAGATTCTTAGAGGTCTTGATTTGGAACCATACACGAGGTGGTCTGAGGCACAAGGTATCATCCAATCTAACCAGCGCTTTCAAGGCGATCAAAAATTCAAATCACTCAACAAGTCCGACATGTTGACCGCCTTCGAGAATCACATCAAGACTCTGGAGAAGACTTTTAACGATGCCCGTCAACAACAAAAGAATCAGAAATCTAGGAGAGAACGTCAGAATCGGGACCGCTTCCTGGGCCTCCTTCATGAACTGAAGGCCAACAACAAAATCAAAGCTGGGTCGAAGTGGAGTAAGATTCATCCACTGATCGTAGCGGATGAGAGATATCAAGCAATGCTTGGTCAACCTGGTTCCACGCCCCTTGACTTGTTCTGGGATATGGTGGAGGAAGAAGAACGGGCATTACGCAGCACCCGGAATGATGTCTTGGACGTTCTTGATGTAAGCATCTCCTTTAGAGTTTGAAGGGTCTTTACTGATTTTACCTTAGGACAAACGGTTTGAAATTCAACAGAAGACAACTTTTGAAGGCTTCCTTGCTTTAATGCAGAATGATCGACGCACTGCTGACGTTGACCGAGACGCACTCTCTTTGATATTCGAACGGGTAAGCTTGTCCAAAATGATTTCCAATGAAATAATTTTGCTGACGAGACTTAAGTTGCACGAAAAGGTTTCTCGACGCAGTGAAGATGATAAACACCAAGCTGAGCGTCAGCAACGTCGAGCAGTTGATGCCCTCCGGTCTTTCATTAAACATCTTGATCCTCCGGTGCGTATTGAAGATACTTACGAGAGGGTTCAACCTCGCATTGAAAGGTCCGAAGAGTACGTTGCAGTAGCATCCGATGAGCTTCGTCGATCAGCTTTCGAGAAAGTGGTCAGGAGGCTAAAGGAGAAAGAAGAGGACGCAGAGAAAGAGCGCCTCAAGCGCCGAGACAGGTCTTCGGTAGACAGATCAACTCGCCGAGATGATCGAGGCGAGAGAGACCGAGGTGAGAGAATCCGCCGTACTAGTGGACGTCATGACCGCAGCCCGGAACCAGATGCATATGAAGCAGATCGGCGAAAGGCAATTGCGGACCGAGAAAAGAATTATCGAAAAGCAAGCGTTGCAGATACCTTGTTATCCCCAAGCCGTAGAGGTGACCGGTCTGAGCGGGACCGTGATCGTGATCGAGAGAGAGAGATGGATCTTAATAAGTCACATCGCAGTCGGCGCGACGACACAATAAGCCATTATGATCGAGACCGAAGGGATCGAGAAGAGGAGCGAGAAAAGCTCTACCGTAGGAGAGGGGACCCAAGGGGAAGCATTGATGAGCTGCCATACGGTGACGAAAGACCTAGCGGCAGCAGGCGTCGTCGAGCTGACAGTGATGTGGAGAGCGCTGGAAGCACTAGGGTAGCAAAGGTTCGTCCCACATCTAACCCTATCAGTTTACACTTTTCTTCCGCGCCCTATCTTGCATTTGAATGGATTCTAATTTCAAGTATAGCGGTCGAGAAGAGAGCTAACACCACGTGAGCGTTCCCCGATCCCTCCACGTGAACGGCGTCACAGGACTAGGACACCTCCTGCCCCACTACCACCGAAAGAGGAACCGGCCGTCCATTCTGGAAGCGAGGAAGGCGAGATCGAGGAGGAGTAGACAATATGATGAAGGACGATGATACTCAGAGGACGTCGACTCGTACGTATTGCAAGCCAACTACGTTCTATATTATGATGAATATTGCAGGCAGAGTTAGTCTACACTTGGTAGACCCCAATGAAGGGATACGATCAGGTGCAGCATAGGAAGCAAAGTGCGTTGATTTGAAGACCAAGCGAACTTCGGTGTGTATTGTCTCTCCTTAACGAGTTGAGCTATCTCCGCCACCTCAAGTATCAAACTTAATAAAAGACTTAATCAATCGTGCAATGATCAAAGCAAAATCTGATCCTTCCATTCCACGCTCAATTGATGCGATGCATCTGGTACAATGTCTCTGACGGCAATCACCAACTTGACCATTGCCCCTCCATCTACCCCGAATATTGCCAGAGGGAAAACAAAGGAAAAGTGGCAATCTTCAGGGTAGGACCAGGCAACAGGAGATAGACTGCCGTCCGTGGTTAGTCGTCTGGCTCGTCTTCGTCATTTGAGGCCGTTTCCTCATCAAGCGATCCCTGGGACCCCGCATGGCCTTTTCCTTTTGATGCTGAACCCATAACGCCTGGCAATGCATCGGTTAAAGGAGGATGTGAATCATTGGGGTTGCCCTTTTTAACTACTCGTGCTATTTTCATCTTCCAAGAAGAACTGAAAAGGGTCAGTAAAGTTTTTCCAATCAAATTCCCATTCACTTACGAAATTGCCACTCAATTTCTGCTCTTGGTCCAGTTGAGAATTGAGCTTATTAATCCGTGGTCTGAAGTTGGTGGGATCCCGACGGAAGGTAACATCGAGGTTCTTCAAGAATTTGTTGCAGCCTGTGAGCAATGATTCGGGGGCATTGGCTCGCGCATCAATGCCAGGTTCACCATCGAAGACAATGACACGGTCTGCCAAGTACGTTGCCATGATGAAATCGTGCTCCACGACAAAGGCGGTCTTCTTTGAGTGCATGATGAATCGCTTGATGACCCGGGCAGCGATAATACGCTGCTCAGAGTCAAGATAAGCGGACGGCTCATCGATGAGGTAGATGTCGGCAGGAAGACCAAGGGCAAGAACGATAGCCACACGCTGCAGCTCACCACCAGAGAGGGTCTTCACTTCCTGATCGATGAACTCGTCCAGCTTCAATGGCTTAACGACGTCGGTCTGGAATTGCGGGAGGAGGAAAGCAGTCTTGATCTTCTTGAAAAAGAGCTGACGAACGGTACCTTCGAATTTTGGGGTGATCTTCTGAGGCTTCATGCTGACCTTCATACCGGGGACTTTCTGATTGCCGTCTGGGTTCAAAGCACCAGCGAGCAACTTGCAGAAAGTCGTCTTGCCAGTACCGTTCTCGCCCATCATGACAATGATTTCAGAGTCAGTGAAATCACCAGCGTCAATGCGGAGATGGAAGCCACCCAAGGTCTTTTCCATTTTTGGATAATCAAAGGCACGGGTTCGATCAGCCATGAACTCGTCAGCAGCTTCAGCAATGCGGAATGTCAAAGACTCCTCCCGGAAACGAAGATTTTCGGTTGGGATATTGCCATCAAGGAAGATGTTGATACCTTCCCGAACAGAAGCTGGCAGAGTGACGACACCATAGACGGCAGGTTTGCCGTAAAGGACGCAGATAAAGTCCGAAAGATAGTCCAGAACAGACAGATCGTGCTCAACACAGATGACATAGTCGTCGGCTCGAAGGAGGGATCGGATTATCTTCGCAGCGCTCAAACGTTGCTTGACATCAAGGTAGGAGGAAGGTTCATCAAACATGTACCTATTCAATTGTATCAGTACACACGTTTCAGTTTTGTGAAGGGTGGCGTACACATCAGCTTGCTGGACGCAAACGGTACCTATGGCAAATCTTTGAAGTTCACCTCCAGAAAGAAGGTTCACGTCTCGATCCATGATGTGATTTAGTTCTAGAAATATCCATTAATTATAAGGCCCCTGCCACTGTTTGCCTGTCTCGACTTACCCAGAACATCAAGGACTTCTGTAAGATTCTCCATTGACGCATTTGCCTCGATCAAGGATCGAACAGTCTTGTCGGGGCCTTTGATCGCCTTGGGAATGCGGTCAACATATTGAGGCTTAACAATCGCCTTGAGATCATCTTCAAGAATTTTGGTAAAGTAGTCTGCAAATATCATGAGCTTTGAGAACAGGGGGAATTCGGGTTGGGGGACAGACTCTGCAGTTCAGAACCTCGGAAATACTTAATCACATCTTGCCAATCAGGGGGGTTGTCGTATCTACCCAAGTTTGGCTTTAATTTTCCACTCAATATCTTCAACGCTGTACTCTTTCCAATACCGTTCGAACCGACCAAGCCTAAAACTTGTCCAGGTCGTGGTGTAGGCAATCGATGAAGCTTGAAGCTGTTGGCTGAGTATCGATGTGTAACGTGAGACTCGAGGTTTGTTGGAAGATTAATGATATTGATGGCGCCAAATGGGCATTTTTTGGGACAGATGCCGCAACCAATACATAGACTTTCGGAAATGAAGGCGATCTTCGACTCAGGAGTGACTTCGATGCAAAGCCGTCCACTCCGCACAACCGGGCAGGACTTCTTGCATTCTTGTCTGCATTTCTGTATGTCATGGGTCAGAATGTGGTTCATTCTTTGTGGTCTGATGGTGATATACCTTCGGTTTACACTGAATACAAAGACGTTGTTAGTAGACTTGCTTGACCAGGCGGGGTAGTGGGGTAAAGCTTCAAGATTCGCACCTTGTCGGTACTGATGATCGCGATACTGGATTGACGGAAAAGTCAGCATTTGCATCTCTTCAGCCCTCCAGCAGAATCTGCCGTTGTCACGGTCAAAGTGTCAGGCGTTGGGTTGAACGCACCGAGTCAGCTTGTCCGACATCTTTGCTGCCTCGTGCCCTACTGGCAAGATGTGGTTAGGGTATTCGGAATGCTTCAGCAGAAGTTGGTGGACTGGGGGAGGGCTTGGAGAAACGAAAGGGCGTAGAGTTGTGCTGTAGTTGTCTGTCTCGAGGCAGAGAGGGCCAGCACGACGTAATTTTGTATCGAGAATTTGGGAAAACCAGAGTCGTAAATGAGTAAGGTGGTTTTGTGATTGGTTCACCATAGTGTGCTGCCTTTCGGGCCATTAAGCGAACGATCAGGCTGATGGTGGTAGACAGTAAAGCGGCACTGATTTTCCACGTCCCAAGTCAAGGTCGGACAGTTGTCTGGACTGCGAGAGTAGAAAATTGTATTTTGGAATTGCGAAGGATAGCGGAAGGTGGAGATTTTGATGTTACTACAAGTCGTGGGAACATTCGTAGAGGGTCTTTCTGAAATGTTCCGACTGAACTTGGGACATTGAGAATTTAGTGCCGCTTTTTTGGTGGACTGCAAAGTCGGGGTTTCTACTTGCTCTCTCCGCGTGCCCCAGGGTTTCTTGTCACTGCGTTCGACATAACCACCACAGTACACTCGCAACATTTCTTTCACACCACACTCTTTATTTGAACACAAATACAGTGTCTGCCTCACGGGGGGCCTCTTTACTATGGCTTGTAAGTGTCATCTCTCAGACTCCTCACCGCTACAGCCCAAGATACTCTCAAGGCTGGCCCATCTGCCTGCTCAGACATCCTTCCTACCTGGCCTAATAACTCGAAAATATCGACCTGGACGATTCGAACAACCTCTATGTTGAGTTCTTTTGGGTTCTCTCGATACTTTCGATGATTTTTTGAGCTTTGTGCGAGCTCCCACGCTCCACGTCATCCCCAATCGGCCACAGGTCATCAGCAGCCCTACAGCAAAAGTTATCATCGAATACATCGAAATGCGCCGGCAGCCCTTGAATCTGTCTCGCAGACTCTCATATTGTGGCAGAAGTTATATATGAATCGCTGCTATCGTCTCTTGAAGACCATGCGATCATTGGGGCTTTGCGTCATAGCAAAATTTGCAGCCGTTTTGATCAAATTGCTAACTTCATCGTCTTCAGCCCCACCATCATCTACAACGTTGTTGAAGTCGACATCGGCGCTGCCTCTTCTCAATGGACACGTTTCTCCATTGGCAAGCTCTACCCTCACGAACGACGATGCTCCATATGACAGTGAATCTGACCTGTCCGAGGTTGCCAAATCTATTGTCGACGAACCCTCACCGGCGCCATCAAGAAATCGCCAATCCGAGTTTGGAGCTCAAGATACTGATGCCTCCGAGTCCTCCGCTGCAGAGGTTCAGGATGAATCTGATGATGCTGACTTCGACATGGAAGACAGCCCACCTCACACAGCTCCAGATAGAGCCCGTCAGGAGCGCTCAACCTCCGCCGAGTCTCGTCGTCCTGCGAAGCGAAAGCTAGGCCTCGAGGATGAGCACATTCTGGCCAACCCAGAGCTATACGGTCTGCGAAGAAGTGTATGTTATCGTCAGCGGTAGGTGTACAGCATTACATTGCTGACAGTCTTCACAGGGCCGTCCAGTCCAACACCGGACTATCGTACGTCGATTTGAACTCCTTTAGGACCTACAGTGCCCGGACTAACATAACCTAGATTGAATCAGATGATGACGAGAACGACGACTCTGAGTCTGATGTTGTTCCCGCTCATAGGACGAAACGAAGAAAGCCGGAGCGATCACAGCCATGTACGATACCCATTTCATCCCATTTTCATCCTCGCTGTCGCCACACCACTAACCTCATAGCTATAGCATCGAAGCGTGAGACCCCAATTCTCCGGTCAGCATCCGGATCCGATTCGGACACAGACACCTACGGCGGCGCGCGAGCCCGAAGCACGACGAAGAAGCATCGTCGCCGCCAGCTCGAATCCGGAAATCTTGCTCCCATATACCAAGAAAAGAGATGGAACAGCCGCAGGGCTGCCCAAGTTACGGTTGGTGCTTATCAGGAGAGTGATGCCGAGATGGAAGACGAATCCGAAATGATGACACCAAACTATTGGGCTGGCGATACGGAGGATACTACACCATATATTGACGTCGTCCTCAAACACCGGCTCAAAGAAGGAAAAGATATCAACGAAGAAGACCTGGGTCGAGACGACTTCGAATATTATATAAAATGGCAGGGCAAATCGCACTATCATGCCACTTGGGAGACGACATCTTCCCTAACAGGCATGCGGGGCTTCCGCCGTTTAGAGAACTACTATAGAAAGATTGTCCTTGAGGATATATATATGGCACGTGGCGACGACATACCCCCCGAAGAAAAGGAAAAATGGATGCTGGATCGGGAACGCGACTCTGATGCCCTCCTTGACTACACCAAGGTCGAGCGGGTTATCGGCACAAGAGATGGTGAGGATGAGACCGAATACTACGTAAAGTGGAAGGGTCTTTACTACGAATCTTGCACTTGGGAGGCGGCTTCGCTGGTGAGCAAGATTGCTCAAGACGCAATAGACCGCTTCTTGGATCGTAGCTCGCGGTCATTGACATCGAATCGAGAGGAGTCAAACCCCAACACTCGAGGCTCTCACGTGCCAATCAGAGAGCAACCGTCTTATATAAAGAACGGCCAACTTCGAGACTTCCAAATCACCGGCCTCAACTTCTTGGCATACAATTGGACGAAGAACAAGAATGTCATCCTTGCGGACGAGATGGGGTTGGGCAAGACTGTCCAAACAGTATCTTTCATGAATTGGCTTCGCCATGACAGACATCAGGAAGGACCCTTCCTTGTTGTGGTGCCGTTGACAACTATCCCCGCCTGGGCTGATACATTCGACCATTGGGCTCCAGACGTCAATTATGTCATCTACAACGGCAAAGAGACTTCACGCTCAATCATCCGTGAGTATGAGTTGCTGTCCTCTGGAAATGTGAAGAGACCCAAGTTCAATGTCCTACTCACCTCATACGAGTACATTCTTGCCGATGCTACATTTCTCGCTCAGATCAAGTGGCAATTCATGGCTGTTGATGAAGCACATCGCTTGAAGAATCGGGAGTCGCAATTATACCAAAAGCTACTTGATTTCAAGGCGCCGAGTCGGTTATTGATTACGGGTACGCCAGTTCAAAACACATTGGGGGAGTTATCAGCTCTGATGGACTTCCTTATGCCCGGCGAGCTAGACATCGAGGAGAACATGGATTTGACCGAAGAAGCTGCTGGTGAGAAGATTGCCGCACTCACCAATAAGATCCAACCCTACATCCTTCGCCGTACAAAGCAGAAGGTCGAGAATGATTTGCCTCCTAAGAGTGAAAAAATCATTCGTGTGGAGCTCTCCGATGTTCAATTAGACTACTACAAGAACATCCTCACCCGCAACTACGCTGCTCTCAATGAAGGGGCGAAGGGGCAGAAACAGTCACTTCTCAACATCATGATGGAGCTGAAAAAAGCCAGTAATCATCCTTATATGTTCCCAAATGCCGAGGAGAAGATATTGAAAGGAAGCGAGAGACGTGAGGATCAATTGAAAGGTCTGATCGCCAGTAGTGGGAAAATGATGTTGTTGGATCGACTTTTGACAAAGTTGAAAAGAGACAATCATCGAGTCCTCATCTTCAGTCAGATGGTGAAGATGCTTGACATTCTCGGCGACTATCTACAGCTCCGTGGTTACCAGTTTCAGCGTCTTGATGGCACCATCGCCGCGGGTCCTCGTCGCATGGCTATCGACCACTTTAATGCCGACGATAGCAACGACTTTTGCTTTCTTCTCTCTACGCGAGCTGGTGGTCTTGGGATCAATTTGATGACAGCAGATACGGTCATCATCTTCGATTCTGACTGGAACCCCCAGGCAGACCTCCAAGCCATGGCTCGCGCACATCGTATCGGTCAGAAGAAACCGGTCAGTATCTATCGACTTGTCTCAAAAGAGACCGTCGAAGAGGAGGTCCTTGAGCGAGCTCGAAACAAGCTCATGCTTGAGTTCATCACTATTCAGAGAGGCGTCACCGACAAGGAGAAGAAAGAGCTCCGAGAAAAGGCAGTTAAGGCTGGGAAGATTGATGATCCCAAATCATCCGAAGATATCTCGAGGATTCTCAAACGCAGAGGCCAAAAGATGTTCGAACAGTCTGGTAACCAGCGAAAGCTCGAGGAACTCGACATTGACTCGGTACTTGAGAATGCCGAAGAACATAAGACTGAGGTTCCTGAGGGCATGGTTGCTGACGGTGGTGAAGACTTCCTCAAAAGCTTCGAGTACACTGATGTCAAGATCGATCTTGAATGGGACGACATTATCCCCAAAGATCAACTTGCAGGAATCAAGGCAGAAGAAGAGAGACGTGCTCATGAAGAATATCTTGCTAAGGTCGTCGAGGAAAATGCACCACGTAAAGCTGCTATGAAGAATACGGCTGAGTACGAGAGAGAGCAGCGACTAGCAAAAAAGAGAGAGCGCGATCAAGCCAAGCAAGATGAACTTGACGAGAAGAGAGAAGCGCAAGCCAATCTTGCCGATCCCAAGCGAGAGTTGAATGAGAAGGAGGCCAGAAACCTTTTCCGAGCTTTTCTTCGATATGGATCCATTGAAGAGCGTGGAGAGGAGCTGGTCAAGGACGCCCGTCTTGTCGGTCGTGACATAGACTTGTTACGATCTGTCATTAAGGCCATTACGGATGAAAGTGAGAAACGGCTGAGGGACGATGCTGCGAGGATCGAAGCCATGGAGCGCGAGGCGAACAAACCCTTGACCAAGAAAGACAAAAAGGCTGTTCTTTTCGACTTTCTGGGCGTCAAAAGGCTCAACGCAGAAACTGTCATCGAGCGTCCCGGCGAGATGAGAATGTTGAAAGATCTCATCAACTCTTCATCCGACTTCAAGAACTTCCGTGTTACCGATGCTTCAAAAGCCGCCCACTACTCCTGTGACTGGGGTGCTAGAGAGGATGGTATGTTACTTGTTGGCATCCACCGGCATGGCTATGGCGCCTGGGTTCAGATCAGAGATGATCCCGATCTTGGGCTCAAGGAAAAGTTCTTCCTAGAGGAGCACCGAGTCGACAAGAAAGAGGAGCGCAATAAGGGGGACGAAAAAGTAGCAAAAGCACCCGGTGCTGTTCACCTGGTTAGACGTGCGGACTACCTTCTTTCTGTCCTGAAGGCGAAATACTTCGATAACCAAGCTGCGAAGCTTGCCGTTGCGAATCATCATAGAAACAACAAAAAGCATGACCGTACTAACGGCCATCGTCGATCTGAAACGAGAGGCTCAGTATCGGCTTCTCCGGCGCCTCAATCGAAGAAGATTCACCGCCACTCTGAGCACCATAGTCGCGATCGAGAAAAGGATCGTGCACACAGCCATGGCAATTCACACGGTAATTCGAGTACCGATCCTCGTCGACACGGCAGCACAGATGTCGCTACGCCCAAGTCAGGCTCTAGGGATTTGAAGAGGAAGCTCAGTGGGCCAGAGGAGGATCGTCATCATGATCGCCACAGCAAGCAGCGTAAGTCAGAGAACGGCCATTCAAAGTCGGGCCATGAGCAAGAAGCTATGCTCCGCCTCATATTTAAGGATATTAAGGACAGCCTCAAGCGTGTCCAGTCGGCCACGAAGGACCGCATCAAGTCGCAAAAGGAACGTGCCAATGTCATGAAGGTAGAACTTGTCACCATTGGCAACTTCATCGAAAATTTAGCCCAAGAGAGTCAGGAGGAGGATGTTTCTGATTCGGACCTCCGAAAGCGCTTCTGGTAAATTTCAATGCCCACTTATAGAGACGCTCAGCTAATTGAAAAAGGGTCTACGTTGCTGGGTTCTGGCCTCTCGATCCAAGTCCGCCAGGGACACAACTCGAGAACATGTACAAGAAGATTCTCAAGAATCAGGCAGAAGAAGCCCAAGCCAAGAAAGCCGGTAATCTTCCAGCGGCAGATGCTAGTGGCTCATCCGGTTCATCGACTGCGATCGTTAAGAATTAAGAATAGTGAGGGTTGTTTTTACGCGAAGGTTTGATCATCATTGCGTTGGCGTTTGGACGGCGCTTTGCCAGGTGTCTTTAACGCCGTGGATGCATCAGCATACGGCTGGGTTCATTGCATTCAATGCGGCGTACATCGTATTTTTAGAGGGACATAAGGGCTCTGGTTGGAGTTTCTATGCTGCATGCATTTGGTGCGGGTTTATTTGAGGAATTCGCGAGCTATCTTACATCCAGATTGAGCAAAAGAGTCGGAAGGTAGAGGACTGTCTGCCTCTTGGCGACAGCAAAAGTTGACCATTGCTTAGGGAATGGAACTAATGCCACTCATACCAGGCACTAGCAATAAAATGGTCATTTAGCCTTATCCACGGTGTCTAGGGGATCTCTTCCCAAGAGCGTCTTCAACCGTGTGAACTAAATCCCAGGACAGACGACCTTAGAGCAGAATTGGCGGCCTTCTCAATTGTGCCCAATGCTCGTCTCCCTTAAAGTAAGCCAAACTAAGGCGCCTCTTCATCACGAGACTTATCAACACTACCACAGCTTTTGGAGCCATATTTGATCGTCTCAGAGCCTTGCAGGCAGCCTTCGCTGTAGGCTTCCTAGACGGCTAGCGCCAAAAATAGCGCCAATGGCTCTCGTCTCCTCGTGCGTGACTGCGAAGCTGTTCTCACGAGCACGTCCCGATGGGAGCCCCAGATCTCCACATTTCCTCCACGTTCGGTGAGAGATGACACGACGGCCGAGCGGCCCCATCTCCTGGTCTTTCTCCGGTTTGCCAGCTTTTGGGCACGCCAACGCCATCAAGTGTTTCCATTGTTCCCAGTGCTGTGTGGTGTGGTGTGGTGTGGTGGGGGAGGAGGGGGTGGTTCAGGGGTTGTGTACGCCGCAAGCGCGGCCGCTTGGGATTCGTTCATTCGAGGAGGAATTCTTTGCAGCCCGCGGGGCGCCATTGTTACCTTCCGCCGTAACATTTGTTTTGTGCATTCTGAGTCTCTGGCTCTCTGAGAGGCCCCATACACGGCCAGCAGCAGCAGTCTCTTTCCAGAGCTGACTCGGCCCTTCGTACCGCGAGGCGAGGCTGACCAGTCCAACAGGTCATGGGCGACCGCCGCTGCAGGCGCCACTGACGAACATCAGATTTCAGGGTCCAGCCCAGCCGCTGCTCAGCCGAACGACATACAGATTGACTTCGACGATCGTCCACTCCAAGCCGGACTTCCTGACACCTGCAAGAACTTCTTTCGACATCGGTCTCCTCAAGCCACGAGCCTATGTTGAGACCACATTAAAAGGCCCGAATGATTCTCGGGTAATGTACAGTTACTTGGCTGGACGATTTAATCCTTGGAAACGCATGGGGAATGCAAGCAAGGAAGCGGGACCCTCCCCACAGTCAATACCCTGTATTGACAGTCTTCCCTCCGCATTCGAGAATGTTTGGCCTGGAGCCTCCAGCAACTGCTTGGAGGATATCTACAGTAACTACATTCAGCTCGTTCCGCGGATAACACGTTCCATTGATCTGTGATCCCCTGGTGCTTGGTGCTGTGTAAATGTAACTCACACGCATTACCTTCTGTTTGGGACATAGTTCCCATCAAGGATGCGCATATTGGTCCATAAGCATGTCAAGATCCTCGCTCTCCGCACTCCGGAAGTGGCCAGATGCGGGCGGACCGGGTTGTTTATAGGTTCAAATTTCTTTCCTACCTGCTCGTGGTTGACAATACCGAGTTTTTTCAAAGAAGGACCAAGTGTTGGAAGTCCCAGGAGAAATTGGAAGAAGTTCTTTCAGATATAAGCTAGCTTCTTGCCCTGGAGTCTCTCCCCGAACTTTCGAGCTCATTGTAATTCACATCGCAAGCAAGACTATCTAGCAACAGCTAGTCTCACATCGCCTCCTACGTTTCGTTGATTCTATCTGCAGTCATGGCTGGTGGTGGAGTCGTCCACGGCACTGCCGATACGTCACGTATCGAGGCACCTGTGACGGTGAAAGCCTACCTGATGTGTGCGTTTGCAGCATTTGGAGGCATTTTCTTTGGTTACGATACAGGATGGATGGGAGGAGTCATGGGAATGAAGTCAGTCACCCCCTGAAGAAGTCCTGTTTTCTCAACTGCAACGTCAATATTAATGGAGCCTAGGTACTACATTCGCCAATATACCCACATTCAATATCCTGGTCCCGACGCCGACTCTGCCACCAAAGCTCTCTTCGTTCTGCCTGGATGGCAGCAATCTCTCCTGACTGGAATTCTCTCCTGTGGAACCTTCTTCGGCGCCCTGATCGCAGGTGATGTTGCCGACCGTATCGGCCGTCGCTGGACTATCATCAGTGGTTGCCTTACCTTTACTGTTGGTTGTATTTTGGAGACCGCCAGCACTACTCTAGCTGTGATGGTAGTAGGAAGACTTATTGCTGGCGCTGGTGTTGGATTCATCTCTGCTATCAGTAAGTATTCGAACTAGAAATACAAAATGTGTTCACGGCTACTAATTGATGCTTCACAGTTATCCTATACATGTCTGAAATTGCTCCAAAGAAGGTCCGTGGTGCCTTGGTAGCTGGTTATCAATTGTAAGATTACGTGTTCTGTCACGACATTCGTTTCCTATACCTTAAGTATCCCTGATCTTCCCCGGAGACATTGTCCTAGTAGTCCTGAGTTTATCTTTATCGAGCACTTACTAACTCTTGCATCACCATCTAGCTGCATTACTATCGGTATCCTTCTTGCGAATTGTGTGGTTTATGCGACACAAGACCGCGATGATACTGGCTCATACAGAATCCCCGTCGCTGTCCAATTCCTCTGGGCCCTTGTTCTCGGCATTGGCCTCTTTCTGCTTCCGGAGTCTCCTCGTTACTTCGTGAAGAAAGGAAAACTCGATGAGGCTGCCCGTGCTCTTGCCAATGTTCGAGGACAGCCAATCGACTCGGAATACATTCAGGACGAGCTTGCCGAAATCATTGCCAATCATGAGTACGAGTTGAGCGTGGTCCCACAGACGACTTACTTTGCGTCCTGGGCGAACTGCTTCCATGGTGGCTTAAAGAGCCCAGCTAGCAATCTTCGACGTACTCTTTGTGGAATCGGATTGCAAATGATGCAACAACTTACGGGGATTAACTTGTAACCAACCTATTTTTTTGTCCCATACGGATGAGACATGCTCCCGGCTCTCTTTCCTCTAAAAAACGTGTTGCTAATTCGTTGCAGTATTTTTTATTATGGCGAGTCGACTCATTTTCCCGGTTCCTCTTGATCAATCACTTTGGTACAATCAAAGTCAATGTCCTACAAGTTGTGGGACATTGAAAGCGCCCCCCCTTTTCCTCCTCCTTACATTGTCCGTGGAATTGTGGTACAAGCATTTACTTTTCGGGTCCTCTTGATCGAACAATTGCTAACTTCTTCGTTGCCGTAGGTGTCGTATTCTTTACTAGTCTTAACACTATTTCGAATCCTTTCCTCATCAGCTTGATCACCACGCTTGTTAACGTTCTTTCCACCCCTATCTCATTTTGGATGGTCGAGAGATTTGGTCGACGCAACTTGCTCATCTTTGGCGGAACTGGAATGGTCATCTCTCAATACATTGTTGGCATTATTGGAGTCACTGTTGGCCAAGACAAGGGAAAGGATACCAACAAAGCAGCTGTCTCCGCCATGATCGCTTTCATCTGCATCAACATCAGCATGTTTGCTTCCACATGGGGTCCTTGCGCATGGGTCGTGGTAAGCTTAATTCCGTTCTTATATCCATTTTACAGTTCTAATTATCTGGACAGATCGGCGAGATCTTCCCACTCCCAATCCGCTCCCGTGGTGTTGGGCTTTCAACTTCTAGCAATTGGTTCTGGAATTGCATCATTGCCATCATCACCCCCTACCTAGTCGATAAACAATACGCCAACCTGTCCTCCAAGATTTTCTTCATGTGGGGCTCCCTCTGCATCATCAGCGTTCTCTTCGCATATTTCTTGGTTCCTGAGACTAAGGGCCTTTCCCTCGAGCAAGTCGACAGAATGCTCGAGGAAGTGTCTCCTCGCCACTCTAGATCCTGGGTCCCCCACTCCACCTTCGCTGCCGAGATGGGTCTCGTCGAGAAAGGCATCCCTCTCGGAGGCCCTACTGCCAAACAAGGTGACTCGGCTGAAGAGACTGAGATTGAGACTCATAATGCTCCTGCCAACAAGGAGATCGTTTAAGTATTCTTACAGAGTGATGCCGGCATTGCTCCCAAGTAATGGCGCTGGTTTCATAAAGAGGGATATAGAAAGATATCTAGACAAGAGTAGAAAACATAAGCCTTAGGAGGAATTTGACGGATAAAGAGTTGGAAATATACCCAATAATCATTGAATATCTAAATGTTTGTTCCAAAACTTCTACTGTTTGATTGATCTTGAAAAATCGTTATGAAGACGAGTGGCTCTTGCCACAATACGCTGCGGCTCACAGATAGTACCACCCCCACCGAGCTAAATGTTATAATTAAGTCCCAAAGAATGAAGATAGTGTTAAAGGCACGTCATTGATGAAAAGGGAGGTCCTGGTCCAGCGGAGCCTAAACTCCCCGACAACGTGCACGTTGAGGGATGCTTTTCGAAGCTTGAGACCCAGAAATTAAGGAGGGCTACATGAGATTTCCAATTCTAGTATCATAAAAAAACTGGAAGACCGGCGTTAGAAGATGAATTTCGCTGTTTGTCTATATTGAGGTGGAGCGTGCGAGAAAACTGAGGTCTGACAGCTCCCTGATAAGGACAGCTATACCGAGCTCGATCTTGGTATGAGAATTGAATTGCAGCACGATGTGGAGAGGACTTTCCACGCAACAAGGTCGTGCGACTGTGCCAGTAATTTCGGAAAGACTGAAGCCCTTCTCTCCATACGTCGCCTTCACCGGTGCAAAGAAGAGCCGAAATCCCTTGACGAGGCAAGCAGTGTTGAAGAGGGTACCATCTAACGAGACTTGCTTCAAACTTAGGGAAATGACGAGAGTGCTAGTGCTGAGAAACATTGAAGGTTTGTCGCAGGGGTACAGTCTTGGGAACGAGATCTGCCATTCTGCAAATATGGGGGCATTTTGAAGAGATATCGCACCTACTTTTACACATTAAGTCTCTCGATGGCGTAGAGACTTAAAGCTGGAAAAAGATAGTTTGGGGGAAAGCACATTTAGAGTATACGACTACCAAAAGGACATGAAATCTTCACGATTGTGGGGCTCGAGTTCAAGGTAAGGGAAAGTCACCCTAGGCCATTAAAGACGACAATCAGGCCAAGAATCATGCTTCGATTCCCAACTGTAAAATTCCCAACCATGTAAATAAAACAGTCGGGTCGATATCTATCTGACTTGCTCTAAGGACCCATTATGTACAACCCGGCATGTCCCATTGCATTACCAACCAAAGCAACAAAAAAGAGCTGGAAGTACGTGCTGGCTCTTCCAGCTGTTTCCCTGCAGATGCAATCCTCACTTCCGCCTAATGCTACATACGCAGGTTTATGGTATGGTGAACAATACTCAGCAAGAGCGACTTCATCTCGATGATGGTCTTGCAGAAAAGAGGAAGAAAAAAGGAACCTCCAACGCCATCCCCAATGCCGTGATACAAAAAGAACAGGAATGAGGGAATGTGACAATGTGATGAATGCTGCCTCTCATGCATATCCCGTGTAGAGCGCGAGACGAGGCCGAGATACCCTGCTAAGGGGAACAGGCGTCAAACTCTCATGTAAGGAGGTTTTCCATGCCGGAAGGTAATCTCCCTTTGGGTGAAATAGTCTCCTGTCTGTTGTAGGCAGGAATTTCGACCGCAATATGAGACGACTTGTGGAGGTCCTCAGGTCTGAAGTATGATGAGTCGCTGTTGTTACGAGTATCAAACGGGGAAACTGGTCTCATCGGCGTGGTTGGGGTCTTTGCCAGCCCTGGAAACAGTGTGGTCTCTCCAGAATCTCCAAAGTCGGCCTCTGACGGTTTCGTAGTTGGCTGTGCAGTTTTCGATGAGGTGAAGGTGCTTGTGATCTTGTTGGTAAGCTTGGTTGGTTTCGATGGCAATGGTTTCCTTCCAGGCTTCTTCTTGACCTTCGTATCCTTTTCTGTTGCAGCTTTCAAGGACCCAAATTGGAGCATCGCCTGCTTCAGTTTCGGGGCCGGGCTTTGTTGTCGAGGGCTTTCTGAAGGCGTGAGAATTCCCTGCGTCTTCAGAGCATCGACCGGCTTGATGTCTAGAACCACCTCAGGATAGCTGTTCTTCTTGATCTTTCCGTCCACGACGGAATATTCCCCGCAGTCCTTGTCGTCCCACATCGGAAGACAAACTAATCGAGCAACATCATCGCATTCCCCTCGGACTACCATATCCCAGCAATCTTTGAACTCAATTCCAAGAGGCTCGGGGTCATGATTAATCCAAGCAGTGAATCCACCTCGACGACCCCGAGTAACAGAGCACATTTCTTTAGCAAGACGACGAATACCAGGAACTTTGAGACTCGTGCCCACAACAATAACTGCATCCGGCCGACTCTTGAGATCCGCAGCACTCACTGCTCCAATAGCATCCTCGTCAGGATTGAATTCATTATACAGAACCATTCTGGGTCGTAATCGGCCGATTCCATGACTTCTAAGACCTCCCGCGATTCGGACTTGATCCATCGTCTCACATTCCTTGCATGATGGAGGTTCCGGACCTTCAAAAAGTGCGCCATCAAAATTTGACAAATGACCACATTTTGTACAGACCATCTTCTCCAAGCCCCCGTGTAATTGGATCGTCTTCGGCCAGGGACCTTTTGCATTGAGGGGGACTTTTGTCACTAAAGGTTCGATGGATGTATCGATACCGTCAACATTTTGAGAGTACAAGCGCATCAAACGACCCTCCTCTGCTAGTGTCGCGAGCATATGGTGAAACGGAGTAGGCTTTGCTTTCTGAGTCAGATGGGACAGTTCTCGGACCATGTCGTGGAAAGAGCTCGTAGACGAATCGCTGCGATAGACGGACGCGTCGAAGAGATGTTTTCCAGACGCCTTCAGCTTATGCTGGCTGCGCAATGTGTTGAATAGGCCGGTTGAGGAGCGGAAATCGGGGACTATCAAGTTTAGCAAGATCTCATGTTGGGGGGAAGATATTGAACATACTGCCTGCAGATACCGAGATTCCTGCTCCTGCAATAACCACAATCTTTCTCTTCGAGCGCAAAGCTTCCATTAACTTCCTAAGCTTTGCGTCTTGGATCTTGTGGTGTTCGTCGTCATCGCTATCATTTAGTCTCCTTAGATCAAGATGCTCGGTCTTTAATTCCCTCGGCTTTACGATCTTTTGCCTCTTGGAAGGTGGAGGCTCATCGCGATCTGGTGCGTCGCGCGACTTCGAAGGGGAGACACCCGTATCGGAGACATTGCTCGAGGGGGGTGAGGGATAGTCCACTGGTGGTGATGGCGACCGCGATGCTATGCTGGATAGCGGGGAGGAGATGGGCGAGCTGTTGGAGCTCATGGCTTCGGGGGCCGCCATTCGAGGTTGGCGATGGGCGGGCGGGAGAAGGATGACTTGAATTGCGGCGAGACGGCTCTTTTAGACCATGGCCGTAGTTTATTGTCTTCGAGTCGAGTCGTGAGGGCGGTTGAGATTGTCTGTCGGGGTTGGTGAGGAGAATGTCGTTCGAAATGTGGTCCAAGTCTGTGGGAAGTGGCAGTTGGCTGGGCGGAGGTCGCTAAAAGCAAGTGCTCGATGACTGTCAACAACATGACGACTGCAACAACAATGGAAATTTATTTCCATTCACCATGCCAGTCTGGAATAGTCCAAGGTGTGGCTCCATGCATTTATTTCCCATTTGTTCCATTCACCAAGGGAACCCAATGTGTTGCTCATTTCTGACCATGATTCGCAGCGTAGAGTCAGGATCTCGGAAGATCATGCAGGTTCCCATTTCCCCCCGGAATTGGACTAATATGCGTGCAAGTACATCCTGGAACCTTCTCAAGACCAGAAAAGCATCCAGTATGCCTACAATAACTCCATTCCATCGCTTCTTACTCCCGCATAGCAATATCTCATGAATTCCGGCTGGCAGTCTATTTCCCAAACAATCTCCACGTTGCTGGGTGAGCACGCTCATCGGCGCTGTTAGCGCTAGAGCCAAAACACTTAGCTTTCCCGCTCAAACCCTGCGGTCGCTAGTGCTGTTCCAGTAAGGCCGCAAGGCTGGACTTTGATTGACGACTTTGGCTTCTTTCATCTATATACCCTTCTCTTGTCGTATGTCAGCATATCTTATCATTTCATCAAAGCGTATGCAATTCTTGCGCCCTTGGTCCGGATTCAAGTTTTTGCCCTTTTTGCCAATAACTTCGTCCTGGTTTTGGGGATTCGGGGATTCTTTGCTGAAAGATGCCATTGATGATGGAAGACGAGATGGACATGGAAGATCTCTTTGGCGATGGAGCCGGCCTGTCCCTACCTTCGCGGCCCCCCTCGAAAGAGCTATACCAGAGATTGGACGAGCTGAGAGGAAGTGGTTGCTGCCAGTGAGTTCTGTGGAGGCCATTTTTCCCTCCCTTCTAACTCCCGACAGAGGGATAGCCTGGTCAAAATGGGGTAGCATTGCTGCCATTGCCTCAAACGGAGCTGCTTTGGAACTACGAAACCTCCGCTGCCATCCAGAGAATGGTACCTGGGCTTTAAGTGAGCCAACTGTCACTCCAAATTTCTCTTCCGCATTAGATGGCGGTCCTTTGAAACATCTTTCTTGGAGCCCGACGGGCTCTGATTTAGCGGTAATCGATGCTGCAGGACGGATTACCATCCTTGCTGTTTTTTCATCCTTGAATAAGCCCAGTCTCAGCAGGGCTTGTGGAGGAGACCCTGCGGATGACTTGCATGGGATAGTTGGCTGTTACTGGTTGAACATTGCCCCGTATCCTCCGAATCGACCCGTATGTTCTGAAGCCCCTCCAGGGAGTAAAGCACACAATTTGACTGTTATGTAGACTATTTTGCATGGCCCAGGGGTTAAAGATGGCCCCAACTATAAGTACGAGGCCCAGCAAGGTCCAGTTTTGGGGCCATGCCATCCGAGTCCCTCAAAATCTGCTTTTGTGTGTCTCACTACAAACGGCCTCTTGAGGCTGCTATGGCCGCAGAATACCGGGAAATGGTGCGAGTCGCATTCGGAATTAGAGAGCATAGTCTCGTCAGATGACTTGATCACTCACGCAGCTATATGTCCGGACAAAAGTAAGACGCTATTAATATAGATTGACCCTTTACTGACATAGCCTCTCAGCTGGCACTTTACTAATTGCCTTCGCAACTACTTCGAAGCAGCTTCGCACTGTACGGGCACTAATAGAATGGAACCCGACGAAAGTTGATAAGGTTAATTCTGCGCAATGGGCGTTAAATCCGACAATCAAGACTAGACATCTGGCTGTAACGAGTTGGGTTCATGATATTCCCAGTGATACTGTGAACGCCTCTCACATGGAGTCATCGATGGTGCAACTATCTCATCTCGAATTCTTGCCTCCGTGTGGCGACGCCGCTGGGAGGATGGCACCGCCAACGATTTTGGCCGTACGCTCTCATCTACCAGGATCAACATCACATTACAATCAAGATGTTCACACTACTGTAGATAGATGGGAGGTTCGGGAGAAGCCTCAAACAATCCATCCAGCCTTCGAACAGTTGAGTTCTCGGCGGAACAGCGTCGGTTCTCAACCAGGGGTAAGTCTTCCGTTGTGTATATTTGGACATGAAAGCTCGGCTTACCCTTATAGCCTGTTGTGTACTTGAAGAAGCTTGAAAGTTTCACTGTGAATAAGATTATCATAGCTCTAGAAACCATGAATATTGGCAAGGTCTTATTTCTTGCCTACGCCGACGGGTCGGTAGAGTATCGAGATCGACTGACCATGACTGAAACCTTCAACGATGGCGATTTGGATCGAGTGTGGCATCTTTCCCAGATCGGATTCTCATATCCTAACGATGATCCTTGTATGTGCCCATTTCCAATTACGTGCAACAAGGTTAACAATGAGAAGGTCTTCAAGTCGCATTGTCTCCCAGCTACTGCTCTCTTGTACAGATTAGAAACGATGGGAAGGTAAAATGGAAGCAACTTGACTATCAGCTAGCTGACATCGGATCCAGCATGGAGGATGGTGAGTGCCAGATGGATGTCGTCTAATTTCATTATGCTAATAGTATTAAGGTCTCTATGCAGGAGTCGTTGCTGCTCTGTCGCTCTCATGTGCCACAGCCGTCATGCGAAATGTCAATTATGATGATCTGCTTGCTACGGCTAACAAGCATGCTACAGCACGTAAGTCCGAGGTCTTGGAAATTAAGCATACCCAGTCTGCTGATCAAAACCAGAGTTTGCGTATGACTGGCTCACCGATTTATCCCGTATCCTAAAAGTACATATGGACTACTCGGAAGAAAGTCACCACGATGTTTTGGTCAGAAACACGACAATTCAGTTATGTTTATGCATCCAGAACTCGCTCGGATTCAAGGGAGAGTTCAATCCCAGAACATTCTCTGGGAAGTTTGCCTGGCTTGTTCTTCAACTGCGGAACATCGTGGTTCTGGTGACCATGGCTGCGAATCTCAACGTCCCACAGAGCGGACCAGAAAGTGACAAAAAGTCCCCGCTGGAAGACCCAGGTTGCCTCCCCTTTCGCCATATCTGCAGAGTATTGCTAATGCAGTTCAAGAGGTGATCAACTCTCTGGCAGGATCCGTTCGTTGGGTCTTAGATCTCTTGGCCTGGCTAACTGACACACTCCTCACTCTGCCCAGCACTTTACCTCCAACAATCGACCTCACCAAGGCCAGCAACCTCCCGCTTCCAGAACTTCTCGCCCACTTACATAGCACCAATACCATATCTCTCCACCTCCTCCTCTCATCACCCACCCGCGGGTTCCTAACTGCCATCTGTCGCCGTCTCCAACACCTCGACTACATCGCCCGCAAAGCCATCGTATACCCAGGTGTCAACAACACTCCAAACCCCCAAAACGTGAACCAAAACTCTCAGAACCAAACCGCGGCCCCCTCTCCCGCTCTTCGCGCAGCTTACCTGCAGATAGCAACCTTAACATCAGATACAATCCTTCGCATCAAAACCATGGAAACCCTCCTTGGGTCCCTCGCCTCCCTAGTTAAGAACGCGTACGCCTCCAACAACCCGCCCCTCTCTGGCTCCCAACCGGCAGAAAAGGCGCGCAACGCACTCGAGATAAAGATGCTGTTCGGGGGCTCCTTCCCCGATGCATTCAAAAGCGTGATCGTCGAGCTGTTCAAGAAAGAAGGCCTGCTCGACGCAGTGAAGGAAGAGATCGAGCCCGCGAAATTGTTCTTTGCCGATTTCACGATGCTGGAGGTGGATGAGGATGCCGTTAGTGTGGGGAAGCGAAGAGCGTTGGGGCGGACCATGGACTGTTTTCAGAAGCGGTGGCTTTTGAATCCTGAGAAGATCTTGTTGTCTCCGTCTTCTTCTGCGGCTGCTGCTGCTGCTGCTGCTGCGACCGGGGCAGAGGGCTCCTCCTCGCAGACGGGGACCGCGAATGCTAGTCTGGGCGCTGCGCAGGATGGGAGTGGGGTTGGGAGTGGCGGCTTGATGGGCGCGGGTGGGCGGCAGGGCGCGAGGTGGAGGAGGTGCGCAAGGTGTGCGGCGGTTATGGAGGATGTGTTGACGCAGAGGGTGGCGTTGCAGTGGTTGGTTATGCAGCAAAGGAGATGCTTTTGCAGCGGGTATTGGGATACGCTTGCTCCGGGGGAGGCTCTTGCTTGATTGTAATCTCGCATGTACGGTAGGTAAGATATCAAGTTTGGACCGAAAAGGAGATGAGATAGGAAAGGATTGTTTGAGATTTGGAATCAGTCAGTCTGTTATATCTAGAAACATTTAACCTTTCTTGCATGTTTTTTTCGCTCTCGGGCAGTAAGATATCAAGTTTGGGCCGAAAAGGAGATGGGATAGGAAAGGGGTGTTTGAGATTTGGAACCAGTCAGTCGGTCTGTTACATCTAGAAACATTTAATCCTTCTTGCATGTTTTTCGCTCTCGGGCAGATTGCTGATATCCCCCATGTTTACTTAAAGAGCAGAATCGAATTTCGAGCTGAAATAGCATATTTGGATTTGAGTACAACCGGTCCCATTTAAAACGGTGATATCTCATAGTGTATTTTAAGTTTTTTCTCTGGAAATTACTCCTCCAGAACCTGTGTACTGGGCGGCGTGTTTACCTCGTTAGGTAAATTTAGGATTGTTAAAATTGGATACCTGCTGCCATGCATTTTGGATGTCAAGCATAGTCACCATCACATTGCAAAGCATTTATTACAAGATATTTTGTCAACAGCTTCCATTACTATCGCCTTCTCTACGCACACCTCTGTTTATCGACCGCAAGGAACCCGCTCTAATAAACGCGGAGCTGAAACAAATCCACAGGAATCTAAGAACCACGTCTGTGCCAGCCAGCTTAGTTTTCCACCATGCCATGCCATGCCACGCCACCCAGCCCCCCTATGTTGAACTCATGCAAAAATGTACAAACGAAGTTGAAGAGAAAACCATGCATGCTCGCAAAGCAGAGAAAGGATTTTCGGCTCCTTTTTCCAATGGTAGTCGAGAGAAGAGGCAGTTTTTTTCCTTCGAAGGTAGCAATTATCATCTGCCAGATGGGGGTATCAGTGAGCTAACCTGGCTAGACCTGACAGAGATCTATAGCCGGTGGTACGAGCTGCGGTCTTCAAATGGCTTTAGTTGCTAATGGCTTTCGATGGGCAAGTCGCGGCCGACATTCGCCGAGTCGTGGCTCTTCTCGTGGACGTTGAGATCGTTGTGTGGGTGGCTGCCGGAGTACTTGCTCTCGGCGTCGGAGGTGTCGTTCAAGACTTCGCGGGTCAATTCAACGTAGTCGTATGCGAACTCGCCGATCTCGGCATCGTCGATACCCAGGATCTCGGCTTCTTCGGTGGCGCGGAGGGAGAGGCCGGGGATCAGGTTCATGATGAAGAGGATGAGGCAGGTTCCGCCGAAGGAGTAGGCACCTCCGGAGACGGAGTCAGCGAGTTGGTAGCCGAGCTGGACCCAGTGATGGTTGAGCCAGCCGCCTGGAATCTCGGAGAAGCCATCGAGATGTGCTATGTAGTCAGCGGCGAAGAAGGCTGTGAGGATGTTGCCGATGAAACCGCCGATGGCATGTTCGGCAAAGATATCAAGAGCATCATCGATACCGAGGACGAACTTCAGCTTGGTGGCGTAGTTAGCACCTGCGGCACCGACAACACCATAGATAACTGCAGCCCAAGCGGGCACGAAGCCGGAACCTGGGGTAATGGCAACTTTTGGAAGGTTAGATCAGTCTTCGGGTATTGGGGGTTTTGGGAACAAATTACCAAGGCCTGCGACAACACCTGAGCAGAAACCAACAGTCGACCATTTACGCTCAAGACGATAATCGAGGACACACCAGGTGATGCCTCCGACGCAAGCAGCCAAGTTGGTAACAACAGCAGCCATGACAGCGCGCATGTTGGCCGCAAGAGCGGAACCAGCGTTGAATCCGAACCAACCAACCCAGAGGAAGACAGTTCCGATAACAATGTGTGTCACGTTGTGGGGGCGGTAGTTGAGCTCGTGAGTACCGTGTCCACGACGCTTGCCCAACATGATGGAGTAGGCAAGAGCAGCAGATCCGGAAGAGATATGCACTGGAGTTCCACCAGCAAAGTCAAGGCCGCCCATCTTGAAGACCCACCCCGAGCTGTTCCAGGTCCAGCAAGCAATTGGATCGTAGATCAGAGTTGACCAGACGAACATGAAAACGACGCAGGGCAACTGATAGAGAAATTAGCACAACGCCAAATGACCGGACAAGTACAGCGGAGCTCGATTCAAATATCTACATGAGAAAAGGAGCGCATTTTGGTGGGGCACGTACCATACGTCCTCTCTCAGCAACGGCGCCAACAGCAAGTGCAACGGTGATAGCTGCGAACATGCCCTGGTAGACAGCGAACAAGAGATCGGGAATCTTGGTAGATCCAACGGAAGGAGCTGCCAACACATTGCGGAACCCGATGTTTTCCAGATCACCAATGAACTTGCCGGCGGTGTGGGAGAAAGCGAGCGAGAAACCCCAGAAAAACCATTGGAAAGAGACGACGGCGGTGGCCATGATCGAGAGCCAGATCAGGGACAGCGCAGACTTTCTCCGAGCAAGACCGGAATAGAAGAAGCTGCAGAAGGATTATCAGCCTTGTGCTCCCACTCCCACGTTTTCGTATATGCACTCACCCGACACCTGGAATCATGAGAAGCACCAGAGCAGTCGCCGTGATCATCCATGCGATATCACCGGCCTAGAGGAGCTTGTCAGTGCAATTTGGCGCAAAGTTGGGCACGGAAAGCTCACGTCGTAGAAGATGTTAAGATCGGCATTGCGCGAGTCTCCACCAGTCATGATAGTGCCATTGTAGGGAACCTTGATGGTATAGTTGAGCGCATCCAGGTCGATGCCTTCCACGATGAGACCGGACATCTTGGCGGTTGTAAGCTCGTGGGCGCAAAGCGGTGGGTGGAAAAGGGTGCTGTGAAGAGAATGAAATAAGATCGATCGAAGTTGAGGGGTTACAGTTCACTTAAGAAGTGCAGAAGGAGTGTGGTGAAGTGAGCGTGAAGGTGAGGGTGAGCGAAAGCGAGCCAATGAAGCAAGTCCTCTCGGAGCCAAGTCCCAGTCAGAGCAAGTCCAGATGTCGGATCAGACGCGTGGGGTGGGGAGGCGAGTAGAGTTTAAATGAGGCAACGACAGCCAGAAGCTTGGGGGGGTTCTTGATCTTGGATCCAACGGCTCCAGACTGTGCAGGAAGAGGGCGGGTGTGCAGGATCACAGGTCGCGGTCTGGGTTGTTGGGAAAAGGAAGCATCAACAACGGCGGCGGTGGGGGGGGGGGGCAGCTCGAAATTCACTTTGTCGATGGAGTGCGCAATTGGAGGTAGAAGAGCGAGGGCCGGGTCGGGTTATGTACTGTGCCCTGTGCCCCCCAGACAGCCGTCTGTCGCTCAAGCGAGATCCACCACGGCGGGCACACTTGCGCAGTTCCACAGACTCGCAGATTCGAGCTTCACTTCTCGCATTCACAAAGAATGATGGCACCAGGCATGGCATGGTGCCTTGCCGGGAGTGAGATGGAGGCTTGCACTGCGAAGCATGCGGACAGGGATGCGCGCAGGACATCGGCCGGGGGGGCTTGCCAGGCCCGCAAGCGGCTGCTGATAAGAACCAGCGCCGTTCGTGAGTTGTCGGGGCCCAGTGGCTGCAGAGCGGGGGTCGATGGCTTACCGCAGCTTTTGACTGTGCAGTACTGGACGTTCTGGTCTGTGAGGACCGTATGGAGGAAGCAGGAGCCTGAGGACAGCGGGGATTCTCGGGCGCAACATGGGGGGCAGCAAAATGGGTCCAGCCCAGCACGTCGGAGGCGAGGGCGCGGCCGATGGGCGAGCCTGCCGGATCAGGAGCGTGGACCTGACAATCCGCAAATGGCAGCGGGAGGAACGCGCTATTGCAAACAAACCGCCTGGATCTCCTGAAGTCCCGGCTGGCTGTCTGGCTGTCTGCCTGCCTCCCTGCCTGCCTCTACCGCCACAGCTGCACGTGCGTGGCAACTGGGCTCTGCCAGACAAGCTCCAGCATTTTTACACTTGCACTTCGAGACGAGCGAGTCCAGCATCGCGGAGGAGGAGGAGGAGCGGGGGGAGCAGGAGGAATGTTCTCTGCTGCCCAACGAACCAGCCGGCTTCTAGCCCACAGACGACTCACCAGCACCAAATGGACCGACCCGCCTCTAAAGGCAAAGTCCGATCCGAGGGTCGCGTTTTGCAATAAGAAGACATACATGATACTGCAGTTAGTACAGTTGTCAGTTACCCATCTCCGAGCTCCATAAATAGCGGCGAGATGCCCGGCTTTCTCTCATTCGCTGTGGCCCCCTTCATTACATCGGGAATTTGCTGATCTCAGGACCCTATCGGTGTCAGTGGGGCTGCGGGGCCCAAAGGAGCTGTCCAGCGAATCACTTGGGGTACAGCATCTTTCCAGAACGCCCCGAGACCTTCCACTGCGTTTCACTGCAGATCCAGCAAGATCGATGGACACCATCGCCTCGTCATACGATACGATACTACTGTACGCTGTCGTCGAGGCAAAGAGACGTCTCAGCGGTGTACATTTGTGTTAATACCATGTATTTATATTATTACCCGAATGTATAGCATGGTCCGTGGACAGCTGCAGATGACGAACTCTTCCCCTGCCAGCCGTGCAACCGCAACCTTCACACCTTAATTTCAGAGCTGAAAACGGTGGTGGTGGGATTCGACCCCGCAGAATCCGACCTTTTAATAAATGCAGCCCTCATGCACGCAATACCCGAGTACTCGACTGCTGGCCAGGGGCAGCACCCCTTCTGGACAGAAAGAAGAGAAAGACTTTCTCTCTGCTCTGCGATCGTGTTGTACCCGTCCGTCCTCTCCCTCTCTCAAGTACGAGTCGAGGCCGATGCACATGTTGAGGCCTCTCCTCCTTCTTATTATTCGTCCTGGCGGAACGACTGAAGCAATCAAGCAAGCAGTAGTTCCTCCGCGCTGCAATCCGCCAACCAAGCTTTCTTTCGCGTCCCGCCAACTTTGATTAGAAGTTAAAACACCACTCCATGCCACGCCCGTTGGAGCACTTGAGAGGTGGAGACACTAACGTCTTGGATCTTCTTGGCTCTTCTTGGCAGCAGCCACGCAACGTCTCGTCAAAGATAAGAACATCCGCACGTTGTTAGAGGTCAAGAAGGACGACGAAAACAGAAGGCTCGAGAGAAGTGGAAAAAGGCTTTGCAAAATTGCAAGGAGATGCGAAAGTTGCCGTGAAATCCGCCTCCAGTGACCGCGAATGACACGCCAGCCGATGTTCGGCATACCTGGATTCGCATGTTTCACGCCCCACGGAGACACTTCCACACATTTCCACACGTCCATACCTCCTTTCATACTTCCACTTCCGCAGCCTCATCTCAGCACGAATCATCGAGTCGCTGGATCGCCCCACGGTCCGGGCGGGCTGCGAGCACTTCCTGAGTCCTGACGAAAACTCTGCACTGCGCGGATTACGGCATCGAAGAGCCAGCCTTGGGACCGGGTCCTGCTGACATCTGAAGTCAGATCATCCCAAACAGTCACTCGGGAGCAGCCGCGGCGATCTTCGAGCACACGATCCCAAGTATTCTGGGCGAGGCTGCAGACTTGCAGTACTGTAGCTGCTATTGTCACTCTCTCTTCAGTCCAAATCTTGGTGGCTTCGTAACTGTTCATTATTTCTCAAACACTGCTTCAGAAAACCTCTTCTCACAGACACGGCTGAGGTACCTGCTACCCCACACAAATAACCCGTCTTGAAAAGCCACAGCATGGCACTTTGATACACACCCACTCACCCTCTCTTTGTACCTCTTGAGCGTTCAAAAGTGGTACAAATTCATGCAGACCCCGAGCAGGCGCTCCCCAGAAAAGTCCCCCAAAAGTTAATGTGGCTGGGACCGTTTTTTTTGTTTGGGGGCCAACGCAAACTCCATACCCCACGCTGTGTTACAGACTGCTGCCCTCCCCACCTTCCACAATGAGCGGGATGCGAAATGAATGTAATTAGCGCTGTCGATAGTCCAATTTGCTGCATTAAATACACTTCCAGCATGGAACTGTTCTCCATCACATGGGGCTGTGATTGAAAAATCCTCCCTCAAACCTTCAAATGCATTCAATATGGAGATCCTGTGCTTGGGTTCATTTCGTGCGTCGTATTTCGTGTTACATTGACCTATTCTAAGAATGCGGCATTCCTGTGTAACAGCTTTTCTTGGCTGAGTTTCCGTCCTCAAGCTCTACGACCTTGATGTATTTACGAAGGCTCTATGATCATTGGAACCTCAATATCACCACAATCTCGGTTTCGCAAACACGAACGAGAACTCTACAATTGATTCTCCAGAAAAGATGGGAGATAGATGTCTCGAAACAAGTATCTATCAAACGTTTTTGGATTTGCATTCATTGAGGCGGCATGGCATCAATCTTTCCGTTACTAATCTGAGATGTTGGAAGTCTTCATCTTCGATTGATCAGCTGATGTTGGGGGATCAAAGGCACCTACATGCCTTGGAATTTCCTGCTTCTAAACCGTTGTCCTGTGGAAGAATGCGATACGAAGGCTTTGACAGGCGTGCCCAATACCAGCCTTCGAGTTCACCATCGGCGATTCTCTTTTTGCCCTTCATCCCACCTGTCTCCGGTCAATAATTTATCATTCCATCTCAAATCCCTCGAAACTACCCTTCCCGCCGGCCTTACCACGTCGTACAACCGCTGTCTGACATCGAAATCATCCCAGCATTATCTTCAGCTCCTTTCTCCAGCGAATCTAGAAGTCCGAGTTGAGCACCATCCAGCTGCCTCAGCCATTGCGCAACCTCCCTAGCTGCATCATCTCACATCCTCCTCAGCCCACAATCCTTACTCCTTCGAAGGACAAGGTCCTTCGGCACTTCTCAATTACGCACTCTCGGGGCTATTTCTAGTCAGCCACTCAAGCTAACACCATAAAGCAGAAAATTTGGAACCCTCGGTCGATTCACATCTCACAGGGTGCCAATTACTTACGGAAGCAAGTGCAACGGGATACATAAGCAGAATCCTTAACTCAACAAACAACCCACTCGAAACACTCTCATACACCAACATAACAACGCTTCTCGTCTCTCCTCCTCCTCTCCCCTCCGTCTCTCTTCACCCACAATCCAACCCCGCCCACCCCTCCTCAGCCATGTAAGTTGGGACTCCCCACGGGACTCCACATCCTGCACGCTCCCTCCTCCTCCCTCGAATCCGGAGTCGCACCACAGCCCACGAGATCCGAGACCCGTGCCCGTGACCGCGGATCGGGATGCTGTGGGACGGGGTGAAATCCGTCCGCATGGCATCTCCGTTCGTCGGGTCTCGGGACCGCAATTTGCGAGAGGTTGTGTAAAGGTTATGTAGTACGAGTCTCGGAGCTGAAAGTCGGCGAGCTGGCGGCACCAAGCTGTTGGCGGGGGGTCGTATGAGGAGAATTGTGCGGTGGACGAGGTGTTGGGAGGAAAGAGGGAGCGGACAGCAGTGAGTGGGTGGTGGAGGAGGGATGAAATCCTTGCGGGGATTAAAGATTGCAAAATATTATATCGCTCTTGGTGGCGATGAGATCGAGACGTTGAATCGACCAGTGAACTGACGTGAAGTAAGTTGCTCTGGGTAGTACGGGACTTGAGCAAATGATGGATCTGAGACCTGTAAAGTCGTCGACTGAAGAAGGAAAACGACGTCACCCGGGGTTTACAACGAAGCAGACCAGCGGCAATCTGATGTAATACCCTAACGGGGTTGTTACTAGAACGCTCCACCCCCGTAAACTATACCAATATCAAACCAGGTCTGTTGCACATCCACCTCAACGTCCCAAAAGTTTCGGTAAAAGTAATCTTACATTGAGAATTTCTCGGAATTAGAAATAGGAGAGGAAGTGGAGAGAGTGAGATATCCAAGTCGGTCTTGCCTTTTCCAGTGTGACTTGATTAGAGAGCGAATGCGCCGCTGCATCGTGGAGCATCTCTTCAATGTTCCGGGCGATTCTGGGACACTGAGAAGAAGATCTTCGGGATGCTGAGATGCCTGCCTTTTTCTCGGTCGGTAGCAGAGCACAGAGCCGCAAGCTTACTTCAGCTTTGGAGGACCTAGTCAAAGTTTGAGGACAGATGATACGCGGTTAACATCCCTTGCCTCCAGTCTACTCGTGTGGATCTAAAAGCAGAAAGAAGAAAAAAACTGTCCAGCCTTGTAGGATCTCCAACGTCACGCCTAGAGCTAGATGCCACAACCGTTACCCATCTTCGACTCCCAGCACTTTAACCAAGGCAACTCACGTCTCAACTTGCCCATCAGCCAAAATCACAAAAGTAGTTTCAAAGTGAAGTATTATGAGTATTCATTCTCGTCTCATCTCACCCCTAACTCATACACCAATCCACCAATCCTCCACAAACTATATACAACTCTCTCTCACCGAACGGAGACCGTACTCCGACAGACTGTAATTACAATACAAAACAATACCACAAAGTGTATATCCATTATCTCGGCATCTCGCCAACCACAGTCGAAGGTCGGTCAGTCGCAGAGATATAAAAGCAATGACACCACCCAACCAGCCCCAATCCATCCGGATGTAAATGCTGTAAAACCCAACTCCTTCCCTTCTTGCTTGATTGCCCTGAAATGCAATCCAAGGGGATGCGATTACTAGTAAAAAGGAGTATGCAAGTAAGGGTATCCCCGCTAAAACGCGATGCAAGCAATCTAAAAATCCAACGCATTCTGTGTCTCATCTGTATCCGCATCGTCACCGTTTAACATCCTCGCAATTCTTACTTAAGAAGAAAGCGTGGCGAATCGGCCCTGAAAAGCTCTCATCCTTTCCTCCTCAATTACTTTCTGCAATCTCTTCGTCTCGCGGACTGCCTCTTCCCGCTCGTTTTGCAGCTCCATGACTTCGATCTGAGCAACATTCATTCGGCCCACAACCTCCTCCATCTCTTTATCCGCATCAGCAAGGGCGGCCTCGAGTTCTACGACTCTCTGCTTCAGGAAGTCCATCTTGGAGTCCTCGGACACCGTCATGGCCTTTCCAGACGACGTCGACATGATTCTCGGAGCCCTGGCCGAATTCGCAAATATGGGCGTGACTGGGGATTTTGGTCCGAAAAGACGTGGTGAGCGGATCCCACTCTTCATGCGTTGAAGCTGCTCATTGTGACTCTCTTTCAGTCCACGAATCTCCTCCTCATGTCGGGTGACTCTGTCTTCTGATGTTTGCTGGGCCGCCATCAATTGATCCTCGAGAGACTTGAGCTTGCTCTGCATGTACATGATCTTCTGCGCATTGGCCTTCTGTTCCTTCTCCCCACGCTCGATGGTCTCGGCCAGCCGTTGTCGAAGGGTTGCATTCGAAGCGAGTTGCTGCCTCACTTGGACAGCCAGCTCTTCGACCCGCTTTGCAGAGCCACGAAGTTCGTCCGCCAGAACAAGCTCGTCACTCAAGCGAGACTTTTCTGAGTCGCGAAGAGACTGTTGTTGTTCTCGAAGAGAGTCGGCTTCTCGTTTGGCAAAGTCTCGCTCAAGGATTGCATCAGCCAGACTTTGCTCAAGTTGCTTCATGGCGGTAGCTGTCTCTGCATCCTTAGGAATTGACAACTCCAGGTTCTTCACCCGCTCCAAAGACTCGGCGTAGGCCGTCTGTAGCTCCTTGTATGCACGCTCGAGGGATTCGGAGGAAACATGAGCACTTCCAGATCTCGCCCGACTCCCGTCCAGGGTTCCAGTGGGAATCAAAATGTCTTTTTCCTGCAGCAAGCTTCTCAAAGATCCGATTTCTTGCTCTGCACGGTCAAGATCCATTTTCAAGCCACTGAGACCTTTCTCGCACTGCCATTTCTGCTCGATAGCTTCTTCTGCACGGCGGCGGAGAACGTTGATCTCATTTCGTAAGCTTGCCACTTCCTTGTCGTATCCTAGCCGCTTGGGGGAGCTTGAGAGTGCTCGATCTCGTTCCATTTCCAATTGGCGTAGCTTCTTCTGGTTCTCACGGTTTTGGTGCTCTTGTCGTTCGAGCAAGCTCTTGAGTGCTCGGTGAAGGGCATCCCTTTGTTGTTCGACATCCTTCACTCGCTCAGCCAGTGCCTCCCTCGATTCGGCAACCTTCACTGATGTAGACCTTGACAATGATCCAGGCCTTGACCTAGTCACAAGAGTTTGAGAAACTGAATTCGATCTTGCCATACCAGCAGCTCCTCTTGGCTTGAACGGTGAAGCCTCTTCTGCGATGCTATCGAACTTCGTCTGGTGCTGCATTGCCGTCTGTAATTTCTGTGCATTAATTAAAGTTAAGTTTTCCTTTTTGAGTGTTTGCAGTTCTTGCTGCATCTTTGATTGTTCATAAGTGAGTTTTTCGTGCTCGGCGGCTTGCGCCTCAAGCCCCTCAACACGAGCTCGTAGTTGGGGGACGATCTCATCCCGTAAGTTGTCCCGTTCATTATGAGAACTTTGGAGTTCGCTCTTGAGTGCCGTCAACAGATCCTCGAAGTTTTCTTTGACTTGGCGTTCCTCTGCCAGTCGGCGCCGCAGATCTTCGCAGGTGGCTTCGAGGTCTCTTAACCGTCCATTCACATCAAGAGAGTTTATCGAAGCAAGGTCGACCTGTTCAAAACGTTAGTGCTGTTGTGTTTCTGGTCCTGTCTTGGTACTTACATGTGAAGCCTTCTCCTCCAGGTTCCGAATCTGAACCTCAAGTTGTTTCCTTCTTGCCCTTTCATCCTGTACCTTGTTCGTAAGCTCCAATCTCATCTGGGCCTTGTCTTGTTCTGTCTTTCTGATCATGCGGTCCAGCTCATCCTGTCTTGAGTCGGGCTCTCCATACTTCACTGAGCTGGTGCCCGAGTCCGAAAAGTAGTCGCTGGTTCGTTTTCCTCGATCAGACGGGTTCTGTGCCTCTGCTTGCAGACGTTCTACGAGATCCTCCAGGTCCATCTCCCGTCTGATAGAAGAGGCCAGCTCAGAGCTGATGTCTTTCAATTCTTTCTCCATCTCTTCGACTTGTATTGGTGACGAGGGCGTTGCCAATGGTAATTGAAGATATGCGCTTCCGAAATAACTGTCCGCTTCTGCGTTTGCCTTTGGAACATCAATGGCGGTGGGTATGTTTCTGGTGGTTGTCGTTTTGGAGGCATCAGGGAGGGTGAGATTATATTCGGAGGGCTGGGGCGAGGGTATGGGAGAAATAGACTTCTCGGAAAAAGTGGTTGTGGAGGAAGCTGGAGATGGAGCACCTCCCCAGCCGAAAAAGGATCCGAGCTTGGAAGCTCCTGGAGACTTCGGTAGCGACTTTTGAATGGTAGTATTAGAGTCGTTTGATTCGTTAGGGTAGCTTCTTGATTCAGCATAAGGTGAGTTTAAGCGGTGTGGCGGAGTAGGTTTGGCGGAGAAGATGGACATAGTAGAGTGTGAGTGACCTGCTGAGCTGGAATCACTGTACCATGGGCTCGTTGTTTCTAACGGAGAATCGAGAGCTGATTCGCCTGTCAGATTCGCATGCTGTGACGGAGGGGTCGGCGGGAGAGGTTTCTGTGATGGGACGGTGAGGTGACAGGGAGTATCCTGTTGCGAGTTTGTATCGCGTTTGGGTGACGGTGGGTCCGAGGTCGTCTGGGGAGTCAAAGCAGTCTGTTCGTTTGATAATCTGTACAACTATATCAGCGTAGTCCATTGAAACAACATTGTTTCAGTGAGGCAGAGGCAATATACATCGACAAACTTTGTTCTGTGTGTCCTGCCGCGGCGGACGGGATCTTTGCTGTAGGAGGAAACTCGTAAAGAGTTGGACTGTCGACGGAATAAGGCCTGCTGAAGGTCTGTTGTGGTTGCTCTAGATTCGCAGCGAGGTGCTCGCCCGACGAGTACCTCGTAGCTAGGGGCGAGGCCGTTGCTGGTAAAGGTTTTCGACGGACTGGTGAGGATGAGGTCGTCGACGACAACGGCGAAGAAAGTGTTTCCGCTCGTGATCTGATCGACAGAGGCGGGATTTGTTCTCTGGTGTTCGTTGGGGCCTTCTCTGGTGGGCTATTGGCTGGATGAATCGAGGAGGGGAGACCAGATGTATCCGACGCGTAGGAGGTATCAGGTTCAAGCAGGGCGGAGGGGTCGAAGTTTCCACTCGCTCGAGCAGCTGGGAACGCCATGATCATCTGTTAGGTCGGCAAGCAGACAAGACATTGGAGGGTGGTGGGAGATGAACTCTTTGCTGGTTCTGCGAAAGGCAAGACTGCGAGTTGTGTTTGGATGGATTGATCCAGAGATCAAAGTTGCAATTCAAGGGTGGCTTTTCGCACTTGCCCAGGGAGGCGCCCTCGCTTGGCCGTAGTTCGCAGCTCGAGCAGGGGGGGGAGAGGGGGGGGGCGCCCGAACAGGCAAGCACGCGCTGGGGGGGGACGGACAGGCGAGCAGGTGAGCAGGTGAGCAGGCGTCTCTTTGGAAGTTTGGATTCAAGAGGCCGCGCCGTGAGCGGGTTGAGTGGGTCTGCGCGGTGAAGTGTGGGTCTGCACTCTCGATTAGACTCGCAGCCAGGCGGCGCGCTTTGCCTGAAGAACCGCAGAGCGCGAAAGGAGATGCAGGCACCGCCCAATCACCGAGCGCTGTGGGGCAGCCCCGCCCCGTCTGGCAATCCTGGCAATTCTGGCGTCCCGGCTGCATTCCTTCTGCGAATGGGAGTCCCCGTGGCGTTCAGGTACAATCTCCAACCCAGCTCACGCATTTTTTTCTTTATCGCATCGATTCGCTTCGCTCACATGTGGCTTGAGAGCTCGCCAGCGAACCATCCATCAACACCGTCACAGTTGGCAGAGCTGACTTTCTGCTAACGTCAGGTCTTCGTTTCCGACGCACCAATTATGCATCTATCTGCACATGCTCATTGCTCTCGCATCACTCCTACTTCCTCCTGCCAAGGGTGAAGCTGACCTGTGAAGCTTTTAAAGGTTACCCCTGAGCAGAAGTGTTCCCGGCCCTGGCGATTTGGAGCAGCTCGGACCCCACAAACCCTGGAATAGTTTCGTTTCTTGTGCAAGCCTGCACCGGTGACCGCCGTCACACCGCAAAGGGCAGAACTCGATGCTGCGATGTCACTGTATCACAAAAGCTAACGACTTTCAACGGGCCGCCGGCTGCCAGAGGTGCATTTGACGTCGAAAATAGGAGAGACCCCAATCATCTGCATGACAGCACCCAATAATAATGATAGCCTTCTTAATTACTGTCGCCACCGAAGCTGTTGTGGAGGCCTCCACTCGCCCAATGAGGACGAGCCCTGGCGGCTACAAATTGCGTGTGCGGTACGGGCCCTCAAAGGGGTAAAGTACACGTGTGTACGGTGAAAACAACCCCTGCCCTGAAGTGTGTTTCTAGCAAATTCGCCTCCACAAAACCTTGAATTCCAGCCGGCTTATTCGTTAGCACCCCCTCTTGTGGCGTTTGTGGATCCACACAGGGCATGGGTTTATTTTGCCAAGTCACCAAGTATCGAAGCCTGAATCGAGAATCGATGAGAGCCACAACGTGGGGAGATGATTCACATCGCGTTTCTTGATAGCCGTTTCTCCTTACTTTTTCGCGCCTGAGGTAGTTCTTCAATGGAAAAGGTCCTCTGACAGCAGTGAGACTCAAATGCTAAAACAAGACTTTCTCAGCCTGGCAGCTGAAGAAAGTTGAATCGAAACATCGTCGGGTTCGCATCTCAACCTCGCTTTCAGAGCTGACTGCGAATCTGACCCCGCCTCCATCGCATCGAAAATCGCGGCTATTTGGGTCGTAGACGCTCTTTCAACCAAAATAGCGTTTTGACAACGATCATCTTCCGAAGCGGTCCTCGTCTGCGCTGCATAGAAGATCCAATTTTGTTTAATTTCCTATCTGCTTCTGGTTGTGTCCTCCTTATCTCTCATCTGTCACTTCTTAATCCTCCACAGGCCACCAGTTCACTCCTCACCCACACTTTAATTAATTTCTATCTCTCATCTGTCACTTCTTAATGCTCCATTAGGGGTGGTCAATTAAATTTAATGGCTACCAGATTAAGATATAATTAAATATAATGCTCTTGAGCCGATTAAGCGTTATATTAAGTGGGTCCGGAGGACGTTTTGAATACAGCCAACCAGAGGGCTAGAAATTAATGCCCGTGACATCCTTCTCTCGTCTTGGAGAACGATTCTTCTTACACATCAGGTTAGAAATTAGTGCTTTATTGACTGGACATTAGTATCGGGGGATATCAATATGAGTAGAAGACAAGAATAAAAATGTATCTTTAGTCCTTATTAATATTCCACGTGACCGTTGTTTTCATTAAAATCATAAATTTACGCATAAAATAATGCAGATACTAATGGTAGGCCCATTATGATATAATAATGCTAAGCGGATTAAATAATAATTAATTCATTAAAAATTTGCCAACCCTATGTTCCACAGGCCACCAGTTCACTCCTCACCCACACTTTAATTAATTGCTGTTATGCCGATTGTCTCCCGCTGCACAGGGCTTCCCAGACCTTCTAGCTTCAAGCGGCGAGTGTGGCCCGAGATGAGTTGAGATCGCTTGAGACACGGCCGAACGAAGATCAGTTGGTAACCGATTTGAGATGCTTGACAGGAGTTTCAATATGCATGAGATTGGAGCCTTTGGAGGGCATCCTTCGAGTCATGTGCCTAGAGTTCAAACGGAAGCACGAAGACGATCCGTGTTCCTTGAACATCGAGCCATTGCTCGAACCTCATCTGTTCACAGAGCAGCTTCATCAGAAACCCCCCCCCCCATGTTCTGGCACAACGGTGTCAGGGCCGCCGAGGAAGAAGATCATCTTCCCTCTCCAACTAGATGTTTAACTCATTCGCCATACTGATCAGTCTGGTTGGTATTTGGCTCTCCCGTTTCCGAGGAAGGTACAATTCTTGAAATCTCTATCCATTCTTGCCCCTCCTGCTGAGAGGTTTGTCGTATTATCCCTCATCCTCCACTTGGCATCATATTGAACTGTCTATTTCAGTATTCAAAAGCTCCCCGAACTGCGAGGTCAACCCTCCTTTCCTACAAGCTTATCTTTTCATTAATCTCTCTTTCAAGAAGACACCACGACTGTTCGTTCGAAGTCCAACTCATTCCATTCCTTATTCTAAAATCCGACAACGGTCCGTCCTCCCTCTGCCTCATCCCGCAGGTTCTCAAGTGTCCGACCCGAGCGGCATCTCCCTCTTTCTCCAGGGAACCCATAGCTCGCCTCATTTCAATATCGAGACAAATATACAGTGGGCAGAGAAGGAGGACTAAAATACCCATCTTCGAAAGGGAGGGTGCATTCGCTAAGGGTGGACCTTGCTTTGGAGCTCAGAGCTCATGGCAAGGGGCTATATCCGCAAGTGAATGAAATAAATTATTCACCCTTACTCAACAGGACACCGGAGGCTGGCGACAGTTGGTTTCACTAGGTGGGCCAACATCAGTTACGTCATTTTCACTCATCGTCACTCCCTATCTTTACAACTCTTCAAATCCGCCACAAGCAAGAAACCAGGAGAATGAGACTTTGAATTATCAAATATCTACCCCATTCCTCCCTTACTAGCACATAGTGTCCTGAGAGCACCCTGTATGTGTATATGCCACATCGCCCACGTCGTGTCCGACGAGTGACCAAAATCCGACTGTAAGAAGATGTTGAAGTTCTCCTAAACGCCAGATGCTATGCTCTCTAATGCAGAAACAAAGCCCTTCGAGAGCTTGATGCCGCTTTATCTACGGTCTATGTTGAAAGACTTTTATCTTCAATGCTGAACGCAAACAGAAGAAACAAGCTTTTTCTTCTGCAAAAAAAACGAACGTAATCAAGCGAGCTCCCAATAAGCAAAGCTACCGAATGCTGAGAAACGAAAAAACTCCGCTGTACCCCAATAGGTCGTTGAGACCATGCCTTTTCGTTCAATCATTTCGCCGTGAGATGTCCAAAGGAAATTTAAGAGATCCTCTATGTGAAAGACGTTGAGTCTTTCACTGTGGCAATGCAATGCGTAGTGTATTTAGAATTTGAGAGCCTTGGGCTTCTCCCAGGTGAAGCTTTGGTTGGTGAAGTGTCCGTTCTTTGCAGTTTGGAAGTAGATGGGCTTGGCCAAGTCGAGCTCCTTCACAATGACACCCGGTCGCAGATCGAAGTTGTTGTTGATGATTTCTTCGAGTTCATCAGAGGTCCTGTCGGAGGTACCGTAAGAATCAACGTAAATGGAAAGTGGCTCAGCAACACCAATGGCGTATGAAAGCTGGACCAACGCACGTCGGCAAAGCTTGGCATTGACCAGTGACTTGGCAATCCAGCGGGCGAGGTATGCAGCTGATCGATCGACCTTCGAGAAGTCCTTCCCTGAGAAAGCACCACCGCCGTGTGCTCCCCATCCACCATATGTATCGACAATGATCTTTCGGCCGGTCAATCCAGCATCTCCTTGAGGTCCACCAATGATAAATTGTCCGGAGGGTTGGATCTATAACGAAAAGTCAGTGGAAATCAATATTGTGTAATGTGAGGCAACCTACGTGATAGATAGTCTCCTCATCCAAATACTTGGCAGGAATAACCTTCTTGATGATCTTCTCCTTGATCTCCTTTCGCAATTTCTCGGTAGTGATATCTTCGCTGTGCTGAGCACTGACAACAACGGTGTGCACTCTGATTGGGACAACAGCTCCGTGATCATGTTTGTACTCAACAGTAACTTGGGTCTTGGTATCAGGTCGCAGCCATGGCAAGCTTCCATCTCGGCGGGCCGCAGACATAGCAGCGTTAAGCTTGTGTGCCAACTGAAGAGTGAGGGGGAACAGCTCAGGGGTCTCGTCGGTGGCATATCCGAACATGATACCTTGATCACCAGCACCTAGTTGCTCGAGGGCTTTCTCATAGTGAAGACCTTGAGCGATATCGGGGGATTGCTCCTCGATGGCGACGAGCACATTGCACGTCTTGTAGTCGAAACCCTTTGCGGAGTCATCATAGCCAATGTCCTTGATGGCGTCTCGAATAATCTTTTGGTAATCCAGACGAGTTTTGGTTGTAATCTCGCCAAAGACCATAACCATACCAGTCTTCGTGGCGGTCTCGCAAGCAACCTTGGAGAGAGGGTCGTCCTTCAAACAAGCGTCGAGAACGGCATCCGAGATCTGATCAGCAATCTTGTCTGGGTGGCCTTCTCCTACAGACTCGGACTGAGTTTGGGGTCAGTGGTTGAGCAGAATTCCTCGGGGAGGAGTAACTTACGGTGAACAGAAAAGTCCCTACGTTATGGTGGGGCGCTCGGTAGCCATTTGTGCCATTGGTCTGAGCAGTCATGTTGACGATTTGAGGTGATGAGTGAGGAGGAGATACAAAAAAGGTTCGGGGAGATCGATTCAGGAGAGGATGGACGGAAAAAGAGGGCGGAGAAACAGATTTTGATGAAAGACGTCAAGGAGGACGTCCGAAAAATCGTGGGGTTGGCAGATATGGTGCAATCCAACTAAGCCACTTCGAGAAATCTGCATCAAGTCCCACACCGCTTCCGCAGGATCATCTCGAAATTTACACGGAGGCGAATCACAGACTTGCGACTGCAACGTGCACAATGTGCATAAAAGTGTCACGAGACTTCAGCCTTTCTTATGCCGGCAGCCTTCCGTGAAATTTTTATGACAAAAGGCTGAGGCGCCGAAATTCCTCGATCAACACCCCTCCATCAACATGAGCAAATTTGGAGTCCTCGTGATGGGCCCTGCCGGTGCAGGCAAGGTCAGCTTTTCCAGTTGCTGGAATGGATTCACGTATCTAATATGATCAGACCACCTTCTGTTCAGCCCTCATAACTCATCTTCGAAACAATCGTCGATCATGCTTCTACGTGAACCTCGACCCGGCGGCCGAAGAATTCGTGCACGAGCCCGACCTCGACATCAAAGACCTGATTTCCCTCGAAGATGTCATGGAAGAAATGGGCCTTGGACCGAATGGCGGTCTGATATACTGCTTCGAATTCCTCCTCGAGAATCTAGACTTCATTACTGAGGCTATCGACCCTCTGACGGAAGAATACCTGATCATAATCGATATGCCCGGGCAAATCGAACTCTATACACATATCCCGATCTTGCCTGCGTTGGTTAGACATTTGACGAGAACTGGTGCATTGAATGTCAATCTCTGTGCAGCGTACCTACTCGAGGCTACATTTGTGGTTGATAGAGCAAAGTTCTTTGCTGGGACATTGAGTGCTATGAGTGCTATGATCATGCTCGAGGTCCCGCACGTCAATATATTGTCCAAGATGGATCTTGTGAAAGGGCAAGTGGGAAAGAGAGAACTGAAGCGTTTCTTAGATCCGGATACTTCATTGCTAGATGATGACCCTGTGGAAGGGGAAGAAGATGACGGAAGTGGAGCTCCCGGAGATGCGCAGACATTGATGAGAGGAGCAAGCTTTAAGAGGCTGAATAGGGCTGTGGCAGGGTTGATCGATAGCTTCAGTATGGTCTCCTACCTGAAATTGGACGTACAAGATGAGGATAGCGTGGGTGGGATATTGAGCTACATCGACGATGCGATTCAATTCCACGAGTCCCAAGAACCGAAGGAGCCAAACGACGAAATTGACATGGAGTATGGTGAAGATGGATTGGAGTGAACGGATATACTTGGCACGGTCCCTTGCATGAACGGAGTTGGGAAATGGTTAGAAATGCATAGCGCTGGCGTCGTAAAATGTGATATCCAGATTTCTTTACAAGCCTTTTACCGTCCCAACGCCCCGAGCCATGACCGTGAGTGAGTTTAAGATGTCCTCCCTTGCCGTAAACGCCTAGAATAAACCACCCCATACCTATGCAAGATTCTCCAAAACGCTCCCTTCTGTTGACCACTCTCACAAGGCCGTCATCGCCAACTAGCCCTCGCGTTCGTCCTCCCTATCATCGGCCCCGGATTCCGTCCTTGAGAACTTCCTTGGTTCTGATATCCCTCCCACCTCCTATACTCTCTCCACCAAACATCACTCAACTCCTGGCCCCATCCGACCAAATCTCCCACAGTCCTCTCCACTCCCCTTTGCCAGATCGCACTTATCAGCAGCACCACCACCGTCCAAAACACTATCCTCATCATAACTTTAAACCACCATACCATCACCCTCCTAATGAAGTTCAGGACTTGCATGGCTATTAGAAGAAACAGTAGGAGGATGCCAACAGTGATGATCGCAGGAGACTTGTGGGCTAAGTTGGCGGCCGTGTTGAGGTAGGGCAGGAGGATGGGGTAGATTTGGCGCTGGGTTTGGAAAATGAAGCGCCGGATGGGTCGCAGGTAGGGGTCAGCCGTGTTGTAGATATGGAGAGCCTGGGAAGCATATTCTATTCTTTGTGAATATTCCTGGCTGGAAAGGTGTGAGTGAGGGAGTTCGCGCACCTTGTACGAGCTCCATGATTCCGAATTCAAGATGCGGCAGAAGCGCGCATCTGTATCTTCTTTGCGGGCCTGGTAATCGTGTTCAATTATTGTATCAAATTAAAGCTTTCAGGCAACGTGAATACTGGACTGGGCAACGTGTTGAGGAGTGTTTGGATTGTACTGGTGTCTTCTATGACGGAGTTTTGTCTCGTGAACGTTTCTCCGCAATCAGAAGGCTGATACGAAAGCACTAGCCCCATCTAGCGCCACTTTCACGTGCAATAGAGACGAATCGCCCCCCTTTTTCAACTATCGTGAATGTTTACGAGTCCTGTATTGTTTATGCAAATGCCCAATTTTATCATTAATCCCAAGCACCATCCCTATGCTGTATCTAACCCCTGCTGCCCATGCCCCCAAAACTCCTTCTGAATAGAAACCGTCATGCCAGGTCATCAATGTCGTCAGCATCATCCCACCCAAGGGATTTGTATATGTTCTCTTCGCTCCTTCCAGTTTCTTGACTCGAAGTGGCTATTAACACCTTCCTCCTTTCTGCCCTGTCATTCTCCTTGTCACTCCCAGGCCCTGACAACCCAGGATGGCTGTGATCGAACATCATTTCTTGTCTCCGCTTCTCTGGTGTTTCCTGAACCCCGTGGGATAAAGACGTGGACTCTCCCTTTGCAGTGGAATTAGGTACAGCTGTAAACAACTGAGCGCTGGACCGGCGAACATGCAGCGGCGAAGAAGGGAGGTATCCATTATGATCATGGTCAGGTGGACACAACAGACCTCCCCTTTGAGAGGAACCGGGGCCCGCCTTTCGCGTTGGAGTCGCTTGAATAGCTGAATACAATGGATTCTTCTTTGGCATCCCTTCATACGACGGTCGCAAGGCAGATTGAGGAATCCTTGGCAAACTTGATACAGGAATAAATGCCGACCCGGAGCCTTCAATCGATTTTGCCAAGCTGGAATGCTGAGATTCGGGAGCCATGTCTTTCTGACGATTAGCTTTAGGTGTCGCAGAGATTTGAACTCCGTGGAATAATGGATTCCTGATGGGCTTCTTAGATTCTTTTCAATGTCAGCATTCAACTCGATAACACGCCTTGCCAACTCACTTCGAGCGTGAGAGGCCGAGGCCGTTCGTTTCTCGGCGGTCTCAACCAGTGATTTCCCAGCCAACTCGCGATTTGGCTTTTTCAGAGCGGAAATAGCATCTTTGAGCTCCGCTTCTATGATGGCTTGCTTCTTTGCCTTTGTGTTTCCGCTTCCTTCGGGAGCCAAGCTGCTCAAATCTACCTCCCGCTGGAAGAAGCGCTTGGACTTCAGCACGCCGCCCCGATTCGCTTCTAAAGATTGAGAATCTGCGGTGGGGATACTAGATAATGAAGGGGCTTCACTGCCTTCCCTCTTCACTCCAGGCATTGTTGGCATTGTTGCAGATCTCATCAAGGCTATTGCTTTGTTAGGACCTCTAGACATGCTTCGTCGTTCCCGATCATCAGTCAGCACACGTTGTAGGCTCCTGCGAGGTTTGGCCGGAACAGGGCGTTTTGTGGCAGCACCGGGCCGAGAAGGCGCGCTCGAAAAGCTAGAAGCTTTAGAAAGCTTTGGTCTTGGCGGAGAAACGACAACAGGACCCCCAAGTTTCCTGTTGATAATTGCACACCGCTCGGGGAGGCGAGAAGAAAAGCTTTTAATTGCTCGTTAGACGGAGGCCAAGGAATTCGGAGGCAGACTTACAACGGGGCGATGATGTCGATGCAAAAGTCCTTTAGAATGTTGTCTGCATGCTTGACTGCGTTTGTCACTTCGTCCGGTTGTTCAGAAGATTTTTCTGAGTTATTGACAGGGCTTTTCCCTGCTTCAAGGGCAATAGATTGCCAAATACACAATCTATCTATATGCACGTCAATGAGCATAGTGAGATGGCCAGGTTTCTTGGTCTTGGCCGATCTGTCCTTCGCTTCTGCAACTTCAGTCGTTCGAACAGTGGCTGGCAAGCCCAGTCCCGCATCTTCTGTCGTTGATGCCAGAGGCTGTAGAGCAAGGACTTCGAGGATCACTATCATCTGAAGTTGGGTTTCTCTGATTCGTAATTGAGAGATACGACGTTTCGTCAGCTCATCTCTAGAGCTCCCAGGTGCTCCAGATTCTGCGTCATCGTCTTGGCTTGCCCACCATCGTCGAATCAGAGTATTCTCAGTAGGGTACAAACCGGTTTTGTCAGGCTTCATTTTCTTACTGCTTTTCCTCTTCTTGGGTTTACCGGAGGTTCGGGTAGCATCTTCTGCGCTGTGATCTTGGATATCGATCAAGGCGATACAAGTAGGGACACCGTCGCGGTATTTTTTGTCGATCAATGTTGTGGACATCACAAGGCTCTCTAAAAATGCAATATGATCATTCAGATCAAGCGTCGAATCATAATCAAGGTGAAATGCAGCCCTGGCACGTGAAAGAGGTCCTTTGGCGAAATATGCCAACGAAGCCTATAGACTTAGTGAAGTGGCTCTTAAGTACACGGATAAAACTTACCTTGGAAAGGTAAAGTGCTTCAAAATACTGATTCCGAATGTTTTCAAATATCTCGGCTGCGGTGAGTTGCGTTGCAAGCTCCTCTTGCGGGGGTGGACCAGTAACCCCCTCTGTCACCTGTAGGGTTGTGGATGATTCCGGCTCAATTGGAGACTCTTGGGATTCGGTGGCAAGGGAAGTCGAAGGACGCTTCACCATGGATTGGATAGCCTCAATGGCGAGCCGCTTTTTCTTACCGTATTTGCTTGACTCCGGGGTTACGAGTGGGGTGGCTGATTGAGGAAATGCAATCCCTGGAGGCCCATTTTCAGATAATTTGTGCATCTCTGGCTTGGATACGACTGCTTCGACCTTCAGCCCTTGCAAATTAATCCAGGACCCAAGTTGACACAGGGCGTAGAGTCCGCGACTCTCTCGTTCCACCGCACATACTGTGCGAGCATCGTCAAGTCTAGCAATGAGCACCATCGGCTGGCTTCCCATTCGGTCCTCCAATTCCAATATCTTGACATGAGTCTCGAACAGTCGTGATTGGCCCAGAGTCTTAGCAGATGACACAATATCGAGGGAAGATAATGGTAGTTGGGATCGAGGTAAGAGCATCAAAGGTTGCAAAGTTCGTGTTTTAGCGGGGGCACCAGAAGGGTATGGCTATGGGTTTTAGCAATTGCTTTCTAAAGGAATGGCTTTACTAACTCTCACGACAAAGGCATCTTTCAAAAGGTCTTCCATGGTGTTGCCATCTCGTTTCCGCTTCTTGGGGCCGGAGCTTCTGCCATCACTCGAAATCACAAGGTTGTCGGATGCTGGCGTCAGGATGTGGGAGCGCGTTTGAGTCTTGGTGGACGCGTCCGAGGCATGATGTTCTTCTTGTCCTGACATAGCAATGAAATATTAATAGGCCGTGTCATGAGGTCCTCATTATTTCATACAAGGACCTTAACTGCGGAAGAGCCGCAATGATGTTACTTGTAGCAGTGAAGCTTGGTCTCGCGTGGTGAAAGATAACGCGACGAGGCTGCCAGCCGAGGACCACTAAGAAAAGGTGTCACCCACACTGCAACAAAACCCAACGCAACATTCAACTTTAGTTCGAGTCGTACATCAATTCTCCTAATAATGGTTTAATTTACGTTTTCCTGGTTGCTCCTTGATAGCTGTCTTCGGGAATTGCTCTGGATCAGATAGTAGAATTTTCGAGAACAGGCAGCTCTTGAGATGGCAATGCCGACTCGCAACAAGGAAGAAGACTCGTTCCTTGATTGATCTACTCGTGTGCTCCCTGCAAGCCAAACAAGCTTAACTTCACTCTCGTCAAGGATTGCTCGAAGCAAAACGGCCGTGCTCGGGCTCATTGGTCGCCAGCACGGAGGGGTTGATTGATCCAGCGATGTCCACGCCACACTTGGTGGCAAAAATCAACGCGTCCCAAGCAGATTTGCAGCCTCGCGAGCCATCCATTGGAGGAGGGGTATGGAGAAGCTAGGCAGGAGGTCAGCGGTCGCTACGGCATTGCACCAGCTGGTGATATCTTGAGCGTTTGAATAAGTAGCAGCTTGCCTGCATTTGACAGAAAGATATCGAAACTCATCCACTGTAGCCAGAATATTCCACGACATTGTCTGCTATTCGCCTCATTGGTGCGTGCTGTCGAGGCCAGAGGCCCCTTCGGAAACAAACCTCCGAAAGAGCTAGTCCCAAGATTTGTCGACTGGGATTTCCAGATCGACCGTTGCCGGAAGGCGAACATCGAATTGCCCACAGCAGCGCTTCCTGTACTCCAAGCCTCGTCGCCCTCTGCCGCATGTTTCCTCAACTCGAAGAACGTGGACTTCTTTTGAGGCATTAATCTACAAGTCCATCGCGAATCGCAAAAGGAGAGGCGAAGGCCAACCTCCGTTGGCGGCCCCAGCTCTTCGATCAAGGATGCCCGAGCATTGACGCTTAACGTAAATTACTTTCGGCGCGACAACCTCGACGAGAATTCCCCTCGAGTGTTCGGTCATGAGCGTGGACGTGTCCCCTCGCTCAGTACGGTTCTCCAACGGGGGAGAGGACGGCGCTTTCGACATCATCAAATCGCCGAGAGTCATGGAAAGGCCCCATGTGCAAACGAGCGACTCTGGGGGGTCTGGTTCTTCTGGGGATACTCAAGACTCCGATCACCTCACAGTTGATACACGGGCCACACCACACCCAGGAACGCTGGATCCGCGGCCTCCGATGACCAGTATCAACTCCAGTGTGCGGAGCCACAGAGGCAGTACAGATGCGAGCGGCCTATACGGCAGAGTGGAATCACCTTTACCACCTCTAAATGGCACAACCAGCAGACCTCCAAGACCAACTGCTCCAGCTAGGACTCCATCGAATACATATGCCCCAGCACGCCGACCTCCTCAACCGCCCTACATCTCAATAGCAGACCGAAATCGCTCCGGATCCACGTCTCGATTTCGACAAGACCCGAATGCTTCATATCGAGCGCAGGAGAAGGCGTACGTACAACGTTTGCGGCAGGATCAACCCTTGGAGTACTTTGAGCCATATACGCCGAGCCTTGGATATGGGACCGGCTCTGATACGGAAGACGATTCTCCTTCCGAACTCCATTTTGATAACGATCCCTACGATCAAGAGACATTACTCTTCTACGGCAATGATGATATTCAACCAACCGCCGAAGATCTTCAAGATCCCGCTAATCGAGAGCGTCTAGAATGGCACGGCATGTTGGCTTCGGTCTTGACAGGGGACGTTGTGAGGCAGGAAAAGAAGAGGCTTATAGGCAACGTGGAAAAGAAAGGGGAGAATCTATATTCTGAAATATGGCTTGGCCTTCGTGCTAAAATCTGTGGGCGTACCATCGCTGCGCAGAAGAGGTTGATCGAGGACACTCGATCCACACTCGACAATTCATTCGACGAGATTATCAGATTCCAGGTTAAGGGAGAAAGTGAGGCTGGCAAACCTCCTGTGGACCAGGTTCGAGACATTGTCAAGAAGATTGAGAAGTGTGAAGGTCTCTACCCATCTCGCACGGCCTTGGAGTTTGCGAATAAGCTGGCAGCTTCACCTCAGTATCAGGCTACTTGTGATGCCGTAATCTCCTGGCATAATACGACCGAGCTCATCAACACTGAGCTGGGAATCCTGCAGAATTGGGTTGGTAACGCCGAGCTGGATTTCAACAAAGCAAAGGAACGGTCGCCATCTGGCAATGGACTATCAGACGAATCTTCATTCATCGACAGACTCTTGAAGGAGGATGGCCTTCGCTCTTTGCAAGGCGACAAGAGCATCCTTCTCGGCGTCTCAAAGGTTATTTTGAAGGCCAAGAATACTCTCATTAAAAACTCGGAGGCCTTTGCAAAACGTCATCTTCCTCCTTATATCGAGGAGCTGTTGACGCTTATTAACTTTCCCTCCCGCCTGATCGAGGAAATCATTAAGGTTCGGCTTACATTTGCCCGTAAAATGAAAGAATCAGCATCACAAAATTCGGTTATGCAGGATCAGATGATCGCACAATTTAGAATATTGCTGAAACTTGCTATCCGAATCAAGCAAGAGTCCTTGGAGATCATCCAGCCGGAACCTGGATGGGATCTTCCTCCGTGTATCGATGAATCATTCGATCAGGTAGTTTTGGATGCATTGAAGTTCTACTTCAAAATGTTGAACTGGAAGCTTGGCGGGAACAAGAACACATTCAAAGAGGCCGAAGTTCTAGAACAAGAATGGGACTTTTCCAACGAGATTGGGCGCCATCTGCAAGGTGGGGATGTCGAAGTTGCCGAACAGTTTAGCTCCCTCACCCACAAAGCTTTTCACCGTCTGAACCAGACATTTGAAAAAGATCTCCAGCGGAAGCCGAAGGAAACTGCAGCTGAGATGACCAAACGTTACAAGCAAAGTCTTGACTCAGTTCGCGTTCGACAACGAATGCTTCAACGATTTTCGCGGGTTTTGAGTGATCGATTCGAAAATGCCACGGATTTCAGCATTGCCATGCGCCGAGAGGCATTGCAGCACGTGTATGATAGGCTCGTCGAGACGGGTCACTTTTTGGTGTATACTGCAACCATTGAGCATGATGGGATCTTCTTGATTGCATCCCCATCGTTGTATAACCGCCCTCAAGATATTCAGTCCATACTCGGGACATGTTACCATGCCAATGACGTTCAAGAAGATCCCACCAACCCTTATATATTGGTACTACGTCCCGAGAATCAAATACCCTGGGATGGACGCCAAGTCGATGCGAATATTGGGGAACCCTCAACTGATGTCAAAATCGGCCACCTCCGCTTGATTGCCGATGGGTCCCAAACCAGATTACAGAACGCTCGAACAGCCTTTCTAGATTCCATAGACATGCATTTGGACATGGTTGTCGAGCAACGTTCCAACCTTAAGAAAGTCAATTTGAAGTTGACGGACATCAAGAAGGTTGTCTATAAGCTATCCAATTTGATCATGGACAGTGTGGAGATAGTCCGAAAACAGACCGAGGGTCTCGAGTGTCAAGAACTCATCCAAAACTGCTTCGTCTTCGCAACTGAATTTGGTCAAAGGTCTTTACTTTACATGGACCGAAATAGAAAACAGATGAACAACCTGAAACTCACCAAGCTGGCCCTAGATTGGATCAGCTTTATTTGCGACGACTGCATTGCTACCGATCGTAAGACGTTCAGATGGGCTGTCCTTGCTTTGGAATTCGCTATGGTTATGACTCAAGGCCAGCACATTCTTGCTCTCGGTGAAGATGAGTATTCGAGACTCCGCGCCAAAGTTGCAGGATGTATGTCTCTGCTGATCTCGCATTTCGATATCATGGGTGCAAGATCGACTTTGGCGGACCAGGCCGAGAAACAGAAAATCGAAGCACTTGCAGGCCAATTCAGAAAGATGGATATGAGTCGCATGCTTGATGATGATGAATCGTCAGCCTACGTCCGTGAACAGAGGCTGGAGCAATTGGCTTTCCTTGACGATACTCGAAAACAAAAGGAAGCTGAGAGACAAGCACTCGGCCGGGTTCTAGAAGAGTCGAGCGAGGCAGATCGATCACTGACTTATCTCTCATCCTCTACGTCCAATGTGAATATGAGGTGGCAGCAAGGAAACTTTGTGGGTGGCGGCACCTTTGGCTCCGTTTATGCTGCGATCAATCTGGATTCTGGCCACTTGATGGCTGTGAAAGAAATTCGACTACAGGACCCCACGCTCATCCCAACTATTGCAAATCAGATTAGAGATGAGATGAATGTGTTGGAAGTTTTGGATCACCCTAACGTGGTCTCCTACCATGGCATCGAAGTTCACAGGGATAAAGTCTATATATTTATGGAATTCTGCTCGGGCGGCTCCTTGGCTGGACTTTTGGAACATGGGCGGATCGAGGACGAACAGGTCATTATGGTATACGCCTTGCAGCTACTTGAAGGTCTTGCTTACCTGCATGAGAGCGGCATTGTGCATCGCGATATTAAGCCAGAAAGTGAGTTTGATTCGATGATGGTGTTTTAAGGATCGCTAACTAACTTTGCTAGACATCCTCCTCAATCACAATGGTGTTATCAAGTACGTCGACTTCGGCGCCGCGAAAGTCATCGCTCGTCAGGGCAAAACTCTCGTCGCCGCCGATGCGGGTGCTGGGAAAGCCAACAAGTCTATGACAGGTACCCCAATGTACATGTCGCCGGAACTTATCAAGGGCGAGAATCCCGGACGTGACGGGGCTGTAGATATATGGTCACTCGGATGTGTCATCTTGGAGATGGCTACTGGTCGACGACCTTGGGCATCTCTTGACAATGAATGGGCCATCATGTACAATATCGCACAAGGTAACCCTCCACAACTTCCCTCTTCGGATCAACTCAGCCCAGAAGGTATCGATTTTCTCAGGAAATGCTTTGTTCGAGATCCTAAGAAAAGGGCCTCAGCTCCAGAATTGCTCCAACACGAATGGATCGTTGCAATCAAGTCACAGGTGTCCATTGATCCAGGAACCCCGAGCGATAGTGGCTCATCAAGCCACTCAAATTCAAGAGGCAGCCTTGGTTGAGTTGTCCTCTAAAGTTTTCATTTGTTCATCTTGCGCTTGCTCGAGCGTCGGCAACTGTTTTCTAATGGTCCCGATGAAGGATGGCAGCCTTTTTTCTCTTCAATCTTACGCAGTAAACGAAGCGTCTTTGGAATATACGGAAGTATCAGCGTTGAGTCAGGAGTTATGATCTGTGAGCAAGCAAGCATTTGTCACCGCAACTTGAGCCTCTACTGTTCCTTTTTTTGGGCGATGCTAGCGGTGGATCGTGACCACCCCGGCTTGTGACGACGGATGTTCAAAGGCCGGACGTACAGACATGACCAAGGGCATTGTGGAAGCAGGGCATCCGGGAAAGCTGTAACTCCAGAAACAGTAATAAAGTAAAGATAATGATATCAGATACTACATCATCCACACACTCCTCGCTCTTTGAAACAGCGCCCCGCATGGTAGAAAGTCAGGATCAAAGGCAGCATAACATCCCACACATGTCAGCGCAAAGCATTTCAAATCCCATCCCATGAGGAGATTTACTTCGATGACAAAACCGTAATCCAAATATAGTCCAGCGATTGACAACGCGGCCACGGCGCTTAACGGCATTACGCACGGTGGGCGATCTTCAGCGATGCTGCGAGTCATACCCAAAATATATCGACCTCACATGGTACAGGCTGCAGAGCACGTTTGAAGCAGTGCACACGCAACGAACGTGCGTTGCATTCCCATTCCGATCTTATCTTTGGCGCTCACCTGCAAGGGTGGCGGTGAGGTTGCTCAGACGCCGTATTCATCCGTCTGACTGCTGCGAAAGGAGGACAAAGTTTCCAGAGCTGGCCATGCAAACAGAGGTCGAAACCTTCTCTTAGAATGGATGAAGACCTGGATTGGCTTTCTGGTCTACTGCAGGAAGTTAATCCTTAACGCCACTTGCCACATGGCAGCATGAGCTTGAACGGATTACGAGGACGTTGGGCAGCATCTTTGTGATGGTGGTTTCGCTGGCCTGGATGTTCTGTTTTGCAAACCCCAGGGCGAAAATTATTAGATGGCCATTCATCCCAAACCCGTGACTTGACGTGGATGCCTGTTTTATATTTTTCCAACTCGGCGGGCTTTTTTACCAAGATTGTATGAATTGTTTCTGGGATGGGACAAGCTGCTGCATGATGGTGGACGTGGGTGTTTTGAAGCCCCACAACGGTTCAAAGGCTTAGCCAAATGAAATCCTGGGTGCAGGTTTTGGGCCAGCGATGGGATGGATGTGAATGGTCAGTGGGCAGCCTTCTGTTTAAGACTAGGTTTGAGGCATGAGATTCTGACTTCATATGAACGCATGTTCTGATCCAGATCGTTGGATGGGAGCATATGATGATTTTGAAGATGCTCATTGTACGTGATTGAAAGCGAACATCGAGTGGATGAATTTGGTACATCAAGACATGGTAGTGTCACGCCGGAGGCCTCTGAGTGAGAATGCTGACCGACTCCGTGATCCCGTACATGAGTTTGTTGATGAGATCTCGATTCCTGGGTAAGACATTGGAGTATTGAAACGGGCTGTCGAGGTCTAGCGGGGGGCCTGAGTCGTGGCATTTGCTTTTGTGGGAAGTGCGGAGAAGCTTCATCCAAAAGGGACCACTCTCCACTAGCTCCAACGCGGCATGAGCGGTACAACGTGGTTGACAGGTGCTTGAGCTTCTCCAGATTTCTTCAGTACAGTATGACAGTATTGTTCAGATGTTGCTCGGAGTGTTTGGGGTCTGTCTTGCCTAGCTGGGAAACTGTAGATCACAGCTTTGAGCACCATAGCTCGGGGATTATTTGGCCGCGGATCCTTCATCAGGGGCAGGGTCGCATCTTCCACAATTCTCGCTGCTCGCGAGGCTCTTTCGGAACGCCTCACAGTCAGGTACCAAGCACGGCGGTGTAATTTACGTCGTATCGAACCACCCCAATAATGTGAGGCCTCCAGAACGGACTGGACTGGCTCAGGAACCGCATTCCCTTGAAGCTCCCTCACACAGTCACACTCCACTCAAGCTCCCGAGCTCGCTTGAGTCGTCCGTCTGGCGATCTGCGGGCGGCCCATCCCTTCCTCCCTGTTTCTCCTCTGCGCCAATGGGCACGCCATCTTGATCGCCTTCGGAGACGTAGCTAAGGTTTCATACCAGCAGCTTGTCCTATCGGTCCACTCGACGTGCTCAACCTCTTCCCGATGACCGAGTGTGCTGTCAAATCTGTCACTCCGGCCTGCACCACAGAAACCTGGCCAACCTTGCTGGGAAACGGCTCGCAGCCACAGGGAGCGAGCGATGCCTTCACCGCTTCATTGTGCCACACGGCCCCACGTTTGGAGGTTTGCCGGACTGCTTTTCGGCCTTCGAGCACCACTGCTGCACGCATATGGCCTCGCCCTGGCCTGTCATCTGCGAACTGTCGTGTCCAGGCACCCCCCGATTTCCAGAGGCTGGCCCCCTCTGCATCAGATCTGTGATCGGCCTTGGGCGCATGCAAATACTTGGTATGTGACTCTGAGCTGCCCACCACATCGGCAAGGTGCACCGCAGAGCGGTTCAACGCTCAAGCCTTTTGGCGTTTCGGCAATGGCGCAAGAAAGGGTGGCGAGGGTGGCTCCAGGTGTCCAGGTGTCCAGGTGCCCACTGCCCAGAGATGCCCAGAGATGCCCCTCTCTCTGTCCGCAGGCTCTCACCGTCCGATTCGCCCGCTGGACAATGGTCTTGAAGGAAGCCGACTAGGGCCCCCCAGCGAAACATCCACATGGCTGCGGTTTGCCCTGAGTTCTGACACCGACGACCAGGGGCAAAGATGGGCAGGGGGGTCGACCTCCACCTCCACCACTGCACCCTCCACACCTTCTTGCTCCTAGTTTCCCATTGCTGCACAGCTAAACTGCCCACAGACCACAGAAGCACGGTGGTATTATTATCTTCCCTATCTGAGTCGCTGCTAGCTACTAGCTACTGGCTAGCAGGTAATGAGACAGCTCTCCATCCTTCTCCCGGCTGCGGTGTGGGATGGCAGGAATGCCACTAAGTGCCGCTGCTCTTATATTAGATGTGTGCCTGCATCCCTCTGTCTTTGATGGTTGTGCGCCCTCGTCGTCGAAACTGGCGTACTGAGTCGATCTAAAGATCACTTGGTCACCGGATTCTTTTGCCCTCCCTTTCTTTTTTTAACTTCTTTCTATCATTTATCATTCTTCACTTGAAGCAAGTGCTGGTGGTCCGCAACCTTGGCAGCAATGCGTTGACCCAGGCAACGGTTCCATTCCTGACCTTCTACAGAGCCTCATATCCTCGACATGCGGGGTACTGGCACGGCTCTCTTGGGGATTTTCACGTTGCCGTTGCTCGCTCGAGCATCTCCGCCAGCACCACCTGTTCTCGTGCGGGCAGGACCACCGCCAAAAGGTGCAAATCTTCCTGCCGCTGCACCTGTTGCTTCAACGACAATAACAGCCTCTGTCGTTTCTCCAACTGCCTTGCCACAATCGGTCACGACGACAAAGACGACTGATGCCCTATCCGTCATAAACTCGAAGACTTCAAGCTCCACGAGCAGTTTTTCTTCAACTGCTGTGTCGACCTCAGCAACTTTTGCAGCGCATAGTCCAAGTCTCAGCGTCTCCAGTTTGCCAATGGCTTCAGGAATTTCGAATGAGGAGTCCACAGACCGGCATCGAACTTTGGTCATTGTCCTTTCCGCAGTTCTTGGCTTCGTGGGCCTGGTCCTGATTGTGGGGTCCATTTTTCTGCTGTACCGCTATCGCCAACAGCATTCACCCTTCGGCCACCGCGGTGCGTCCCCAATCGACGATTCAGAAATTGAATCGTGGCGTCGGAACACTATCGATCAGAAAAGCCCGCCGCCAGCTCACCTTGCGTCGGAAAAGCCAGAGATCCGTCCTCTTACACTCGGAAGTCCTCCAGGTTGGACATGGGCAGCATCACCTACTTCAATCCAGACAGTGATGTCTCCCGCCTCCCAATATCCTGATTCCCCATCCTTTCTAGCCAAAGCTCCGAATTCTCGGATCGGTCTCACCGATGAGACGGTTCCAGGTGCGGATCCTTTTGTTGGCACAGTAAAACGACAGAACTCTCGATTATCGAAACCGCCTCCTGGCCATACCAGGACGAAAAGCCGGAGGAGCAGTATGAGCGCCAAGAGTGGAGGGAGCTTCAAATGGCAAATTCGAGATCGTATCAGTAGCGACTCGAGGAGAGATGAAAGTAACTTCTCGTGGTTTGACCCAGAGGATGAATCTGTCGTCAGCCAGCTAAGGACGGATCGCACCAGCAGCTCGAACAGGGCTTCACTATTTGACGGCCTTGCAATGGCAGGCCTTTCACCAAGGCCCCAACCAAGACAGGACGAGCACAGTATGTATATTGGTAGAGCTATCGGATAGCTGTAGCCGGAAGGGTCTGCAGGACGAGAACACCACACCAATTGATTGACTTTAGCGTTGGCATTTGGACCATCGATTCTTTTTTATTTCTACACATGGGGCTCTTGCTCATAGGGAAGGTTTGGGATTGTCCCGATAAAGACATCCCCTGGTGGAAAGCACCAATGCCGGCGATGCATTGTACAGGCGCAGGGACGGGATGGGACTAGCGAACACTTGTTCCAGCAAGTCAGATCACTGTGGCTATATGTATATACTGCTCGAATCTGCTGCATCTGTAAAGTATTGGATTTAAGAAAGAATTAAAGTTCGAAATGATTGGGTTCCGGCTTTATGTAGCATGTCGGCGACATGGCCGGTTATAATTGCGGTTCCCATGCCTTTGCCGAAAAACATTGTTCTTGTTCATTCGGACTTCGCTTGAATTCACTTTGCCAAAACTGACCCCCCTTTAAGCATTGTGTCACGTGCACATCGCGTAAGTCATGTCGCATCTCACCGCCTTCGATTTCGAGCGGAATCCTAAATTGCCGAACACACTGCCCCTCGACAAATCTCAAGGCGCAGGCGCCCCAACCTCCATTATCAGCGTCGTCTGCTATCCACATGTCACAATGCCTCCCAGAAAAAGCGACGTTTCCAAGGCAGGTACGGGTGATGAAGCAACGGCGGCGAAGGAAGCTCTTGTCAGAGACGGAATAAACATCGAAGTATGCAACTCCCATCACCCCACAAGTTGCCAGGTCCAGTCTGTCAGGCTCTATGTTTCTTGTTTAAGATTGATGACGCGCATGCTAATCAAATTGATAGGATCTCAATCTACCGAAGAGCATTGTCACTAGGCTGGCGAAAGGCGTATTACCACCGAACACGCAGATTCAGGGCAATGCCATGTTGGCAATGACCAAGAGCGCGACCGTCTTCGTGAACTACCTGGCTTCACAGTATGTACATTCTCTATTGGTCAATCTGGTGCTTTGCCAAGGAGAAATTGTGGTCATTCAACGAGAACTCGTACTAATTAATAGCACAGCTCGAACGAACATGCCTCAGCCGCAAACAGAAAGACAATTACGCCCCAAGATGTTTTCAATGCCTTAGAAGATCTCGAATTCCCGGACTTCAGACCGCGGCTGGAAGCAGAGCTCGCCAGTTAGTTCGTCCCTTTTGGTTTGCGAGGAAGCGGTGGCTAAATACTGTACAGAATTCAACGAGGTACAGACGGACAAGAGAAATGCCTACCGGAACAAGGTCGCAGAGAACAAAGCAGCAGCTCAGAGTGGCCATGGAGATGACGGCGAGGTTGAACTGGGCCGAGATGGACAGCCTGCTGCAAAGAAAGCTCGGTTGGAGCCTGGTGACAGTTCTGGGATGGATACTAGTGAGATGCCGGAAGGATACAACATGGATAATTCGAGGGCAGACGATGATGGTGACGAAGACGAAGGTCACGGAGATGAGGAGGAAGAGGATGAGGAAGAGCCTGAAGAGCCTGAAGAGCGCTTGGATCCTCTTGAAGATGTAGATCATGGGGAAGCCGAGGACGAAGCCCTTGACAATGGAGATGACAGTGACTGACTTGGAAGATGAGTCTGGATTGCGGCTGCGTTTAGGCGACTGGCGTATTGGAGTGTCTGGCAAGGCACCTGGTTATATTACAGAGGTTGGTGGTGTTGGAGGCGGGACGAATAAGCCTTCACCCCAGCACCCAAACATTATCAACGAATCAAGCCTCCTTTTACTTACCCCTATTCAATGTACAAAATTCTCTCTCAGGAATTTCACTTCCTTACCGCAATGTAACTCGGTCCAATGTTCCAATTATTGGTCGTACATTGATTGGGCTGTATTAGACATGGCACCTGGTTGCATCTCCCTGGGCTTCTTCTTCTCTCCCGAGCAATGCTGAATGTCGGAGTGAAACAAGGAATTTTGAAGAAACGATATTATGAAGAGTGGGAACGTAAGGGCTGCCTTCGATTACAGGAATCTCGCCGGCCTAGGAATGTTTGCATGCAGTGTATTTGTGGCAAATGTTTTACTTTCAATAATTGACTTGGCAGCTACAGTGTTTCGAGTACCCGTCTGCAATTCCTCGCTTTGCTGGGGCCAACTTGCACTAACAAGTACCAGCGCACGTAGTTCGCTAGCCCGAACCAAGTGCGGAAATACCTGCGAGTATTCTCTCAACCTAAATAGGAACTCTTGTTGCCAAAGCTTTGGACAATTACTAGAGAGAGCAGCATCCCCATCGTCACTCGCAGCAACATGAGGTTTGCGGCATCCCAGTGTACTACGGCATCAACCCCTAGATCGATGGGACGAGTCTCCGAAATCGTTCCATCACACTCGTAATAGTATCACTTTGGTTGCACATTTCAGTTTCTTCCCAGAACCTTCGTCGGGACGATATTGCGCTGATTATCACCGTGTGAGTATGTACCCCTTACAGGTGAGTCACTACCGACCGAATCTCTTGCACTGGTGAGGGGAACAGATTTTTGATTGGGTCGGCCTTTCTCCCACGAACAGATCAGCCACGGTCTGGTCGAGGATGATCGTCACACCACCAGCAAGACGTCCAATTGAGTATGGACTCGGAAACGCCAAGGCGGGTTATTTATTCATAGAAATGGCTATTTGATTGAAATGATATATAAAATATAGCCAGGATCAAATGATAACTTCCCACGAACTTCTGTCCAATTTCTATGCCTCTTCTACTTTTTCGTGTCATGGTCTGAACCATTCTCTCTCTCTCCTATACATGGTGAAAATATTGACATTGTTAATAGCAGGATCAAGTAAGTAATCTTCTGGTATTTCTCTCAACTCGAATTCGCTGATGAATAACCTTCACTCGCCGATATCTGGCTAGAAATCAATGCTTAAGGATTTCTACGCAATAGAATAGACATACTGGTTTCTTCTGATTGTCTCTTCAACTTTTCATTGTACATTCATTCATTGGAAGTGACTTGAAGCTGACTTGCCCCAAAATTTTGACAGGCGGAGATAATTCCTTCCTCATCAAGAATATGCGCCTTCTGCTCCAGCTTATTACAGTGCCTCGAGTACTTTCCGCAGACTAGCGCTCCTGTCATGGCTTGTCTCAGTTGTCGGGCCGCCAAGATCGCCATGTTTACGTGGAGTCCACTCCTCCTTGACTCACATTAGGAAAAGCTTCGGTTGGCAGGTGGCTACCCAGATAGGGGATTAGAGGGGAAGCTTTGGCAATCAGCCTCTCTTTCGACTTCAACATGAAAAGAAAGTTGAGACTATTCAGCCATTCTTGTGTTGCTGCTTCTGCATATAGGGTTGCAGGTTCTTTCAGATGAATGCAGCTTTCGAGGCCCATATTTCACTCAATTAACTCAATTACCTCAATTACTTCCTCACTCTTGCAGCAACTCATTGAAATGGCAAACCTCAAACAAAATTATGAGATGAGAGCTTTGGACGCCGCTCCTTCTTATGGAGATACTCAGCCAGCACTCAGCTCATCTTCCTCGGCCTCTCCCTTTCGATCATCGGCACCATTGTACCCAGCTTCATCTGCCTCCCCCTTCTCCGGCCCCTAGGCTCCCACTCTCGCACAGCACTCCATCACCTAATAAGAATTTCTCTTCATCCTCATGGCTGCAATGAAGCCTCCATAGCTGCTCCAGGATTCCGAATCATCTCGCATATCGGCAATGCTATGAGCTTTGTGCACGTTGTGCCACGGTACAATGCGCCAGACTAGGCCTAACAGTCGGAGCGGGCATGGTTTCGGCTGGAACGATCTGGACTCGATCAAGAGCGTTCGTGAAGACTGCCAACGGAGAACTTTTCGTGCCGAAGGGGCTGAAGCGTAAAGTACTGAAAACAGAGAAAATGATGGTTGTTGTTGGACACGGCGAGGAGGCATTGAACCTTCCACCGTTAGGGAGGCTTGAAGATGGGGCAAGCGGAGAAAACGAGGAGCCGAGAATGAGGAGGGCCAGGGTATTGGGTGAAAGGGTCGCGTCGTTGACGAGTTGATGAATGTTGACAAGGACAGGAGAAAGGAAATTGCAAAAGCTGAGAAGAAGTTGAGCGAGAAGAAAGGGCAAGATCCAGAGAAGAAAACGGAGATAGAATATGATCTTGAGAAGGAAATTAGGGAATTTGTCAGGGCGAGGGAGAAGATATTGAGAGAAAAGGTGAAGAAGGTTGGAGAGAAGATGTAGAGGAGGGGCTGCAGAAATCGGAGGGAAAGGAGCACAAGATCACTCAGAAGATATTCTGGATTGTGATTGATAAAGCCGACATTCTGGTCCAGGAATCCAGTGTCGAGGATGATGTGGAAAGTTTAGACTCGAAGTAGGCGCTGTCTGTATTTGAAATCAGGCGAGCGAGTACTTCTTGCGGCACCTACAAGATGCACCATGATCCAAACCACAAATAATATTGAAATTCCACAGCCCTATCGAGTATCTAATAATACGATTCAGCTTTCACTCGGTTTGGCCTTGTCAGCCTTTTCAAGTTTGCCCCACTACTGCCTCTAAGTAAGCCGAATACCAACCTATACCTTCTCTAGCTGTGAATAACTTCGGCCGCATAACCCATATTGGATCCACCATGCTCAACCTATTTCAGACTTTTGAAGGTCAAATTTGTTGAGACTGCAGAATTGCATCCTGATATCTGCTTGTATGGCTTACATGGGCTGCAAACCCCCAACAAACTGGGTTCAATGGTGGGATGAACTGGATGTGTATATAGGGATGAGTTTCCTTTATCTCATGCTCTGGACATTAAAAACGATAGAGACGAGAATAATAATGGAGTGTAACCACACTATGAATGAATCGCGCGCACCGACCGAAGATAAGGGAACAAAACCAATTACATCCGAGTCACTGAGCGATTTGGAGGCTGACTCTGCCTCATCCACTGCAGCAAGACGGCCAGGATCGATGTGGTTCATCGTTGGATGCGTAAGTTGCAAGCTGGATGTTAAGCATTGAACAGAGAACCTTAACAACTGGCCCTCAAATAGGCACTTGCCAATTTTTCAGACGGATATCAGCAAAGTTTGGTGAGTCTCTCGATATGCTTTGGAAGCCTTCTGAATCTCTGACAAAAATCTAGGCATCATCGACCAATGTAGTCTTCAATCACATTCTCGGAACCAAAATTATACATCTAGCATCCAAACCCGAATCTCTAACGTACTGCTCGTAAGCTCAGTGGTAGGGATAGTAGTCTTGGGCTACACCTCGGGTAAAGTTCTCTCGAAAAGGCTGCATGCTGCTCACCTCCTTCCTTGTGGTCTTTGGGTCCCTGCTTGCAATCCTCGTTTTCCAGGTTCACGGTTCCCACAATATTCTCTGGTTCCTAATCATTGCTCGAGGTTGCAGGTGTCGGAGTAGGCAGCGAACATCTTTCCTCAGCTGCTGCAGGTTTAGAAGGATCGAACGAGCACTTCGATGCTCATCGAGGTCCCATCCAGGTGTTGATGCCGACACTGATGGAAGCCTCTGGACGTCCGATCTGTACTTTCTGTGTACCTTCCTTCTCTCCTCAAATCAGGAAACAACTTGAAAATTGCATATCAAACCATGTACAGCGTCTCGATATTCCTTCCCCTTCTCGTGGCGCTCTTTCGTCTGAAGATGCAAGATGGATGCTCTTCTAGAAGAGCAAGCTCAAGAAAAAGGTATGTGTCTTGGAAACTAGTTTTCAGGGAGTATTAGCTTCGACTCCTGTGGACTAGCAGGGCGTTCTTCCTCTACGGTTTCCTCAAGTTTCCGAAGGGTATCGTGAATTCGGTGATCGCCAGCTCGATTGTACCGGATCACAACATTCGCAATGTTGCTTTATGGCAGCCCTCCTTGCGATCCTTCCAGTTCCAGGTGTGCTGTTCCGAGCATGGGCTTGTGAATAAGATTGGGAGGAAGTGGGCTGGCGTGCTAGGTTCAGCAGCTGTATCATTCTGGGGTTTATCATTGGTGGTTGTTCCACACCTTTGACTTCTAACTCCATCCCCGCTTTCGTTGTCTTGTCCGGTCTAATTCAATGTCTTGGACATATGGGTCCAGGGACTGCGAGTGGCCCCATGAGCGCTGATAGTTATCCTATGACTGTCAGAGGAATGGGGTACGGGTGAGTGCCGGATTCGGGAAAGCAGGAGCTGCGATAGGCACGCAAGTCATCACCCTATTCAGGCAGCTGCAGGAAAAGCAGCCACTTTCTGTGTCGCTAGTGGTGTTGGGCTTCTTGAGGACTGCGATCTATTGCTTTTTGCGCGAGGGAAGGGCAGTTGATCTGAAAATAATGGATTTGGAGTTGGAAAGATATATGAGAGAAGAAGGATATATGAGAGAAGGAGGGTATATGAGAGAAGGGGGACATATGAGAGAAGGAGGATATACCGACAAGATGAATGAGAATAGCAATGGAAGCATAACGCAGACAATAATAAATAATACGCTGAAAACAGAAATAAAAAGTCCACACTTTATATCTTTCCACTTGGAACATCTTGCTTGTGAGCAGATACTCCGTTTTGTCAGGCACAACACTCGCTCCCCAAATTCGAATTTCCAACTTTGAATGTTGATTATCTGCATTATTGACGTAGTCGCCGATTGCCTATGAGAATACACGCCTGGTATTATCTAGTAAGCCCAACCGATATTGAAAGACCGAACGCCGTCGCAGTGCGTGCTCCCCTTTCCTTTCCCAACGCCCAGAAATGCTTTCAATTACGCTCTCCTTATCCCTGGCTACCAACCATCCATGCTTCAATATCCACTCAGCCATCCATCTACCTCAAACCATGAGATTCATCTTCCGGCTCTTCTGGTCGCCGTTGAATATTAATCTTCTTCATTCCCAAATCCTTGACCTTCTCTAAAAGTACATCACTGTTGTCCATCTCCGCAACATCATCACCGCCTCCTATACTAACACCATTAATGAGGATATTGGGTACTGTCCTCCTTGATGTCATCACCGCTAGTGCTGCTTGTAGTTGAGTGCCAAGTGGGTGTTGATCGAGTTCCACAATGAAGGGGGCCGGATCAATGATGTATTTATTAAAAATCTTCTTCGCTTTCTTGGAGTAGGGGCAGTAGGATTTCGAGAAGATGATTACTATGAAGAGTCTGAGTTAGTTCAAAGTCTCAAAAATTACTGGATAAACTAGGACAAAAGTGATTGGTGATCCAGTGTCCGGAATGCCGAGATGAAAACACTTACTTGGCGATTTCTTCATAATGCTATTCAGCTCTGCATCCACCTTGCGGTCCTCCTCCGTCTCTTCACTCACGGGCGCCTGTGCATCACCAGTGGCGAACTTCTTCCGTCCAGCCACACCTCTCTCGCTCGCGCCTTCAGCAGCACTTCCAACTCCCACCAAACTCGACGGAGGATCTGGTTTCGGCGCCTTTGCATTCGCATTGTCTTTCGCAACTTGCGCCGCCTCCTTCAGCCTCTGCGCCATTGCCTTCGAAACCTCTTCGTCATCATCACCCCCCAGCCCTCCTGTCGATCCACTGGTACTTGGCTTTTTGTTCAAACCGTTGACAGTCTTCTGATAGAAGTCACCGACAGTCCTCGAATCTGGTTCCCGTTGTTGGCGGAGGGAAGCAGTCCAGAAAAGAAGTGTAACGACCACGAGCAATATGAGAAGTCCAAAGACTTTGACGCGCCTCATAGAAGGCATCTTTGTCGATCGGGCGAAGAAAGGAGCGGTTTGAATCGCTGTTGGCACGCGGTCAGCCAGGAGTTCAGTGCGGTTTTAGAATTGAATGACCCCATGCCGGTTTCAATCTTCCACGGGGAGTTGAGGACAGAACCTACGGCGTTGATGATGGTACTTTGGCATTGTTGCTCCTTGCTCCCGCTCGCACGGAGCTCGTACAACTTGGAGATCTGCGAGAAAATGCCAGGAAAAAGGAAGGTTGTCTTAGATGCGATGATCGGGTCGGCGCGTCACGGCCAAGCAGCAGGATGGATAGTGGCGTGTTTCGATGACAATAGTCTTGTCCTTCAACTTCGTGCAAGATAGAACAATTGGGTATCAATACTAGTCAGTGCAGATCGGCAATATCGTTGAAGAAAGCACTGAGGAATTTGAGGGAAGAGTTTGAAATGCGGAGTGTGGAAACTAGAAGCAGGCGCACGACTTTCCGCGATCTGGGTTGACTGGTGGCACCTTTTCCGGCGTAGGGCCGTCGAAGGGCCGTCGAAAAGTAGTTAGGCCCTCAGCAATCGATAGATGAACGGGTCTTCCCCGTCCAGCCGGCTGGCCTTTTCCCCTGAAATTGAAATCGCGAATTCAGGGGGCAGTTTAACCGTGCTCGTGATCTTGTCAAGGTTAAAACTGCCTACCCAATTGGAACACCACTGCCCAATGTGGAGCAATGGTTCCAATGTTTCCCCCGAAACGTCACCCCAGATTCGGCTATTCGTCAGCTTGTTCGCAAACCTTTTGATGCATGAGAAACATTTGGGGTGCATTTCGGGACATCCAGCATGAACCTTGTTCCAATTGTGATCTACATATAGATTCAATATTTCATGCGGACACTTCTTCTCGAATTTCAAGGAAGCTGATTACATACGGCAAATAACGTCTGAGCATGACATAGTATTAGAATATTATCTCTGAGCTTGTACCGCAAGCAACACAGAATCGTACAGGTCATCTACCCCCCAAGCCTTGAAATCGTAGAAGTACATGCAGAGCGCTCCAAAAGCCCTTTTTAAATCCCCAAACCAGAACGCTAATATTTTGCAACAGTACCAATAAACACGCAACCCTTGACTCCTGCTAGAATGTGCTTCACCTAAAAGCACTGACGCTAGCTCTTTCCCTCAATGTTCGCCGTCCCCCTTCACTCTTTGACCCTGCGGATGAGCCTGTCACTTTCATCCAATCTTCCCACTCTCTTGCTATCTCCATCAAGACACCACCCATGACAGCAGCTGAAGCCATGAGTCCATGCCCCTCACCCTCGAGGACTCGCACTTCACATCTCCTCATCGTCTTGCCTAGCCACCTGACATTCTCAACAGGAACTCTAGTGTCTTTGCTGCCATGGTGGATGACCACAGCTCGAGTGATGTCTACATATCTGAACCCGATCGTATGCCTTCTTTCCAGACACACCAGTAGGTCAACTGCAGGGTTCGCGCCGGAGGTAGCCAGATCCCAAATGGCGTGAGTGAGCCTTGTGTCGTAGGTCATCTGTCTTTCCTTATCGGCCAAGGTGCTTGCAGCAGCGGCTAGAATGGCGGCTTCATTATTCGGATCACTTGGATCCTTAGCTGCTCGTTCCAAAGCTCCGGCCTCGGAAGGATCTGGGTATATTGTTGAGTTTCTTCCATGATTCTCCTTATCCAGACCAGGTGTAACAGTGCTTCTTCCGCTAGTGGCGGGGGTATCACGCCCTGTTGTCGACTTACGTTTACCTCGTCGTTGAGACTTTGGTAGGCTGCTCGTGATCGAGCTACTCGTGGCGCTCATGAAGCTTGAGTTTGCGGCTTTCAGGATGGGAGTTGGAAGCGCTCTGAGAATCCGTTGTGACGTCGGAATTGAGTTGGTAGGTGGTGAGGCGACTTGAGCACCAAAGACGCTCATCTGAGAAGGGGGGATCCACGGTGCAAGTAGATGGATGCGACCACGGATATGCTGAGGCATCCGAAGAGCAGTTGCGAGTGCATAGATGGCACCAGCTGAGTGAGCCAGAATGGAGAACTTTGTGATTTTCAATGTTTGGCATATTGCGTAAACATCATCTGTGGAAGATTAGCAATTGTATTGTAGATCATCTGTCATAACGTACCTGGCCAACTGAGTGGTGTTGCAGTTCCATCATTGTATGGTTCACTATCCCCCACACCTGGTCTATCTGGTGTAATCAATCGCAGCTTCAGAGTAAGGGCAAGCTCGTCATAGAATGCTGTGATGTATCTTGTCAGGCCCATGCCAACACAACAGAAAACTGCGAATCCCTCTGAATCGCCGACTTCAGAGAATGAAATAGTTCTACCCGTCTGGGGATGTCTGATTTTCTGCGATAATCGAGGAGAGCAAAGATATGCTTCCACGGCATCATCGATGGAATCTGCACTCGTAGGTCTGTCATCCACATGGATTTGAGGTGCCTTGGTAGGTTCGGGTGAACCAACTCTTGACAGTGGATTTGAGCTACTTCGTTGATGCGAGTCTCTGTCGCTAGCCCTGGGACTTAATGGAGCAGATAACCGCTTCAGTCGTGACCCAGTTCGTTTGGATTGGGGAGTCTCAAGCGGTTCAGGGGTAGCTTTGCCGGATCTTCTCTTCTGGCTGGACGACCGATTACCTCGATCTGGGCTTGGTCTTGCTTTCCGCTGAGCGACAGCTGGTGAAGGAGCACCTTCTTCGGTATCCTGCATAACGCGCAACTGATCAACCTTAGCACTTCCAGCAACCTGTTTGCTTGCCAAAGTCGTCGTCTTTGCTGTGGGCATTTCTAAGTTATCCAACGGCTCCATCATCTTAGAAGTGGCTTCGCTGGGCTTGTGTTCCCTCTTGCTTCGTTCGCGTTTGCGATCTTGCTGTTGCTTGTCATGCTCATGGATTGTATCATCGGCGTCGTCATTTGCCTTCTGTTTTCCGCTCTGTCGGTTCGGTTTTTGAGAAGTCCGCTTCTTGGGCGTTGTGGCAGGCTTTCGTAGGGATGAGTCTCGAGTTGGGATAAATCTGCCAGATCCAATACCACCCTGACTACCAGTGCTGAGGGCTGGACTTACATTGTCCTCGTTGTGTAATCCCGAATTGGCATTGCGCCGAGTTGGCGATGACTCCTCGGGCTCCTCTCCGATCGCATTTTCTGCCATGAATGAGTCCGAGTCGAATTGCGGTAGCGGAATGCGATCCAAACCAAGTCCTTTTGTATTTCCTCCCACAGCTCCAACACTAGCTCTCTTCCGCTCCTGCTCCTTCTCCCGTAACCGTTCTTTGGAACTCATGTACATCAGCCCTCGTTGATTTCTTGCTTGTTTCTTGCCCCAGCTGTCACTCGATTTTTTTCTTCGTAATTCAGGACCTGGAACTATTCCCGGTTCGATAGAGAGATTGCCAATGCTGCTTGCATCGTCTTTCTCTTTCGAACCCGTAGACCCTTTCGAAGATGGCCTTGAGGTTCCTCGCAGGAAAGTCTTTAGAGGGCTTGATTGAGGTGATCGTGGCGCTGTAAGAGGTGAAAATCCGGATGGTGGTTTGGCTGTACGTATGACAGGAGGACTCGCAGCAAGTTCGTCCAAAGACTCTTCTGCAATTAAGTCGCGGAGTGATGGTTGCTCATATGCGCCGTAATCTATACCAAAACTTCCACCCGACGACCGAGGACCATTACTTCCGTTCAATTGACCAAATGTTTGGAAGGTCGCGTTTGTTGAAGCGGGGGAGGCAGGCGAAGATTGCGCAGTATTTTCGAAGAGCTGGTTCGCCGGAGAAGATATGATTGAAAGGGAAGTGATTAATGACGAGATCACCTCTGGTGAGGCTGGCTGCACGTGTACACGGTTGGAAGAATGCGCCGAGGGACCTTGCAGTGACTTTCGACGAGCATGTTGCCGCGCACGACTTGGTATTGGAGGAGGGGTTGTGTTCACGTCCATAGTGTCCATCGTTTTGGCTGCTTAGGCAGAAATCGTAACTCGAGGGCCACTTCAAGCCTGGTCCGACAAACTCACGGGGTATAGTGAGATTCTGCAGGATTAGGAAGTAGTTCGGCGATGCATTGACACTTTCAAAACGGGAGGCAAGAGAGGTAATGTTTCAGGAAACCCGAATTGGTGAACGCGTCGAGTATGTGACTCGAGGACCGTTTGACGATAGCTATGCCACGGAGGCCATTGGATAAGATGAATGCAGGTGGTGCCTTGGTACGAAGACTGGAGTAATTGCGGTCAGTGTCCAGATCTTTGCGCAGAGACGCTGTCGAGGTTGAGTGCAGAGGACGGGACGACCTTACGAAGGTTCTCCTGAGCGGCGATATGGAAGATACGCGACACACCTTTTCAGCACGCTACTGCAGGTGAGCTGCAGCACACCCAACTATAACTGCCTTGTCTCAGTCAATTGGAACTTTGTCGACGATCGAAGAGCGGTAGCGCAAGGGAGAGAATAGTCAAGTCTAGATCTGCGGTGGAAGAGGTGTCAAACAAAGAGTTGCAGGAAACGGCGTTGATTTGACTTCTCCACTAATAACGCGGCAAGCGGGAGGACCAAAGGGGTGCCACGGGACCAAGGGAAGCAGTGGTTTTTCGACTGAGCCGTCCGGTAATTGATTGGGATCATGCAGACTCTGCACGAGGCTGTTGGCAATGATCGTTGAGGAGGGGAACATGCAGGAAATCCTTTTTGCCCGAAAAGAAGCAACTCTGCGGAGAATCGAATGGAGGAGAGGAAAGGTCTTGGGATGCGTGCACGAGCATGCCCCCTGCTCGCAAATTAATTGCAAAAGCGAGGACGGCGGCCCCTGGCAGCGGAAACGAATAGGAGGGCACAGACGCTCCGAATTCCCCGTCGAACATGCGCGGACGTGGGGTGGTGCCGTGGTGCATGCGGAATTTGGCCCAGCGAGGTGTGTCCCAGGAAAAGGGGGGGTAGGCATGGCAATGGGCACATCCAGTATGGGTCCAGTCCAGTGGTCATGGAGACTTGGGTACGGGCCGGGCCTGCTCAAGCTGAGAGGCTCGTGACTGCATATCAGAGCAGCATACAAACCTGCTGCTTTGGGTCCATCCGTTTTTGATCCATCAAGCTTCGTTTCCCGCCGTTCTGCCGAAGTTACAGTAGGGTTCATGGCATGATCTCCGATGGTCGACTTCGACTCGACTCTCAGCCGACCACTGTGCACAGATCTCTCGGAGCCCTCGCCCCCCTCCCCCCTGAATCTATCCGCACCCCCTTGATTGGGCCTTAGCCGAACCCGGTCAGCGGACGTCTTCTGGTCTCGCCTAACCCCTGCCAGCATGCAAAACCTGTTGCCAACCAAGGCTGAACTATGTCATCAGGCTTGACAGCAAATAAACCTTGCGACAACAGCAACGTAAGTCCAGACGAAGGCCGAGAAGCTCTCGATGCCAACGTCTTCTCATTCTATCGCGTTACACATCATTTCCAGCACATTCTAAGATCTCTTCAATTCGTCAAATACATCCAGCTATGGACGCCTTGCTCTCTGTCCCCGTCTTGGGCTACTTTCTCATGCCAGGCTTGACGACGTACTCAACGAGTCTGAACCTCTTGTTCTTCTACATGGTATGAATGCAAGATCTAGGAAATTTGGAAGAAATCTAATCAATTACAGACCTGGAGCACTCTTGTATGTCTGCAGAATTGCTTCAGGGCAGCAAAGTACTGACCGATTGGGAAAGGTCCTCTCCCAACCCCCTTTAAAAGTCGAAGTCGTAGCAGTCCTGGGCACTCGTCTACTCTTCTTCCTGGTGCCTTCGCTGTTCTTTCTCCTCTTCGATTCGATTATACCCAGTGTCAGTGTCAGTTTCAAAACACAGGGTGCCGATGGCTTGCCAACAAGAGGTAGAGGTGCCACACGAGGGGGAAACAGGACACAGTGGTATCAAATTATCGGTGTCAGCCTCCTTAATATTCTCCTGAGTGCTGCTATCCAAGCTGGGGTTGAATTGCTGTTTACGGAGGTCTTTCATATTCGAAGCGCTTTGAAGGTTACAACAACTCTTCCTATGCCCTGGTCAATCGCCAAAGACGTCCTCCGAGGATTGCTCCTTCGTGAAGTATATTATTCCATCAGAAATGCTTACCAAATACTCACCGTTTCAGGTTATTCAATACTACTTTCATCGATTTCTCTTGCACGAAAACTCTAATATCCTAAGCAGGCTTCATAGCTCCTGGTTTCATTCGGTGACCGCACCATACTCATTCGTGGCTCATTACGACCATCCAGCATCATATATCTTCTTCCGATTTCTGCCCACCTACCTCCCCTCCATAATCTTTCGGGTTCACCTCTTGACATACCTCCTCCTTCTTGCCATTATTACCTTCGAAGAGACTCTCACTCTCTCTGGGTATGCAAGTGTCCCAGGAATAATTCTAGGAGGTATTGCACGGAGGCAAGACCTTCATAGCGAAGGGCGAGGGAGAGGCAACTTTGCCCCTTGGGGGCTGTTAGATTGGATCCATGGAACAAGTGTCGGAGGAGACGTTCTTGACGACATGAAAGACGAAGCCGAAAAACATCAAGTGAAAGAACGTGGCGGGAAGGCGTTGGAAAATGCGAAACAGGGTGGTAAGGAAGGACTCAGGGGATGGAACGCAAGAAGGAAGAGTTCAAAAAGGCGTAGTTGAATTATTTTGATCTTAGCTTGGGCTTTCTTGGTTTGTTTGGTTTTATACCCCTTTGGTGTTTTCTGCGGTAGTACTGTACATCGGGAGAAGTCTATGTTTAAGACACCAGAAGGGAAGGCAACAATCATGTGATTCCATTCTCGATCTTCCCGAGAATTTAAGATGGCATTCTGAGCAATTTCCATGCAAATGGTTTCACTTGGTGATAGTTTGCATCGAGCTAAGCCGCGTTTGCCGTTCTGCAGCCCCATCTCTGGACAAAAAAGGCGGCACAATGTCCCCAGTTAAAGTTGGTCATAGCAAATTCTTCCTCTCCAAAATGTACACCTGCCTGTGTTATTGTACATTTAAAGACTGCTCCCTTTAAATGTTCCAGAAACTCCCGTACATCGGAATTCCATCCTCAATAAATGTCCAGCGTTGACTGTGGAAATTAGTGCCGCTTTTTTGTCCTTCGCGAGGGGCCGTGTGTAACAAGCTTAAATCCAACGACGCTTTGTGAGTCTTACTCCTGAATGGAAGCTTCCGAGCCGTCCGTAAAGTCTTAACTGGCCAGCCAATAACAGACTCCAGGAGATGATGCTCTCCAAATCAAAATCCGTTCCGAAAGTCTTAGACGTCATCCCGCCCCTTTAGTCTGCCAGTTCGACTCAATGTCGAAGAGGCTAGGCAAAATCGGGACATGTGCAGGCCAAACATCGATATCACTCCCAAATCGCACGCTGATCGGGAATGATCTCATACTCTAGAACTTCTCTTGGGCAACTCCGAGCGCAATCCAGACTTTCAGAAGCTTCAAGAAGTCCGAAGGCCGAAAAGGATTGGCAGAAAAGCCTGCCAAGCACTACTACTTCAATATAATGACGATATGAAGTGACCTTTCTTATTGTATTGAACCATTGAGCCTGATGACGAGCTTTCAGTGGTAAAGAAATTTACTACTTCAAAACTCGTCAGCCCCTTATTTCTTCCTTTTCCAATATTGAGTACTCCCAAGTGGCCATACTTTGTTTTTATATCTCACGAAGATGAAGGAACTCGTCAGGGACACTATTGTTGGACATCTGCTCCGCTTGGCAACTACAAGGAGGGTGCTTCAATACGAGGAAGAGAGAGATCAGTCATTATGGAAACGATATGTCGACAAAGAGAAGAGTGGGAGGATGGCACATCACGGCAGCCCGGAAGAAGAGGAAGAGGAAGAGACGGGCGATGCAAGTGACAACAGTACGCAAGAACAACAAAGAGCAGGTGTGGCGGAAGGAAACACAACGGCCACTACTCGCAACAGCTCAGATACTCAAGTGGGAAGCGGAGATGCACAGAGAAATGAAGTGAGCGGGGTTCCAGTCGATCCAGAGAAGGGCAGAGATGTATCGATTGTCACCTGGTTTGGAGATGACGATCCAGAAGTATATATATCTCCAGACCGCCCCTCGGGATGAATCTTCATTGACTTAGTGCAGAACCCCTTGAATTGGTCGACTGGGAAGAAATTCCTCGTGACATTCTTGATATGTCTCTTGACATTCTCGGTTTACATTGGATCTGCTATTTACTCGGCCGGCACTCAGGGTGTAATGGAACGATTTAGAGTTAGTCAGGTGGCAGCTACCTTGGGTCTCACTCTTTTCGTCGCTGGATACGGGCTGGGTCCTATGGTTTGGGCGCCAATGTCTGAGATCCCTCAGATCGGTCGAAACCCAATATATATCGGCACACTAGTGGTCTTTGTATTCTTCCAGTTCGCCGTCATTTACGCCAAAAATTTCGGGATGCTACTGGCGTTCAGATTCTTGACTGGGCTGTTTGGCTCTCCGGTGCTTGCAACAGGCGGCGCGAGTTTGTCGGACATGTATATGCCTGCTAAACGTGGTAAGTTTAGTCCCTTCCCCTCCCTGCCATCTTCATACTTGGGGTTGGAAAGCCAGGAGCTATTTCAAGGGCCGTCTTGACTTCTTTGCCCTCGCATTGGGAGCAAGGCAGGCCCAAGCTCTTCGCACCTAACTCTTTCATACTTTTGCAGTGCTGATTCACCGTTTAGCGTACGCCATCGGAATTTGGGGCATAGCAGCGATTTCAGGCCCCGTGCTAGGACCACTGATAGGGGGGTTTGCAGCACAACATAAAGGTTGGCAATGGCCAATCTGGGAACTCCTCTGGCTTTCCGGATTCAGCCTTATCGTCCTGGCCATCTTCCTTCCTGAGACCTCCTCTGCCAACATTCTTTACCGCAGGAGTCGACGTCTTCGCAAGCTGACAGGGAGAAACGACCTGAAGTGTGAACCTGAGCTTATGAGCGAGCAGATGACCAGCAAAGAGATTGTTCTGATGACTTTGGTCAGGCCATTCTCACTCAACTTCCTGGAGCCGATCTTATTCCTTCTTAACTTATACATCGCTCTCATCTACGGTATCCTATACGTATGGTTTGAGTCCTTCGCTATTGTGTTTGAGGGGATATACGGCTTCAATCTCGGAGAGGAAGGATTATCATTCGTCGGCATACTCGTTGGCTCCCTTGTCGTTATCCCACCTTTCTTTCTCTACTTGTATTTCATCCAGGAGCCTCAATTCAACGAGAATGGCGAGATAAAGCCGGAGAAGCGACTACCACCAGCCTGCATTGGAGGTTTTTGCATTCCACTCTGTCTCTTCTGGTTTGGTTGGACCGCCAGGCCATCAGTACATTGGATCGTGCCCATTATTGGATCCGGCTGGTTTTCCGTGGGAGCTTTCCTGCTCTTCAATTCGGTGCTCAATTACCTTGGCGATGCATATCCAGATTATGCGGCCTCGGTCTATGCGGGGAATGACTTCATGAGATCGAGCTTTGGTGCGGGGTTTCCCTTGTTCGCGGCTGCTATGTATACAAACCTTGGAGTGGGTTGGGCTAGCTCGACGTTGGGATTTTTATCTATTGCGTTTATCCCCATTCCATTCGTGCTGTGTATCTACGGGGAGAGAATTCGGAAAGCTAGCAAGAGGGCAAGACATGACTTGTAAGAGGCGATGAGATAGAAAGGAGGGTCGTGATGGAATCATAGCGTTCCTTCACATCGGGGGGTGCGGGTGCTGAGATAAATCAGGATTGGCGTTCCTCCCCGGCATCAATATTTTAATCTCAAAATTGTGTATATATATAAGGTTTGTTAATCATTGAAGTCCGATTAATCATTCAAACAACGAATAGTTAATTTCACCAGTTGGCAGGGAAGTCCAGGAACAATGTAGGCAGTCTGAACCATAAAACCTGTAACCTTCACACTCATAGGATTCAAGCATGCAGGAAGAATCGATGTGCCACAGAGCGGCTTATCATCTCGAACAGTTCGAGGACAAGAGCACCAACGAGGCAGATAATAATGACTCAATGTTTTCTCTTGTACGGTCGCCGAATCATTGTTCTCAACTCTCAGAGCCAAGTGTGTGGACTGGTCACCAGCCAAAAACGTGTCGATATTCTGTTCGATACCTTGATGGTCGTCGCCAGCGGGGCAAGGTCCACTCGTGCCTTCCACTTTCAGAGTACAACCTCAACAAGGTATAGGCCGCCACGACGGTTTCTACCTTCGGTACTTTTTAGAGTGAATGGTGTCTCTGGAAAAGTTTTCTTCTCATTATCCCGCGGTCTCTTGAGTTATTCTCATCAAGAACCACGCATCTTTATATCCATGCACATTACCAAGATATCTTCCTTCATTTTGGACCTCGAAGTTTCATTGTTCCAAAGGTTACAAGTCTAGCGAGCGAGCTTCGACATAATGCATGGCTCGTGGGACCTGTTTCGAAGTGACGGAGGTATTGACTTGGTCCCCGAGTTATCACTATTGATTGTACAGCAAGTCGTGGATGAATGTCCGAATGCCATCAGATCTCTGCTACTTCTGTCAAAGGTTCATGGCCGCTCACCTTTCCGATGCATTGCACCACCTAACCTTCGTACAGTCGTTCCACTCCTTACTTAGAAGATACGAAAAGTCAATCACTCGCCGTGTCTCGTACAATGATCAGCGACTAGCATATACGAACAACGACGAACTGATAATCCTCTCATCCCGACTGCCACCAAGAGATAACCCAGTCAGAGCACTCTCGTATCCATGGCTTTCTGAGCTGCGATGCCGTAGTACAATCATCGACTTCCTTGCCAACCACAATATCACCCAGATGGTGGATCACACCAATGACTGGCCGACCTTGGACGTTCCAAAAGCAGAGCTCCAATGCCGTCTGGACTTATTCAAGCGAAAGGCTTTCTTGCTACTGTACCGACTTGCAGATTGTGCGGTTGGACTTGATAGAACTGGAAACATTCGCGCTCGACAATCCTTGTTTTTAGACAATCTCTCCACCCATGAATTAGCCACGCTTGGGATTATGGTCGAGGTGATTGGGCAGGGGTACTTTACCTTGACGAAAGCTTTATTATTCTCGGAGCATCGGAACAATGACGTTCTTTTGGCATCCATTTCGGAGTCGTCCTACTTTTATTCTCCGAATTCTGTCCCGTACAATGACACGATGAACGACAACTGGATCCGAGAGTGTATGTGTGTTTTTGAGGACCGTATGTATTTCCAAATTTGATTGTTCCAGGAGTTGGGGAACTTTTAAGCACCCCTCTTCCCTTACTCGAATGTATAGCTGATTCGAGATTTCCTAGTGACGCAAAGGCACGGGTAAGCATACACTCAGGGGTTTTAACCAAGCAGTGCTGATCACCGGGCCCTATAGGCCATATTTTGCCTGGGCATACCTTGCTGGGTCGGACGATATAACGAGAAGACTAGATTTGTGGGCGAGGCAAGTACCTTTCTATATTTGCTGAACATTGGCCCAATGTACCGTACCAGCAAGGTTTGGTAAGATTACAATCGGAAATTCAATGTCCCTCAATGTACCAATAAGGTTCGGTATAATCGGGAACTCATTGTCCCTAAATGTACCGATAATGTCTGGAACAATGGCTGACTACTACCAGGTCAGAATTAAAGCAAGGGTTGGACGATATGAACGCCTTCGAGTTGGGGTATACGATGTCATTTGCGAGCTTGCAGAGTGTGGTATGGAGAATCTTCTGTAAAAAGGCCAACTGCAGCCTCCAGGATAGCTGGACTCCAGCCAAGGCCATGATCGAGGCTGAGCTGGTACAGTACAAAATTGATTGAATGGAAGCGTGTCGGGACAGCGACTTGATGCTCACGAGACATTAAAATAGACTAGAGACAGTGGTATTAAACAAGAATTAACAGGAGTGTAACTTTGAAAATGCCGAGATATGATCCATGACTGAAATACGTTACTCCTACCAATCCACTAGATATTCCTCATCTCGCAAATCAAGCTTCCCCCATTTCCCCAGCGCAGGCTGGAACAGCGTCTCCATTGTTCTCCTATGCTGAATTTTATCCCAATATTCAGGACCGCTGCAGAGGCCGTAAATAATAAGACTCTTCAGCTCCAGGCACTCCATACGCTTTGCACCCCGCTCCAATTGCTCATCGTAAAGGTCCTGAGGTAGTTCAAGATCCTGAAGTTGTCGATATGAATAACCCCTCAAATCGAGCACAAGCGTCTCCAGGTTTGGCAAGGTGTTCCAATCCACCGTTAGGGCCCAAGCCCAAGTGTGACGGAAAGCGAGTGAGGAGACTAGCCTGTCCTCAGAGTCCAGTGTGAAGACGAGGTGGCGAATCGTGTATCGATACTGATCAACGCAGTCGTGGTCGTAAGAACCTTCATCAAACCGTGAAATCTTCATTTGAAATTCCGGAGAGCCTTGGCCTTTGCATTCCGGCGCATCGATGAAGTCAAGAAGGCGGGTTGCTCGATAATCCCGCTCCAACTTGCTCATGTGGTCTAGTGAACGAAACCATCCTCGGACATTCTCGGGGTTTGTGCGGAAGGAAGGCCTACGCAACGTGCAGTGACGCGACTTGAATACAAAGACGTTATGTTGGAAGAAGGCCCTGTACCCTTCTGAGTGGATAAGTTGACACCTCGAGGTGTAGCATGTCGAAGGTGTGCAAGGGGCCATGTCTAAGTCGAATAGCGTGGGTGGGTCCTCTGTGTGGGCACCAGCTCTGCATTCCCACGGATTGTAGCAACGACCAAACAAATGTTTGATACATTTGGGTTGAGGCACCACAGCCTCGGTGATGACCGTTCTTTGCAACTCTCCAGGTAATCGATGGAGGAAATCGTGGACTTGCAGATTCAGGATCCATGGGTTTAGGCAATTTCCCTGATGTTTCCTGCATTTGTTGTGCTGTAGAACACAACTGGTATTCTCTTGAGAAACATGGACATCTGTCATTTCAATCTCCATCTTGGGTTGCGAATAGGAGTATTATTAAAGGCACTGGATAAGAATGTTTTCAATGAATGAACAATGTTGTAAAAATGTAAAAATGACTAAATATCTGCCACTAAATGACAACTTGTACGAGATAGAGGAGACAGGTGTGCTTTAGTCATTTGGACCATATTTTCCCGGCGTGATTCACGGATTCTCCGGACTAACTAGTCAAGGGCATGAACCGTTCGCGTGCCATGAGTTACTGACAAAAGACAAAATGAGAGGAAAGCTAAGGGTGTAGCGCTGCAGTAATATGAAAAAGGTTACGCAGAAGCTGAACCGGTAGTTAAGAAAACCACAGTTGAAAGCAGAAGGGTGTATCTGCACGTGATGAGTCGCTAACCGAAATCCTTAGCGGCGAATTTCGTTCTGTCGCGATTTCAGCTTGGGTTTGACGCGACAATGTATCCAAAAGCCCAGCACCTCCAGAGCATCCGAATTCCTGCTGGGCCCGCACAACCACTGCAGAAGTGCGATTTATACTGAAATGCTAGCGCGATCTGGCTCTCTCTTCAACGCAACTGATTGAGCGTTGCGCCTCGCGTAGTGTCCTTCCGCGCATTCCTTCTCCCTCCGCTCACGAAAGCGTTCACCTTATCCCTCTGAGCGGATATGAGTTGAGAGTTGCCCATGATGATGGCTCCTAAGAACCCCCCGCAGTCTTTTATATCGAGCTATGCTCCCCGATTACGCACATACGCCAATTCTCTCCTCACACCAGTGATCCAACCGGCAACAGCGCTCGCTGCACCTTCGGTACGGACAACCAAGCGAGGGACAACTGCAATAAACTATGCGGAGGACGGATATGAAGATTACGATGAAGAAGATGATGATAACAGCAGGAGAAGGCCGACGGGTTTGAGGAGCATAAGAAGGGATGAGTCCGGGCAGCCAAAGCAAGACCAAGCGGAAAAGGTTGGGAAAGAAGTAATAGCTCCGGTAGATGCTCAAGGAATATGGAGAGATTGGATGGGCAAGGCAAGGACGGCTAAGCCAGACTTGCAAAATTATGCCCAGACAGCCTTGCCTTTGACGCTCGTCCCGATCAGAATCGATCTCGACATTCCTCCATTCCAACCTTCAGCGCCTCTGCCAATACCGCATGGGACCGGCTATGGTCAAATCGATAGTTCTCTACCGATATACAGACCACAAGAGATGACTGTGCCATATCGACTGAAAGACATCTTCCTATGGAATCTTCACGAAACTTTAACAACAACAGACCAGTTTGCACAGACCATGGTTCAAGATCTTGATCTGCCAAACCGTGCACAGATGGCTGGCGAGATTAGCAAACAAATCCGAACGCAACTGGAAGAGTATGCTGGTGTTGCGCTTCATCCTCTCTTCCATTCACAACAAATGTCCACAGCAAATGGAATTGTAACGACGATCAAACAAGAAGCTTCACGAGATGCGTCAGCAACACCAGCGGCCAGTGGAAATGCGACACCCCTGCGTACTGTCACTACCCAATCCCATGGATTACCCTCGCCTCTGAAGAAAACCGAGAACGGAGTCGCTGAAGAGATCACCGCTGAGGCTGTAGCCATTCCACCAGAGTCAGATGATTTCAATCCTGATGACATGTACCGGTGTATCGTCACACTGAACATTAATCTCTCGAATCACCTATACACTGACAAATTCGAATGGTCACTTCTTCACCCCCCAGGAACAGCTGAGATGTTTGCAAAGCAAACTTGTGCTGACCTTGGCCTTCCCGGAGAATGGGTTCCAGCAATGACGCATGCTATCTATGAAGCTGTTCTACGGCTCAAAAAGGAAGCCTGTGAGAGCGGTGGACTGGTCGGTGGATATGGTGGCGAGATTCCCAATGAGGCTGCGCACGGCGCCGAAGCTGGCTGGAGATATGACAACGAGCACTTAGCGGATGAATGGGAACCAAAGGTTGAGCAACTTTCGAAGGAAGAGATCGAGAAGAGAGAAGGCGACAGAGAACGGCAGATCAGAAGACTCAGACGAGAGACTGCTAGATTCTCATCGAGCACGGGAATGATGGGGGGAATGCCACAGGCCACCGAAAACAGAGGTTTTTTCGATCCCGAGCCAGTTGAAGAGCGAATGGGCAGAGGCGAGCGGAGCAAGAAGAAGCGACGTTTCAGGAGTTTGAGTCCAGTTGGTAGGTCCGGTACCCCTGGAGGCCGAGGTACTCCTGATAATGGTGGCATTGCCGGGTATGGTGGCGGTGGTTCTCTCAACGACTATGAACGAAACACGTGGAGATGTTCTCACTGTAAAGTGTGGGGAACTGCGGTCTGGGCTGTCAGGGATGGACCATATGGTCCTAGAGTGAGTCTATACTTGCTATCTGCGTGTCAGCTTGGGGACATTGCTAACAGAACCCAGACGCTCTGCAACAACTGCGGTTTCCTGTACGAACGTGATCGCAAGCTACCAAAGTGGGCAAAAGATCTACATAAGATAGATCTTCGTGCCATGGACTACCGATGAAGACGGGGGATGAGTTTATTTACGTGCTTCATTATTGCGTCTCTACGGATGGTATCTTGGAGTCTGAGATGGTGTGGGTGCATTTTGCGTGCTTGAGATCCCGTCGACTGGAATTCGGGAAGGAGAAAATGCTAGAGATAGCGACAACGATATTGTACAGTAGTAGAGACTACCTAATCAGTCTACTTTGACTTTAAAAGTTGCAACAATGACTATATTTGAGAAAAGTGGGTCACAGGGCAATGGGATTGAAAATGTGTAAGCAACGTTTGTGAGTTTTGCTTACAAAAGCTGCAAGGTTCCTGCTGCCAGCCTCGAGTTTTGGCCTTAAGTCCATGCACATATGATTAGCCCTCGCATGCGGCAAGAGTATGTAAAGCAAGAATGACACCCAGCCCAGTCAGTGAGATCTTTGGAAACCCCAGCCTATGACCAGAGCACACCTTACTCCAGTTCCATGCCCCAAAGCATGCCTATTCCAGTCGAGTCCGCTTCGCCTCGGCCTCCTCACTCCCCTCCCGCTCGCGCTTGATGCTTGGGCCTTCCTTGTTGTCCTGTGCTGGCTTTGGGCCCGACTTTGGCAACATTGGGCGGATCTTTTCTCCTACAACATTCCTCGAGCCAGTGATCTTGACCTCCGCAACCGCCGTGACAGTGATAGGTCTTGGTCGTCCATCCTCGTCAATCATTGGCACTCCTTGTCCGCTCATGCTCATTGCCTTGAGAGATCCGACAATACCCTGCACAATCTTGTTGACGGCTTGTGCAGTGTCGACAGCGACTAGGTTGTTGTCGCCTTGGATGTGGAGGGGGACCTGGATGATAATGTTGATCGCTGAAAGAGAACTCGATTCATCTTCGGCTCCTTCCTCTCCATCCTCTTCGTCCTCCGAGTAGTCTGTGTTGTTAGTGTCGGGCGTAAGATGACGAACAAGTGAGTCTGACATACCGGGTGGTGCGCCGCCGCCATAGGCTGGTGGAGGGGTTTGGTTGGCGTTGCCTGGAAGGGCAGAACCGCGAGAAGCCATTGAGAAGCTTCAAGATTCAGAATATGAAGTAGTCTTCGGATAAGAACGAGGACTGCCTCTGTGGAGGTGGCGATAATGTTTGCGTATGTGTTGGTTGTGGTGTTGTTGTTGAAAGAAATGGAGAAAGGTGACAATCAGATACAACTTTGATAATTGAGTATCCCAGTCTCGGAAGTTACGAAGAGTGAATGGAAGCTGTGAGATAGGTTCTAGGGCTGTGATAATCCTGAGCAGATGTGAAGGATTTGCGCACTTGAGACCAGATGGTGAAGTTGGAAAAGAAAGGAGTTCGAAGAGCTGCAGAGGGCATTTAAATAAATACATATCAATCAATCATAGAAGATACTACCTATTCCATTGATTTGTTCGTATTGTCATTGCATGGAATTTAGGCTTCCCATTGTTGTGCAGTGAACAATGGGAAGCACTAGCGTATTCTGGGACAATAGGAAGCGATTCTGACTTCACCAGCAGCCACAACCCTAAACAGGGGCAAGCACATCCAACGACAGATTTTGTGATGACAAGCAAAAGCATATCGATGCATGGAATAATCTGAATCCTGTTCAGAGCTCACCTTGTTACAGTTCCTATTGATGTCCAAATTGCTTGAGAAGTTCCTTCGTCATTTTCGACCGTAGCAGGGAGCCGAGCCACACCCGCTAGGCTTGCATCCATTGAGACACAGAAGCGAGAAGTTTGACAGTGGGTCTTGTAATTATCCTTTTCACAACACTTCGGGAACTAACGTTCCACAACCGCAAAATAAATAGAAATTACTTGATTCCGCATCTGATTCTTGTGAACCATTGCCACCAAGATTCTGCTCTTCAATGGTCTTGATCTACTTTGGTTTCTATAATCTCCCCCGGCCTTCCAGCAAGGTGTGAGTCTAGAGGTCTTATTGTGGTACAAGTCTTTCGAAGTGAAATGGCAGTGGACGGCAATGGCTATTCGGTCACTACTTCTCTATTTCTTCTCCTCAACTGATTTCTTCACGCCTTCAACAAATGACTCGACTGCTTCTCCACCTCCAAGAGGTACGCTACCGCCCCTGACAAAACCTCCATTCTGGACTTTCACTCCTAGTGCATCGGCGATACTAGGCAGTCCTCCATCTCGAATTGCCATGGTGAGGCTACCCAAGCTCTGGTTGAATTGAGGACTTCTCAATACTCGCTTCAATATGGCCTTCTTCTCTCCGGATGGGAGAGCCTCAATCGCCGCAGAAGCAGATGCCGCACTTGGCTCCTTCGTTCTGTCAATCTGTGCTGAAGATGACTGTGAAATAAGCAGAATTGCCGGTGGGAGGTAGCTCAGGAGGTTGTCGATTTGTGCAGGACTGGCCGAGTCGATAATTGGAATAGTCGTGGACGACGGTAATAGATCTGGTAATGTAGTGAACATTTGACCTCCCTGCGGTTGCGTCGGAATGCCTTGTCCACCCTTCAATGAGTTGAGGAAGTTCTGAACTACCGTGGCAGCGTCTGTTGGGCCGGAGCCGGCACTGATCACATTGTCAGCCACAATCCATGAGTTGCACAAGCCAAGAACCTTGAAAATCTTCAATATTGATTCAAGTCTTTCAGTCTAGCAGTACATGAACGAATCGCTCGTTCCGCCCCTTTTTTTTGTCTCAAACGCCTTGGTGGTAAACGCTCAAGCAATGCCTGTCATGCGATGAAATTTGACCTACGCTCGTCCGCCATCAGCACCGCCTTCCCTTGCACCAGCCCCCTCTTCTCTAATATCCCCGCCAGTGGCGTCTGGCCCTGCACCACCACTTCCGCCTTGGTGGTGTTCTGACGGATCTCCATGACCTTCTACATCCTCCATTGTCTGATCTTCATCCTCGTTTCCGCCGTTGCCACCGCCCCGAACTTGTGCAATCTCCTCAGATACATTGACGTCCTCACCCTGGAGCAGCGTGTCGACGATTTGGCCGATTTTTAAGTCTCGAGGGCTGAACCAGCTGGCATCTCCATTTTGTGCTTGAGGCTTTGATTGCATCCAGAAGAAATGTCTTGAGGAGGACGAGGAGAACTTCAGAACGAATATGCGGCCATTTGTCTTGGATGTGGGTTGACTTGAGGTCTTGTATTCGTACGGCTCGAAGTGTGCATCAGAGGGGAACATGATGAGGTCGAGATTGTCTTCATCGGTCATGGCCTTGCTTCGTTCGCGCCAGCAAAAGTGTGTCATGTCTTGCAGAGTCAGTGGTATTCTGATGCCATCATCGAGAGTAGGTACCATCTTCAGAGTACATGTAAATATAGCCAGGTGTTGGATCCGGCGTGATTTTCCAAGGTCTGTTTGACTGCTGTTTGGGGCATAAGCATCCGGAAGTGACAGTAGAGGGTTGCAGAGGAGCAGGAACATACATTGATGTCGCACCGGCCAGCCTTAAATGTAATTATCGGGTTGGCAGACATCGTGGCTTTTTGTCGTTGAAAAGTGAGAGTTGCTTGTTAAAATGTTTACAAAGCTCTCAGCCTGGAGCTCGAAGATCGCGAGGGCACGCGCGAGTCTGTCAATAAGTTCACGTGACATTCGCTTAGGTCAGTCGCACTTTCCACCACACGAAAATTAAATCGCGAACCCTCCTCCCAATTTACGACGACTAACGACACAACAACGAACCGTCCAACACCCATCGATCGGTTCACCTCGAAGATGTCGGCAACTCTGGAAGCAACTAGGCCTGCGGGTCAAAAGAAGACCTTTGGCAAGTCGACGAGAGAGGTTCCCCATCACACCCAAAAGGCGAAGAAGTGGTACCCTGCAGAGGATGAGGTTCAACCAAAGAAGGTGGGTTCAATTACATCTCCGAGCACTGGACCCCCCAAAGCTTCAATTCCCAGTTGTTCAAGCCAATGCTGTTCTCCGAGGGCGCAAACGCCTCTTTGTGGTGTTGAGCAGCTCTGGGAATCGGATGAGAGAGAACGACATAGTTGACATCACATTGTAGGTTCGCAAATCCATCCGCGTCTCCACTCCTCGTCCATCTCTCACTCCCGGTACCATCCTCATCCTCCTTGCTGGTCGTTTCCGTGGCAAGCGCGTCATCCTCCTGAAGAACCTCTCACAAGGCGTGCTTCTCGTTACCGGTCCCTTCAAGGTTAACGGTGTTCCTCTGCGAAGAGTCAACGCGCGTTATGTTATCGCCACTTCCCAAAAGGTCGATTTGTCTGGCATTGACTCGAAGAAGGTCGATGAGGTTGCTGGTGACAAGTACTTTGCGAGAGAGAAGGGTGACAAAAAGAAGGGAGAGGAGCAATTCTTCAAGCAAGGAGAGAAGGCAGAGGTGAGGAAATACCCTCTTTAGGGGCGTGGGATCAGAACTGACAACCGAACAGAAGAAGAAGCCCTCGAGCAGCCGTGCCGCAGACCAGAAGGCCGTAGACAAGGCTCTCCTGTCAACGATCAAGAAGGAGCCATTACTCATCAGCTACCTGGCCAGTTCCTTCAGCTTGCGAAAGGGCGATCGGCCACACGAGATGGTCTGGTAAATGGATGGTTAGACGGGCGTAGAATGAGGGATGTGGGAATCGATTGACTGGTCACGGTGCTTTCATGATGAAGGCTATCGATCTCAATTGCTTAAGGCGCTTTGTAATCAGATTTGCAATAACGAAGACATCAAGCAAAAGATGGGGCAGCGGAGTTGTGATGCGAGGGGTTTTGAAGCAACATGAGGACACTAATGGCAGAACATGTCCCTCTTGTGGAGCAAGCAGCCCTTCAAGTGTTGAGTTGTGGTCGTTTGGTAGTGGACTGTGACACACAAGTGTGTATAAATTTAGAGTCCATTGCATTTTTTAAGGGAAGATGCCACATTCGACCTGAAATTTCGGGACAGCTCAGTCTCTGTATTTTTGACGCCTGTCTTTCGTTTCTTGGAAAATCTGCGGTGGTTGCTTTTACATCTCAATTTAAACATTTTCACCTTCTAAATGGTCCAACTCTGCAGGGGTATTGCGTTGAACTTATTGACCCACCGTCTTCTGAACAATCAATTACATTTACAAGAAGCTCTTGACAACTCGATTCACTAACTTTCACAAACCCACCCAGTGTAGTTGCCTGGGTACTGCACTAAGTTGGGCGCAATAAGTCCTTACATGTCTAGAGTAGGCCGGAACATTGAAGGTCAAGGATATTGTTCCGAACATTTTAGGACATTTGGAGACTTGCCCGATGCCGGAGAGTCCTATTCTGACGCCGAGGAACATACAGCACATATGTAACGTAGGAGATGAGGAAATCAAAAATCCGAAGGTTCCCTAATTGCAAATCCCCCTGTTCATGGGGACTGTGTCTGAAGGAGCATCCGCGGAACAGTTAAGATCAGAGCCAGCATGGAAGGATTGCCTGAAATCTTTGGGTAATATTCAGGGGTTGGTCCTCAAGATTTGGCCAATATATGTAAACAATTAGAAGAGCAGGTTGTCTAGAAGACTCGAGTGTATAATATACTTGGTAGCTGGGGTTGTGTGCTGTATGGTCTGTGCAGAATGATATTGACATAAAAAAACCACGCTCGAGAACTCATGACTGTCTAAACTTTTGAGTCTTCCTAGGCGTTGAATCCCGAGGATGTCAACATAGCGGCCAAGGAGCGGCTTTCTGCGTGCTCATTGGACAGCCCTCTCACTCCACCCCTGCATTCTCAGCCTTGTGATAAGCCACATCCCCTCCTGTGGAGCTGCATATCGTCAAGCCCCTTCAAGACGTGTCATGCTGGCATCGTCTTCTCCTGTCAACAGACTACCCAGTGTTGAACAACATCTCACGATGAACGCACAGGAACTCAAGAATTTCCTTGCGGATTCTCCGCCAAGCACCGTCAACCTCGAGATCAAGAAGCACTTCGAGGCTCTGTCAGATCAGCAGCGACGTTATGCACACTACATCAGCAGGTAAGCTACGATTTCAATCATGATACCAATTACATTTTCAACGCTGAGTCTCAATGTACCTTATGAGTTGGAACAATCATGATCTGAATGCATCGGAGGGTTGTCAACATTTATGAGAACCCCGCTACTTCTTAAGGCACCGTCACTAATGTTGACTTCAGGTCTGCCTTCACTGGCATGCGCATAACTCTCCGTCAGACTTCTCCCGAATCCGAAAGCATCTATGACTTCATAATTGAGCTCTATAAGGCATCTAATGGCGACTGGAAATCACTCCAGACGAAGGCAGGCATCAGTGACGAGGAATTGAAGTACTTCCTCGAGTACGCTACCATGTTTTTAGGCAATTGCGGAAATTATAAGTCTTTCGGAGACTCAAAGTTCGTCCCACGAGGTGATGAGAAAGCTTTCGATGCCCTCGCTGCTGTCTACCCAAAAACCAACGAGTTCTACAAGGCAACGAAGGGTGCAATTTTCTCAAGTGGTAATTCCGGCATGATGCACTTGGGATATCCGGACGAAGGTCACCTGTCAACGTATTACCCAGATTCTAAGGGAATTACCAAGACAGATATTAGTGCTGTCTCGGACTTCTTAGAGAAGAAGGGCCTCCTTGTGGTAAGCTGCAATGTTCCATCCTTTCTGGACATTCAGAGACTCAACATGATCTAACACATCACATAGGAGAACACCAGACTGAGGAAAAATCCTGACCGTAGCTTCGACGTGTTGATTGCTGCAGCTGTCACAAATGTCCCCACTGCAGGTGGAGATATCGGGAAGGAAACTGAGTTCGAGATCGACGATGGTTCGCTGAAAGGACATAAATTGAGACTGGTCTACGGTGATTACTCTAGTATCATGAGTCTCATCGCTGGCTACCATAAGAAAGCTGCCGAGAATGCCGAGAATGATAACCAGAAGAACATGCAGCTCGCCTATGCTAAGTCTTTCGAGGAAGGTTCTCTGGAAGCTTTCAAGAACTCGCAGCGATTCTGGATTCGGGATAAGAGACCTATGGTTGAGTCGAACATCGGCTTTGTTGAGACTTACAGAGATCCTCATGGAGTGAGAGGAGAGTGGGAAGGTTAGCAACTCGCTCGTGAACGGTTCATTTTACTGATCAAATTTTGTGTAGGCTTTGTTGCAACGGTCAATCTGGAGCGCACGAAAGCGTTCGGCTCCCTAGTCGACGCAGCCGAAGCCATGATTCCAAAATTGCCATGGTCCAAGGACTTCGAGAAAGACAAATTCTTGAGCCCAGACTTTACCAGCCTGGAAGTCTTGTCATTCGGATGCTCTGGGCTTCCAGCGGGCATTAATATCCCAAATTACGATGATATTCGACAGACGGAGGGCTTCAAAAACGTTTCATTGGGCAATGTTCTCAGTGCCAAAGCTCCGAATGAGAAGATCCCATTCATCTCTGAAGCTGACCTCGCGGTTTTTCAGAAATATCGTGATTCCGCCTTCGAGGTCCAGGTCGGGATTCATGAACTCCTTGGCCATGGAACAGGTAAACTGCTTCAAGAGACTGAGACCGGTGTCTATAATTTCGATATAAATTGTCCGCCCATCAGTCCAATAACTAACAGGCCGGTCACTACTTACTACAAACCTGGCCAGACGTGGGGCTCTGTATTTGGAAGTATAGCAGCAAGTTATGAAGAATGCCGAGCCGAGTGCGTTGCGATGGCATTGGCTTGTGATTTTTCTATATTGAAAATCTTCGGTTTCGGGGATGGGAAGCCAGATATGGATGGTGAAGCAGGAGATGTGCTGTACGCGGCATACCTATCAATGGCGCGAGCTGGGATCGCATCAATGGAGATGTTCGATCCCAGTAAAGGGAAATGGGGCCAAGTAATATCTCCAACTTCACCTTTAAAGGCGATACTGATCTAAGATTCTGATGCTAGGCTCACTCCCAAGCGCGATTTTCCATCTTGAAGTGTTTCCTCGACGCTCCAGACGACTTTTGCAAGCTGGATTACAAAAATGAAGACCTTTCAGACTTGATGATAAAGCTTGATCGAAGCAAAATCACTACTGTAGGACGGAAAGCTGTTGAAGCTTATCTGCAGAAGCTCCACATTTACAAGTCTACTGCAGATGTCGAGGAAGGCACGAAGCTGTATGCTGACATGACTTATGTTGAGCCCGAGTTCTGGGGCCAGAAGGTCAGGCATGAAGTCCTCAGGAACAAGCAGCCACGGAAGGTCTTCGTACAGACGAACACTGTACTTGATGAAGCCACGGGCAAGGTAGCATTGGTGGAATATGAACCAAGCTTGGAGGGAATGATCAAAAGCTTTGCTGAGCGGAATATTTAGGGAGTGTGCTTCGTGGATGGTGAGCAAAAGTTGTTGATGAAGATATGAAAGAAACTCTATGTATTCATGGACACAAACCAATGGCTCTTGGTAACAACAAAAGGTCTAAACCAAGGTTGGAACATTGTCACTATCGCTACTCCTGTGATGTCCAAACCTCGGCTCGAATAATGAAATTGAGAGCTGCCCCAACACTCGCAACTGGGATGCTCGCATTCTTTCCCACTCATTTATTCTTCGACACATGAAAAACAAGTCATGTTGTTGAAATTCGGCCTCCTATAATGCGTCCGAGAAAGGACTAGCTCAGAGCGAGTGTCACGTGCTTGGCATATCCTAAGCGAATGAACCGCACATTCGAAATTCGTGATCTTGAAAGTTGACGTTGACCGCGAAATTTTCCTCCTTCTCCCCGCCATTCCGACAACGCGAAAGGTCCAAAATGAAGTACATTCATTCATCCGAGACCTTGAACGTCCCCGAGGGAGGTGAGTGCGATTGGCCTTCCCCTAGTCCTGGAAGCACAGCGAGAAGCGCCAGGCAAAATGTACATCAAGACGCTTCTCGGCCTGGCGCATTGGAAGAAGAGCAATTACTGACCTGCTTCTCTCCAACAGTCAAGGTCACCATTAAGTCGAGACTTGTCACCGTCGAAGGACCACGAGGTACGCAGTAAATGAGCGAGATGTAGAGGGAAGAGTAGATTCTGACGGAATATTGTACAGGCAAGCTCACCAAGAACCTCAACCACTTAGCGGTCAACTTCTCGCATCCCAAGAAGGATGTCATCCAAATCGAACTGCACCACGGTGCCCGAAAGAATGTCGCCACCCTCCGCACAGTCCGAACGCTCATCAACAACCTGATCATCGGCGTCACCAAGGGTTTCAAGTACAAGATGCGATACGTCTACGCACATTTCCCCATCAACGTGAACGTCGATAAGAACAACGAGACGGGTCTGTTTGAGGTGGAGATCCGGTACGTCCGATTGCCCTGCTCGGATTTGAGAAGGCTGGGGTTTTGAGATGTGAGGGGGGACGAAGTGCTGACGGGATACACAGAAACTTCATTGGAGAGAAGATTGTCCGAAAGGTCGTTATGCAACCCGGCGTCGATGTTGAGCCCTCGAAGAACCAGAAGGATGAGCTGCAGCTGTACGGTAACTCGCTCGAGAGCGTCTCACAATCCGCAGCCGACATCCAGCAAATCTGCAGAGTACGAAACAAGGATATCCGGAAGGTAAGATTGCGCTGGCTGCATTTTTTTGAAGATGGGGATTTGGTTCTGACGTTGGAAATAGTTCTTGGACGGTCTGTACGTTTCGGAGAAGGGCAACATCGATGAGGATTGAGCGGCATGGGCAACATTTTCTTACGTACCAGGTGAATGTGGGGTCTGCATAAGGGCTGCTTTGCATGCTATTTAGCAAGGTGCTCAGAATGAAAGTCTTGCAAAATACTTTGATCACAAGAGATGCTGTCCTTCTATCAAGTGCATTTCATTCCAGAAGGCGTTCAAGTCAGAATTCTGACATCTGACCTTTACCCCGTGCTCTTTATTGACTGCTGCAGGTGCACGCAATTTGATCACATTGTTCAGAAGATAGAAACGCTGGACAGTATTTATGGGGCACCATATTGACATTCTTCCGGCATTGGTATTTGCCTATCAAGGCATACAAAGTATACACATCCGCAATATCTACATCTAACCATCCCCTGCTTTCAACTTAGGCTTTCCGTCGATGCTCCCTGGTATATTCCCATTATTGACACTTATGCACATGCTGCCTGCACAATCTTCAAACTTTCAGATGCAAACCCAACGCCAATGATGATCGCTCCCAAATCAAAATCTCAAATTATGTCCTCTTCAATAAAGAACTAACGCCGTGTATGTCTTGTTCCTCTCGTGTCTCTCGTTCTTCGGTCTGAACTGGCACTGCCTGTTGTCCTGTTAGTAATTGATTTGAAAACTATGAGAAAAGGGTTTACTCACTTGCGCTAGTGTCCGTATATGAGTAGTATGAACTACTGATGTCTGATGTCGGTGGCTTCTCCGATTTTCTATCATGTCTCCTCTTCAGCCCTAACAGAGCAGCCAACCCAAGCAGGCCTGCTCCGACGTAACCCAAGCCTCCGAAGCCGCTCGATTTTTTCTTTCTCGTCTCGGTGACTCTGGCTGGTCGGCCAGCACCAAACCACGTGCTGTGAGTGTTTCTTCCTGTTCCACTTCCATGTCTAGAGTACCGCTCTTCGATGACCTCGACTCTTTCCGTGGATCTGCGCTTCTTCTTTCCTACACCGAAGAGCGCGAGGAGGCCGTCGAATCCGGCTTTGATGATGCAGCAGAAGCAGAAGAGAAGCAGGAGAATGATACCAGCAATGACTCCGATCACTATCCCGGCAATTGCACCAGGACTCAATCCGTTGCTACTTCCTGATTTGGTAATTGGAATGCTGCTTCCACTGGCGGTTGCTGGGGGGGTGAATGGCGCAGTCGTGGTAGCAGAAACTACAGTTGTTGCCGTCGAGATGCCGCCACTTGTAGGCCGGTAAGGCTCGGACCCAGTTGCTGAAGTCGAGGGAACGTAGTTTGAAGGTGTACATGTGCCCGCCGCTGCACATTTTTGATCGCTCGCACAGCAGATGATCCCACAAGACGATTGTCCCAGCGCCGATGTACATACTGCTGGAACAATTGCAGTCGGTGTCGGTGTTGCTACAGCGTACCAGGAGGTGTATGTACTTGTTCGTAGGACCAAATCGGTTTCTGTGAATACTGTTGTATAGACTCCGTATGCTCCTCCTCCTGCTACTACCCCTGCACCGGTACAGGTTGCAATATTCTGAGCATTGGTGTAGCAGGCTTCTCCTGCCGAACAGCAGTACATATTGTTGTAACCGCAATAGGAGACGCAGTCTCGGTCCATCAAATAGGAAAACCCTAAATCATGCAAGTCATCCTTCGGAAATGGTCCCGCGGTAACGGTATGAGGTCGCGAGAGGACTAAAAATAGGAGTGATAGAAGACTCGGGGGAGTCTGCGAGAGTCGCATTGTGACGATTGTGCTTCTGGAATTGGCGGTATTTTCGCTTGTAAATCGAAGTTTGACAGTTGACTTGGCTTCGCAGCGCTCAATTGCTGGTTGGCAGTGCGAAATTCCACTTGAACCTGCAGCTTCGAGCTCCGAACAAACGAGAGTGTTTTTTCCGACTCAATCGATAGTCGCGTGCAGCAGCGATAAGGAAGACCTAGAATCAGAAAGACAATTGCGGAATGTGTGTGCGGAAGGGAAGGGTGGAAGGTCTTGGGAGGGGAGACTTAAGTCGCTACTTGAAAATGTCAACTTTTTGCGCTGGCCAACCTCCCGATTTGCTGGGCGACTCTGCACACAATTAGATTGCAGGGGATAACGAACAATATTCGCAGCAGGGATATGGGCTTATGGGGAAAGTGAATTTGGAACTGGTTTGTGGTTTCTTAAAAATCCGGGTGAGTGATGTGATTTCCGAGCTCTGAGCTGAGCTCCTCCATCCTGAATGTGATTTGACTGATAGTTGGCCCAGCAAAATGCTTATCCTCGAGAATAGGACACGGGACAGTGTATTTAGTGAAGGATCCCCACAAGAAAAACACGGAGCCGGATGAGGCCAATAAAAGCGAGCTTTGCGACGGATTCTAGCGAGATTAAGAGTGGCTTTAGGCCCACCAAACCTTGATTCGCTCGACCTCGGCGGGAATCAGGGAAATGAACCCCGGCTCGATCGCCGGGTTGATGCTGACTAATAAAGTACGGCAGAACCCCCTCTGTCAAACCGTTCCAATTTTTACTAGTATAATAAGTAGTATTAGAGGAGATTTAAGTAATTAAAAGATAATAAAGGTAGAGAAAGGTAATGAAGAAAAGAACTAGATAGTATTTGTAGTATAAAAGAGAGATATTTAATAAAATGAATCACGTGATAGGTTGCTCAAACTACTTGAGTATTCTACCATACTTAACTCAAGCCTAGTCAGGGAAGGACCTACAACTATCGCACAAACCAAGTTTGCTTTACGCAATGTCTGACATATTTACTCGGTTCGGAACACCACTGGGTCACCCAGTGCAGCGAGATCCGAGCGAGTACGCTTTTACAGAAATCATCACCTTCGAATTTGCCCAGCCAGTTGACCTGGGGAATGAAGCAACACCAGTCGGCCAGATCTGGGCGAAAATGATACAAACATACTCCACTCAAGAAAGCGTAAAGATGCTATGGTGGGGTCGGCGGGTGGAAATGCCTCAAGTCGAATTACCTCAAGTAATCAAGCTAATTATCGGTGAGCGCTTGCCTCGCCTTTATCTTACTGCCCAGTACTCATCACTCTTTACTAGATTGGAAATCATCTGATAACCGGAAGCACTTTCTTGCCTCCCCAGGGTTCACCAACCTCTATAAACAGTGGCAGTCATGCCCCGCCCCCTTCCAATCTAGCTCCCCATCACTTTTCGCCCTTACGTCCAGCGCGCAAAGCCGCGAGAACGCCTTCGCGCTTCCTCCCACTAGAAATCCCCACCGACTCGGCCCCTACATTTCCGTATTCGTAACCTTCCATTTCTCTCCTACCTTTGATTTTTCCAAGATTCATATTCTAGATACGTATATCCCCTCACGCACTAAGCAGAAGGTATGGGAAGGTGCATGGGTCTCCTTCCGCCAAATTGCACTGAAAAGCGAGGGGGGCATTATCTCGAGCGGGAATGCTGATGGGTGGGGCGTGGATGAGAAGTCATTTATTGGGGTGTTTAGATTTATGAATTTGGAGACGGCACAGAAATTCTTTGCTGAGGCGCAGGATGATAATCCGGAACAGATACCGGGCTTGGGTGGATTGCAGAGGCTGCAGAAACTCGCGGATGGGGAGGTTTCGTGGGATATTGAGTTTGTGAGAATGGTGTGTAAGATGCCTGCGGATCCAGTTGTTAAAAATGATGGGCCTTTGTTTCCTGGGCTTTTTAGTAAGTAGATATGGCGAGGACTCTTCCCTGAGAATGGGATATGGAGCCTACTTATACTCAACTCACTACTTAATGAGTATCTGCGTAAGTAACTTTAGTAGTTTGAGTATTCCTTTGACACACTGGGAAGAGAGACCTAGAGCTTTTTGTATTTCCACTTCCTCCAGTCCATCTATGACGCCAGCTAAATGACTTTTCCAATTATCCAAGACTCCTGGGAACTCCGGAACAATGCACATCTTCCCCACGGGTTTATGATACAGAAAACACGCTCCACTCATGCTCATTTGCTCAATTGCACGAAACAAATCAATTCTCTCGAAAATCATCCGGCCGTTGTCAATACGTAGGAAGTGATGGCGCTCATCCTCTCGCTCGTCAATTTTAGGGATATGCGTAGCAGTTCTTGGGCTACTTCAGAGTCAGCTTTTTGAAGATTCTCCCAGTGGTCCCTGTCCATCAACCAAGCTACACAGTTACGTTCAGCTTGCACGGTCGCCGTCCGATCGGTCTCTGAGAAGAATGGCAATTCCCCACAGGTGGTCCCTGCGACTATGCTCTCGAAATAGCGACCTTGAGGCAATTCGTAGTCAGCTCGAAGAATGCCATCTTCTAGAAGATAAAACCCCTTCGCTGATTCACCACGGCGAAAGAGTATTGTACCAGCGAGGTATTCTTTCTTAACGAAAAACGGAACGGCTCGAAACCAGAAGTCTTCGTTCTTCTCAGTTAGCCCTTGAAAAGTCCGTAAAATCAATCGGAGCGGCTCCTTGAAGTTCATATATCGTGTATCTGAAGGATTGTCGTCCAGTGTCTTTGTGGCGACCTTGTGAAGGTGGTTTCGCCGTGGTGAACTAAATTGAGTGTCGAAAGTATGCGTGGGCCTACCACGATCCTGATCTGGGACGTCAAGATAAGTCGAAGGGGCGTTGCGACTTGTGCGAGCTTCTTTATTAGCATAAAAAGTCTTCAATAACTCGTTCTCGCAGCTCTCAAGAGCCGAATTAAGATCTTCGAAGAGCATCACTTCATGTCCATCTTGACCCAGGCCTACAGCTTGGAGGCTAAGACCCAGTGGTCCTTCCGGGTCAACGCCACTCATGACCAAAGTGACGCCTTTTCTACCAAAGACCCTGTTGATCCTATTGAAAGCCTCCGCAGCTGAATAGTCAATTCCGGTGACGTGATAAAGATCAAAGATCAGGAAGCGAATAGGCCGTTCGTGGAACGTCTCATCTTCTATCAGTGCTCGAATTCGCTCTTCCACACTGACTATGGTGCCAAAGAACAAATAACCAGCGAGCTTCGTCACATGGATTTGTTGTCCTACTTCTCGCAGATAGCGGTATTGCACAGGGTTTCTTCGGACAGTCGATCCGGCGATTTCACCGGAATATGAGGCTCGTACAGCCGGAACCCTGGATGTCTGCACGACAAGAGTTATGAATGCAAGACCGATGCCAATGAAGATACCAATGACGAAGTCGTAGACACCCATGATGAGGACGATGGCCACAACCTAGAAATGTGAGCATAAAGTCCCCGTGGTCGAGTGGAAGGACTCACTGTAAGATATTCAAGCAACTTAAGCTTCTTCCTAGGCTCCCAAACTGCTTCAAGAAACAGCTCAAATCCGAGAACGAAGATTAATACACCCACCATCATGACTGGAATATATCCAATGATGACAGGACCAATCATCAAAACGCCTCCTGTAAAGATAGCGAGCATGATTCCAGCCAAGCGGCCATCACCGCCAGTCCTGATAAACAGAACACTGTTGGTATAAACAAGATAATTTTGAATGCTGCCTGCAAATCCAGAGAGAACATTTGACACTCCATGGGCAATCAGTTCTCTATCCAGGTTACAGTTGTCCTCTCCAATGTTGAAGGCAAGCGCGGGAACGTTAATAGGCACATGGAGGATGCCAAAGAATGTCAAAGCAAACATGGCAGGCACAGTGTCTAGAATCGCGTTCCAGTGCACGAGTTTAAAATCTAATACAATCAGCAAGATCTCGACAAAAGCGGTAAAGTAGACGTACCGTATAACGTGTAAAAATACCACCACGGTTCACCAGCTTCTGGTCCGTTGAATATCCAACCGGTTTCTCTGAGCTTCCCTGGATCTAATTGGTCCATGGAGAACACGAAAAAGTAGAAAACGGCCGGGATCGTCAAGATGTAGGCAGGGAGATAATACTTCGAGGTGATCTTGTGTTGTGACCAATATAGGATCACAGCGAGAAAGAACGGAATGACCCAAAGTATCAAGCTAGCTGGATCGAACATCTTCCGCAGTGTTGCGCCATCGTAATTGAGATTACCATCCAAGCGGGCAGTCACCTCGAATCCTGTGGCTACCAAGAACCACCCAACACCCCCAATACAGCCGATGAGGATATGTCTCGGGATAAAACCAACTATGTATCCAAAGCCACAAGTTCCCATGAGGAAGAAAACTAGGCCGGTTATAATGGAACTGATGGCGTAGGAGACAATGGTAGTGGCTATCACTGCCTGCGGATTGTCTTCGCCGACCTTGGCCATGATTGTAAAAGCCATCTTGTGGAAGAAAGGAACGACTTCGATCTACCCTCCAGTTAGCATGAAAATAAATATTTAAGAGATGTTCACAAACCATTTCTGAACCAATGCCACCCTTGAATATGCTCCCACCACAAGAATATACTAGCTGTGAAATGATGCAGCTGATATAAAACATTGAAATGCCAGCAGACCCAAGCTTCTCGAAGATGGGTTGCCCTAGGGGAAACAAAATCATTCCATAGGACAGGGCGTCAAGAATATTTAATAAGAGGCCAAGGATTACGGCTGGCAGGTATCCAAAAGGTTCCTTCACAGCTTTCTGCACAATTACCTTCCGATCCCAACTCTTGGGGCTCAAGACAGTACGGGCAATATCTATGACCTTCTCCTTGGGCCAACGAACAACGTTGCGGAGCTTGGGCCAGGAAACTCGACGCCGTACTTCTTGTCTTTCGAGATCCTGTTGCCCACGAATCCAGTCTGGATGGTGGGTTTCGAAGGCGGTATCCTTCCTTAAAAATGGTGTCCTTTCCGACGCATCAACTGTGACACCATTCGGTGTTATAATAAGACGTCTCTGCTCCTGGTCATCCTCGTTTCCATCAGCCGCAGGGATTGGCTTATCATTATGATCTTCATCCACCTGCGGCGGCGAGGTGCTGGGCGGGGACCGCTTCAACATGTTTGTGAGAGCAGACTTCCCTTGGGATCGAGACGTTGGCCCGTCTTCCGGCGAGACTGGCTCCGAGACCTCTGCTATGGCGTGTCGGTGTAATCCTTCCCCAAGCCTGCTCTCATCTTCAGGTCCTTGAGCGAAGTAAGATTCGAGTTGCGTCTGTCCTGATCGTTGCCGTGGAGAGGCGCTTTGCACTGATGTTTTGTCTGAGAGAGCATATGAAGCGAGCTCTGCTGTGTCTTCTCGAACACTGCGGGCATGCTGCGCACTATCTATTGGAGCTATACACAGAGTCAACAGCTGGGCACGTAATTGAAAACAAAGCTGCCATACCTAGGGCTCCTCGGTAGGAGAGATGGACAGAAGATCTTGTGGGCTCTCGTTGGCCGGAAGCAATAGCCGGACTAAGTGTTGTGCTGTGCCCTTCCTGGTGTCCTCGAAAAGAACCGTAGTTCACCTCCGAGTTGGCATTGGAGATGCCATCGACAGAGTCGGAGCAGCCAGGAATAAGTCGCGGACTTGAATGAGAGCCAGCAGAAGGAGCACGCAATCGTCGAGAGGATCCGAAACCTGAGGAAGAGAATGACATCGTCGACAAATTCCCCCAATGGAAACAACGAGTGGCTGCAATGTCTGGCCACACACTCTGGAGCTCTAGGGGAGGACCGGGAAGACAGAGGCAGGAATAAGAATTCTGAGGGACGCAGTGTAGTATTATTGCAGAAAACCAGCCTTAGTGGAGAGGGCATGGCCGGGCCCGCGGCTTACCTTGACGGGTCTAGAGGCTCGAGCAGGGAACAGCAGGCGGGGAGGCTGGCTCGACGATGAAAGCGGCTGCACCTGGAAGAGAATTTTGAGACTGAGACTGAGAATGAGAATACTGCACGGTAGTCTAGAGGCATACACTCCGTACTTCGGGGCAGCGCGCGCCAGCGGCACTTGAGGCCTAGGCATGATGAATCGATGATCCTCAGCGGTTTCTGGGCGAAGGCAAAATTATCATCCAACCTGGCGTGGCCTTGCCCCTTCCCTGCCGTGGCTGGCGCTGTCCCGTTAGCCAATCATCGTGACAGGCAAGCGTAGCCCTGCAGAAGCCGCGATGGAGCCCCACCACGCCGTGACTGGGTGCAAGGAGCGTTTTTCAAGCTGCATCTTGGTGGAGCTGAAACAAAAACCTCCTCTCACGTTGCCCAGCATGCATTGCTCCGTACAACTCAACACCATACCTGCACAGCCAAGGATAACTGCAATTGGAGAGTCTTCCAAATTGTGATCTGCGTGGTAAGGTTTGCTCTTGAATAAACTGTTCACCGTTGAACAGAACAGTTTCCTCCCAACATGTGATGAAGAAAGCCACTGACGGCGTGTCACTGCGACGCCACCCCCCCTTTACTGTGTTTTTTCATGCGCCTCCGTTCAGCTTGCCCGTCTTCCAAGCGGCAACATCCAGATATCAATCAACTCTGCGCCACCTGGCATCAGTTCCAACCTCATTCATATGCACATCAGCAACTGTTGTGAACATTGCTGTCATCCACTTGGAAGCAACACTACATGTCTGCGAGTGAGATTATGCACCTTCAACGTTTCACGAGACAATGTTCTCCGCAGGGCAGAAGCTCCGTGGCCACACATCACCCGAGCTCGACGGCCCTACCCCGCATCATGCAGGTGTCGCAAATGACCCTTCAGAAAAGCACGCGTATTGTCAATCCGCCTGCAGTTTTACGCCATACGACGCCATCCGCTACCACATGTGCGTGCAATCTCTGAATCCTCACCTGATACCTGCAGTGATGCCCCCCATTTCTCCCTATGGGTTCACTCCGGACCCGGGAAACGTTCAATTCGCACGATGGTGGGTTGCTTGGAGTAATCAATACAGTGCTCAATACCAAGGACAGCATAATGAGTGAAATAATCTGCAATTTTCAGCCTCTTATGCGAGGAGTCCGATAAATTCTCCCTAGGCTGGTAAGTATCGTGAAAGCTCAATCCGGATAGCTGTTGGCTTGTCGACCTTTCAATCCCAGTCGTTCACACAGATAGATTCGAGGGACAAGGTTCCATTTCGCTGCTTGCCTCTCCCAGCCCCTCTCTCGAACCCCAGCTATTCCCCGCACATTGCACCGATCACGTTGCGCCCCCCTCCGTTCGCGGCATGATATGATGATAGTATAATAGAGTGTAGACTGCTTTCGGAGCTGAAGTCTCTCTCCGCAAGAGCACTCAAGTATTTCGATCAATTTGGACGTCTCGGAGAATCTATTTTAACCTGCCAGTGATCATTTACTGGAGTATCCTTTTCTTGCGGCGATACCCCTTTTGGTTTGAGCCAGTACCAGTGATGCATGGTAATGTAGTCTCAACTGAGCTTTTGCAGGTACCCTTGTGCTATCAGACGCTCAACATCTCCTTGGCGGACATAGAATTGAGAATTTTTCGTGAGGTTAATGGTCCTGCACCATCCAATCAGATAAAATGCCTTCCACGTGTTGATTTCTGTGAGACTCACCCATACTCCGTCTGAATTTCGCCTGCATTCTTCAGCACCCGAACGTCAATAAATAGATCCCGTGGCGGCTCTAGACTGCCGGTCAAGTCGATATCTGTCCATTGACCCTTGTATGCAGCCAGTAGGTCACTGTATTGTCTCACATACTCCTCTTCCTCTGGACTCAGACTGCTAGTATTCCCTTCGCCGTTACCAAGATCAGCTGCGCCATTCTGACCACCGTTGGGACCTCTCTGTTGCTGTGCCGCCAGATCCGCAATATCGCTACCGTTCCAAACCATCTCCTCCAATTTATCTGTTCGTGTGCGGTGATATGCAAGCAGACATCGCTTGTTTCGCCGCATGCAGAGGTGGTCAACCAGGAGAGTACAGGCCGTTGCTGGATCCGCAGCAGGGTCAAAGGAGCCACCGATAGACTGGAGAATGTTCGACTGATCCTTGTCTAAGTCTCGTACTTCCCTCGTCACAGCACGAACGAGCTCGGTCTGGTAAGGGGGAAGATGTTCAAGCTTTTGAGTCCGTTTGGCATGCTGGACCTGGCGCGAGTATCAGTAATGGCAATTGGTATCGAACCTCGCTCATACCAATTTATTTCCCACGTCTCCATACATTCTAAAGAGTCGGGAAATGGGCCAAATATGGGAATTTAAACTCCTCAGCCTTGTAATTATTGATAGGAAGCAAGATTGCGCGTCTGGGCGCTGAGGACGCGGCGCGTTTAACCTTGAATTAGGTAATACCGAGTACGCGCTAAATTAAGCGCCGAACCTCCCTCTCCTTTCACACTTCCCCATCTTTGAACTTCAAGTCTCACCATTCAGATAACCCTCCGGAGACAAGCTTTGCCGAACCCGAGTTATCTTTATCGGAATGTGGGTCATGATGATGGCATCGGCGCTCTTCCCAGTCATCATTGTCCGATTGTCGCCCAGACCTGACGGCTACCTGCATGAACAATGGAACAAGCAAACATTGCAACTCTCACTGTTTTTCGATGTACACATCAAGATACCGATCTTCCACATGAGGTCCAAATCTTCACCCTCATTTCTTGGGTATCATAATGAGAGAGGGAGTGTACCTCCGTCACTCATGAACCTTCGGCAAAAGCGCAACAACACCCATCACCAAAGAAGCTAATGACAAGTATGACTTCGCAATCCACCATGGACAAAGCATTCCGACCGTATTTGCAACCGCTGGAGTCTCTGAAACGGCCTGGTAAAGATTCACAAAACGTCACCTCGCCAGAGTTCTATGGAACATGAAATTATCCACTTGCTACACACAAAATTGGATCCATTATGCCATTACACAGGCAGAGACTCAAATGCAATCCCCCAAAACAGAATGGTCAACCTCCAACGCCATTGATCGCTGCCAAAAATGTTCGTAGTCAACTTCTTGCCTCAGTCCTAAACGCCAGAGATCCCGCTTCCATGCGGCTACACTTCATTGGATTCGGAAGACAATCCTTCCTACTCCCCGTCCATCCACTTGTCGAATTCTCCACCAGCATCCAGAGTTTCAACCTGCCATCCGTCTTGGCTCCCTTTTAAGACGTCCATATGAGGATCTTGAATCCGCGACCCGTCTTGAGTCAACAGAGGATCGAGAAATGGCATCGTAGGGTCATGCTCATATGAAGGCTGCCATTGATGATCCCCGTTTTGGCTTCCGCCGATGTACATAATTTGCTGAGTGGAATCGACGTACTGCCCGTCGAAAATTGCCTGGTCCTGAGCCAACAACGAAGGATCGATCCTTTGCTCGCCGTGTGGTGGCACTTCATATTGGTGGTGAGTGAATGTCCCCATCATGTCGTACTCCTGACCTCCAGGAAGTCCGAGGTATGCGTGCATGCCAGGTGCTACCGCCTTCCTCAAGATGACATCTTGTACTCCCAGCAAGGAGGGGTTGCTCTGGATTGTTTGTTGATAGTACTCGCCTGTTCGTAAGTCTGTCTGGCTGTACGGCAATGGTAAAGGTCGTCCGGGGTTCGTGACTTGGTATGACGATATATTGTAGCCATCGTGGTTTGGCTCCATCGAGTTCTCTCGCGTTTCGTACTGGTAGGCAGACTTCGTGGTTGGATATGCGACAGGCTGATCCACCCTGGGAGACTGGCGAGACTTTTTTGATCTTCTGGTCGATCCACCTTGCCATTCGAAATCGCTCAAGTCAGACTCGTCAGACAGGTCTTCAGATTGCTTTCTTTTCGGTTTGGCAGTGCCAGGCTTGGTTGGAGAGAACTTGTAACCGGGATGCGCATTCTGGTGATTGAGACGCTCGACGCGAGCCCATTCGCTGTATTGATCCTTGATCTCGTCTGGCTCCTGTGGCCAGCTGTCGCCGCAAACTTGAGAAACCACCTGATGGTTGTTCTGGAGACACCACTCCTTGGCCCGGTTCTGATATGCTTTGCGGTAAAGCATGAAAGAGTTCATCGGGCGCTTGACTTTGCCGGGTACCTTGCCTTCGTCGACTTCTTTCCGTCGCTCTTCAGTGGATCTGTTGACGTATGCTTCGATATCCTGAACTTCAACGTGCTTGAAGTCCTTCGTCAATTCGCTCAAAGGCTTATCAAGTTTTGCAACCTTCTTCTCGGCTTTGATCTTTTCCTTCTTGATTTTCTTTGGCTTGGGCGATTTCTCAACGCGAGATCTTCCGCCTTCAGGCATTGGCCTTAAGTTCTGGTGGGCCCTCTGAACAGCCAACCCACTTCTTGTCTTCAGCATCTCGTTCGATGGTGTCGGAGGTGATGTCGCGGGTGTGCTGTATTGGTCTTGATACATCGTTTGTTGAAAGTCCTGAGGGTACTCCTAGCATATGTCAGTTGAAGTCTGCTGCACCATATCACAGTATTTCTTACAAATTGGTTTCCTAAGCCTGAATCTTGATGCTGATGCTGGTATGGATACCTAGCCTGCTCGCCACGGTAGCCGTAGGGGCTGTCTTGTGTGGGCGCTGGGGAACCATAATTCGAGTGCAGGTGGACTCCTTCATCGTACTGTTGCTGGGGATATGAAGTATTCGAATTGTGTTGAAGCACATGATGGAGACCATGCTGCATAATCTCCCCATCATTCTGTGGTGCTGGAGATGGAGGCATCCTAAATGAAGGCTTCCGGATCGCAGTTTCTGTTATTTGAAAAGGTTGCTTTCTATCGCCGCTTGATGTTTTGGGGGGCGGTGGGTTTATGGAATTCCAGGAGCGGAAGCGTTGCCAAAGTGTTGGCGGAGGGCGATGGTAATGAGTCTGAGTACGATTGATGACTGGGATGACGGAAACGTTATTCACGACCACCCGCAGAGTTGCTGAGGTACCGATTCTTGATTTTCACACACTGAGTCGCTACTCCGAGGGGATGGAGACTGAATGGCGTATAGACTTGTGATGGATGGTGGGCCTCGTCGTCAGGCAACTCGTTGGAGAGCTTAGCGAGAGAAGTTCGGCAGCCAAGTAAGACCGGAAAGACTTCTTAAAGAAGATCTTGAGAGCTTCTGGAAGGACGATCTAGCGAAGTTCTTTTGCTGAGAGATAATTCATCTGAAGTTCCAATTATTAGACGTTGGTCCGGGAATTGAGTCAAGCGGGAATGGTTTGTCTTTTCTCTCGGACCGTGCAGTATGGGAAAGTTTGGGACGAACCTATCGCGGGCAACCGTCTTGCAGCAATGCACGTTCTTCCTAGCAGATTGATGTTCTGGAATCGTACTGGCGGACAAGTGTGATGCGATGTTCCAGTGCTAATACCCCTGACATCAGTACCAATGCTCTGAGGCTGCAGTCTTGGGTATCTCTTTGTCGGAAGCTGCGTCAGGATACTGTCCCGCGAAGGCAATTCAGTCCAAACTTTGACCAGGCAGAAAGACGAGATGGTCTTTGTTTTGAGATTCAAATCTAAGAAAGGACTTCCCCCCCGCGCTTTATGTATTCGCATTTCGATCTCTCCTAATGCATATTCGCCGAATTGGGTGATTTTGACGAGCTTGGGGATGCTGTTTTCGGCCAACCACTGTTTCCGAATTCAGTCATGTCTAAATCGCTGGGCGCATACTCAATTTCCAGACGTGCAAGCAATACATTCGCGTTTGTTTTCCTGTAGGAGTATACATTGAATGCTGCGAGGAATCCATGACCATGTTGAACTCATCAAACCTTCACTCTGCATTGGACGGTATTTTTTGCCATTAGAGACTAGAGACCCATATCACAACTTCTGTTTACGTTATCCTGGGCAAAACATTATTATTACGGGTTCCCGTCGAGGCTACAGGTGAGCGCAAACAGCAAGCTCCCTTCCCAGTTGAGATCCATGGTTGAGCTTTGCAGTCCTTCTCCACCAGTTCACGCACACACGGAGGTTTGCAGCAGCAGCTAGCAAGGAACCCTAAGCAGCTTTCCTCGGCTCCATCCGACAGCGGCGAGGAATGCTTGCAGCGTTACACAGATCTCCTTGGTTGCTGCTCCTGGCCTGAGGAATGCAGCCACACCTATCCGGCTTTTCCGCCCCGGAAAGGACACACTGCATCCAGCACACAACTTATGCTGAATTTGCTATACCCTCACGCAAGAGGAGGCACTGCGGGCTCAGTGCCGCCTGAGTCTATATTGAGAACAGGCAGATGGAGTGGTCAGCGTGCGACGCTTTGTGGTAGACATCACGCTGGGTGGCAATGCCACGCGAGCACGAACTCAACGGCTACCTGCAGCAGTGGCGCTGCACTTACGAAATGAGGCAAGACTGTTTGGACATCGGTTTCACTGTGGGAACGATCCTATTCGGCGCATATGAAGACAGCAATCTCTCTTCTGAGAGCGGTGATACTGGGAAAGGTCTTTCCCTGCTCTGGGCTGCCAGCCTCTTGTCTCGTGTTGAAGTGTGGTCAGCCCATCTGGTTGCCTCTCATCGTTTTCGGAGACTCCTCCGTTCGTTACCAACTGCCTCTCGCCCTACAAGATACAGAAATATACGAACGAAAATTCTCAATATGGAGCCATCTCGTGGTCACTACAAGCTAACTGGATATTTAATGCCTTGGAATTTATGATGAGGCTTTCCCTGTTAAACAATGCCCACTCATGCTGATACATGGTGGCGCAACCCCCAGCGCAAGAGAAGCTTTTGACTTCTCGCTCCCTGCCAACCGATCCTCCTCCCACCACATTCATCCAACCTCATGTCAACGAGGACCGTGCGGGGGGAGCTTAGCTTTCAAGGGGTTCAACAAGCGAGTTTTTTTTGCAGGGTTGGGATGCAGTTCAACATTCCTAGAGCCAGCGATCACTGACTACGAAAAGTGCTTGTAAATTTCCCAGCCTCTGAAATGAGTTGAAATTACTCGGAAGTTATAAAGGACATAATTACAAACCAGGCAAGATAAATTGATTCACGTATCATGCCCAGAGATACATGACAACTTGAGGTCTTGACTGCGATGCATTTCAAACAGTGAACGACGTAAAATCAGGCAAATCTGCGAATCAGGGGACATTTTCATCAACTATTGTTCTACAATTATCGTTTTTACGATGCAGTGCTGGTCTATCCCATTCGCCTTTTAAACAGTCATGGCGGTCGTGAGAATTCCAATACCAGACAATCGCCCACACTGACGCCGTCCACGACGCCTTTTGATGCCATCTTAAAAGAGAACAATTAGGAAAGAAAACGGTAATGCGCCGTCTCCTCAAAATTTTATATTACAAGTCTGCTTGATCATGAGGGAGATATCGTCACGCCACAGCGAGAAGCTGCTCCCTTTGCCTTATTAGTCAGTCCCGAGCTAAATAACATGACCTATCTTGACGAGAGGAGATCATGGTGCAGTTTGACTACTTGGCAAAGGCCTTTCCGGCTCTGAAGCCTTCACAGGAGGGGTAAAATTCTGATGCTGTGGACTCGGTGTTAAAGAAGCGACTGGTGGTAGCACAGAAGGAGTTGCCGAGCCCATGCTCCCGTTCGACGTGGAAGGTCTAGGGGGGGAGTGTTTTGTTGGTGAAATGCCGGTTGCGGCGGGAGGCAAAGCGGAAGCATGGCCAGCATCTCGGTCTTGTTGCACAGGCACTCCTGCCTGTACAATAGGGGGCGACAAAGCTTGCGGAGGTGACGATTTTGTGAAATGAGGGCTTGAAGAACCCAAAGCTGGGCTGCCGGCCACAGAGAGGTTGGTTGCTGGGTATCCGTTATTGCTTGGTGCTAAGACAGGAGCACTCGAAAGCGGCGAGGGAAGGTTTATAGAGCTTCGGCGGTGGTCATTACCACTCGACCCTGGGCGCGAGCCGTTCAAAGTCTGCGGTAGGTGTGCACCGTATGCATGGTTTGTAGACATTGAAGGTGAACCTTGAACTTGAGAGTACCTGGCGCTTCCTTGCTGGGTAGGTGTGGTTTGAGGAATTGGTTGCGACACATTGTGACTGCTTCCATTCACCCATGTATACATCGTTGGTTGTGCAGGAGGGGGAAGGCTTGTCGGGCTATGTGGCAATGGTGAAGAGAATGCATGAGCGCTCGGGGGTCGCGGAGCAGTATAAGGGGAGAGTGCGGGGCTCCCTGTGTTTGGATACGGGCCATAGGGCCCTGAGTAGGGGCGTTGAACAGGCGCAGGTGCCATGGATCTGGCCTGATCCAACCGTTGCGGCGGCTGCTGTGCGGTGGGAGCGGGTGAATGTCCTTGGAGAGCATTGGTAAAAAGGGAGCCCGGCTGCCATGAGGTCGGCTGTTGGCCGGTTGCTTTAGCTGGTTGGTATGGTGACATGTGCTGTTGGGCGGCGGGCTCGATCTTCTTTGGAGATGACTGAAGATTCGGAGTACCATTGACCTTGATATTCACGGCCGGCAAACCGTTCTGCTTGGTTGCTGCGGGTGAAGATGAAGAGCCTGGCCTGTTAAGTTTTATCTTGATAGGCGGCTGGTTCTTCGCCCGTTCTGCATCCTTCGCTCTGCGCTGACATGTGGTACATATGAAGTGGAAATCTTCTCGGTCGGCCGCCGCTTGACTAACACCCACGCATTTGCTGTGTTGCCAGATGTTGCACTTGTCGCATGCAATGCTGTGGGTGCCATCGTCGATCTGTCCGTAGGCACCGCAGATGCAATCGAATATCCAGTCTTCTTCCTCAGCAAGCTCCTCCAATGCTTGCTTCTTCCGCTCGATCTCTGCCTTGAGATGACGCTCCGACAAGCGCCCTTGCCCGGTCTCGAGCTTCTTGCTGTCTTCTGAGAGATTTGCCAACTCTTCTTCGTGTAGAATACGACGGGCTTCTCTCTCCTTAAGTCGCTGTTCTCGGGTCATCATCCGCGATTCTCGTTCTTTCTCGAGTTTCATCCACTTCTCCTGTTCCTTTTTGGCCATGGCAAGCTCGGCTTGTTTCTTGCGCTCAGCTTCACGAGCCTCCTCTTCTTTCTTCTGCTGCTCCATTTTGCCTGCGATCCTGCCTGACCTCTTGGCATGTGCAAGCTTTTCGAGGTTAAGCAATTCTCGCTCCTTTTGAGCCTGCTTGCGCTTTCGTGCCTCTTCTTGCTTTTCCAACATTGGAAGAACGTCATCGATGAGACGCTTGCGCAATATCTTCTCATTTGGATCTCGGCTTCTCTCAATCGAAGTAATGAAGTCGTTGAACTGGTTCAAAGTAACCGCAAGGCATTCCCAAGTCATGCCACCAAATCCATCATCTTCCTTGTCCGCTATTGCCAGGTCCACGATATCCGCGTCTTCTGTGGGTTCTGCTTCACTCTCAGTCGGCTCAGAAATCTTTCTACGTTTGCTGGCTCGGAGGGCTGCCTTGGCTTTTTTGGAATTCTTCTTCGGCTTCGGCATGGGAGGTGGTGGAGGGGGGTCAGTCCTGCGGTATAGGCGATTGTCGTCAAGGACGATGTATGTGCGATCATCTGAATCCCATCCAAATGGCTCAATCCTCTGTTTGATCCGTGTTAACGTGGTCCATGTTAATATTATGAATGACCATACCCAAAAGGTTTGTTCTGTGTCCTTTTGCTCCTCCATTCGTTCGCGAATGCGGTCTGGGTTTCCCATTGTCCACTGAGTGAGCTGCTGCAAAACTCGAATCTAAATTCCACACCATCAGCAGAATCTGTGTTGAAGCTTCATCCGAGAGCGTACCTTTGTGAAAACATCAAAATCGTTGAACTTAAGGGGCTCTTCCTCAACGCCGAATGGATTCCGGTTAGGCGCCTTGGCTATATACTGTCTTCGTGTGTATTCATCGAATATCTCGGGCCTTTGCATTGTCAGCAAAGGAATAGGAAGATGAAGGGGAGACTGACGTGAGGCCTCTATGTGATGACACAAACTTAAGAAGAGCCAGACCGGTCTCGGCCAGGACTGTCGAGTGCGTCTTGAGACATTCCATTTCCAATTCCTGAAAGATCAGTATCGCGGTTCTCAGACTCCCAGCGAGCGCTGGTGTACCTAGCCGAAGGGGAAAGACCAACCTCGATGTCCAAATTCTCGTCGATCTTAACAGCTCTGCCGAAAATGAAGATCCATTGTGCAAGATTTGCGAACTCCCACATATTGCGAATGCGATCAAGGAGACTCAGTTCTTTAGAGGGCTCGACAGCCTCCATCTCCTGTCGGCCTCGCTTCCTGCCGGAGGACACCATCTCGCAGGGTGGCCTCGCGATGCTGGGAGTTGAATGTGCGTTCGTAGCCGGCAGAGACAAGAAAGAAGAAGGTATCTAAGTAGTGCGCGGATGTGCAATATGATAGCGGTGGTGCAAATTGTGCAAAGGAGAGATGTGGTAGTCTTGGTGGACTTTGCAGAGGCTCGTAAATTTATTTCGACGCGTTGGACCTCGAGCGTGCTGGGTATCGCTCGAGATTCTTGCTAGTTGATCACGTGATACTGAGATGTCGATAAGCGTTAAACCGCGCCTAATTGTTATTGGAGTGGCAGATACAGTCAGTGGCTTGTTTGAAGGCAGTCGAGGATCGATTGACTTCTTGCTGCTTTGCTTCCATCCAAAGTCCCTTAAGATTCTGCTTTGGTTTGCTGCTGCCGGCATTCCCTAGCTCCAACATGTGTGCCTGTGGAGACTTCCCTAAATAGAAGACTACCAGTATCGTACCCCTGGTCTAGCCTGCGCCTCGTTGGTGGTCGGTTGGATCTTCTGTTACAGCTGGAGCACTTTGAAAACAACGACGTCTGCAATCCTCCGAAACCCATGGAATTCCTTGTCGACGAGCTCGAAAAGATGAGGGCGATCAACAGTACAGCCACGTAAATCGAACTACAGATGCGCTCTTCAATAATGATGAATACGACCTAACGAACACCTTCCATCAGCACAATCCTTCCCTGCAAGGCGCATATTGCGCTGCTGATTACCTCGACAGTCATTCCGGAAACGACTTCAGTATAACAATCATACGCAGGTCCTTGAGTTTCTGGCATAGGTCACAATGCCTCACACAAATTCGCAGGGCTCTGCGACTCCTACCACCCCTCCACAGTCAATACCGTTGCGGGACCTTACACGTCCGCCAGATTCAGCAGACCTTGGAGATGGGCACCTTCGAAATAGCAGGGGGAGAAATCTTTTGGGTACTGGCCAAAGACCGATGAGTGGGCATGGCGATGGGCCACGATATGAAAGATTGGGCGACGCATCTCCAAGTCCGACAGATAGAGCCACGCGCAGATCTGGCGGGATACCTCCCTTGACGATGCAAGGACAGCAGGGCCGGACTTTTGACGATGACTTGGATGCTCCCTCATCGCCGGTTGGCAATCCCGGGGATTTCCAAGCTGCAATGGGTTTTGCAGGTCTTCTGGTTCCCGACATAAGCGTATCTCACGCTCCAAGAACGGACACTCCGACATTTGAATCTGCCGAATTTGATGGACTCTCACCTTATGGAGATGCTGCAGACGAACATACATCATACTTCAGTTCAGAATCCGATCGAGTTCCTCTGACTGATCCAAATTCATTGCAACCACTGAGTGGTGCACAACCTTCAACACCATCCGGCCAGAGACACGACAGATCGACCAGTTTTCACAGCATCAGCTTCAACAGCCCGGAGTCGAGATATAGAGGCTCAATGTTAGGAGATGAGCTTCCAGACGCGGAGACTGGAACCTCACCGCGTGGAGGGCGGTCAAGGAGTCATAGCTATGGTCACTCCTTGAGGCCAGATGGGGATGTTCGGACAAGGTCACGTTCTCCATCCAACGCTTCTGCTCTTTCGCGAGCAGGGTCGATAGTGAGAGCCATGTCACAGCGTGTTGTCAATCTCAGCGGCGAAGCGGAACTCATCGAACGGATGGAAGCGGAAGCCTCAAGGGAAGCCTCCAGAGAGCAAAGCATCCCTTCTACTCTTGGCAGTCTTAGTGATGAGTCCGAGACCCGATATCAACCAAAACACAAGGCAGATCCACTTGCAGCAGGACCCCAATACCGAGAAAACCTACCAACGCAGCCCGTCGAAAAGGCGATGCGATTCTTTGGTGGTGGAGGCGCTGCACAAGAACCAACTTGGGAGGAAGAGGCGGAAAAGCCTCCGAACCCTCTCAGGGGCAAATCCTTAGGCATATTTGATGCTGAGAGTAAAATCCGGAATGGGTTATGCGACCTCCTAGTCTACCCTCTCACGGAACCGGCCATTTTGGTACTCATCATCCTGCAGACCATTCTCCTCGCGGTAGACTCCTCGAAAAGCGTTTATAATCATCCTCGTCCACTACATTGGGGGGAGACCTGGACAGACTTTATGCTACTTGGACTATTCATTATCTTCACCCTAGAGATCGTGGCAAGGATAATCGTGTCGGGGTTCATTTTCAACGCTGCCGAGTACAGCACGATAAACCGGAAGAAAGGGTTGAAAGCGGTCGTTCTTGATAAATATCACACAGTTTTCAAGCCTCAACGAAAATCGTCCGTGAGGGCACCTCGATACCCTTCCCTCGCCGCCAACACCGTTCTTCGTTCATTTACGGCCATCCAGGGCGAAGCCATCCGAACTGTTGAGCAGGCTCAACGTCTCCAACTTGCGAGACGCGCCTTCTTACGACATGGCTTCAACAGGCTTGACTTCATAGCCGTTGTTTCTTTTTGGATAGCGTTTGTTGTCGGGGTGACGGGCGTGGAGGCAGATGTTCATGTTTACGTTTTCCGAATGATGAGCTGCCTGCGAATTCTTCGACTTTTGTCCCTTACAAATGGCACGGCTGTAAGTCGGGGCGGCTCTTCATCTACATGTCTGCAAGCTGACATACTTTCGCTTAGATCATTCTTCGAAGCTTGAAGAAAGCTGCCCCACTCCTTGTCAATGTCTCATTCCTCATCGGCTTCTTCTGGCTTTTGTTCGCCATCATCGGTGTACAAAGCTTCAAGTCGAGCTTTGACCGGCAGTGTGTGTATGCTGACCCTATGGATCCTTACAACCTAAATGGTACAGCATATATCAATGTTCTACAATTCTGTGGAGGTCAGTTCAACAATGTGACCGGAGCCCACGATCCATTCAAAACTGGTCCCTTGAACAACCTTTCGAACCTCAAGGACGGTGCCACTTCCGCCAAAGGATATCTCTGCCCAGAAGGGTCATATTGCCTTCAGCTCGACCGAAAGCATCTGCCTTATAACGGGACAATGAGCTTTGATAATATCTTCCAGTCACTGGAGCTTGTGTTCGTGGTCATGACTGCGAATACATTCACGGACCTCATGTACTATACGACGAACTCCGATTACTTGGCAGCTGCCCTGTTCTTTGCTGGTGGTATCATGATCATGACGCTCTGGCTTCTGAATTTGCTCATTGCTGTCATCACATCCTCTTTCCAAGTTATCAGAGAGGAAAGTAGGGCAAGTGCTTTCGCCGCTCACGTCAAAGGCATGCTTCAGACCCAGGACCCTGCTGCTCCGAAAAAGAATAGCAAAATGAAACATTTATTCGACCGGACTTATTGGGTTTGGATCATCGTCATTAGCTACGGCCTAGTCTGCCAGGCATTCCAAAGCTCAACGATTTCTCCCTCGCGGGCCCATCTCATCAATGTTTCAGAAACCGTGGTGACCTTGATCCTCCTGATTGAGGTCATAATTCGATTTGTGGTTGACTGGCGATATTTTTTCCAGGAAAATAAGAACTGGTTCGACTTAGGGCTTGCAATCATTACATCGATTATACTGATTCCCCCGATACGAAATTCAGGTCAAGCGTATGCGTGGCTTACCGTCTTCCAAATTCTCAGAATCTACCGAGTGATTATTGCGGTGCCAATTACGAGATCACTGATCACACTCGTCCTGGGCAATGCGAGTGGTATCGGCAACCTCATGCTTTTCGTCTTCTTGATAACCTTCCTAATGTCGATATTTGCTGTCCAATTATTTCGAGGGGAATTGACGCAAACAGACGCATACGGCAATACTATTCACATCACTTTTGCTACGATTTATAACGCTTTCCTCGGGATGTATCAAATTCTGTCCAGCGAGAACTGGACAATCAATCTTTACAATATTACCGCATTCGATGACGCTCGAAATACCGCTTGGATCGGAGCAGTATTCTTCATTGGCTGGTTCATTCTGGCGAACTTCATTCTGGTGAATATGTTCATAGCTGTCATTCAGGAAAATTTCGATGTCTCCGAAGACGAGAAGCGCATGCACCAAGTCAAGTCATTCTTGAATAGAAAAGAACTTGGCGGCTCGTCTAATAATCTCTCACTCTCTGCCATCTTTCGATTTGGACGATCTAAGGCAACAAAAGACCCTTTGGATTATGGGCCTGCGACTATGGAGATGTTGTTGAAAGATGCAGTTGTGAAAGACTTCCTTGACGACGAGACAGATGAGACACAGCAAGCCGTCGCTGAGACTCCCCCAGTGGAAGGAAACTCTGTCAAGTCAGCGTTCAAATCCACATTGTGGGGGAAGTTTGTGAACCGTATCTGGAATCGGGAACCGAATCCATTTTATTCTAATATTCAATTTTCGTCTGGGCGGGAGGATAATACCAACGCGAGAGTCCTGGCGAAAGAAGCTGTTTCAGCAACATCACAACGGAAAAAGGCACAGCGAGAATTCTTGGCCCGGCACCCGAACTATAACAACTCCCTGTTTTTATTCACACCTAGAAATCGCATCCGTCGCTTCTGCCAAAAAATAGTTGGCCCTGGCCGTGGAAGTGAACGTTTTGAGGGCGTGGAGCCGAACAAAGCCGTCTGGTACACCTTTTCTGCTTTCATATACGCTGCTATTGTGGCAATGGTCATCCTCGCCTGTGTTACGACACCGCTATACCAAAAGGAATATTTCAATAAGCATACATTCAGTGTGCGGAACTGGTTTGTGTGGGCTGACTTATCCTTTGCAATTATCTTCACAATCGAGGCTATCATCAAAGTCATCGCGGATGGCTTTTTCTGGACCCCGAACGCATATTTCAGAAGCTCGTGGGGCGCAATCGATGGAGTTGTGCTAGTAACTTTTTGGATCAACGTGGTGACAGCACTCACCAACGATGGTTCGGTATCAAGAGCCGTAGGGGCTTTCAAAGCTCTGCGAGCGCTGAGATTGCTCAATGTCAGCGACAGTGCCAGAGATACGTTTCATTCCTTGGTTATCGTCGGCATCTGGAAGCTCTTATCGGTAGGAAGGAATTTATTCTGGTTTGTACTCGTTCACTAACGTGACACTAGGCCATGTTCGTGTCGTTTGCTCTGCTAATACCATTTGCCATTTATGGTGTAAACCTCTTCAGCGGGCGGATGCAGTCATGCAATGACAGCAGCGGTGCAATTATTCAACTCGCGGATTGTTTTGGGGAGTGGGGTAGTAGTCCAGCGAGCAACAACTGGTCACTCTTGGCGCCAAGAGTGGTTTCTAACCCGTTCTACGACTTCGACAACTTCGGAGATGCTCTTTTCATCCTCTTCCAGATCGTCTCTCAGGAAGGTTGGGTCGATGTGATGTGGAGTGCGGAATCTATCACGGGCCTTGGACTTCAGCCGAGCAGCTACGCCTCCCAAGGCAATGCAGTCTTCTTCGTCATCTTCAATCTTATGGCTACAGTCTTCGTACTCACACTGTTCATCTCTGTTTTCATGCGCAATTATACCGAGCAAACTGGTGTAGCGTTTTTAACGGCAGATCAGAGATCGTGGCTTGAACTGAGAAAACTGCTTCGACAAGTAAGCCCTTCAAAGAGACCTTCAAGTACGGGTGGGAAAAAATGGAAAGACTGGTGCTATAAAAGAGCTGTAAGAAAGCATGGCAAATGGCAACGAGCCGTAACCGTGGTACTCATCCTCCATCTCATCCTCTTGATGGTTGAATATTGGCCTGAACAGCTTCGGTCGGACGAAGCTAGGGTTTACATATTTTTAGCCTTCACGCTTTTCTACTTGGCAAACATCATTATTCGGATTGTTGGGCTCAGCTGGGCACGTTTCAGGAGAAGCTCCTGGGATCTGTTTTCCGTCTTCGCGGTATTCGGGACCCTGATAACAACAGTATTACTGCTGACGAATTTCCTTCAAACGACCTACGTTCAGCTCCACAAAACCTTCCTGGTCTTGATAGTCCTGTTGCTCATTCCTCGGAACGATGCGCTGGATCAACTGTTCAAGACGGCAGCTGCAAGTCTGACAAATATCGGCAACCTTCTTGCCACTTGGTTCATCCTCTTTTTGGTCTTCGCCATTGCTCTGACCCAGGCATTTGGACTGACACGGTTCGGGTCCAATGAGACCAACAACCTCAATTTCAGGACTGTGCCCAAAGCTATGATCTTGCTTTTCCGCATAAGTAACGGTGAAGGTTGGAATGCTATCATGGAAGATTTTGCCACTATCCTGCCACCGCTCTGCGTAGACGACCCGGACTTTTTCAATAGCGACTGTGGGAGTAAACAATGGGCAAGGGCTTTATTCATCCTCTGGAACATCCTGAGCATGTACATCTTCACCAGTTTGTTCGTCTCTCTCATCTATGAGAGCTTCAGTTACGTCTATCAACATTCCAGCGGACTGGGAAAGGTCAGTCGAGAGGAAATTCGCCGCTTCAAACAAGCATGGGCTACATTGGACCCCGAAGGCACAGGATACATCACCAAAGAACAATTTCCTCGCCTCCTTGGCGAGCTTTCCGGCGTGTTCGAAATGCGAATTTATAGTCAAGAACATTCCGTTCGAAGAATACTCGAGGATGTCCAATCCGCGCCCACCTCTAGCAGAATTATGTCTATGGCCTCAACCAGCTCAGCTACGGGCGTGAACTTAAAGGCACTGAACAAAAGACTCGCCGAAATCGATGCAGTCGAGGTTCGACGATCAAGAGCTCGGTACAATCTCTTCTTCGAGGAAGTCATGGTCTCAGCCGATGTTGATCGGGGCATCTCCTTCACGACAGTCTTGATGATTCTGGCCCACTACAATGTCATAAGTGACAATAAGAGTCTTAAGTAAGTATATCTGCTCCGCGTGGGCGACTTGAGCTAACATACATCAGGCTTGAGGAGTTTCTACGCCGTCGTGCACGCCTCCAACGAGTTGAAGAGGAAGTTCGCCGGAGGATTGTGCTTGGGTTCTTTGATACTATGTAAGAGCTACAGTTGTTCGGACGTTTATGTTGCTAATGAAAGTAGGTATTGGTCAAGAAGATTCAGAAAGCATATGGAAAATAAGAGATCCGGACGTATGACAACCATTCCTCAGCTAGGCCCAGAAGTCTTCGTGGACGATGAAAACGACATCACCAAGCAAGCGAAGGCTACTGTATCCCCATTCCTCTCTCCAATGGAAATCAGCGATCCACGCTCTTCATTTATCACACACGGCTTAGACGGTGCCGCGAGACTCCGTTCTGGGTCCATCGGCGCTGGCCCACCTTCGCCCGGAAGCCCTGGAATAGCTCCTAGGCATTCTCCTCAGCTGTCGCCGCATCGGCCAACCAATTCTGCTTTCAGCTTTGAGGGAGAACAGCTTAGTCCGGCGGGCTCCGCACATAGCAGCAGACGTGGAAGTGCTGTCAGCGCCGAAAATGTTCTCGAAGTCCTCGACAATTCAGCTTGGGGAGAGAGTATTCGGCGCAGTTTCACAATGAGACGACCAGATAGAGGAGATCGCTCATAATGGTTTGAGACTGAATTGATGGGCGCAGGCCCCATCACTGTGCGTGTTTTTGGAACCCGTTAGAGGGCGGGATGTTCACCTAGAATTGGATTTGGGCCGACCGTGCGAGTCGCAAAGGAGTTTTGGCGCAAGCGAGGCGTTTTGAAAGGATCACGGACGCCTCATGATTTTGTTTCGAGTGTTCACCACGTTATGATGAAAAAGGTGGGACAAGCCGAGGTGTGGTTCAAATCACAAACGAATGTATTCTGCTGTACATCATGGATGGGAGAAACGGGGCTTGCTTTCGGGTGTTCATTGTTGGCCTGGAGCGCGTGATCAATTGTTGGTCAGATGGGATGGATGTTTCATTACGGATGTGCATAGCCACGGAGTTTTTAGAAAATATACCACGCCGAGCACCTTGCTCTTAATAATAATGGATGATGTTGGTCATATCCAAGAGGGGCCACGGTGCATATTTATTTCAATAGAGTTCAAAAACGAGAAGGGGTATGGTGTTTCTTGACTTCGCCTGCTCTGGATCAGAACATGCTGGACATTCTCGGATAGCGGCAAGGAGAGAGCTGCTCAGAGGCCATGAGGCCTTTGTTCCGTCCGTCTGTCAATCGCCTCAGCATTGCAGCAATAATGTGCTGTCAACGACAATCTGGCACGGTTGAAGTACTTGAATCTGCAACAATGGTCAGTGGCTCATCATGGACTTGGCGGTGTCAATCCCCTGGAAAATCCTAGAAGTGTTGCTCAGGCTAGGCCTGAAGCGGGCATTATGGAAATAAGCGGGGTGGGAGCTCTCAGCATGAAACTCGTTGCAGCAGCAACCTTCTCCCGCTGATACGCCGCTGTGCAGGAAACGGCCAGAGTAACCGACTCGTCTGTTTGATGTACATGGGAATGGGGCGACCAGTGATCCCATCGACGGGTGATGCTGGCACGCTGGTTTGAGGAAGTTGTGGGAGGAAAGAGCCGTGCTTTTGCTCCCAGCCAGACGGGTGTTGCTGACGGTCTCAGTGCCTGCCCCAGCATCCCGTCCTATTCGAGCTGCCGAGCTGCAAATTTGCAATGCAATACTGCAAATCTTCGCAGCTGGGGCTGTGAGGCTGCAGTCGGTGGCATGCGGTTGAGAGGGATGAGATCGCGAGAAGGGCCAATATCGCGGCCAAGGCCTCGCACAGGGCCTCCTTATTCTCCTTAGGGTCTGCCGCAGGGTTGTGGTCTTGGCTGAGGGGTCGTCATCAGCCCGACAGCTGCGGTCTGGACTCCTTGCACGTACAGTACTGTACCTGACAGCTCCGCAGTGGCCGCACTTCACCCTGGGGGCCCAGGATATGCCTTCTCGGGCCTCCCCCTCTCCTCCCTCTCACACCTTTGTAACACGCCTCGCATTGATCGAAGCAACCAAGGAATACCAGGCAAGGGGTCTTGCATTAATACCACCTGCTCTCATACGTTCGTCCATTATTGCATTCTTTTTGTTCTGGCAACCCGCTTCTTCTTACCCCTTCCCAGCTTCACCGTCCCTTCATCCCTCCCTGTTCCCTCTCCCTATCTATTTCCAGCACCGAGACCCGTCATAGCGTGAGGAATGGGTGCCACTTAAGTACTGGGGCTGCGTACACATCGGCCTGCTTGTTCTTCTCTCATGTCGAGCATTTCTGGGACTGAGATAGTTGAGATTCCTATCCCTCTACCAGTTGTTATTTTAAGTCTTCACGACTCGTCACTCGTTCAAGTGTACTACGTACCCCTAATCTTTGAGGCTGCGCCTTCGACACACATTGCAATTACTTGCACATAAACAACTCGGGAATCCAATCGAGGCCCCTCACGATTTCCACAGAGAACTTACTTTTGCTTCCATCCCTACTTTTCCTCGTCGATCATATCGTCCCTCACGACCGACTCCACCCGAACACTCAACGCCATACAGCTTCGCCAGTCGACCTTCTTGCCGTCAGCCAAGATGCGGACTACACGTTTCCAGTCTCTCTCCTTCTCCAGCATCCGCAGCTCCCTTCGACGCTCATCTTCTACGTCCCACGGTTCAATGATGTCAAGCAACCGTGACTCATACGCCTCCAACACCTCATCACCTATCAGCACCATCAACGCCATCATGCACCGACAACCTTCGATGTTAGATATGGAAGAGGAACGAAGAAGTTTTGGGTCGGGTTTGGAGATTATGGAACCACGACCACTCGTCTACTGGGGTGGCCTTGAAGAGAGAATGGGCTCTCTGTGAGGACTGCTCTGAGAGGAGAATTGAATGCTCGAAAAAGATCATTCAGCTTTTGGGACTGCGAAGATTTTGTGCTAAAACGCATGTCGGTGATAGACATGTGTTTAGCTCCTTGTTCAGGCAGGCGAGTGAGTTTTGACGGGGATTGCGGCAGGATCGGGGTGAAATGGATCATGGCGTATGAATTTTACGGCTTGGATATAAATAAGGAGTCGGCTGCTTTCGGGTTTATGACGGCGAACAGGATGGCGCTCTTCAGGTGTTCTACTTGGACTTGGTGCTTCATGAGCATGGTCTGGAGGTTTTGTTGGGTTATATCTTTGTATTTCCAAAAATCTTCGATATGCAGAAATTATAGATGTTCAAATCTGGCCCCATTAAGAAAATTCTGGATTCTTAGACGTTCACAGTGGCCTCGACTTTGAGAACAAATTGTTTAGTGTGGAAGGCGCTGCTCGCGATTTTCTGGCAGTGGCGAATGAAGAAACCAACCTGCAGCTACGGGCTCCTTTAGCGACGCTACTGCATCTATTATTTTTTGAGAAAATCAATTCGACGATATTTCAAAAATGTGCTATTATTAATAATATAACTAATACCTATAGTTGAATATAATTAAAACAGTCGATCTATATAGTGTTTTATCGCATTCCATGGTAGGAATGCGATAGGGTAGGAAATTCAATAAAATGTACGTAATATGCCCCCTAATATACTAGCCCTCCTATATACTTCGTTTATACTTCTGTTCCTTTATTATTATTAATTCCTTGATCTTCTATTATTAACCTCTTCGTAATAGCTCGTTTAAAGATTAATATTAATTACTATCAAGCCCATATTCTTTGTTTAATTAAGTAATAGCTATTATATAAGGAGATTATTAAGAGGTTATAGTATGATTTTGATATCGATATTTCCCTTAGAACTCTATATAATAGGCTTTCCGAATAGAAAGTACCTTCCTAATACTCGATATTCAAGCCTTTTCCTCAGGTAAAGGCTCTTATTATATAGTTCTTTTGTGATATTCATATAACTAATACTAATATACTTACTAACCTCCGGAGCTTAGGATATAATATTCCTAATCTATAATTATTATAGCAGGTTCGCCGAGCTATAGGGCTTTAATATTAAATGCTTAATTTGCAAGTTAAGCTAGAAAAGAAGTAACTTTGCTATATCTTCAAGTAATATATAATAGATAAAGGCCTATAGGGTAATACTAGAAGTTATAAATACCGGCTTCTATATACTTATCTCAATTTCCTAGGTAATAGTAAGAAGTTTTCTAGGAATAGAATAGCTTCTATAATATAAGAACTTAATCCAGAAAATATATAGTATTATTTGGAAGAGATAAAAGTAGCTAGGGGAGAATATAATATTTATGGGCCGAACTTTATTTGGTCTATTAATGGCTATTATAAGATAAGTATAATATAAACTTAACTTTAAAAATTATTATTTTAATAACTACTAATACGTTTGCTTAGCTATGATTTTATAGTATTGAGATATATACCGGTATTAATACCTATTTACGGTTTATATCTTGGATTTATATTAGAATCTCAAATAGTTATACTATAAGTAGTATTACTTCCTAATTCGGTATAAATATATCCCCTTATAAATGGCTAATATTTACTTAGTTATAATTCCGGCTATATAATTCTATAGTATTATAGAGAACTAGTTATTTGAATTATACTTAATTTAGGTAATAAAACCCCTAAATCTCTATATTATATTCTTTTTTAGCCTAATTAATATTATACTAATATATACTTATTTATATTATTTTCTAGGTTACTATTCTAGTTTAATACCTTGATTTAGTAGATAAAATAGAGATTATTTCACTTTATATTTAATTAGATAAAGGATATAAAATACCTATAGTTACTAATACCTATTATATTCTTTATAAAGTAATATATTAAATAAGTATAAGGTGTTTGTTAGTAGGTAATAAGACAATAGAATAAATTAGTATATTATAAAACTATAGTATTAAATTCAGTACAGAACTAATCTCTGTCCCTCCTATAAGGTCCAGGGAAGCCCCCTCTAAATAGGAGGCCCTAATGGCATATATATAATTAGTAATTTATAAGCCTAATATATATAATATAAATAGTAGTTAGTTGGGATATTAAAGGGCTGCCGAATTCCCTAATTAATACCTGTAATATCCGAGGTTCGTTATATGCCCTTAAGTTACATACGACCCTGTATATATTATAACTATACCCCCCTCCTAGGATCTTATCTCCAAGATCTATTAATCTATCCTAGTAAATATTTAATTAATTAATTATTTAATTAATATAAACTTCCAGTATCTTGGAAGATAGTTTTACTAATACGATCTAAATAATAGACGTAAAAATTATCTAATTAGATCGGGGCTAAGTAAGCGAGAAGGAAGGGTAATTATACCCCAGGTATAGAGACTAGCCGGTAATTGCGATTTCGTTTGGGATCTGAGTATTCTAATTAGCTCAATCCAAAATACTAAGGCGCTACCCTATAAAACTAATGCCACCTATTAAATCTCGTATTAGAATAATCTGAATAGCTATATGAAAAGTATTTAATAGATATTCGTATAAGAAACCTATACGAATATTTCTGAGGTCCTGGAGATTATTTACGGGCTTCTGGGAATATATATTAATTAGTTATACTAGTTTCTGATTAGGACTAGTATAAAAACTAGTAGTTAATCCAGGTAGTTCTCTACCTTTATAAAAGAACCTCTTTATATTACTATATACTTTCTTCCTTTCTAATAACCATATATATAACTTTTTCTATTATTACTTTCTAGCCTCTTCTTTTATCCTTTTTTAAGTCTTCTTTAATTATTTTTAATTAATTCCATAATATCTTCTTCTAGCTTTATTATCCGTTCCCGTAATAATAAGTATAAAGGTAACCTCATAGCCTCCTTTCCTATTACTAGTAAATACTTGAAATATTTCAAGTATTTACTTATTAATTTTTTTACCTTATATACTATAGTACCTGGTAAGAAGAATTATAACCGTTATAATAAGGGTTCTGAGTCTTATATATTAGTAAGTTCTTTAGCTTTAATATCTATTAAAGCTAATGCGATTTCAGATTCCTTACTACTTATTAAAGGCTTACCGGTTCTAGAAAGATACTATTATAACCTTTAAGAAATTTCTTAAAGTATATCCTAAATAGTATTATACTAATGAGAATAATACTATTAATTAGATTTTCGAAAACTAGAAGGATACTAATAAGCTTCGGAATTCTTCTTCCTGTCTTAATAAGGTAGATAATAATACTACTTGGGTTAGTATCCTAAAAGTAAGTTTTTTCTAATATACTTAGATACTTACTAATTCCTTAAAGAAATACTATAATATTTACCTTTAAGGTATTAACCTTATTACCGAGCTTATTACCGAGATTACTAAGTAGTCTACTACTAGTACTTCAAGTACTAATAATATAATACTTATAGCTATTCGGAACCTGACTTCAGAAATTCGGGCCTTTTATAAGGTATATATGGCTATTATAAGTTCCTTACTTACTTCTTTTAATATTCTTAATACTAATATTATTATAGTATAACTATATCTTATTAAGAGATAAGCGGATTCCGGAAAGTATTAGCTAATTCTTTACTAAGTCCTAAATAGGACTAGTATTTAATATTCTTATTTTGGGAATTAGGAATTTATAGGAATTAGAGTTTATTTATTTAAGATACCCGTAGCTAGTCTACCTATAATAAACCTTTCTTAATTCTAAACCTTTTTCTAATAATTTAAATATAATTCTCGTAAGCCTTAATAAAACCCTGGAAAACCTTTATAGGTAAAAAACCTAGGGAAAGAATATTTCTATTACTATTCCGGGTCTTTTCTTAGCTATCTAGGTTCTCTCTTTTTTTTAAGTAGTCTTTTTCTTAATAGTCCAGAATTCTTTTTAATCTTAAGAGATTATTAAAAGATAGTTTCGGATTCCAAGCTATAGTTTCGGTTATATGATTTTAGAAATTCCTTGGAATTTTTAAGGTTAGGGAAAGCAAGTAACCAGATATTATAATCTTTAAGCCAGGCTTTCTATTTAATTAAATACTATTACTTCTTACTTCTATTATCTTATTAGTAACTAATAATAGCTTCTATTTCTTATTCTTATTCTTTATTATTATTTACTAATTCCGGAAGTTTTTCGGAGGAATATAGGTATGGCTTCTAATCCTTTTTTACTATATACTTTTTAAAGAGGGAAATATAGAAAGTTAAATATAAATAATTATATATACTTAATAGTTCTAACTTATATACCAAATTACTAATATATTTAAGGATCTTAAACGGACCTATAAATTTTGGCTTAAGCTTTCTTATTTTAAGTTTAATATTTCTTATTAATAGTATTACCCAGGCTCCTTTAGAATAGTATTTAGCTAACCGGTACTTATTATAATAGGTTTCCCGATTATTTTATATATAATATTATAAATCCTTAAGCTTTCTCTACTTTGCTTTAAGGGTTTCTAGCTTCCTATATATAGCTAGTACCTCTTTTATAATCCTGTTTTCAGGATTCTATAGAAGTTAAAAGTAGTATCCATAATATATATAGAAAGGTATATCCTATAAAACCTAATATTTTAAGTTATTATATATAAATTTCATAAAAGATAACTTCTTAAACTAGTTATTCTTTTAGGTATTATAATAATATCTCAGGTAGTATTCTAGGGCCTGGTTCTGCCTTTCTATCTAATTATCCGTTTAAGAATAATAAACTATACTTAAATACTATTTATATATTAAGTAGAAATAGAAAGCGGACTAGAACTAGCTAGTAAATACCGTTTCTTAATCGGAAATAATTCTATTAGGGGAGCCAAAGATCGAGAAAATATATTCTTATATAATCTTAGTAAGCTCTAGAGAATTAATAGTCTTATAATATATAATATATTTTACTATTTTAGAATACTAGTTAATAACTATAAGAATTATATTAAAATCGGAACCTCCTACCAGGTTCTTATATAGTAATAGACCTGTAATAAAATCTATAGAGATCTTATTCCAGAGTCTCTCAGGCTATAGTAAATTACTAAGCAGACTATATAGTAAATACCTCTTTACCTTAACTCTCTAGTAAATATTATATTCTCGATAATAATTATAAATATCTCCTTTTATATTCTCCTAATACTAGAACCTTCTAAGGAGCTCGAGAGTTTTCTTTATTCTATAATATCTAGCTATTAGGTTATTATAATAAAGCTTTATAACTTCTTAATATAAAGCGGAATTATTAGGTATAATAATTCTTGAATAATACCTAAATAGGCCCGAATTATTTTTCCAGATTTCTTTTCCCTTAATATCTTTCTTACTAAGCCTTTATTTTATAATATTCTAATATTAAGAATTATTTTTCTAAGCTATCTAGATAATATCTAGAAGGGATTTAAATAAAGGAGCTAGTACTATAGCTCTTTTAGTAGCCGTATATATCTATATATAGGGAATTAGGTATTTATAACTATTTAATTCAAAAACTCGAGAGACTAAGGAGTCTTTAGTTCTATTAAGTAATATAATTATAGATACCCTTATTACCTTAGCTATAGTAATAGAGCCTTTAAGGCATTTCCCTATACCTTGCTTCTTAACTAATTTTATAGTTAAGGGATCTATAAGATATAATCGGTTCGATCCAAAAGCAACAAAACGGTCGCTCTTTTACGCCCATAATAACTTTTTAACCACAACCCTAATTAATTTATACTAAGTAATGCGATTATAGAATAGAACCAGGCGAAAAATACCTATTAATTAGATTTTTAATATAATTTGTAGTTCATTAATAATCGAGGCTTAAAGTACACGGACCCTTTTTACTTTTTTGATTTTTCCCTATACAAAACGCAAAAATATTTGCTCGCTAAGGTCACGTGAGCCCGGGCTTCAGGGGGAGATCGCGGCATCTCACCAGCCTTATTATTAATATAATAATAATAATTAAGCCCTATAAGCTCAAGTAAGCCTTCCTAAATACTAAATATAGCTTTTTCTGGTACTATATATATTATATATATAGTAGGTCCCTAATTATACAGGTTTTAAGCTAATTTTTGGCCGAACTAAATCCATAAACCTTACTTATTACTTAGCTACCTTCTTTCCCTTACTTTTGCATATTATCCCATTCATCCATTACCTTTTTAGATATCGTTCTATGGCGTTTTTGCTTCCGTACACACCAAGCAGCTTGTTTAATACTTAATCCCTTCCGATATGCATCTATCCAGCGGAACGTACGGTTGTAAAACCTCCGTATAGTCTTAATCGAACAAGCTTCAAGTGCCTCTACTACCTTAATCTTGGCATCTGGGAAGCTAGTCTTCTTTACTTGACAATATCGAGTTTTGCTATACCCCCAGTACATCTCAATTAGGTTGATTTCGCAGTGGAACTTCGGTAAAAACACAGCCTTATATCCCCGATCTATAATAAGCTCTTTAACTTGGGACTTCTCTTTAAAGAAGTCTTAGTGATTCAATAGTATACGAGCTAAATAGCACGTTTATTCGATAGCGGGAGGGTATTCAAGGGGTGCAGTACACTTAGTACCCTTTGGATACTTAAATCTTAAGCCAGGGATATTACAACCTCGCTTAATGAGAATCTGTTCCACGCCCTTAGGCTCTCTTTCTCCATTCGAATTAAGTTACCAAAGGACTTGAATAGTGCCCTGTAACCCCGGAATCGTACACTCTGGTGGAAAGTACGTATCCCTTCCATAGGCCTTAATATTACCCTTTTCAACCCCCCCTGATCCCTTATTTATACCAAAGGCGTTTAGTGCACCTTCGCCATGCGAAGCGTGTGCAGAAGACTGATCAAATATTAGAACAGCTATACAGTTTGGGTGCTTCTGTTCAAATATATCGAGCGTCCTAGTAATCTGTACCAGTAGCTGTTTTATATCCCACCAGGGGTCCCCATTTGAGCCTGGATATATAATTTAACGGGCATCCAAATTAGGATCGTCCGGGATAAAAATGCCTTTATTATTTGGTACCCTAATACGCCCCTCAGGGCCTATAAATTCAGAATCGTGAATTAGCCTCCCTTTGCTCTTTCCGGGCATTTTTTGCTGATTATCTGCTAGCCAGAGGCTCTTTTTATAGTCAAATCCATGGAAACAGCTCTCATCGTGGAAGTACATTACGTGTACCTGAACTCCAATTAGAAGTAAAGATTAAATCGTATGCCACGTACCAGCTTCATCCTCCTCGTATTAAACTATATATGATAAAAGCTCCTTCATTAAGGGTAAAAACACCTCTTGACAATACTCAATCACATTAGGGCATTCGTATCCATCCACATAAAGCCCTTTCTTAGTCTCATGGCAATAAAAGCCGAGCCTAGGGAGCCATAAGTAAGCTATACTGCGGGCAATAGGCTTTTCCATTATTAATAATAATCGAGGTAAAATCTCCTGATTAATAGTATTTAGGAAATCGTTTGGTAATATCATTCCAAGCTCTTGATTAATTAACCAAGTACGGCAGGCTAAAAAAATATCCTCGTTATCCAGATAAGAGGCACCCTCTCTTTTACTACCCCTAGTTTCTTGGGAAATACCATGCCACTATCGATAGTAATTAAATAGCCCCCTAATTCGCCGAGCTAGTGTCTTTCCATTATTCAAGCGATAATTACTGGAAGCTACTAAGAGCGATGCATTAACCCTTCCAAGTCGATATTGCCCTAGCTTTAGAAGCTATTGGGTATATTGCCGGAGTAAGTGTAAGTCAGCGATTATACGTGAAGTATATAGCTCTTTGGTTTGAGCTAGCTTAATATCCACATCGTCAAGGACTTCTTGGTAAGTCATTCGTACGTCTAGAGCTTCGTTATCTCCGCAAGCGTTTCCAATAAGGGCATCCAAAAGTAGCTCGTTTATTCCATCGTCTTTATCTTTAAGCCTTTGCTCTTCCCTTAATTACATATCCCTAGGAATATTAATTAACCTCCTAATAATGTCGAATTATAGCTTCTTTTGTTTAAAAGATGGTACGATTATAGGGGTCTTAAGCCTACTAGATTGCTCTGTAACTTGAGCATCTTTTGCCCTCTGATCATGTGCATGTTTTTGTTAAGTTCTCAATAGCTTTGCTAATTCCTTTATTAATTTGGGAATATACGAGCCTCTGGAAGCTAGAAATAATATTAGTATACTTATATTATAATAAAATAAGATAAGAAACTTACTAGCCTGCTCTGTAAGTCTTTGCTCTCGCTATACGAATATAGGCTTCTCCAAAATAATCGTCTCATTACCACTAATAATAAGCTTTCGCTGAGCCCAAAAGAGAGTCGAATCTTCAAGCTCTACTTCATTATTTTATTCAATATCTAATTCATCAGAATCGTCCTCTATATTAGAGGGTTTCCCATGCCGTTCGTTAATAGATACTTGGATTACAGCTTCTTCAGCTATGGTAAGAACTATAATTGAATCAAGAGTCGAATCAGCTCGCTTGCGTTTCTAAAGGCTCACAGAGGTAGCCATTGGAAGTATATAAAAGGGGCACTAAATTGGGTTTGTGGTTATTAAGATATTAATATAATTATAGAAGAGCGGTCAACTGAGGGGGGCAGTCACGTGATAACCAAAGTAAAAAAACGACCATACAAAACGCAAAAATATTTACTCGCTTAATCACGTGCATTATAACTTCCTTAATAATAAAGATATTATAATTTTGAGAACATAGAATTAATTCCTATAGTATATAGTATAATTTTAATTAATACGATTTATATCAATTAGTATTATAGTGGTTTTTATTTTTTTTTATCGCTTTTGGATCGGACCGACTATAATTTATCTATTTGTCTTATAGTAAATATTTCTCCTTAGCTATTATAGATATAGTAAATATTAAATAATATTTATTTCAAAGAAGGGACTCTTTAGATATCTATAAGAACCTCTAAATTATAACTATAAAAGCTTCCTTTAACTTATTCTAAAAGATTAGAAGCTAAGTTATATTAATAGAACCTTTTTTATAATTAGATCTTCTATTAAGTCCGTCTACTGGATTTAAAATACCTTTATAGTAAATAATATTAAAATTATATATTATAAGATATATTACCTAATATACTTAATAGCTTTCTAGATACTTTATTTCTATAAAGTATTAGAGGTTATTATAGTCTATAATAACCTTAATTATAAACCTGGACCCTTTAAGGTAATAGTACTAATACTTAAAGGCTTTAATAATTATAAGTAGCTCTCTATTATAGGTACTATAGTTATATTCGGTTCCGGAAAGTTTCCGGAACCAGAATATTACTAGATACTAGTATTTTTTTAGGCTATTACTAGGATTAACTTATTATAAAATAGTACTAGTAATTACGAATTTTAATATATTAGTTTTAATATAAATCTTTTTAGAAGGGTTAAAATAGACTAGGATAGGTATTATAGTAAAAGCTTTTTTTAAAGTCTTAAAGCTTTTAGCTACTTTATCTATTTATATAAAGAGACCGGATTTCCGGCCCTTTTCTATTTCTTTTAAGAGATCTATTAAGCCTATAGTTACCTGAGAGTAATAGTAGATAAACCTATAGTAGAAATTAGTAAATCCAAGAAATACTTGGATATTATAGAATAATTCTGGTTCTAGCTATTTAATAATACTATAGACCCGTTTAGGATCCGTATAAATACCTTCTATTCTAATAAGGAAGCCCAAAAATTCGACTTCTTTAATATTAAACTCGTATTTACTAAGTTTATAAAACAGGTTATTTTTATATAGCCTAGTAAGTACCTAGTAAATATAATTATAGTATTTATTCTTATTTCGGAAGTAAATAAGGATATTATTCAAATAAATAACTATAAAATAATCTAGGAGTCCTATAAGTATAGTATTAATATATACTTAAAATATGGCTAGTATATTAGCTAGCCCAAAAAGTATTATAAGATATTTAAAATAGCTATAGTAGATCCTAAAAGCCGTCTTCTACTTATATTTTTTATAAATTCTTACCTAATAATATATATCCTTAAAATCTAGCTTTATAAAGATCTTGGCTTCTCGGAGCCAGTTAAGAGTCTTATTAATAAGAGGAAGCGGATACCGATTCTTAATTATAATTTGGTTAAGTTTATAATAATTAATATAAAGGTATAGTTCTTTATCTTTCTTGGAGATAAAAAGAATAGGTACCCCTATTAGGCTTTTACTAGGCCTTATCTAATATTTATAAAATATATCCTATAAATATAGATATAATACTTCTAGTTAGGTTTCTAATAGATTATATAAAGGTCCGTACGGGACCATACTATCTATATTAATAAAGTATTTAATATTACTAAGATTAGGAAGTTCCAAAGCTTTATTAGGGTTAAAAATCTCTAAGAAGTCTTTATATTTATTATTTCGGAAATAGATAAGTATTTCTGAGGCCTCTTTTCAGAGAATATTAATTTATTATATTAAAAACTCCTATTTAGTATTACTAGAATTATATAATAAAATAGAGATCTAGTAATTATTATAAATATATAAAGCCTACTATCTAGGACAGTTATATTTGCCTTTAGTTAAGAATAAGACTTGAGATACTAGCTCAGGGTACTAGTTAAGCTCCTTACCGAATTCTTTTAGTATTAGGATCTTAATATTATTAGGCTATATAGGTATATATATCTATTATTTCTTAATATAGTCTATATATTATATAAGGGTTACTTTATAAAATTCTATACCGAAAATAAGGCTATAAAAGCTAATGTTTTTATACCTATAGAACCAGAGTTTAAAAGAATATATTTTACTATAATTATCTATAATAAATACTTTAAGATTATAGGCTTAATAGATTTTAAATCTATTTCTATAAAAGGTTATAAACTCTTAATTATACTTAGCTAAAATAGTAAAACCCTGGCTTTAAGCCTAATTATTATTAAGGAAGTTATAGTCTAATCCGGTATTACCGAGTCTATTATATACCTCTAAGGTACCTATTTCTGGCTATATTAATCTTACTTAAATAATTATATAAAGTAATATACCTTTTTTATTATAGCTAAAATTATTAATATTTAAGATTTAGCCTTCCCTTTTCCCTATTTCTTAGGAAAGTCTTTTCTAGAGTACTTCTTTATAATAATAGTATTAACCTGCTTCTATAGATACCTTAATTCTTCTATAGTTTTGGCCTTATTAGGGTTCTATTAAGCCTATTTAGTATATTTGAAATACTTTATACTTCCTAAGAAATATTCTTTCTATCTATAAGTTTAATAAACTATACCTAAAATGAAACTAGTATTCTATTAAGGCCTTAAAAGGGCCAAAATATTACCTAAGGATTTCTTATATAATTTTCGGAATTTATTCTTCTTTTTTTAATAGCTTTATAAATCAGAATTTACTAAATCAGAGTTCTTAGGGGTAGAATTGCCTTTACTAGACTCTTTTGCCTTTACTTTCCTTAATTTAGAATAAGTAGTATATTCTGCTTTCTGAGCTTTCTCAAGCTATTTGGAAATAGATACCGCCTTACCTCCTGAGAGAATAGATATAAGTATCTAACAAGTCTTATAGTTAGATAAAGTAGTATTAAGAGTCCGGATCCGGTTCCTTTTAGGATATAGGTCCTGGTTAATTTTGAAACTAATTATCCGAGTATATAACTCAATAACTATCTTATTATTTTTCTAATAAAGATCTCGGAGTTCCTTAAAGGTATCTTATTAACGGGTTTAAAGTACTTGGAATATATTAGCCAAGTAGGCCTTAAATTACTCCTAATAGACCTTATATAATAGTAGGCTTTACTTTATTATAGTCTTTCAAGTATTATAAGATTTATTCCTAAAGGTACTTATAATAGAGTTAATTCTAGAAAAGTATCTATTATAAATCTAAGGCTAGGTCCTAAAAACCGCCTTCCAGGAAAATACAAATATTCTCTATTTTTTAAGGGACTTTCTATAATATAAGTCAGATATCCGGACCTTGAAAAGCTTCTCTTAGTCCAAATATATCTTTAGGATATTATATAATAGCTCCTAATAAATAGTATCGAGATTACTCTTAAAGCTTATTATATTAGGAAAGAGAATAGGTTCTAATCCTATTTCAGGAAATTCCCTAATAGGAATTACTAAGAAAGAGGAAATAGACTTATAAATAGAGTTTCTATAAAATATAATAAACCGTAAAATATCCCTAAGGATACCCTTATATTACTCTAACTATAAGATATATTAGTTAATTATATCTACTAATTCTTGCTTTTATTAGAGTGCTTTAATTTTAGTATATAAGCCCTATTCTATAGCTTGGGTAGTAGTAATTCGGGTATTAATCTCGGTATCTTAATTATTACCGGGATTATTTCCGTTATTATTACTAGCTCTTAAAGGCTCCTGAGGGGCCTTATTAAAAGTATTAGATAAGCCTTTACTATTACCTATATTAGAGTTAATCTGGTTGACTTCCTCTATAGGAATAGCTTTAGTAAGGGGTTATATATTTTATAGATTTCGAGATATAATTACTTATTAAACTATCTCCTTTAAGGGTA